AGCGTTGGCTCGATCTAATCATTAAGCATATTCGCCCAGTACTGGCTACTACTGTCGTACCAATATCGAGCCTCGTTTGCCGATATTGACCCAATACTGGGCCGTTCGTCAATTCCTACAAGGGCTGAATAATAAACTCTGGCGCGTTGTTTTAGCGAATTGTTTTTATTATTTATTTATCAAAAAACATGTGTTTTTCTTCTCATCTGGTATTATTCAACGTCTCTAATATAAGAAACAAAATAATACCGCGCCTCTCAAAATCTCTATTTTTATTTATAAATTTAATAATTAAAAAAGAACGATGCGAGAGCTATTACCCCGTCACCCCCTAAAACGAAAGAAATGAGACAAGAATGTTGAGTGCTGGATTTTTTTATATTATTATTATATATTAATATTATTTTATATATTATATATTAATATTATATATTAATATTATTTTATATTATATTATTATATATTAATTGCACTTAAAATTCTATGTTAGATTGTTTTTACGCATAACTTTTTTTAGGATTTATTTAATATTTTAAATAAAATTAGCTTAGGGTGACAGTAATTGGACATATGACAGATAATTAGGTCTTTTACCCTATTTAAATAAAGTTGAAACAAGAAGAAGGTTCCGTTATACGAACGTTTGCGCGTTTCCAGCGCACCACTGCTCTTCTTTGTGTAATTTACTTTATTAAAATTTTCTCTCGAGAGACAAGCAATAAATGTATCTCGCTGACGAATTGTCCTCCATCCACTCTTGTCTTCCACCAGCGTGATGTGCGATCCGCGTCTAACGCATATGAAGTCTAATCTAAAACGCATATCTCTCGCCGTCAGAGAGTCGGCTGTCGGTGGCTCATGTTGAGGCTCTCTCTTTCTGTCTCTCTCTCTCTCTCTCGTGAGAGAGAGAGACACAACACGCAGGAACCACGCTCCTCGACCTCGTGTAACAAGAATATCTCCTTCCAGGGAAAACAACAAAGAACGCGAAGCTGTCGGCATTGTGAGGTAAATTAACATTCCCGTCGTTGCTATATATATATATATATATATATATAATGTCGTTATAGCGAATTATTTGCAACGGAGGAAAGCGCGAGTCGAATATGTCGAACGCAATTTTTCGTTTTTTTTTTTCGCCAACCAAAGAAAAAGTTTTTGGAATTAATATTCGATAAAGTTTAAATCTCATACACTTCTTTTTTTACGTAAAATTTATGTAATTAATTGCGTAACTTGTTGTTACACATACATATATATATATATATTTTTCTTTTTGTCACTCCTCTGCGGATTGTTTTCGCGCGGTGTGTGACCCGGTATGTTAATACTTTCCCTTTCGTTTAATATTCTTTTGTTCCGCGCGTCGTTGCACCTTGCATTGTTCTCTCTTCGCGTATGCAACAGCCGCGCTTCAATGACGAGGCGACAAACGACTTCTTCTGTGACGACTTCGCGCCACCTCGTTCGAGACCGGCACGGTTGCGAACGGAATTTCTCATTTGCGTTTCTATTCTCTTTTCGCGACGATATTATCGTTTTCGGGAGAACCGAATAATAGACACACACTTTTAGCGAAAAAGTCCTGGATCGGGAGGGAATATATCTTGTGTTTCCGTCGCGTGCTGCTGGCGTATCTCGTGAGAGACGTCCACGCGGAATATATTGGCGCCAATATATCTATGTATCTCGCGACTCTATTTATAGATCCAAGATCTCGTCACGGGGCCTCGTCAAACCATCGATTCAATTAAGTGCTGTGTTATCATCTTTGCACCAGTATCGCACGCTTAATTCACCGATTGGGTTTATTCGCGCCTGATCTGATGCTTCCAACGAGCGTGTCGGAATCACGCGTACTGTTCAATTGTATACAGAGAAAATGGACTCTCTCTGACAGTTATCTTCCTCGAACGATCGGTGTGGCGATCCCGACATCGAAATCAGTTCATTCGCATCTTGATTTTGACGTCCGACAACTGTGCAGTCCCGAGAAACGACACCGGAGACGAGGACTTGTTACACGTTTATCTTCGCTTCGTGCGTATCAGATACGTTGATTCTTGTTGAGACTCGCCGTCGGGTTCGTTGGAGTCCGACTTGACCACCGTCGCCGGCGTTCGCGCGGTCCAGGACGTTGCACACAAGTGCATAAAGTTTATTCGCATAAAGCGAAATATAAACAGCGATAGCTTGACAAGCCGCGTTTTCTCTTGAAAGCGTCTCCAAGCATTTCCCCCCCTCTCTCTCTCTCTCTCTCTCTCTCTCCTACGTGAGTATTTTATCATATCTACATTTAAGCGTCGATAAATAAAACCTTCGCGTGCCTACAAACAACAACGCGCGGTGTTCTACGTGTGTTCAGGTGTACTGAAAACACGAACACGCCTATATATCTGCGGTCTACTCGTTCCGCCTACCTTGGCGCGGCCAAGTAAAGCGTGTGCGTTAAAATAACAGTTATTTTAAGACCGCCGTAAAATCAAGATATAACATACATGTACATTATATATATATATATATATATATATATATATACAAAAAAATATAAATATTTCATAACTCTTACGTATATTTTCGGATTTGTTTAAAACTTTACATATCTAATCATGATAGTTGTGTCTACTTATAGTGTAAATGGTATTTTAAAAAGTTTCATATAACACATATATATCATATTAGTAAAAGTTTTCTATAGGAAGTGTTCAAATACTTTTGTGAGTCACTGTATATATATATATATATATGTATATGTATATGTTAGAATAATATCTGTCGATCGAAGAATGAAAAATTATCGACAAAAATATCGGAAGAAAAAAATATATATATATAGAGATGCGAAGAACGCTTGAATGCTTGCAGGTTCGTCGTTTGGGTCGCCGTTCGTCAAAAACCAGTCGGATTTTTTCGCTACAAGTCTATCTTCGCTTCGATACCATCAAAAGCGAGCGGAATATCGCGGCGGCGCATCGTCAGCATGTAAATGAATATCTCAGAGGGGGCGATTGATAAGTATCCGAATATACCCAACTTGAATATTTTAGCAACCGCGGTTGCAACGGTCGAAGTTGCCGCGAATTACGGTAACGTTGAGAACGTTTTGCTTCGAGCGAACAGCTGTCGTGTGTTTTACAAACACTACGATAACGTTTGACATTTGCTCTTCCGAACGATGAAACTTGTCAAACACAAGAGCGCGATGTGATACTGTGCGTCGTTTCGGATACTTATCAATCGCCGCATCCCTCTCTCGCTCTCGTGCGTATCCACTCGTACCCTTCGTTGTACTCTCCGTTTCGTGGCACCTTTTGTCCGGCATACCTGTGCGACGACGACGACGACGACGACGACGATGACGACGACGACGACGACGACGACGACGACGAGGGACGCGCGAGAAGGAGCAGAGCGGGAGGAGGAGCGGAGCGGGTTCCGTTCCCGCGGAGAAGCCTTTCCGTACAACTCCCGCGATGTGATGTTGGAGCACGCACCGTGGTGGGTCTCCTCCGCACGTTGGATTCCTCTTTCGACGGGGTCCCGGCGCGAGTAGGAGTCGGATAGCGCAACAGTAGTGTGGCTGCCGCCGGCACGGGAACTGCGCGATCGAGACGGTCGCGGCGCGGCGACGCGCTTCTTCCCATCTTCATCTTCTGTGTAGGGGTTCTCCCCTTTCATTTTTTTTTTTCTTCTCTTTATTCCCGGAGCGGATTAACGCGCCTCCCGTTGGGTTTCGGAATTCTGACTCTCGCTCTCACGTTGAGAGTTAATCTCGCGACGAGAGAGAGTGAAAGTTTTTCCTTTTCTCTCTCTCTCTCTTTCTCTCTTCTCTCGTCTCACATTCGTGCGTTCGTGTGCGCTCTTGCACGCACGTCCGATGAACTCCACGTGGTGGTGGTGTCGATACCGCGCGAGTTTTTTCTATCTCGAGTGTGCCTGAATAAAAAGTGTCGCGAGAAATACACACGACGAGAGGCGGCGGTTTCGTGATGGACCTGTTCGTCGTCTGGATGTTGCTGCTGCTGTTGCTGCTGTTGCCGGTTCCGCGGCGAGGAGCAGGAGCGGCAGATCCTCCTCCCGCGCCTGTCGACGGAACGACGACGAAATGCCCGAACGAATGCGTGTGCGAGAAGTCGACGCTGGTGCGATGCATGTTTCTGAAGCTGCGCCAGGTGCCGCGGGTGCCCGCCAACACGACCGTTCTGTAAGTTCCGCTCTCCGTTGTTGTTCACTCTCGGTGAGGATTTTTATCTGGAAAAATTGGGGGATCGCAACACAATCGCATCTTCTCCGTCATTTGAGGAGGCGCGAGTCCTCCTGAAGGCGCGCGAAGATTCTGCTCCGGAAATCTCTGATTATACCATCGCCCCTTAACAGATATTCCTTTCTGAGTTTTTGACGATTACGGACGGATATAAAATCGCGAATGGAAATTCGTTGCATCTCGTGATTTTCAGACGCGATCTCTCGATAAAAATAATATATCTCTCTCTGTGATAATCGGCGCGAATTTTGTACGAGACGAAAGGTCGAAGATGAAAGGTTGGATGAGAGAGAGAGAGAAAGTGCATTTTTTTTTAGCTCGCGGAAAAGATACCAATCAAGATAATATACGATTCGATTGATGTTTAAAGAAGATCGGAATCGCGGCGCGTACGCTTTCTCACGCGCGAGGAACGTTCGCTCTCCTCGCGGCACGAAGGATAATTTGTGATCGTTTATTCCAATGCTGGGAATAAACGTGTTTCCTTTGACGCTGAAGAGGTGATCGATGAGGAATTGCGAATTAACGCAAATTATATGTCGTCGCGCAACACATCGCAATCTACGTACATCAATTATGTTTTTGACGCGGGACTGAAAAAAAAAAAGAATTTCTCACAATTCTGCAGAAATTTGCGAATATTTTGCGATTGTTGCGCGTGAGAATTGAAAAAAAAAAAAAACTCACGGCGACAACGTAGGATAGGTTTGATTCGACTGCGTGAGTGTGATTTATATTGTCTCGAGACAGGACGAGATCGACGCAAAAAATCGCGGTGTTTCTCGCGGACTGTTTAGAAACTATATATAAGTTTCGCGAGATGCAGTTGTGCTAAAGTGGAGCTTCGGAGAAAGGAACAAAGGCGAAGAGCGGAGAGCATAAGCGCGGCTGTGCGAGATCTCGTTGCATACCCGAGGCGGCCGCGGACAGTCCACAGATCTGTTTTTCGATATCGCAATGTTACGAATGTATAATTGCACACGTAAATATATTTATAATCCGCGAATAACGCATGCGTATTTGTTTACGCTTTGAATGAATAATGCAACGACGTAATAACTTCTTTAATCAGGCGCCGATTAATCGACCGAGAACAACGTTGGCTAAAATATATATATATGTATATATATATATATGAATTACAACGAGTGTAATGAATAAAGATCGATGTTAATCCTTGGCCTGCAGATGTGGGTCTCCCAGACCCGTTTAAAAATTGCGCGTTGGTGTTTCTAGTAGATTTTTTTTTTTTTTTAAGATTATTTTTTAGTTTTCTTTGAAACTACTGGAGATTTTTTTAATTTGTTTTTTTTTTCATCGACGCAGAGTCGTTCAAACTTTCGATTCAAAAAAATAAATAAATAAATTGAAAAAAAAAAAATATTGATTTTTCGCGGAGATGTTCGATGATTTTAAAGTCGCGCGGATCTCACAGACCCAATCTGTCTAATTCGTTAGATCATTGACGGAGGTCTGCGCGGGGCAAAGGATTAACAACAAAGTCTCGGTGAATAACAAACCAAACAAAAATAAAAAAAACGCTCGTAAAAGAAGGTGATCGATAATATCGATCTCTCTCGAAAAATATATTTAAGCCAGAGGAGAAAGCGATAACGCGTCGTGTGTGATCATAATGTGTCTCTTACGCGGACGACACCGATACGGTTTTATCGTTTTGCCCCAATTTAACTGATTATCTGTCTCATCGATAATGTAACCGCAAGTCGCGCTCGCTTGGAAAGAAAAAAAAAAAAAACAAACACACCGCGACGATAATCAGTAGTCCGCAAATGACGTGCGTATGTACCTACTCTCGGTTCTTTATCATTTTTATTGTACGTACGTCGTGCGCGTTGCGCAAAGCGTCCGGACGCGAAGCGGCGGGACAAACATCACGGGCGGAATCATCACTTTTGCTGATTCTGTGATTCAGCGATAAGTGCAACGCGATCAAATGATGTTTTTAACAATAACAGTTGACTTCGAAGCGACGTTTTTTTCGACCAAAATCCTTTGCTCTTCTTTTGTGACAGCGTGCGGCTTGAGAAAAAATTGTTTTCTTTTTGTTTTTTTTTTTTTTACGCAAAAAGCAGCTCGAGAAACTCGCTCGTTCGTCGCGAAACAAAATGAACTTGTTCATTTTTTTTTCTTTTTTTTTTACAACGTTTCGCTCTCGAACGAATTATTAACACATTCGTTTCGAAGTTGGTCTGCGAAGGGAATTGCTCAAGAGGAAAATAACCGTGACCCGTTTCGCATTTGCGATTAGATGACACAGTTCATTGTAACTGCGTGTGAAGCGCAAACGGTGAAAATTGTAAGCGAATTCAGAAGCGTAACTTTTTTTTTTTGCTTTCCGTGTTTCTCTCCCTCTCTCTCTTATATCAACCATCGTCGGAAGAACGTCGTGTAATTTAGCAAAAGCTCTTAATTGCGATAAAAAGGACAAACAAAACTCCCTATCTTCAAAAACTAATAATATATGAATATAGGGACATGAATATAGCCGTTCGCAGGATGTTGTGCGTGTGAATGTGCTTTTTTTAAATATATATATATATATATATATATATATATGATAAAATAAAGTATTTTTATATTTTATTTTTTTAATTAAATATATATATATATATGTATGCACATATATATATATTCGAAATAATTTTTTTCCTCCATATAGGATGCTGGATTTGCATCACATATATATACGAAGGACCTCGTATACCCCCCTCCCCCCTAACTAATTTTAAAATATTGCGAAAAAAACTCCTCAGCCAAGAGTCGAGAACTTCAGTTTTCCCTTTCTTCAGTTTTCTCAATCAAGTTTCTCAACTTGGCGCATGCGTGCCGATACTCTTTTGAGAGAAGAAATCGGCACGTATAATTTCCGTCGTAGGGTGTGATAATTTTCCCGAGAGATTTTCGTTTGTTTTTCTGTTTCCGGATGATAAATAAAAACGGAATTCATTAGAGAGAGGAATCCGACGACTGAGAAGAAAAACGCTTGTCTCTCTCGTAGATTGATATCGTGATTGTCCGCGACGGTGACGAGTCCGTTAAGTGTTGCAATCGAAGCGAAGAAGAAGAAGAAGAAGAACGACGACTCTCTCGTAAAAGCTTCCCCATACACGCGCGCGCGCGCGCGCGTGACTCATGTGAGAGATGAGTTTTAAATGCTTTTCTCTGGCGCCGTGTTTTATGCGCGAACGAGCTCGTTTAACTTACACGTTACCCCTCCTTCCCCCCCGCGCGTCCGCGCTATTTCTGTGTTGCGCACAGCGCAACGAGAGTCTCGTCCAAGTTCCAGCTTTGCGCTGCGGCATCGTCAATTCGCGAGATTAGGAAATTCGCGCCTTTGTTCGAGACGAAACGCGAAGGTCGTCTCGAATCTCGCGAAGAACAACTCGGAGAACGCGCGCGGGCGCGACGATAACAATCGTCGCGCGAAGAAGTTCACAAGTTCGGTTTGTGATATCGCGCGATTGCGCAAGATTCGAGATATATCAGAATAAAGAGAACAAAGAGAGAAGCAAGATTATGCGCGACGTACCAGAGCGATGAGCCAAACGTCGCTCATCGAGAGAGATCGCCCTCGACGAGGGAGACGCGATAACGTTATCGAGAAGCGCCAGTCTCTCAAGAGGCGCTCTATCTCGAGAGTTGGATTTTTTTTTTTTTTTTTGTTTATTTCGCGTCAGTTATATCGATCTCTCTCAAAGATCCGTTCGATCTCGTTCGATCTCCGCGGTTTCCGATCGCGAGAATTTTTCACCGAGGGTGCGCGTGAATGAAAACGCGACGCGCGAGTCTCGGAAAAAAATTGAAGTTTCACGGTGTGCGTATCGCGCTTTTTACGGATAATTTGCAATTTACGATCCTCTAAAATTACCGGGGGGGGGGGAATAAACAAGTAGTACGCACGCCTCGTCGGCCGATTGATCGATGGAATATCGAATGTCGCGCGTTAAGTACCCGCGGGTCTCGTTGAATAAATAATATATATATATATATATACCTACCAGTCTCTCTCTCTCTCTCTCTCTCCGCAGACACTGATTCGCCAAGACACACATCGTCCCTTATTCACGTACCCGTAATCACGCCGTAATCTCTGATTACATGTAAAACAGAGCGCGCGCGCATAAAAAAAAAAAATTTCTGCCTCTCTCACTCGCTCGGTCGGCGTTTAAACTTACCCGCGCCCTGATCAGTCGGGTATCGATGTCGCGCCCATTGCGTGGGTGGCATTCGCGTGTTGGCTACCGCTCTTGAATTCGTTTAAATATGTAATGAATATGTTTAAACGAGCGCCGCGTAGGCGTTGGTAATTCGAAACGTTTCATTTTTTATTCGAAATATCTTTTTGAAGATACATTTAACTCGTACGTTTCATACTGTTGCGCACACAGTTTTTTTTTTTTTTTTTGTTTTAATTTTTATCTCAGTAACCGCGTGCCGCGTGTATATTCATTTTGCCAAACAAAAATGCGATAAAATCGCGGAGCGATTCGACGAAATCGGCGATTTATTATACGCTCGGTCCGAGAACGGGTCTCCGGAGACGAGACGAGACTATCTTCTCGGAACCGTAACTCGTACGTCATTCAACACACCGCCGCTATTAACGTCACTAATTCTTAATTAACCGGCCGCGATCGCCGTTATTAATGAGACCGCGTTCAAATCGCCCTGTCGCGCCGCATTAAAGTGAATATAAGCCGTCGATTTATATACAATAACGATCGACATTAACGCGCGCGTTCTCTGAAAGAAATCGAAGTGACCGCTCGCTAATTAACGATAACGGTACCGCGGCGTCTAGGGAGACGCGCACGAGAGACGAAAGTAGACAGAAATTGTTTTTTTTTTTTTTAAAAAAAAAAAAAGACCGTTTTCCGAAAGTAACAAAAAATTCATTCGGTAAAATTTGTCTCTTATATCGGTCGTCTCTTCGATGTTTTCTTTCGCAATGTCGTTCAGCGCGACTTGTTAGTTTTACGCGCGAGATTTGAGCGATATGACAGCATCGATTAATTTGGAATTTATTACTACTGTAGTAGTCCGCTGTCTCTCTCTTCTCGCGGACGAGAAAAATACATACATATGCGAGGGGCTTCTTTTTCTCGTTTCTTCTGTGCGCGCTCAAGCCGGCGATTTGCCGGCGCGATAAGAAGGTTAAAATACCACGGGGTCGAGCGCGAGAACTCGAGTAATTTAGAAAGGAAGTAATGTGTGCAACATGGGTCGGATAAAATTGTTAATTAAGAGAGGCTTTGCGCGCCCGATAGCCAGAGAGAAATATATCTTTGTGTCCCGTCGTGGCGCGCCGACGTAATAATATAATAATTACCGGCGCGGTTACGCAACGCGCGTAACTACTTTATGTTACTCGCAAGCTTTAGATAAATTTCTGAATCTCATAAATCCCGCGCAAGTACAGCGCAAAAAACCGCAATCGACGTGTTCGCTGCGTTTTTTTTTTTTTTTTTTTTCAATAACGTCACGCTTATTTTTACGTTGCGCTTGAAGAAAAAATTATTCTACATACTTTCCGCCGTCAGCGGAATATTACGGCGCAAAGAATCCTGCAATACAAACACATCGCGGTCATCGAAAAGAATAAGAATTTTTTTATAATATTTAAAGCGCGACGTTTCGCGCACGCGCATTTTTTTTTTTTTTTGCCACTTACTTGTCGAGATTGTGCACAAATGAATTTTTTTTTTTCAGAGATCTCCGATTTAATCATATCACGGAGGTGACGCCGGGAACGTTCCGCGGACTCGATCAGCTGCACACCGTGTTGCTGAACGACAATCGCATTCGTCATCTGCCGGCGGGCGCGTTCGCGGGCGCGCCGAATCTACGGATACTCTACTTGTACAAAAATCACATCGAGCACATCGCGCCGGGAGCGTTCGCTCAGCTGTTCAAACTCAAGCAGCTCTATCTTCATCACAATCGTCTGCGAAAGATTCAGCCGGGCACGTTCAACGATCTGCCGTCGCTCGAACGTCTGTTTCTCTACAGCAACAAGCTGCACAGCTTACCGGCCGACGCGTTTCTCAACGTCGGCCCGATGACGCGGCTGCGTCTCGACAGCAACGCGCTCGTCTGCGACTGCAACCTGGTCTGGCTGGTGGAACGTTTTCGCGACAGACCGACCGAGATGGCGGCCGTCTGCCAGTCCCCGCACGCGATGAGCGGCCGTTCTTTGATCACGATGTCGCCCGAGGACTTTCATTGCAGTTGAGTATAAAGAGAGAGTTCCCGGCACGATCGTTGTTGCAAGACGTTCCATCGCGCGCGATCGTCCGAAATGCGAAATTGGCTTTTTATTTTTTTTTTAATTTGCGTGTCGAGATTCTTTTTTATTTTTCAGTTTTATTAAAAAAAAAAAAAAAAAAAACAATGTTTTACTTTTAACGAAAATGTTCCAGACTTTTATCGCGCGTGCTTGAGTATAAAAAACTTTCTCTTGTGAATCGATATTGCCTTCTCGCTTTTTTGTCTGTACAAGATGTCGATCGTCTTGCGACTTCGATGTAATTGCCGGGTACAAAGAAGATACTTAAACATTGCAGCACGTTGCAGCGGTTGTTGACACCGTCGCGATGTGTCTTGCGTGACGACGCCTGGAATGAATTCGCGCGTGTGTGTGTGTTTATCGCGTGATCCTTCACCGGAAGGTTAAATCGGGAACCTACCATTCAATTTGGTTGTCGCCGACTAATTTCAAAGGCTACAGGCCTTTTCTCGTTATCAAACGAACGGTAGCGCGACGCTCCTGCAATTTCGAAAAAAAAAATTTATATTATTATCCATTTCGCAAAGGATGTCAAGGTTACTGTCTCGAAGTACGTTTCATAAAGAAGGAAAGCGCGATCGGAACAAGAGAAAAAATACACAACATATATTTCTTTCAAACTTTCCAAAGTAAAATTCAAAATTTGTTCAAAATTTAATGACATTAATTCTCGTCGATTCTTCAATCGCGTAACAAAAAAGATTTTCTTCCCCGCAGCGAAACCGCGCATAATAGAAGGACCGGAAGACACCGTGGTCCGATTCGGAGACACGATGACGATGACGTGCCGAGTGACGGGCGATCCGAAACCGAAGATCGAGTGGATGAGAAACCAATGGTCGGACGATGACAGCGGCGCGATGACGATGATTCGCGAGGACGGCGAGAAATATGTGATCCACGAAGACGGGACTTTGGAAATCATCAACACCACCGACGAGGATCACGGTATGTACGAGTGCGTGGCCATCAGCGACATGGGCTCGACCAAATCCCGACAGGCCAGAGCGGTGATCGTAGCGGGAACCCTGGAACTCGTCGAGGGACCGAAGTCGCAGAACGCGACCGAGGGCGACGACGTGACCTTTCACTGTCGGGGATTCGGCAAACCCATGCCCAAGATCACGTGGAGCCGTGACGGCCGACCGATCTTTACCGGTGACAGAATTCTGCTTGGACGCGACAACACCTCGCTTCGCATTCACGCGGTCAAAAAGACCGATCAGGGCAAGTACAAGTGTCATCTCCGTAGTATCGATCACGTGACCGATGGCGTGGCCGATTTAATTGTTCGCGACTCGACCGCGCCCCGATTTCTCGTCACGCCGCAAGACATGGAGGCGGAACCGGACGCGACAATCGAGGTGTCTTGCCGGGCACAGGGCGCGCCGAAGCCGGTGATACACTGGAGAAAGGACGGCACCACGATCGAGGGCGGCAGGTTCAAGGTCACGCGCGGCGGAAGTCTCCTCATTTTCAACGTTACGCCGCAGGACACGGGCAGGTAAGGCTACGATCGCGTGATCGTCGATCGTTTTTGAATAATCACCCGGGGGGAATTTTGATGAGAAAATTTTACCGAGAAGAACAAATTTAAGAGCCGAGAATAGAAAAAGCTTCCGCCCCCCCAAAAAAAAGAAGAGGAAATGCAGTCAATTTTTTACGACACGCTTTATTTTGCAGATACGAGTGTTCGGCTGTGAATGACAACGGTCGCGCGATCGCGCACGCGCTTGTGCGCGTGCGACAGCTCAGCGCTACGGACACGCTCGTGATACGAGCCTTTCACGACGCAACCGAGGAGATCGATCGCGCCATCAACAAGACTCTGTCGTCTCTATTCGGCACCGACGGCAATCCCAGACACGTGAATCCGTACCGATTCACGCGGTTTCCAAACGCGATCGGTCGAGCGGCCGCCAGACCCGCCGAGCTATTCGAACGAACTCTCGTCAACATTCGTCGTATGGTGAACGCCGGGGCCAAGGCGAACGTAACCGGCGAATTCCGTTACGAGGAGATCTTGACGCACGAACAGGTAAACAAAAAAAAATAAAACGTATAAATGTTTTGATTTTATGCATAAAAAAAATTGAAAAACGACACAACTTGCGCGTTCGCAGGTGAAAGAAATCGAGCGTCTATCCGGATGTACCGGTCACAGGCATCGACAGAACTGCACCAACAGGTGCTATCACAACAAATATCGAACTGTCGACGGCAGATGCAACAATCTGCGCAATCCCACGTGGGGCTCGTCTTACACGGGATTTCGCAGAATATTGCAGCCTATTTACGAGAACGGTTTCTCAATGCCGGTTGGCTGGGAAAAAGATCGACTCTATTACGGTTATCCGAAACCGGCCGCGCGTCTCGTGTCGACCGCTCTGATATCCACACACGACATCACGTCCGACGACGAGATCACCCACATGGTGATGCAGTGGGGCCAGTTTCTCGATCACGATCTCGACCACGCGTTGCCGTCGGTCTCGAGCGAGTCGTGGGACGGTATCGATTGCAAGAAGTCGTGCGACAACGCGGCTCCCTGTTTCCCGATGGAAGTGCCGCCGGGAGATCCGCGTGTCACCAATCGACGTTGCATCGACTTCGTTAGAACCAGCGCCGTGTGCGGTTCCGGTGCGACCAGCGTATTATGGGGCGACCTAACTCCCCGGGAGCAGTTGAACCAGTTGACCAGCTACCTGGACGCGTCGCAGGTTTACGGTTACGACGACGACCTGGCGCGCAATCTGCGCGACTTCGCGACCGATCGCGGCCTGCTTCGAGAGGGTTCCGCGATTCCCGGTCACAAGCCGTTGCTGCCTTACATGTCCGGTCAGTTTGTCGACTGTCGCAGAGACCCGCTCGAGAGTTCGATCAATTGCTTCGTAGCCGGAGATATTCGCGCGAACGAGCAAGTCGGTCTGTTGGCGATGCACACGTTGTGGTTGCGCGAGCACAACCGCATCGCTCGCGCGCTTCGCGAGATGAATCCACATTGGAAGGGCGAGAAACTGTATCAGGAGGCGAGGCGCGTAGTCGGCGCCGAAATGCAACATATCACGTATCAGCACTGGCTGCCGCGGATATTCGGACCGTCGATCGTGTCTCTGCCGCGCTACCGCGGCTACGATCCCAACCTTGAGGCCAGTGTATCAAACGTCTTCGCCACCGCGGCCTTGCGTTTCGGCCACTCCCTCATCCAGCCGCGTCTTCAACGTCTGGACGCTTTGTTCCAATCGATTCCTCAGGGTCCTCTCGATCTGCGCGACGCCTTCTTTTCGCCTTGGCGACTGGTCGAGGAAGGCGGCACCGATCCGTTGCTACGCGGTATGTTCGCCACCCCGGCGAAGCTCAAGCTGCCCGAACAAAATCTCAACATTGAGCTTACCGAGCATCTGTTTCGCACCGCGCACGCGGTCGCGTTGGATCTGGCGGCGATGAACATCCAACGCGGACGGGATCACGGTCTTCCCGGTTACTTGGAGTGGCGCGATTATTGCAACATGTCGCGCGCAGAAACGTTCGAGCAGCTACACGCCGAAATCAGAAGCGGCCACGTGCGACAGAAGTTACGCGAACTTTACGGTCATCCGGGTAACATAGACGTTTGGGTCGGCGGTATCCTCGAGGATCAATTGCCGGGGGCGAAGGTCGGCCCGCTGTTCGCGTGTCTCTTGATGGAGCAATTCAAACGTACTCGGGACGGCGATCGGTTCTGGTACGAGAATCCCGGGGTGTTTCGCGACGAGCAGCTCGCGCAAATCAGACAGACGTCGCTCGCAAGAATCCTGTGCGACAACGGTGACAATATAACTCGCGTGCAACCGAACGTGTTCTTGTTGCCCACGGGCAACAACAGCTACGTCAGCTGCGACGATATTTCTTACGTTGATCTGAACGCTTGGTCCGACTGTTGCGACAACTGCGAGGACAGCGACAACAACGTCGCTCGCGTGCGCAGAGAGGCCGAGAAGTACTTCGCGCCCGATCACAAGAACCATGTGGAATCGTCGAGCCGCGACAAGAAGATGGAATACTTGGAGGAGATGATCGAGAAGAGCGATCGAGAGGCCGGGGAACTGCGAAAACGGGCCGACGATTTATCGCGCACAGTTAAAGAACTGAGGTCGTTACTGGACGAAGCTAAAACATGGCAATAATAAACGACTAAACTGATCGTTCTTTTATTATATGTAAATATTATTACCACACACACCATGAGTACCAATAAATACGGTAAATCGACTAGCGGTAGCTTTATTCGGTCTTCGGTGGCTTGACAAACACCGTGTGTTGTCCACGGGCGATAATGTCCTTGCCGTTGTTCTTCGTGAGCTCGACGGCGACAAAATTCATAGTTTTCCCGTGCTGTATAGTTCTAGCATCGACCGTCACCGTTTCGCCAGGAATTGCAGAATTCAAAAACCTGTGCCATTTAATCCTCCCGTTGTACATTAAATACATACATATATATGTATAAGCATTTGTATTTTTTACTAATTAAAAATAATCACGTTTTTCAACTGCCGCTACTTTAATGTCTTGCTAGAAGCGATACATGTATTGTCGTAATATGAAAATAGCATATTTAATTGATCTATTTGAAAGATACTTACATTATGTGTAAGTCCACGGAAAGTCCAGGTTGAATATTACCAGATTTAGCGGTCATCAAAGCGTATACAGATAATGTATCTATGACAGTACTGGTAAAACCGCCGTTTAAACCGCCATATATATTTGTATGCTCTTTCAACACGGTAAATTGCGCTTTGCATTTGCCATCACCAATTGACAGTATTTCTACCTGTTCAGACGAATAGTTGTCAAAATATGTATATTCTATAAAATAAATTTATATATACAACAAATAAATCGGAGAAAAACATATACACATGTGTATTACATTACGCACAATAAAATGTATAAAACATTTATGTATTAAATAAATTTATGTGTATTTCTGTACATAAAATCAAAAACGCCAAAAAACGCTTCGTTCTTCTTTAAATGTCTTTTCACAAGTAGTATTAATTTAAATTACAAACCGACGTCTTAAATTGTCTGTGAATCGCTAAAAAATGATTAACTGTTTATTTCATGTTTCTTGTTTATTGAAATAAATAATCATCAAAATTAAGCTAATAGAACGAAAGAGTAATATTTTTATATAAAATTTTCAACACATTAAGAAATTTAATATAAACTTTATTCATTTCACACAGTTTTAGGCCAAAAAGGGGATTTGGTTTATAATCATCTAAGATCTCTCATTTACCCATTTCACACACCCCTATTCTTACCTTGAATTAAACTAAACTTATCTGTATTCAATAATACTTTAAAATTGCACTTATTTGTTTGATATTAAATACATAAAAACTTTGTACATACATATTTCCACCTTTACATTTTTACATCTTTGCATTTGTACATTTTGCATCTTTCTATTTACATGTTACATTTTTTATTTTACTATATATGTACATTAATTACACGTTCTTCTCCTATTTGTACATTATACCTGTATTCATTTTTTTACTAATTTACACTATTTTTACCTTATGATATTTCCACATTCTAGATACTATTTGTACCATTTTATTTTTCGCCTTTAATCTTTTTTCTTTTTCTTTTCATAATCTAATTAATACCTTTTCTCTTTTCTAATTTATCATTCCATATTCTTTCTATTCTTTTTTCGTATCCTTACCTAGCCCTATGAACCATTTTTCCACTATTTTACAGTCATTTACGTAGTGTTTAAGTTCATCCTGTCTTGTTTATTTAAAAATATAATATATCATCAAATAACAATTCACAAACATTTATATAATGTTGCATCAAAACTGTTTCGAAATTCATATAAACTCAATGTCTCAACGGAGATATAGTAAGAGATCAAAATAAAAAGTACATTCTCAAAGTAAAAAATTCACTTTTTTTGAATGCAGTATTAGGTTTGTTTTATTTCCTTGGCTGCAGTAATTCACAGTCTATCTTTTTTATATTAGAAGAACAAATAATAAACTTTTGTGTGTGTGTGTGTGAACTAGTATAGCCATTTCAGGATAAAACAAACCTATTATTTACGTGCTTATCAATCTTACGAGCAATTTTTTCGAGCAAGGTGAGAGATCACTTATTACGTATAAGTTAGAAGTGTTAAAATAATCGAAAGATCATCGTGCACACACAATCGAACGTATTGGAAATTTCTATTAAATTTAAGTGAAATTTGTGCAGACCTACATTTTTCAAGCATTGAGCGAAGTTGTTTGTGTTTTGAGCCATTTTCCACATGGATTTTAAATATTCTAGTCTCTGCGCCATAATGGGAATCAAGTTTAAATTTCGCGTCGTGAAATGCCGTACGATTATGAAATCACTATTGAAAAAATTTCTTCCTTGAAAGACAGTTAACATTTGTACGTCATGGTATTAGTGAAACTGTTCGTTTTCTTCAGGAATTTCTATTTTATTTACTTGTAAACATTTAAATGCGATAAGATATCGGTCAAATCTTCATATGCGATAAGATATCGATGAAACGTTGCGGTTTTTTGTTTTGGTCATTTTTAACATAGTTTCTTTGGTCATTTTTAACATAGTTTCTTTGGTCATTTTTAACACAGTTTCTTGGAAAAATTATGTATAATTATATATAGTTCCACACGTCACAAGAACTCTATTACACGTCCATTAGACGTTATTAGCTCTCTGAGCGATATCATAATAGATGTTTAAATTTACGATTCTAACGTAACATAATGTCATTTCTCAACTTGAAGATAGTGCTTCTGGAAGTTACATTGGATATAGAAATATAGCAACAAACTCACAGAATTATATTTCAGGATTTCTTAGCTGACCATTCCATAACTTTAATGATTGCCTGTGGCATTCCTGCTGGTGACTAAATTGCAAGAAAATTCTTTTCTTATAAAAAATCTTTGCAATATTTCATTGTTTGAGAGCGACCCGTAAAAATCCGAACACATTATTGCTCGCATTTGAACATGGAACCTTTTACTCCCTAATCCCGCACAGACCAACTGAGGTACAGGTCGCTCTCGTAACGTCCAAACTAAGTTTAACTATAGTAAGAACTAAACAAGTCGTTAGAAACATTAAACGACATTTAATTTTGGACAGTCCAAAATTATAATTAATTTTTGCTGTCGGATTAAACGACATTTAATTTTGGACAGTCCAAAAATTATAATTAATTTTTGCTGTCGGATTAAACGACANTGCTGTCGGATTAAACGACATTTAATTTTGGACAGTCCAAAAATTATAATTAATTTTTGCTGTCGGATTAAACGACATTTAATTTTGGACAGTCCGAAATTATAATTAATTTTTGCTGTTGGATTAAACGACATTTAATTTTGGACAGTCCAAATATTATAATTAATTTTTGCTGTCGGATTAAACGACATTTAATTTTGGACAGTCCGAAATTGTAATTAATTTCCGCTGTCGGATTAAACGACATTTATAGATTTAGACAGGCCGTTATTATAAAACTTTTTTTTTCGCAGGCAGTCATTATACGCCACTGCAGATAAAATACAAACTTTCCACACAATTGTTGTTCGGCTGATAACTAGAAACTATTATACAGATAACTTTTATTACACAGTTCAAATAATTTACATTATTTATAAAACTGCAAAGTGTAACGAAACTAGCGGCAGTACGGGTTCGTCTCTCGATTTGCAAATATTTTCTTTTAACTTTTAAATACTTAAAAATTATTCAGAGAAGGATTTGTATATTGTGAACAGAAAATCATAAAATGAGTGTTGCCAGTGTTTATAATTATTTTATGATTGCTCTAGCAAGTAAATATTTCTTATTAACTGCGTTAATGTGTTTTTTGTATATGCATAGTGCTCTCACACTTTCTAATGTATGTACATATAAATGCTGGTGCCTGTATTTTTATATCAGTACGTACTGATAATAACAATAACTAAAACATAAGTAAAGATAACTAAAAACATACATTTTTATGACTACAGTAATGGTCTGTTTAACTATATGTCTGTTGAACTACATTATGTACTAAAGATATCGTAAAAAAACTATAAAGAGAATAATATTATTATAAAATATTATTTGATATAACTATATTTGTATATTCACAATTGATATCACTTTTTCTGTAAAACAAATTTTTTAAGGAAATAATTGTAGTTTACAATATAGAGAAAAAGAATTTTTTAATTAAGAAAAAAGAAACGGCTTGAACATAAATCTTAAAATTTAATTGACGACCTTGAAACCTGTAGTCTACTGGTGGTGGTTTAAAAAATTCGTAAATCAAATTATTATTTGGAACGTTTTGATTGTTTTTATTACGATCATCATCAATCAAAGCTGTAAACTACATAATATAATACAAGTAAATACATCAAAATATGGATTAACAATGTAAAAATTAAGAAACAGAAAATTTAGAAACAGTGCTGTGGAAATTGCAAAATAGGAAAACGCGAATATGTTACAATAAATATAAAAACATGTTACGTACCATAAAAATTCAAAAGAAGTGATTACATGTCAACAGTCGTTTCGAGAAGAGTCACAAAACAAGACGCAGAAAACAATCGAACGTTTGTGTCCTTCATTATGGTTTCTGAATAATGAAACGGTCAAAGTTCTTAAGAAATGAAAGTCAGAATAATTAACATTAAGTCGAAGTATTTAAAATTAATTTAACGGTATTAAAACAAAAAAATGTCAATAAGTAAAACTGAGATCGTAAATTAAAATTAAAAAGAAGAAAAATTGTTAACATTAATAAACAATAAATTAACAATATGGAAATTATTAGAACACTCACGTTCAATCGCTAAAACAAAACCTTCACGACTCATCCCCGGTAAAAAATTTTTCATGCATAAAATTGTATGGACATATTCGGTATATAAATTTGCATAATTAGATATAATAATTTTAATTTGTGTATAAGTATATATGATTATATATCAAAACTTTTTTAAAAATATAGTAAACATATAGTTTTATATAATTTTTTGTATCTAACATGATACTAATAGAGTTATTTTGTAATTTGATATGAGATATCTCTGAAGCCATTCTCTTAAAAAAGAAATTCTCCGTGTATAAAATTGTATGGACATATTCGGCATATAAATTTGCATAATTAGATATAATTATTTTAATTTGTGTATAAGTATATATAAAAACTTTTTTACCGGGGAGAATCTAAAATTCTTTCTCTATCCAATTTGGCTGATGATGATCGCAATAAAAACGATCGAAACGTTCCAAACAATAATTTGATTTACGAATTTTTTAAATCACCACCACCACCATCAGTGAATTACAGGCTTCAAAATCGTCAATTTACTTTAAAAAATTTTTTGTAGCACTAAATCAAGTTTTAAATTATTATTTAAATACAATACGTGTTGTGCGTGTACTTAGCGTCTGTTATTTTTCTAAAAAAAAATAAGTTTTTCGAGATATCACACATTTTGTATTTTGTAATTTTATTGAAAACTTTTTTTCTCGCACAGGAATTCATTATACACCACTGCAGATAAAACAATCCAAATTTTTTTCCACACAGTAATTGTTATTTGGCTGGTAACCGGAAACTATTATACAGATCACTTATATTACAAAGTTCAAATAATTTACATTACTTATAAAACTGCAAAGTGTAACAAAACTAGCGGCAGTACGGTCCGTCTCTCGAGATTCGCAAATATTCTCTTTCAACTTTTAGATACTTTGTAATTGCTCAGAAAAGGAGATTTGTATATTGTGAACGGAAAATCACAGAATGAGTGTTGCCAGTGTTTATAATTATTTTATGATTGACTTAGCAGGTAAATATTTCTCATTAATTAACGTGAATGTGTGTTTTTTTTTTATATACATAGTGCTCTCAAAATTTCTAATGTACATATAATTGCTGATGCTCGTACTTTTGACACGTACTATATAAAAAACATAACTCTCTGAGTTCTATATTCTCAGAAGGTTTTAGTTATTGCGTATTGTGTTATAAGAAGATTATTAAAAATAGTGAGTGCTCGGTGTTTTGATTAAAAAATAATGTATGTAAGTACATAATTTTTTATTCGCTCAAATCAATCGGTGTAAAGTGACTATTCGCTACAAAAAACAATGAACACTAAGTTTGAAATAATTTTTGACGGTATTTAACTATCGTTGGTGTTATAAAAACCGCGTCTTGACGCAATGTTTTTCTTCCAAACCTTTTTGTGCTACGCACATTTTTATTAAGAAAGAATCGTGTTTGTAAATTACTACAAAATATGTGATATCTTAAAAAACTTACCTTTTCAAAAAAAGATACAAACAGGCGCCAAGTATGCACACACAACACGCGTTGTATTTAAATTAAAAATCGTAATTCAAACTGTTTTTTATGTTTATACAATTGAGACTAAAATGAAATTGATTAGTTTCGACGTACTTGAAATATTGCTCGATAAAAAATCTCAAATATCTGAATTTCGCGTAATCAGAGGCACGGTGTGCTCTCACGTTTGAGCGCGACTTTGTTGCGCGTGAACTTGGCGCGAAGCAAGTGCCGTGTCTCTCTTGATATTTATTAATTCACTATTTGTTTATTATACAATTTAATGTATACAGGGTGTCTCATGAAGACCGTATCACCGCTCGTAGGCGGGTAGAAAGAATTATTCTGAGTCAAAAAGTCACAAATCATTTTTTCCTATTACATATAACAAAGGAGTATATTAGTGAATAAATCAAACTAATCGGCGCCGACCTTTACTGACGTGCGTTCGGCTAAAGGTCGGCGCTGATAAGCTTAATTTTTATTCAATAATTATTTTATAATTATTCCTTTGTTATATAAAATAGAAAAACATGATTCAGGACTTTTCGACTCAGAATAACTACTTTTACCTGCCTACGAGCGGTGATACGGTCTTCATGGGACATCCTGTATATCAAAATGTTTAATATTTACGAGTTAAATACTCATTGAAATTTTCGTACTATAAATTACGGTTTGTACGAGCCTACATGCCGGGTGTTCGTGTAATTATAAATATATTTTAAAAAGATCTACTGCCCGAGAAAAAATGGATTAGATCTAACTTAAATTTAACGAGATAAAAAAAATGGAAAAATAGATCTAATTAGATCCAAATTAAATCTAAATAGATGTAAAGTAGATCTAAATAAATATAAAGTAGATCTAAATAAATATAAGTAAATCTATGAAAATTTACACTTTTATTTATTATTAGATCTACTCTAAATTGAATATTTCACATATTCGTGATGCAAACCTGCATATTATTTACATTCTCGAATTAAATACTTTACTTGGAATGTTGATGTGTATTAAATTATACACATTTTGAGAAGTTAAAACATATTTATAATTGCACAAACACCCAATATGTAAGCTCGTAAAAAGCGTAATTCTTAATGTGTTTAATAAGTGTTGCATTTTGAAAAATTTTGTTTTAAATAATGTACTGCAATTTTATTTGTAGATCCGATCACACGGAAATGGGCGTTAGTAGAAACGCCTTTCACATTAATAATTATAACTTCTGCTTATTTGTATTTTATACTTTACGCCGGACCGGGTTACATGAAGAATCGACGACCATTTGACTTAAGAACTTTTATATTATTTTATAACGTATTTCAAATTCTTGCTAATGCGTGGCTGGTACACAGTCACATATCTGTCGGCTGGTTTACTGAATATAGCATAAACTATAAAAATAATAATAGCGATCCGACGAGTGAAAATGGTTTTAAGGTATGTTTTTACGTTAAGTATTGATGAAATTATATTGCTGAATTAAAAAAAAACGCAACACATATTTCTCTGTAAAAAAACGAATGCAATTAATACATTTTCTTTTCACTTTAAACATGTAATAATTAATATTTTTCAAATACAAATTTGTGCATTTCAGTTAATAACTATTATATGGTGGGTACTAATATTAAAACTAATTGATTATATCGACACGTGTATATTTGTTTTACGGAAAAAACAAAACCAAGTTACTACTTTGCATGTGTATCATCATGTGAGTAATGTCATTTTCACGTGGTATTTCCTCAAATACATAGTGGAACCCAGAATGACATTTGTGACTTTACTTAATTCTTTTATACATGTTATCATGTATACATATTACTTCACTGCAGCATGGAGCACAACTATGCAACAAAAAGTATCTGTTTTTAAACCTTTTATTACGAAGATGCAAATGGTAAGTTTTATATTACGCGCATGTATCATATAAAACAAAATTTGTACATTACATTTAACAATTGAACATCATAATATTGTTACTAAGTGTTCACTTAATTAGACGAATTTGTAATTTAATTAATTTTAACGTTCCCCTTTGGTAAATTTACATAACAACAATATATACTTTGAAATTTAAACCTCTAGATAATATAAAGTATTTGTATAATATATCATTATAAGTGCGTGATTATTAATATAGTTTCTATTCATTATAGACGCAGTTTGTTGCGATGATGTGCTATGAAGTACAGGTTTTTCTAGATTCAGAATGCAAAGGACCACAACGAGTAAAACACATTATATTCGTTTCTTTTTTTAACTTGCTACTATTGCACTATCTATACTTATTTTATGACTTTTATAAAAAGTCATATGGCAAAAAACAGAAACAGAAAACTGCACAACAATAAAATAAAATTTATGTATGTAACAAACAGGGTTGAGAAGTAAAACGCGACATTTGTAACGTCGTTACTGTTATAGTAACCAAAAAAAAATTCTTACGTCTTTATAAATGTACGCTGAAACTAGTGGCCGTAAGAGAGTTGTAAGAAAAATACAATATAAAACATGAGATAGCTGTTTCTCTTTATTTTAAATCACATCATTATGACATGTTATATTTGTAACCAGTTTTTTTTTTTTTTTTTACTAACAAGAGATGTTATTTTTAAGAGATCATTAATTATGTATTCTTTATTCTTGTATTTTCACACAATATACACTGAGAGAAAAGTGTTTGGTATTTGTGACTATAATTGCGTGGTAAAATAATTATGGTTGAAATTCCTATTTTTCTCGTTAGTATTGCTATAAAGCGATATAGCATTATCCGGTCTTCGGTGGCTTGACAAACTTCGTGTGTTGTCCACGGGCGACAACGTCCTTGCCGTTGTTCTTCGTGAGCTCGACGGCGAGAAAATTCATAGTTTTCCCGTGCCGTATAGTTCTAGCATCGACCGTCACCGTTTCGCCAGGAATTGCAGAATTCAAAAACCTGTGCCATTAATCCTCCCGTTGTACATTATAAACATACATATATGTATAAGCTTTGTATTTTTTACTTAATTAAAGATAATCACGTTTTTCAACTGCAGCTACTTTAATGTCTTGCTAGAAGCGATGCATGTATTGTCGTAATATGAAAATAGCAAAATCAATTGATCTACTTGAAAGATTCTTACGTTACGTGTAAGTCCACGGAAAGTCCAGGTTGAGCATCAGATCTGGCGGTCATCAAAGCGTACGAAGATATACAATCTATGACAGTACTGGTAAAACCGCCGTGTAAAGAACCAGCTGGATTTGTATGCTCTTTCAACACGGTAAATTGCGCTTTGCATTTGCCATCACCAGCTGACAGTATTTCTACCTGTTCAGACGAATAGTTGTCAAAATATGTATATTCTATAAAATAAATTTATATATACAACAAATAAATCGGAGAAAAACATATACATATGTGTATTACATTACGCACAATAAAATGTATAAAACATTATGTATTAAATAAATGTATGTGTATTTCTGTACATAAAATCAAAAACGCCAAAAAACGCTTCGTTCTTCTTTAAATGTCTTTTCACAAGTAGTATTAATTTAAATTACAAAACGACGTCTTAAATTGTCTGTGAATCGCTAAAAAATGATTAACTGTTTATTTCATGTTTCTTGTTTATTGAAATAAATAATCATCAAAATTAAGCTAATAGAGCGAAAGAGTAATATTTTTATATAAAATTTTCAACACATTAAGAAATTTAATATAAACTTTATTCATTTCAGTTTTAGGCCAAAAAGGGGATTTGGTTTATAATCATCTAATGATCTCTCATTTACCCATTTCACACACCCCTATTCTTACCTTGAATTAAACTAAACTTATCTGTATTCAATAATACTTTAAAATTGCACTTATTTGTTTGATATTAAATACATAAAAACTTTGTACATACATATTTCCACCTTTACATTTTTACATTTGTTACAATTTTGCATTTTACTTATTTGTATATTATAATAGCCGTTGTTCTCTTATTTGTACAATATAGGTATGTTCATTCTTTTACTTATTCACACTATTTTTACCTTATATGATATTTCTATATTCTAGATTCTAGATTCTATTGTATCATTTTATTTTTCGCCTTTTTAATCTTTTTTCTTTTGCTTTTCATAGCCTATCTAATACTATACCTTTTTCCTTTTCTAAATTTATCTCATTCCATATTCTTTTTACTCTTCTTTTCGTATCATTATCTAGCTGTATGAACTAATCTTTCATTATTTCACAGTCACCTACGTAGTGATTAAGTTCATCCTTGTCTTGTTTATTGAGAAATATATATTATCAAGCAAAAGTTCAAAAACACTTATATAACATTGCATCAAAAATGTTCCGAAAAATCCTACAAACAAATAGTAAGAGATCAAAATAAATAGTACATTTTTGTCACAAAGTAGAAAGTTCAAGTTTTTTAAATGCAGTATATCAGGTTTGTTTTGTTTCCCTGGCTGCACTAGTTGACAGTCTATCTTTTTTATTATATTAGAAAAAACATAAACTTTTGTGTATTTGTGTGTGTGTGTGTGTGTAACTAGTATGGCCATTTCAGGGTAATAAAACAAACCTAATAACTTACGTGTGTATCAACCGTACGAGCGATTTTTTCGAGCACTGTAACAAAGCAGTGCAAGGTACAAGTTCACATATCACATATAGGTTAGAAGTGTTAAAATAATCGAAAGATCATCGTGCACACACGCAATCGGACAGATTGGAAATTTCTAGTGAATTTAAGTGAAATTTGTGCAGACTTACATCTTTCATACACTGACCGAAGGTTTTCGATTTTACAACCATTTCCCAAACGGACTTCACAAATTCTACTTTGCGCGACATATCTAATCGGAATCAAATTTCAATTTCGCGTCGATCTTTGGAATGACGTACTGTTATGAAATCACTATCGAATAAATCTATTCCTTGTGAGAGACATCAAACATTTGTACGTCACAGTATTAGTGAAACTGTTTGTTTACTTGGGGAATTTCTAACCTGTTTTCTTGGAAACACTTAAAATGCGATAAGATATCGGTGTGGTGTTTTTTTTTTGCGCATTTCTAACATAGTTTCTTGGAAAAATCATATATAAATGTAGAATTGCGAAAAGTCACTTATAAATGTAGAACTAATATATAAATTATAAATAATTTATATAACAAAAACTTCATTAGACGTTCATTAGACGTTATTAAGCTCTATGCGATAATAGACGTTACGATCATGACGTAACATAATATCATTCCTCAACTTGGAGCTAGTGTTTCTGGAAGTTACATTGGATATAACTAAACACAAGTCGTGAGAAACATTAAATCGTTATTACACAATGAACAATTATCGGCAACCAACTGTTGACACTACGTATTGATTGCACATCTTTTAACAATACGATGTTGCAAAGTATTTTGATAAGAAAAGAATTTTTTTTGCAATTTAATTCACCAACAGGAATGACACTGACAATCATTAAAGTCATCGAATTGTGTCATCTAAGAAATCCTGCACTGATCTTGTGAGTGTGCTGTTTCTATATCTCTAATGTACCTTTCAGAAGCACTATCTCCAAGTTAAAAAGTGACATGTCACGTCGTAACATACACGTGTATACGTGGTTGTGTATCGGTGAAATAGTTCGGTTTTTATGCGATATGAGTATATATATTTTCGCTCCTTTGCAAAAATATTTAGCACAAAACGTCCCACGTAGGTATCTCTCTCTTTACGTAAAAAATAAACTACAATACATTTTTTGGAAGTATAAATTTATTCTTTACGAGAAGAAATATAATTGATAATAACAAAAATAAATACCAAAACTTCATCAAGAATAATTAACAGGCATACCTTGACCATCTAACAGACGATCTTGTACACTCGTGAGACACTTGGGTCCATTTCCTACCTTGGTACATATAATGTACTTAAAATGGCCCAGTGGACGCTTCTGGACATCTAATTTCTCCAGCAAGCTCTACAAAAAAAAACGATAGATATGATGCAAGATTGTTAATAAAATAAGTAATAGTATTTTTGCGACATAGTATTTACACGTACTTGTGAAGGTTTGATTCCTTCAACAGGCAATCCTCTCTTGTATTCGACCGTGACATTTTCAGGAGGGGGGAAGAAATAATCCAGAACGCCTACAAGTGCGGGAACATCCTTCTCTAATAAGTACAACGTGGCGTTAGGTCCGGCGTCGAAAGTATACGCGATCTAGAATCAATTTCTCTTATCAGTAAGAACAAAAATAAATTAGTTTAATAATTCAAAAAGAGTTCGCAGAAGATATTGGCGATTATACGTTTGAACGTATCTCTTCTGTACCTTCGTATCGTTCGTCGCGTCGTTATAAGAATGCACAAGATTTACGACGCTGTAAGAAACATCGTTCATATAAACACACGGAGGATATGTGTCCAGGCAAACAGCGTGCATCTGGTTGGAATCCTTCATGGTGAGTTCGGCGAAGGTCTTGAAATCCTTCTCGATGATCGCCCGTTGCATTCTGTCAGCTCTATCCGGAAATACACTTGTTATCCTGTGACGCAGCAGATCGGACGTTTCCAAACTCCGTTTCATGCCGATTGCGCTTGGAACTTTTTTTCGTTTATCGTCCACCTGTAAACTCTCTCTCTCTGTGTATCCCGTTCGCAGTTTCAATGACGCGGGAGATATACAAAAGAATTATATTTGCTCACAACCAGCACCAAGATCCTCATCTCCGGCCAGTGAGAAGCTGGCGCGATTTGCTTCGCCAGGCTGTCGGTTCCGTGTTCGTCCGTGCCCATGTGCCATCTCACGAAACCACCCATTATACTGCGACACGCCGAGCCAGAACCAAAACGCGCTAGCACACTTATGTCTCCCTACGCGACGTTTTTTTTTTAATGCAACGTTTATAATTTTCCAAGTCTCGAAATTTATATGCGTAAGAGATGAACACAATTTTTGCTTTACCTCTATTTTATAAAGTTTAGCTAATGCCACCGCGAGACACGCGTATCCCGCAGCACTGGAAGCCAAACCTGCGGCGGTTGGAAAATTGTTCTCAGAACAGACGTGAATCTTCCAATTGTTCATGTAATCGGGCAGTTGCGACCGTTTTCTAACTTAAAAAAAAAAAAAATACAAAATACAAAACGCGCTATGTTAATGCAATCGAATCGACATTGTCTGAACGAACAGTTTTCATAAATGCACCTACTTTCTTTCAAGCAGTTTTGAAGTCTTGGATTTTTTATATTCTCCTCTCTAAAAAAAATAAATAAATAAATAAAACAACGTATCGAGTCGTAACAGAAAAAAAAAATACAACAATGAAAATTATTGTTTCGGCGGTACCTTCCGTTCAGCCAAATACAATCCTCTTTGAAGTCGGCGCTGATCATGACGGTGGTTTTTGCATGCATCTTTGAAAAAGGTCAAAGAGATTATATAAGAACGTTAATAAATATTCTTATCGCATTGAGATTACCTCGAGGATAGAATATCTTCAAAAAAAAAAACAACTTCAAAATAAGATATCTCTAAAAAAACAAAACAATTTCGATTTAGAATTTTTAATTACGCTCTTGTTCTTTTACCTGATCCGTATCCAGACTAGCGCTTATAGAATCATTGGTTGGTAAAATTAAGGACTCGTCTCTTTTTCCCCCTAAAATTACACATACAGATTTGTCAAAATGTCAACTTTGTAATCTCAATAAGAAAAGAAAGAACAGAATTCCTTGAATAAAATAACAAAAGGTCGAGCGAGAGAAAAGCAATATTTTTCCATATTATCGTCTCGTATAATCTGTTTCTTTTCAATGTAAAGCTGCTAAAAAACTACATTTAAATTCACCGTGCGCGACCCGAGATGCGCGAGCGTTGCGCGATGTATAATAAAAAAAAAAAAAAAAAAAAAAAAAAAGGAATTCGGTGACGCGCGTAAAGAAGACGCGCGAGAAGAAAGAATTTGCGATGAGAACTCTTACACATGGTATAATATCTTGTATTTATTTATATAATATAAAAGTGATTAAAAAATTCTAAAGCTCTTACAGATAAAAACGTGTGACTTTGCACGTGATAGCGTTACATTTAGTCGCGAAATATTTAAACGTAAGTTTCCATTTATTGTTTCTATATTTTTGGTGGAAAAAGAATAGAAATGAGTGATTTATACGTTTTTGTGTAATTAGTAACAAAGCTGCTTAATTGTACGTACAATATTTAATAACCGCAATATTAACGGGTGCGATACAGGTAACGGTACTCATGGTCGAAGTTCGTTTTCTTACGCGCGTGTGCACTTCGCCTCCTCGTCGCCGTCGTTACTGCGGTATCTCTCGCGCCGCCCGTATAAATTTATTTATTATGTCGCACGCGGAGGGGAGAGAGAATCAACGAACAGTAGTATGTCTACCTCTCTTTATCCAGATGGCGTTAGTTTCGTATCTCGCGCACCTGTGTCCCCAATCACATCAAATATTCTCAAAAATTATATTCCTTAAACGTATGTGAATGTATAAATAAATAAATATGCAATTTTAAAATATATCACGAGATCTATAAATTGTCGCAAAACTTATCATTCGTTCGGAATATCAAACTCTGTATGTTAATTATTATTATTTGATCAATATCTTTGAATAAATTTAAGCGCGATATATAATTTTTTCTCCATCTCTTTCTTTCTCTCTTTCTCTCATCAAAAATGTTTTAAATTTAATAAATCGACTCAGTATAAAGGCACCTTTTAACAATCTTGCATTTATTTTGTTAACTAAATTATAAATTAAAAAAAAAAGACACACAACCTTGAACACACAGTAAGCGTTTCCTCTCAAGCGAGATGAGAAGTCCGAATAAAATATATATATATCGTTTGCACAATCGTAAATAAATTATTACAATGCCCGACAATTATACTACATGCAATACGATAAAAATTAAAATTTAATTCCCCGCAGACTCTAAGCTGGATTAGATGGCAGTCCCATTGACCATGCGTCCAGCAGCTTTTTGTCTTGAGGTCCGGCACCCAGGCTGAGCATGAGTCCGGAGAGATCACCGCGATGGCCTCGTCCTCGCATCGCGTGAACAACCTTCGCAATACTGCCCAACAGCGGTGAACATACGGTGTTTCAACACACGCGCACAAAGCGATTTAAAAAGTACAACAGTACGATATGAAAAATCAACATTTCTATTTCTTTTTAAAAGAAAGAAAAAAGAGATGAGTTCTTACTTAGCCCATTCTTCCTGCAGAGTTGCGAAGTGCGCTTTGAGAACCGAATTTCCGATTTTGTCGTTGTCAAGCGATTTTTCGATTTTCGTCAGTAAGGTCGGAAGTTTCGCCGGTAAGGCGCCGGTCCACTTGACTATGTGGGACTTGGCGTTTTCGATCTTGTGCTCGTTGAGTATTATATCTAACCTGCACACGCTCGCACAGGGCATGGGAACCGCCACCGAGGTGTCCATTCCTAAAATTGTAACAATGATAAAACTAAAAATTTTGTCGCTAAATATTTTTTTCAATAATAAATGAGAAATGTTTGTAAAACACGTAAAGAGAGCGATACCGATAAAGTTAAACGTGTCGGGATCGGTGTATTCCGACGCTTGTGCGTTCACTCTTCGACACGCTCTTGGCACAAGGCTGCTGAGTCCGTACAACGACTCTAATCTCTGAATCTTGGGTCCTCTCACCAGAACTTGAACGCCGATCAGACAGGCGTACAGCAACTGTCTAAATTGATCCTTACCGAGTTCGCGTTTCAGATCTCGCAGAATCACGGATGTGGATTTTTCCGAGATCTCGGAAAACTCCGGCAGAATTTCAGAATTGTCCGAGTGAAAGTTCAAATTTATCGGCAGTTTGGCATTCACCAAAGTGAAGCTTTCGTCAATCTCTGCGAATCATTTGCGAACATTTAATAACTCTCTCACTCACCTTCTCTCTCTCTCTCTCTCTCTTTTTTTTTAAGGTAAAGAATGTTATTATACTCTAATATAAAAAATTTATACACATTATATCACATAGACAAAAGAGAATGGTTTTTACTGCTAACCAATTTGGTGATCGAAATTATAATTAAGTTCGTCATCTAAGTAACTCATTGGGAAAATTTCTATGAAATGCCTCGCACCAGCGCTGAGGATCCATACTAACCACATATGAATTCTGAAACAGACACGCGCGCGTACGCGTTAGTTTAAATATATACATATACACATATGTAGGCAGCCTCGAGCATACCTTACAAAAACGTGCTTCTCATTTGTTATATCAACAAGCGTTCTGGACTGTTTGATCGAGGTGCAACTTGCTCCGCTGTTTGCCGTTGTAAGTCTCATCGTCTTTTGAGGACATTCCGCTTCTTCCGCTTTGTATCTTTTCTCCGCAAAATCTTGCAACTCTTTGATCACCTCCTTCAAATTGTCAATTAAAAACGGCCACATATTCAGCAAGAATTGCTTGTCTCTCATGAAAACAATAAAACTGCACCATCTCCTGAATCCTCTCGCCTGTCGAAAAAGATGAATATATATATGATCATGCAAATATACAAACACGTACAAACATGAAATTTGAATACAAACGAGACGAAGTGACTGAGCTCTAGCGACTTAAATACATGGTGACATGATTTTTAAGATTTGTTGTAATAACTACCAAACATGCTTTTTCGTTGCATAATTCACCTGGGCATCTTTCAACGTAAAAGTATGACTTAAAACATGCCCCCTGTACTCATCTCCAAAATAGCAAACACCTTCTTTACCAGGATGTACTTCGCAGCTCAGACTCCTTGGAAAAAAAGACACAGAGCGTGACAGACAAATGAGTTTGTAAAACAATTGAATGAAAGTTTTTTTATAATTTAAAACTTGCGACTTGCAAATAAAGTAAAATTGTTGTATATACCTGATGCAAGCATGCTTTAACAAACTTCCTATATCCTGTATCAAAGATTGTTGAGCTGACAGGAAGGATGTTCTCGTTTCGTGCTCGTTGCTCAAGTACTTGACACTTCCGATGCTCTGACAACCCTCGCACTCGTCTTGTCCATCCTCCAAGGGAATATTTCCTTGTCTCAACACCTCTTTCGGTCCGTAAAACTTTAGCTTCTCTGTATTTTGTGTGTCGTAGCTACGATACGTTTGCGTGGTAAATATCACCTTAGGTCCGTGCATCTCACAGAAGGTACACAATGCGATTACCGCGTTCATTGCTCTCGCAAGGCTGGTGTGTGCACGAATCTGTCTCAATTTGCTTCAGGACGTACAGATTTGGCGATTTTTCAGACTTCCCCGAACAACTCCATGATACGGATAATCTAAAAATGCACAATTCTTCTCAATAGAAATATATAAATCATTCCTGCACGTTTATAATCAATGCGAATGCAATATTATTATTTACATTTATATTAATGTAATGTACAAGACATATAAAAATTTGTACATGTACTTTTTTTTACATGAGAAAAACGCACACCACTTTGAAAAAAACACTTATCACGTTCCCCCGGTATTAGGTCACATGATACGAATGTGCAAACGTATAATTGAACATTTAATTGCGATCGTAATTCATTAATCCGTGTTTTTAATTACAAAACAATTAATAGAAAAATTAATTGAAAGTGAAATCAATTTTATGCGACCATAACCTTTGCTTGAGGATTATTTTTTTTGCACCATTCCATGGCTTACCTGCTCGCACGTAGATCTCTCTAGTAAAACTTAACGACGAAGTTAATTTTTTTTCATCCTTTTCACGTGATAAAACAAAAATGAAGTCGAGGCAGAGACACGTGACATTATGATAGCTAATCTTGTGTTCTCTCTCTCCTCTCTCGTTCTTTCTCAGGTTTTCTCTCTCATTGAGGCTTACGCAGAAAATATATGTGTATATACACGCGCACACACGCATATACTTAGCCAGCCAGCAGAATAAATTTATACAATTGCGCGTCAGGTTGCCAATATCTAGGTGCTCGACACACATCACATGTGTAATTTTCCCACAATGGTCTATTCTAATGCCCGAACCACAATTCTATATGTAATATAACTCTTACAATAATTTTTCGACTCTTTGGGATAAAAAAAAAAGAAAAAAAAAATCGAAACTAAAAAAACTTATATTTATTTGATTTTATGCGTTGAAATTACAATTGAATTTCAATTTAAAACCTTCGTAGGCAGCTCTCATCCATATACCCACAGCATGTGCTCCAGCAGCCGGATGTTTAAATGCCTGTGTGTGATATAATAATGCGTGAATCAAACAACATACAAAAAAACAAACATCGATCTCGTTTTATATAAAATTTTTAATTCCACTTGTTGAATCATTTTTTTCTTCCACCGATACCTTGTGATTCGAATTCACGGTTTGCATAGCAGAGGTTTCGGCAGCATTGACGGCTTCCGCGAACGCGTCGACAGGATTCGAACCTGAATCCAGTGCGTCTCTCAATTTAATCTCCACCGGCACAAGAGCGTCCAACAAAGTTCGATCGCCGACCGATATTCCGCTCACTTCGGCCACGGTTTCGTTCGCGGATGTTAGAGCGATCAGCCACATGTTGGCGGTCAACCGCTCGTCGTTTTCAAACCTACGAAAGTTCTGAAACGGTCTTCAACGGTCTTTCTCTTCTCATAATGTACAATTTACAGAAAAAAAAAAAAAAGAAGAAGAAGAAGATTGCATCGACGATCTTACTTTGGCAACGATATCAAAAAATAAGGAATATATTCCACCTTCCAGGCCATCCACTTCTTTCTCAACAATTCTGCTCATCTGCGTGAATGTCGCGGAAGGTCTGGTTGTCGAGATTCTACCTTCCTGCGGTAATAATACGCAAATATTAGATTTTTGGTTCTTATCTCATGAAGAAGTTGAAAACTTTTATAAAATTTTTTTTAGTCGTTGTCACAACAACCTTGATTTCAGTTTTTATGGCATTGGCGCCACGCGCCAGCGCGGTTCCGTAGTTTCCCTCGCCGCACTCCTGATCTATGATATCCAATTGTCTGGCGCACGCTATCACAGCTTCGCACGCGAAGGTTATAGCTGTGATAAATGCCGCACCGCTCTGAGGCTGCATCGCGGGTCCCTTACGCTCGACGTCAGATATTTTGCTTATAGTCTGCAATTGATAATTTTGCAACAGTGTTTCACGTATCGAACGAACGATATATAAAAAGTTCACGCGTGTAAAAAATTATATATTGCACATATATAAACTTTTTACAACCAACAATAGTCAATTGTTCAATAATTCGACTCGCCTGAGAATGTTGCGTTTCCGGATGATGTGGCATGATCTCTCGTCGATGACCTCTCGTCATGCGAATCTGAAAACTGTGTCGAAAACTCGAAATTCCGTTTCTGTGTGGGTATCTCTGTACCGGCTTTTAGAATGTCAGAATTGAAAGGTAAAACAACGCGGAACAGCTGTGCGAAACAGCTGTGCCACCCCCGTTAGTTTCATTGGTCGGATACCAATGGGAAAACAACATGGCAATTCCCAATGAGAGATTTTCGAGTGGTCGAGATGATCACGCGCTACGGTCACACAAACTTCAAAAACAGACAATACGGTGACATTAGGAAAATATAATGAAAAATAAATTTATATCTACAAGAACATTGTGTCTACAAGAACTGTGTAACTTATGTACTCACGACGTGGAAATGCAAACGCAATGTTTATCGCACATTTAAGAGAAAATATTTAAGATAAAAAAAATGTACATATAAAGCAGTCGAAACGCGTCGAGTCGAATCATAAAATTGACTAAAAACAAATTTTGGAAATTTACACAAACGATCGATTTTCAGGAAAATAATTCCAAAATTATTTAAAAAACATTTTGTAAAAAGTCGTCAAGTAGTTGCAGAAAAAACGCACAAATTGCGAGTTTTGCCGCAAGTGTGATTACTTTGTCGCATAGTCGTAGACAATAAATTTTTATCCTTGAAAAAAAAAAAAAATAAGTCGTATTAACTCGCGTTTAATTTTATGGAACTCGCGAGTTCCATAAAAAAAAAATCAAGTTTATACATGTGGTGAGAGAGAGAATCACTTATTACCATAAAAAATTATATATAATTCTACATACACAAAGGTACAAAAGTTGGAACGTTCTCTCTGTCTCTGCGCGTTTTATATATCGTATATATATGTACATAACTGCGTATATTTGAATATACTTCTTTTTTTTTTTTTTTACATGTATAAAAATGTATCAATACTTAATTTACATTAAGTGCACAAGATAACAAGACGAGGAAGAACACGAAAGAAGTACATATAAAGAGGCATTTTTATTTGCGTTTGTGTTTTAATTCAGCCAGGGCGTGGCCGAATTTCAATCGTATACTACTACATCACGACTACTTTTTTGTTTTTTTTCAAACTGTGTGTGTCTGTGTGTGTGTGCTTTGCCGGACGCGTGATATATCGAAATTTGTTCGCTTATTTAATTTTGGAGATCCCGTTCATGTGTGCCCGACAAAATACGTAACAACGCGAGGAAACAATTCTCAATATGCCGCCAAAATATATAATATATATATAACTTCTCAAAGTTACATCGAACTCGGCGAAAAAAACGGAGTAGTTTGCATATTACCGGCTGCTGCATGCGAGCTTGGGACTCTCTCAGACGCACTCTTTCTCTCTCAACAAGTAACAAATGTAATATATATATATATATTAGTCATATATATATATATGACAATCTTCTTATGTATATATCAGTCTACAAAATTTTTTTTTTTTTTATACTAAATCCTTGTGTGCTTACGTAAAAGTATACAATCAGACATAAATCTCGTCGTACAATTTCGCCCACATCATACACTCGCGCAAATCATCGTGTTTGCATGCAATATGTACAGCAATCCGGTGGGGGGGGGGTGAAGGGGAGATTAAAAATTCATCTCAGTCTCACGCCACGGAATTCACGCCACGCTAGCATTCAGCCCTATTTGGTATACGCATTGGTACGTTATAATATTGGATCGCACCCGATCTTTTCTTCTTAGTGTGTGTTAAAAACTTAATTAAAAACGCTCATCAGTACTCTCATCCATAGCACAATGTGGAGGCTCACATTTGAAGATATTATTCTACTTATTGTCTACCAAAAGTTCTCTACGAAGTAGTCCTTGCTGCCGCATATATATATATATATATATATATATATATATATATATATATATATATATATATATTCTCGAAGCTCTCTCTGTACAGGAGTGTCGAAGCGCGTTTAAGCGCGTTTAAAAATTGAGCAATTCTAACGATAGAGCGACAACAACAGGAAAAATATATTGATATCTATTTCGTCAAAAACAATAACAAATTGTTAACAAACAAATGCATCTAAACGATTGTTAAATGTTAACCGTGAAACAATTTTTTGAATCGCTTAAACGACATTTCGCTACTGCTTGCTTGTGTGCATATTTCGAGGAAGCTCTAAAATCCGTACTAAGATTACACATTATTTATTGCTTTTGTAACAGGCTTGTTAATGTGATCGTAATACGCGCGATTACGTACGATTCGAGCGATGTTATTACTATTGTTTTTTTTTCTTTTTTCTTTTTTTCTTATAGGCGATTTTTGATAAAACAATTGCATTGCAATATCAAACTCACGTCCGAGCTCTATTGTTCAACGCTATATCATCGTACTTGACGAACCCAACCGGAATCAAACTCTCATGCTTAAAAAAAAAAAAAAAAAAAGAAAAGAAAAAGAAACAGCCGATACCAATTTACGATTCGCGTATCAGCTGCCGTTATAATATACTACTTCCAAGTACATCCGCGGAAAAATAGTAGTTTTAGTCTTTTCTCGTTTGTCTCAAAGTGACTTTGTAATGTTGTTGAACAATCGTTTGCCCCACCAAGATTCCAAATCGAACGGTTTAAAATCTGTAACATTTCATACGTATGTGTGTAATATAAGTTTTTTGAGAGGAGCACAATTTTTAAACACATACAACTAATAACATATATATGAAATATATGAAATCTGAATAATAAATTATTACCTTGAAGGCTATTACTTGGTTCACCATCGTAATATACTATTGAATTAGGACCTGCGCAAATAAAAACAAAAATCATGTAATAAACAAAAAATTCCAAAAATCAGACTGGGTGAAAAAAAAAAAAAAATGTAATCCTGTTTCATCTCATTACTTACTGCTAAGATCTGTACACTCTGTGCCCTCGCAACACTCGCTTCCCTGTTGCGTATTGACCTGATTCCACGCTGATAAAAAAAAAAAAATAATAATAATAATAACAAATGAATATAAATTGATTAAATCTCTCTTCATTCGTTCGATTTCTCTTCCATTCTCTTCGTTAAAACAAATTTTCTTCGAGCACTTCACACCAGAATAATTACTCTACGTTTAGTTTTTTTTTTCCAGTTAGAGAATATTTTTTTTTGTTTGTTTTTGTTTTACCTACATTCGTAAATAAATTTGATAAGCTCTTCGTGTTGCGGTGTGATGGCTTCTTGCATCTGATGCCGCTGGGAGATGAGTTTTGATTTCCCGTTCGTATGAAATACCGGTTTTGGTACATGACTGGGGGGTAGGAGCAGCGTGAAACAAACAGAAACTCTTATCTCATTGCATGTGAAGCAATAAAAAAAAAAAACATTAGTAGTTGGTTTTATTTTTTTTTTAACGCATGCACGTTCTCGCGCACTCGAATAGTATCTTACGCAATGACGCAATGTAAATGTTCAAGAGCGAGACTGCTTGTCACAGGAAATGCAATTATAGAGCAGAATCGAACAATCGTCTCAAAAATCAGCTTCTGCTGAATAAACTTTTTTGTTACACAAGTCTCTTTGGACGATATAACATCTCAACATCGTGCAAACAATTGCAAACCAAAAAAAAAAAGCTCGAGTGTCTATTACAGGACAAATTACGAATTGCGTAATGCCGCGAGAGCGAAGGAAAGAGAGGGAGGAGGGCGAGCGTGGAAAAATCGTGTGTCGAGGAGGTTATAGTGTGTCGCGCGCTCTCTCTCTTCCAATTTCTCACCTGGTGATCTCGTGGCTCTCCTCGGGATCGGTCTTCCTGTTTAGATCTCGCAGCGTTTCCAGCCTCTCGAGATTCTGATTGATCCCTGACACAAAAAAAAGGAGCGAATTAATTTCTTCCTCTTCTCGGATGCATCGTTTTCGGCGGGCTCGCCACGGCGGAGGGGGGGGGGATCATCGCGCGTGGTGCGTGATGACGAAAAAAAAAATCTAATTTTCAATATACCTCGTCGTGTTTTCGCTACGATCTTGCTGGGTCCCTTTGACACGGTATACATCCTCGTTTACGGCCGAGCGCGCGAAGCAGCAGGTCTTTCCTTTGCGCGCGCTGACACCAGAACATCCGAGACACCAATCGGTTTGTCACACCGCCGACCTCGCCGAAGCAACCAAGCGCGATCGTTCTCGTTTTGCTGATAGTAGCGAAATAATAAATGGGCCCGGCGATATTACCGGCTTACCCTCATCTTACGAAATCACCGAGACCACAGCGCTCTGCTGTGCTCACGGCTACGAACTAGCTCAATCCTCGAGCGATAGATAGCAGCTTCTCTCTCTTCCCTTCCTCTTCACATTCCAATATATGTATATATATATATATCCAATATATGTATATATATATATACATACACGTTGGTACATATATATATGTGCACGCACAGAGAAAAAGGAACCTTTGGAATCTCCACTCGCGCAGACCTTCGTCCTGGACTTTTTAGTTCAAGTGTGTCTTAACTGAATAAAAAAAGTCTTTTAATTTGTATTACATGTGTTTTAACACACACGCGAGATAAGTCGAGCAAAAAGAAGGAGAGACGGTAAAAAAAAAAAATGTTGAAATATTCAAGACTTAACGTAACACATTTGTTACTTCAATCGCGTCGTTGTTTCGCGTTTAATTAACAAATTTTACATCACATTTCTCGCGCGAGACGTCACGTGAGAGATGCGCGCGGACAAGTTTTTCTTTGACGTTTCGGTGCCGCACAAATTGAGATATAATCTTTCTCTCTCGTTTTTTTTATAAATGAATAAAGAGAAATTTATAAATATGTATGCGCGCATGAATTATATGTATCGCAAAAAATGCCAACGTGGTAAGATATATACATCGCATGTGAAACGTTCATTGATTTTCAAACTGAAAACAATAAATAAAATGGTGACCCTGACGCACACTTCGCAATATTATCAATTTATCTAAATTATTGAACCGACAGCAAATAGGTCTGTGAATTCTTAGTTAACGGGTCAGTATTTACATATATATATGTATATGTATGTATGTATATTACAAACTTTTTATATAACATATAAAATATAATTTATAAAATGTGTGACCGTATACGAAATGTACAAGTGATCGAATAAAAAAGTCGATGTCATCGTAAAGGAATGTTACCACCGGCCGTGAGACTCTCCTGGTCGACAATCCCCAGGAAGTAGAGACACACCAGAGCGGCTCCTTGTTCGGCGTATTTTTTGTTCTTCTCCCTGTAAAAAAAAAAGAAACGCGCAAACTAAGAAAAACAAAACAAAAAAACAACCGGACAAGCCAGCGGATAACGAATAATTCTAATCGCGATCACATCTACCAGAAAGAGGAACCGTATTTCTTGCCGTCAACAGTGACCACGGAACAGAACAGTTTGTCCTCTTGACGTGTGTTGTAAACCGGCATCTTCTTGCGATTTTCTTTGGTCCATTTGAGCAATCGCGTCTTAGGCAGATCCAAATCCGAGGTGTAGCTGTTTCTCAAAAACGCGCAACGCATCGAGGAGACGTCGTTGTCCTCGTCGATTTTTCTCTTGCGAGAATCGCCGCAACCGTTCGCCGTGTCGAGAATTATCGGCGACACGTGAAATCGATCCAACAAACCGTTGTTTCGAAACTCTTTGCTTCTGGATCGGCAATAATCGCCCAATTCCCACACTTCGCTGAGGAAAACAAAACTTTGGCTTAAAAAAAAAACCAACGAGCAACTCGGAAAAAGAAGTAAATCTCCTCACCATATCTGTTCAAGCGTTTGCGAGTCGAGGAATCTTCTGCCCAGAGGAGATTCCTGCAACTCCCGTAGAATATTCTGCACGCAGTATTTCGTATTCGAAGGCGAATTGTCGCAGTCAACCGCGTACTTCAAATATGACTTTATAACGTCCTCCATCGGGAGCGGACCCTCCTTGCGAAACACCGAGCAATTCCATTCGGCCGCGCGCGCAAGCATCACGCTGCTGCAACCCGTTTCTTCCTTAAACCTGTGAAAAAATGTAACCCCCTCTTAACTTTGTTCCAACACCTTGTGACGTTCAGTCGTGAATAAAAAAAAATTCTTTGATTTTGAATCGTCGTACCTGAGTATATCCGAATAGGTTTGAATGTCTCTGGAACCGCCGTTCGCGATAACCGGTATCGAAAGTCTGTTCGAGATCTCCCTGAGAACGTGATTGCGATTGGGATGTTGCGGTCTCTCCTCGATCGTGCGACCGTGAACGGCAATGGCCGCGATTCCGGTGGCGGCGAAGGTGTCGCAAAGCCGGAGAGTCTCCTCGAGATCGGACAGCACGCGTATCTTGCAAGTTATCGGAATCGCGACATTTTCAACCAATTTGTTCAGAATATCGACCGCTTTCCCGGGCTCTTTGAGAAGAGCCGCGCCCATTCCGCCAAGCAAGGAGAACTTCTTCGGACAACCCATGTTGACGTCAATGCCTGCAACATCCTTTTCGACCATACGCGCAACTTCGACCGCTCTCTCCGGATCGGACGTGCCGATTTGCAGGACCAAGCGTTCCTTTTCCCGAGAACAAGTACGAAACACTACAGTACCATCCGTCTGATCAATATAATCAATCGTGCCTAGAACATCTACGAATCAAAATAAATTTCTCATGTAAGTCCGTAGTTTCAAGAATTAGAATATGGGGATGGAGATGTGGAGAGGAGGAGGTTAGATATCAGACAAATATTAGGGGGGGGTTAGAATTGAGAAAAAATATACGGTTTGACTTGAAATGTCGCTTTTAGTTTCGGCTGAAGAAACGTAACGCAGACGTGAAATAAATCGGCTACGACAACGCTATCTGATTATACAATTAAGTGTGTGAAATACACCAAGGTTGTTGCACATAAACTTTCGGGATATATATGAGGATCAGATATATATATATATATATATATATGAAACATCAAAATGTCATAGTCGTAGTCGGTTTATTTCTCGAACGAGTATGAAAGTGGATTTTACCATTCTCCCGGCGAAACGAACGAAGCAGCTTCCTGTCGATCAGTTCCTCGGTGTAAACAATATCCGCGCCGTAATCAAGAGCGAGCAAACGCATCGGAAGGGTTCCGATGCGCACCATTGGCGCTAGAACGATCTTGTCGTTGTAATCGAGTCTCTTTCTCGCGGACGAATCTTTATCCATCTTCGGAAACAAAAGAAGCGTGATGGAAAATTTGCTCAAACGGACGAGCGCAACGAAACGCACGTGGACCCGCGCGATGTGACAGATGTCACATCGCGCGGTGCGCGAAGAAGAACAATTAAAGGGGTATTTGGTGGCAAAACACGCCGGGGTACTGTTGAGCTTTAACGTTAAAGCCTATGTCACACCACGGATTAGGATTGAGATTGAATTGGAATTTGGCCAATCAGAGCGAAGATCAGTACAGATAGAATTGATTCTCTTTTTTCTGATTGGTCAAATTTCTAATCTAATATCCGTAGTGTGACATAGGCTTAAGAAAATCAACCAATCACAGGCCAGCGTTCTTTCGACCAGAGCGACCTCTGCGTTATACGAGGTCTGTTCTTTTTTCCATAATTTTGCTGCACTAGTTCGCAGTCTATAGGTCTGTTCTTTTTACCTGAACCTGGCTACTACTAGTTCAGAGTTTATATTGGGTGCGTTCAGACAACTCAACAGTTGCACAAGGGTTGAGAGATAATCACTTCTGATTGGATCATACTTTTGGAACCGCGGCAGATTTTGAAGAATAGTCCTATCATAAGTGATGATCTCTCAACCGTTGAGTTGTCTGAACGCACCCATTTTTTCACTCGACATTGGGTGCGTTCAGACAACTCAAGTATGGAAAAAGAACGGACCTATTATAGTTTCCCGATTCCGTCGGCTATCATCGGAGTCGCTTGAATCGACGTGTGTCGATTACACAGCACGGATTCAAACCGGATTGAAATTTGTGCCGCCTACGCCTGGAAGTGTGCAGTCGTCGCGTTCCGCTAGACAGAGTCCCTACGTCCACTTTTGTGGATATTTAATAAATAAATTTACAAAGCAATGTGATGTCTAAGAAAAAATGTTAAAAAAAGAACCTTCTTCTTGAGATGAAATTACTCTTGAAGTTAATTGAATCGAATGAAAATGTCACTCGAGGTAACATTTTGTTTCTCAATTGTTTGCAATGTGAAGACGCATGTTTCTTTTTTTTTCTTTTTAATATATTCTATTTACTTGCACTTACCTAGTACAAGAACGAATATCGCAAGTCCATTGACGGATATCAGCCTGCGGCACCTGTGAGGCGCAAGATCGGTCTCTACTGGATACTGGCCGCGTTGAGAATAATTCTGACACTTGCTCCGCAAACGGGCTACATTCATCCCGACGAATTTTTCCAGTCCATAGAAGTGATCTCCGGTTAGCCACAGTTTTTTTGCTACATCCGTTACGCATACGTTTATCCAATTTTTTTTATCATTCTGTGTTTTCTTTACGTTTAGGAGATCATTTCGACATTGACGTCTACAAACCGTGGGAATTCAATGCCACAGCTCCCATACGTACCGCGTTATTTCCTCAAGTTATCGTGGGTCTGCCTTATGCCATCCTCAAGAGACTGTCTCCGTACACATTTCACTTCTTCGGACTTTCACTGCGACGTCCGTATTTCTTCGTGATATTTCCGCGATTCTTCATGTGCGCGCTCTCATTTCTATCCGATTATTTTCTTTACAAAATCTGTTGTATATACGGACAGAATTACAGAGTCAGACTTGTCACTTATGCGAGTTCCTACGTCATGCTCGTTTACGCAACTCATACGTTATCGAATTCCGTCGAGCTGGTGCTGACCGCCGCGCTGTTGTATTTCACATCCAAGTGTATGGCGCATTCGGAGAAAGTAAGCTACTTGTTAATGTTAATTAAAAAACCCGCGCTATTATTATATTTTAATACTGTTGTTTTTACAACTTTCTTGTATGTGTTGCATCAGGTGGTGCTTCACAGCGATTATCTCTCAACAAAATACAACAAAGCGACAACCGGAGTGGAGCGAGTCAAATATTACAAACTCAAGGCACTGCTTCCCTCGCATTCGTTAAACCACTGCTTCTGGCTGGCCACCCTGACAATAGTTGGGATATTCAACAGGCCGACTTTCGTTGCGTTCGCGATCGCTCCGATTTTCTTTTGGCTACAAAGAGGTATGGGTTCGAAAAGCGTCGGATTCAAAGATTTCCACATCAGAATGTTCGTCTTTGTTATCTGCGGTCTACCGGCCATGATGTTTTTCATTCTGGCCGATAGTTTCTATTACGCTTATTTAACGATGGGCGAGATCGGCAAACTAGAGATCGGAATGAACAACTTTGTGGTCACGCCGGTTAATTTTCTCAAGTACAACGCGAACATGAAGAATCTGGAAACCCACGGACTGCATCCGCGTTTATTGCATTTGTTGGTGAATGTCCCGTTGTTGTTCAGCGTCATCGGAATTGTTGGATTGATAACGTTCGTGAAAATGATTTACAAGTAAGCGATATTAATTGATTTAACTTAACGATTTCTTCTCACATGGTGAACTAACAGTTATTTGTTCTTGTTTTTTTTTTAGTGCACTGAAGGCACAGTGGCTGCACTTGCCACGCTTGCAAAGCATCGTGGGATTGATGACGTCCGCGTTTATCACGCCGATCGTCTTATTGTCTGTTTTTCCTCATCAGGAACCTCGTTTCATAATACCGGCGCTTTTCCCGCTAGTATTTCTCTACGCGCCCGAACTTAATCAGGTTCCCAATATGGACATCGTCCGCCGATTCACCGACGATGGCAAACCATGCGCTTCCGCAGAACCACGGAACCGCAAACCCAGAAAATTGGTGCTCTGGTACGTCAGCAATCTAATGCTGACTCTGTTCTACGGTTTCGCGCATCAAGGTGGAATTTTTCCGTTGACGTCTCACATAGCGGCGGAGCTCAGAGCCAAACCGCATCTCACGCACATACACTTGTACACTTCGTACAGTTACTCGTTGCCCACGGCGCTGCTACAGCTGCGCAACACCCACAGAGTTTATCGCAGCAGCAGCAATCACAAGTATATGCTGACGCAGGACTTTCACCTGTACGAGCAGGGTTCCGAGCGTCTGCCGCGAGTGTTTGACAATATCATCTGGAAGATTAGGAACTGCGAAGAGAAGTTCGACGTCAAAAGGATTCCCTACAGATTGTACTACGCGTTGCCGGCTTCCGCGATGAGCGAGTTTGAGAAACTGTGGAACGATAGACCGAATTCGTTCAAGTTTCATGTGGTTAAAGGCTTTTATCCGCACATTTCCGTAGAGAGATTGCCGCGTTTAAAGACTCTCGATAGACTGATAAGTTTGCCATATTTGCGCTTCGACGATATCTTCACCAGTTTTGTCATGATTATCAAAGAGTTTTATGAAGAATACCTCAAACAAATGCAATTGCTGCTATTAAAGATCGAATATATCAAGCCTAAAGCGAGACTGGGCACAGTGAATAAACATTAACATAAAATTAAAAAAAAAAAACAAATTTAAAAATAAAAAAATAAGAAAAAGAGGCAACAACGAGCTAACACCTGTTGTTAATTCGAGGATTTTAAAAAAGAATTTTACCCGAACGTCAGGAGTTAGCTCGTTATTGCCCTTTTCCTATCTTTTTATTTGAACATTCAACGAGCATTAAAAAAACATATAATTAAATTTAAAAATAATTCACTTTTCAAGATGCAATATATTTCTCTATATGTCTTTATAATTTATTACAGCATAAACATTTGCGTTAATAATAATAACATTTTAAAAGACTAGTCAAAATACGGGAAAAAAACTTTAAATTAACTTGTTAACTTATTAATAGTTTTATTTAAAAAACGTGTAAATGTGTACATAGGAAAGAATTTAAAGGATTATATTAAAAAAGAGTTGATTGCTCGAGGATTCGTGGAGTAAATTGGCAGATGGTACAAGTACAAATTTCACATCTTTATTTTCAATCGTTTATCTAGCTCTTTTTGACAAGAGGTAGTTTTTTTTTAAAACTGTTTTAAATATATTTTATGTTATGTATATTACAGCAAATGTGCAAAACAATGCCTTAATTTTTTCTTTCTCGCTTCACATCATAAAAGAAAGCAATCAAAATCTCTTCTAGATTTGAAAAAAAAAAAATTGATTAATTTTACATATCAAGAGATTGATTCGAATGTATATACTTTAAAATATTCTATTGATTTTTAAAAATTGCACTATATATACATGTGATAAATCCATATATTGTGTAGTCCACAGTATATATCTATGTTTTATATTGAAAATGTAAGTGAAAATTTGTGTGAGTCAATTGAAATTTAAACTTTTTTTATTTTTATAAGTGTTATATCTATCTACGCTTATTAGCTTTAGTAGTGGGTAATTTTATTATCTCGCACTCTCTGTGTCCTATGTGAAAGAATTGTCTCGAGTTTTGTTCATTGCGTCTCTTATACTAGAAGAAATCGCCACTCGTCGAGCGATAAATAAACCGAGATCTATTCTTTTAAGAAGAGGACTTTTGAGTATATAAAATTTATATATATATAAAAATATAATACACAACACAATGCCGTGTACCGGTAAAAAATTTTAATAAAATTATTAAGTTAAATATTTTTGATTATATAACGAAAGAAAAAACCTAAGAAGAAGCCAGTTGTTGTTTTTGTAATAATGAGAAAAAAATATCCTCGAACTTGTGAACTGATTTATCTTTTTGTCTCAAAATCCAAAAAAACAAACAGAGTGAGAAGAACAAATAATTTCTATGTATAAATCTTAAAACAAATGAATTTAGTGAATTTAGCGAATTAAACTTAGTAGACTTTTTATATCAAACTAAGATATGTTTGTATTGCTTTCGCCATAAGTCCAGACAAGTTCTTCATTGAATTTGCTTTGATAAGCCGCATTTCTTGCCGGATATAAGCGCTAAAAATGTGAGTAATCAGCAACGTCACAATAATTTAACAAGCAATCTTAATTTCAAGTTCTTGTTATCGTATATCACATCTTGTTATGTATTCTTTTCTTAAAAAAAAAAAAGGATATCTTAAAAAACTGTTTCAGCAAAGATACTTACGGGATGATTAATGTAGGATTCACAACCATAGCACCAGACGGATATGTCGGTGAAACTGAGCGCTATCGGATGCTCGTGTTCCTCCGCATGTTGCATCGCGTGCTGATTAACATAACGAGCACAATGTACAGTGTAACACTGCAGACATATCCAATTTTCTGCGGTGCTGCCGCACTCCGCGCAAGGTGAAGCAACGTCGATTCCATTTGGAGGAACGTCGTTGACTGTGTCCACGTGCGGACAATCAAGCAAAGGTATTACCGCGAACATCTCTCCCGCCGTTAGAGCCTAAAGAATTGAAGAGCATTGTCGCTTATTTATTTTGCACGAGGTAACGTTTATTATATATTCCCATGAAAATGACATATATTGCGCAAAAATTTCACCTGAATGTTATCGGACAGGTATTCTTGCAGAGTCATATCTCGCGTATCACGAGGTAAGGCTGCCGCGTTATCTTCGTTATCTTCAGACACTCCAGAATTTTCTTGTTGATTTTGCGACTGCTTTGTTTCCTTCACACATTGTTGTATAGCTTGTGAAACTGGGAAAAAGTCATTTTAACGGAGATCTCTCGATTAGATACAAATTACAAGAACTATAATAAATTACATCGTGAATATGTTTAATAATTACCTTCTACACTTTTTGCTTCAGTTGTTTGTTTTGGTTTTTTTCTCGTCTCGTTTGTTTTGCTGTTCAAGTCGAGGTTCTTAATTTTTATATTCTCCACTTCGTTCGTCAATTTCAATATTTCCTCGTCCGTCACCTGACTCAAGTAATTTTTATCGATCGCCAAGTTCAAATCCAATTTCTCACTTTCTATTCCCTCCAACGCAATCTTCGATTCCGTTTGCTTCGGCATGAAAGAGTTCTCGAATTTCGAAGAGACGGTCTGAAGCAACGACGGTCTTAGGAAGTTGGCTCTCTCTTTTGGCAACGACATGCAGTATTGCAAATTTGGCCAAAATCTTTTGTGAGTCTTCAGAACATTGTTGATGGAATTTATCGCGCTGGTGCAGGGAATCAGACCGGGATCCAGCATCGGCAAGGGATCGCCCAGAAGAGCTTTGGTACACATGGTCATCGCGTGCGAGATTGAATTGATATTGTAGCCTCCTTCGAGGCTGAGAATTATACGGCCATTGGCCAGAGACGAGAGCCAGTGAGTCAAATGAGCATAGATCTCTGGGCTTACGAGACAACCTGAGAATTTTAATTCAACATTTTTATCTACGGATTACTCTGTCTGGCGTCAAATTGCATATTTTCTGCTACGGGTAAAGCGCAACGCCGTAAAGCGTCATGTAAATTCGCGCCACCACAACCGACATTATATCTCTCACCTTAGTTAAAATTCAAGAATTTAAAAAATTATTATTCTGTATTCTTTCCCGTTTTAGCAGAAAGAAATGTTAACGCCTATCGACAGTCATAAATTTGATTCCTTACTGCTAAAACGGGTAAGAGAATTTTATATGTCTATATATTTTATTAATATAAACTAAACTACAAATTACCTCCGAGTGGATCGCCCACGCAAGCATCGAATCCGGCAGAAATCAGAACCAATTCCGGATTAAACTGATAAGCAATGGGCATCACAACTTGTTGAAAAGCCGCTATATATTCAGCATCTCCCATTCCTTTCTGCAATAATACAAATGATTAAAAACAATAGCAGATAAAGCAGATATGGATTTTGAGTCGAGCGTATCAAACGTTGATGTCATTCTTGTATAATTACCTTGTTCCAGGGTATGTTTACATTAAATCCCTCACCCGCTTTTAAACCAACGCTCGTGTAGTTAGCAGACTTTGAATTTGGGAAAAAGCTTCCGTTATCGTAACGATGTACAGACATGTAAAGAACTTTGGGATCTTCCTCGAAAATTGACTGCGTTCCGTTTCCGTGATGCACGTCCCAATCTACTATCAACACCCTGTGTGTAAAACACATATTATATTATCTTGCAAACCTTATTTACTCTCCTCGTGAGTTGATTCGCTACTGTCAAAAATCGGGCAAAACATTTATATTTACCTCTTTAAGTGATAAAATTGTATAGCGTATCTTGCGGCAACCGCGACGTTATTGAAAATACAAAATCCACACGCGATATCCTCTTCGGCGTGGTGTCCCGGTGGTCTAACGATTGCCACGCCAGATTGACTTTTCCCGCTTAAAACCGCGTTCACCACTTGCAATAGAGAACCAGCGGACACGCAAGCGCTCGACCACGTCTCGTTGTTCAGATAAACAGAATTATAATCGGAAGCTTGTTTTTGTAATTCTTTGAGTTTCAAACCAGATGTCCTTTTGATACTGTCAACATGTTGCTTGGAATGAGCCAAACATAACTCTTCTATTGTCGCACTTTTTCCCTTTGCGATAAAATAAAGAGATTAATAAATTATTTGCGCGTGTAATAATTTATATTATATAAGCTGTAAAAATAATAGATATATACATATATAATTTATAGTTTAAATTAATCAAATAGTCATTATCATCATATCATCTTACTTGTAGCATGTAACATCGATCTAGCAAACCATTTTCCTCATGATTCTTATAAATACCAGCAATACGGGACGGTTTCTCTGGATGACTATTGTCGGATATGTCGCAATGCTTGTGCATTCGTTCGTCATAAACAACACACACTTTGTGAGGTGCTTTGTACAAATTCGTAACTGCAAAAGAGCTCAACTTCAGCATGCAAATATCTTTCTTTTATGAAATAATAATACGATTAAGCGGAAAAACGCTCGGTAAAACAAAATAGCACGACAATAATTGAATAATATTTTACATTGTATCAATTCGTTCAACTGTTTCTCGATGATATCCGCAGCTTCTTTGGTTTTTACGGGATAACAATTTCGTGTTTCGTACTTGTCGAGTTTGATCTCATTGCTCCTGGAATGCGCGAGACATTTAATAAAGTTATAATAAAATACATACACACACAGATATGTACAAATTACATGTGTGTATAATTTAAATTATTACAGACGTTAAGACACTTTTGAAATTTCTTACTTGTACGTAACCCTGACCACATGTCGATTAGTAATCTCTTCTTTGTCATGCGTTATGCTGTTGATGCTGTACGTGTCTTGATACTGATAACATTTCCAATATGGTTTGTGCGCGTAAATTACGTTCAGAATAGTATCGCGTATGCTAAACACAAGCAAAGAGCGCTTCGTGAGCAACAATATTTGTGTAAATAATGAAACAAAACAAAAAAATAGTTAACACGTTTTTTACAATTTACCTTGACGATGGCAATTCTAGACTTTGCAAGATGGGACATGGATCGCCCAACAAAGTTCTCAAAGTCAAAGCTGCACCCTCCGCTAAAGATTTCAAGCAATAACCACCCTGCAATATCAACGTAACAATGTTTTGTCAGTCACGTCACGTTGTGCAAAAATATTGAAATAAAAAAAAATATTATATATGGAAATAATTTTTTTTTTTTTACCTCCAAAATTACAGCGACTCTTCCGGCTGCCAAACTCAACAACGATGATAACAAATGTGCATAACACGCTGGAGTTACAAGCATTTCACCCTATAGATTAAAATCATAAAACGTTACTTTTTTTTTTATTGTTTCTATTGGGATTTAATAGAATGTAAAAAAGTAAAGAGAATGTCGGGCGGGAATTTATCAAATATGCAAGGAGATATTTCTTCAAACACGCGTTATATATTAATTTACATACGCGAGATCAAACAATTGATTTTAACCTTCTCGTCGCCGACGGCCGAATCAAATCCAGCAGAAACTAGGACGAGGTCTGGACAAAACTGGGAAGAGAACCAAAAAAAAAAAAAAAGAAAACTTAAATGAAAATTGTAACCATGTGCAAATTTACCTCTGGACAACCCAGAGCTGCGTCGTAACCAGCTGACACTATTACCAGATCCGGTTGAAACTATAATAATGTCAATATACTGCTGATTAAGAGATAAATTGTGTCAGTTAAATGATCAGCGTTTTGGTTTTATAAATACCACGTACTTCGTAAGCCATCGGCAATAAAACTTGTTGGAAAATCGCAACGTAATCGGCATTGGTCATGCCGGTTTTATTCAAGGGTATATTGAAATTGTAACCCTCTCCCAGATCCTCACCGACGTAATGAAAATCAGATTCTCTCAGATTGGGCCAGAACTCACCGTGCTCGTAGCGATGTATCGAAAAGTAAACCACACTGCGAACAATTCAAGTATTTGTCAATATTTTACCAACAATGCAAAAAAAAACGGAGAGAGGATATCGCATACCGTGGGTCGTTGTAAAACATTTGTTGCGTTGCCTGTCCGTGATGAACGTCCCAATCCACAATTAAAATTCTACTCGCCAGATTCGAACAAAGAACCTTTTCTGCCGCAAGTGCTACGTTGTTAAAAAAACAATAACCACAGTATTCTGATTTCATTGCATGATGACCTGGTGGTCTACAAAACCGAATCATTTCAATATTAAAATTATAAAATTGTTTATATGTAATAATATTTAAATTTGAAATAAAAACAAATATTTGTTTTTTTTATTTTCACTCACATATTTTCAACTCACCTGACAATAGCCATGCCATTTTGCACATCGCCTTTACAAATACTTTCAACCAAATTGATCGTTGAGCCAGCAGCTAACAAAGACAATTTATACGTAGACTGCAATAAATACAAAAAATTTATAGATAGTAACGATTTTATAACACGATTTCATTTAACACGCGCTCAATGTTTGAAATTTTTAAAAACGAGTCTTATCTCCTCGCACGTACTGGATGAATAAAAATAGCGTCGTATCTAGAAGACAACAATTCCAAGTTTTCAATATCTACACAACCGTGCGTTGCCTTGAGGATATCAATTTGCTTTTGAGTATGCTTCGTCAAAATTTCACTCTCCGTAGCCGATCTCGACTCGATAATCTTGCATCTTTTCACCAAACCCAATTCTTCGCATCTTTGCAACACCTGTGTAAATCTGGCTGGGCATTCGGGATAATTTTGATCCCAGAGACATTCGTGCTCCGCCATGTTTCGGTCGAACACAAGACCCGTCTTCTTTCGCACCATTGTGTAAGCATCAATCGCTCTCTGATATATATCTCGTACAAAACTGTTGTTGGATTTTTTATCCAATAGCTTACGCTGTGCCGCTTCTTGCTTGGCAGCCAACAGCCAAGGGCGAACCTACAGAAAGTCAATAATTATTCGGTTTTGATCTCAAACATGTGTTTGATTTTTCAATAGAATTAAATGTTTTTATACAAACTTTCGTTGATTTTCCAGACTTCTTTGTTTTTTTCATATCTACAAGTGTATTTGTATCAGATTTTTTGCACTTTTTAGAGCTCTCAATTATCTTTATCAGATCAATTTCACTTTCCACCAACTGTTTGGCAGCACTAAACAAATCTGATTTTACTATAGATTCAGTCTGCAAGAATTAGAATAATTTTAATATGTATGTACATGAGAAAATCCTGATTAGAAAAGATTACATTCTTTACACTTGTAAAATATGGTACAACAAATATTTTATTGCAACATACAATAGAGCAAAATTTTATGAAAAACCAAGAGTTTACTCTAGAAACTATTAAAGAAAACCTAAAAAAAAAAAATCTCTCACGAGTTATGTTAGAACACAAATGTCATAAAGGTGATTTTTCTGCAACAACGCGATATATAGATCTTAAAAACAACAAGAAGTGCTAATGTTAAATGTAGATGGTGGACAGACAACCTGTCCTTTTATAGGCATATATCCCTGCCATTTCTCTCACGCACGTTATCTGTTTGTCTTCAAAAGCTAGTGATAAGGAAACACTATATAGATGTATATATATCTTCCCTATATATAATTATTATTTTTAATAATAATTCTCTTATCTTACCATTTGTACAGTTTACTAAGAATTCAAATATCTCAAAACGTTCACGTGTAAGTGGGCACAGATAAACATTGATTTCTATTACAATTGATCCAATATGATACACACATGTATTTTTTTGGTTCTTTCAATTAGATCTTTCTGCCGAAATCAAAGACCGAAACACTTTTTAAATTGTTTTACATTGTTTTTTCTATTTGTTTATATCTATTTTAACACTCCCGTGTTTACTTCTGGTCAGAAAACAACGGTGTATCATAAAATGACAGCTATGGGGAAAAATCAACCGACAATTCTGTCACTATGATCAAAATGTTCCTATAAAGTTTTGAAGGCGAGATCTCATGAGACCCTCTACAATGCGTTCATTTTAAGAAGAGAATTTTACTGCTCAGGGCGATGTCCCATTGAGCGGAAATCTATAGCGGAACGGAAATGTGCGGAACCAGCTCGACCAATCATAGCCATTCCGTTTTCTTTCCTTCGCTTTTTCTGTGGTTACGATTGGTCGAGCTGGTTCCGCACAATGGGACATCGCCCTCATTGGTGAAGAAGAGCGGGCGAAATAAGAATAGCGTTACTTGCGAGATTGGTGGATTGCTGAAAAGCCAACAACTGTGGACATTGGGTGCGTTTCAGACAACCTCAACAGTTGCACAACGGTTGAGAGATTAATCACTTCTGATTGGAGGATCATACTTTTGGAACCGAATCAAATTTTGAAGAATAGTCCTATCATAAGTGATGATCTCTCAACCGTTGAGTTGTCTGAACGCACCCATAGATGTCTGTTTCACAAACTCAACCTTTAGATTGGCGTATGGACTAACCGTTATAGGTCCAAGAGCCACAAGCGCACCAAACCAAACAAACTCAACCTGAAAGAATGTGAATTAAAGTTATTAGTTTTCAAACTCTAGATTTGTTGGTCAAAAAATGTTGTGTCAGAAACTTAGAACGACAATCAAATTAAAAAACATCGTGGGATGTCTCAGTGAAATTAATCAACATGCACCTAGGAGACAGTGTAAGTTTGTTTATAAACAATGCGTAATAAATAATTTATATATAGCAATAAGAAACCTTTTTTTTCTTATCTTTTTTTTGTGAGATATATATTTTTAAAAAACTTGAAACTCTATTCTATGCTTTGTTTTGTACAGCCAAGAATGTGGGCGAGCACTCTCAGCCCAGTCAAGTCAGGCTTCAATCTCTGGTCAGTGGGTTCTGCACGGAGAAACTTCCGAGAAGTGCAAATATTTTTGGTGATATTTCCGGCAGGAAGTTCGAGCACTTTGAAATGGACGAACAGGAGGAAGAAGAGGAGAAATTTCAAGATAGCGAAGGAACTGTTCCTCGTCGACTGAAACCTAGTCCAGGCCAATACGCTAAGATGATCAAATCACACATATCCAAGAAGGATCCGAACTCGGCTCTGAAAGTGTTTGATTTGATGAAGGAAAATCGTGACAAACCCACTATGTACATGTACAATCTTATATTGCGCGCTTTTGCCATGCAGGGTGACATAAAGAAGTGCTACAAGCTGTTTGTCACAGCGAAAAAGCATCAATTGCAACCGAACTCGCCAACTTTTGTCAGTTTGTTGAACGCTTGCGCTTTTTGCGAAGACAGCGAGGTAGCTCTCGAATATTTGAACAAGTTGCGACAGTTGCTCTACGAACAACAGTTTCCGCTTAACCAAACGCATTACAACGTGATGATAAAGGCGTACAGTTGGCACAATCAGATTTTGGAAGCGTTTCAATTGGCGGACGAGATGAGGGACAAACGTATTCCGATCGAAGAGATCACGTACAATTCCTTGTTTCACGCCGCGATTTCCGACAAAAAAGCCGGTCTGCGTCACGCTCTAATTGTGTGGCATTTGATGCGTCTGAAAAATGTTAAACCGAGCGTGAGAACTTACAATCTTCTTCTTAGATCAATGAGAGACACTAATTTTGGAGATTTGAGACTTGACGACGTACTCGTCACGGGAGCCGATCAAACGAAAATCTTGCTCAAGGACGGAGAAAGACCGGATTTACTGGCATCTCCACCTTTTTTGAGCACGTTGTTGCCAATGCCGAAAACAAAGGAAAACAGTTTGAAGCGTAACGATCAGAGCACGAAGGAAGAAGAATCATCGTTAAGCTTGAACGACATACCGGTTAACAATCGGTTGATCCTCTTCGGTGGTTTGGATGGATTTTTGGCTCGAATGAATAAGGACGGCGTCGCGCCTGACGCCAAAACTGTTACGCTGCTTCTCGATTTGATTCCCGCTTCAACGGCCGCGGAAAATTTGCTCGTTAAAACCGCGAACGATAAAGGTATTGAACTGGACATTGACTTTTGTAATATGCTCATCAAAAGACGCAGCATGCGTCACGATTACAAAGCCGCAAAAGTGAGTATTAGAGATTTATCTGAATTCGTAGTTCAAGAATATTATAAATTTTATATACAACACACTCTCTCTCTCTCTCTGTAAACTCTGATATAAATCTAGGAGGTGATAAGTATGGCAGAACAGAAAAACCTAACGCCAAATGTGATGACGTTTGGGGTCTTGGCACTTGGTTGTCAAAAATATCACGAGGCCAAAGAGTTTCTTGAAGGATTGGAAGCTTTCGGTTACAAACCCAATTCTGTAATCGTGGGCACGCTCATTAACACGGCTTGTCACAAAAGAGATTTCGAATACTTGTTGTTTGTAATGAATTACATGATGGAGAACAAAATAAAACCGAACGAACAAGCGATCAAAGACCTGAAAGAATTTTCGAGAGAAATACCAAGAATGGAAGTGACCAAGGTAACGTTGAGTTTTTTTTTTTTCACGACTGTTATTAAAAAAAGTGAACTTTCTTTTTTCACATTTAATCAAAAATTCACAAACATCAAGTTTTCTGTACACAATGTTAAATACGTATATAAAAAAAACATTAATTTGCAGAATAAACACAAGCACAAGAAGAAAAAACGTTTGGAAGAGAATGCGAAGAAATTTGAAGAAGATTATCTTAAATGGCAAAAGATGAGAGAACAAAAGTCGTTTGTAAAATAAAATATTGCTCTTGGAAATTTTTCAAGATAATTCGACTTGTTATTAACTCTATTGATATGTTTCTAAATATGTACATATATATTAAACGAAAAGAATCAAACGGAGAGATGATGAATCAGCGAAGATACGGGGGACGGGTTTCTTGTGCCCAAGGTCGACTTCTCGCTCCGCTGTTGATGGGACGCGGCGGACAAGTTCCGCGATTGCTAAGTTTGTTGTATCCGGTTGGGCCTGTTGGTTGTGCTCCGCAAGTCTCTAACGCCACAAACTCGTCTACATGGAGCGACGGTGGTCTAGAAGTGTTCGGCGGCCTCGAGCGAAATGGATCAGCTCCTCTGCCCACTCCTCCACCTACTCCCGGGCCTCCTCGTAACGAATTAGCAAACTGTGTCCGACCGCGTACTGGTGTCACTATAAAAAGAACAAAAAAAATTTATATATATATAAATATAAAAGAAAATTATAAAATTGTCGAATAAGAGAATATAAAAGATAAAGCATATAAGAAAAACTTTACACTATATATAAATTTTTGAATCTTACCAAACGATTGTTTCGGTTTAGCAATCGGAGAGGTCTGTTTCTCTGTTCTATTTTCCTGATCTTCGTTCTGAGATTTCGATTGTAAAGGTTGAGTGGTGTCATCGGGAGGTGTTTTTGAGCACAAATTCTGCGCCTCCGCTAATAAATTGAAATCGGTAGGTAGCAATTCAGCAGCAAGCGCCAAAAAGTCCACCGTGTTTTCAGCTGGCGTCTGATTGGCGAACGAAAATTTTCCGAGTCGCGTCGGACTGTTGCTAATCGTACTGGGACATCGTTGCGAGAATTGATTCAGTAAAACTTCCGGAGCTGGTAAAAGAGGCTCTAACATTTCCGGAATAGGTTCCTTCTCCTCTTTATCCTCAGCGAGTTTCAAAGTTTCTACCAGCTCGTCCGCACACTTCAACTTCTCCAGAGGATGATGATTGTTCTTTTCCCAAGAGATCAAAGACGCCAACTGCTGCGTGCGCAGATGCAAAGATCTCCGTTCTGAATCCGACGCGATCAGATTCTCCAAGAAAGTAACCGTCAAACGCACGACGGAATTCGTGTCCGGCTCTTCTAAGGTCGACACGTGATCCAGCAACGAGCGCAACGCATCAGGATTATTCTCCAGACAGCTTTTCACATGATAAAGACCGTAGTTGTGACTATTGAGAGATAATAAGATGTGCAGCGTACTTTCTATCACATCTAATTGAAATTTCGTACTGGTCGCCAAAATTTCAATAAGAGTCGCGAGGATAGACAGAAGAGGTTCTTTACTAGGTACTGAGTGTGTTAGTTTTTTTTCGAAAGGTTCATTGTCTTCTTGCAACACCAGACTGAGATTACGATCGCACAGAGTTTCAAAGATTCTGAGGATTTCGTATTGCACCTGAATGTTGCTGCTGCTTTTCAAGGTAGAGCACATCATCTCTATGACCGGCGGGTACTTCTGATCAGATTTCACCTGCGCTCTGGACGCAGGACTAGTCAAGGTCAGTAAAGTAGCCTTCATTGGAGCATGTCTGACCAAATCGCTGACTAGAGCGAGAATAGGAACGTTGTTTTCTAGAGGAGTCGCTGCTAGAATACCATCTAGAAGACATCTTCCAACTAAAAGAGCTGTAGGCGCTGCCAAATCGCTCAACTGTTTGCAGACTGTTGATAAAAGAAGTAGAACATCTCCATTCCAACTGGCACAGAGTAACCGAAGAGTCTCAGTGAGATTCGCGGCTTGAGCTTGAAGATGCGCCGACCAGAGCTTCCTTAGACCTAAAATCCTAGTAGTATCTTCAGTGGCGGTTAAGACAGGCGTCAAGACAGACGGTAGCAAACGGGACAAAAGCTTCAAACCCGGCATAAAGTTACACGGACGGAGGGAGACCATTTTCAAGACTTCGCCCAGCATTTGTGTCCACAGTGATTTTGCCACGTTCCCAGAACCATCGGAATCGACCGCATGAGTGAACACCAGCAGCGTTCCTACGATTTCCTCGGACAGGGTTCGCACCATCGGGTTTGATGGAATGGCTTCGATCAGAGAATAAACTCCGAGCAACGGTACAACGACCGTCAAATTCTTGAAGTCGGTTGACATGCACTTAACAAGTCTCTCGAGCAGCGCTCTGGTCAGTCTTACGCACGGGAGCAGCAAAGCTACCAATGCCATGCCTCTGCGACCCGTAAGTGCTGCGCGATGAAGAAACGGTTGTTCGTAGAACTCGGACACACTTGCCATTACGGCGACTAGAGCAGCGAGACCGTCCGCGGCAAAGAGTTGGGTTAGAGCGTTACTATATTTGAGCTCCACATATGGCTCCAAAGGATCTACGTCGTTGCTCGACGGAAAGATCAAGTAGTGCAAGATTCTGCAGGCGGTTATCAGTTGGCCAGGAAGCGACGCGGCCTTCTCCGCGCTCTTTCTGATAGTCTCCACCAGTAATGATACGTCATTGTAGTCCCAATGAGAAGGCTGAGCCGCGGTGGTCAAATACGATGTCACGTCTCTGAGAACAGCGTGTTCGCGCGCTTTTTCCAGTATCAGTTCGGCGCGATTCTGAAGAATCTCGACTCTGTTGGAATAACGGACAATGGCGGATATCACTTCGGCGGCGAACTCGCACAGATTTGAATCCGACAGAAAAGGAATCAGAATGTCTATGAAATCGCCTAGAGGTAGAACCGTGAGAATGGCCCGCAAACCGTCGGGAAAAACGAGAAAGGAGTGCAGTCTCTTTAGGATCATCCAGTCGGAACTTTTCTGTTTCAAATGAATCACACACTGGGCGACTTGAAGACGCCACGCCAGGATGCGACCGGCGCCTGGCATTTCGTATTTTAAGACTTTTAACATCAGCCGAATCACTTCGGTGTCTTTTAGTAGATAAAACAAGCCTTCCCTCGTGTCGGAAAGATGCAAGAGAAAACGACGAATCAATTTAATCACCTTCAGGTCGCAATTGGGCGAAGATAATGTAAGCAGAAGATGATGGGTTAGCTTGTGATGTTCGAAATAAGCAATCAAATGAGCTCGAGGATTGCGACTGTGTTCTCGCTCGATTTCCATCTGCGCACAAGCCGGCAACTGACGCTTAGGCTGCGCCATCAGCGTCGGAGCACACTTGTAAGCGTTTATCAGCTCCGTTATACCAAATTCGTCGATATTCTCGATCTTTTCGAGATATTCGTATATGTGAACTTTGCGAAGAAGAGAGCTGAGAGCGTATTTGAGTCTGGCCAACTTCGCCGTATCCAACATCATCAATGCGTTTCTATACAAATTGTTTCTTGGGTTCAGAAATTCTTGCACTATTATCGGACTGATCAACGCAGCATCCAGAGCTCGCAGAGCGGAGAGTTTCACAGGCAGTGCCACATTTTCGCGCATACACAAAGACAACAATTTGGACGGGGCCTCGACCTTCAGCAAAATCTCCGGTCCAGTTGACAAACGACAGAGAGCTTCTGCTAAACGAACACCAACCTTTACGTGACGAACTTTATATGCGGGTTGTGGCTGAGCCCTAGCGAGTTCCATGTCCAAACCGGCATTGATGACATCGGTCAAGTTATCGACATCGTTCACGTTAGTATCAAAGGGACCCAATATAGCACACAAATGCTCGCAATTGTGAACGAACGTTTCCTTTTCCTGACCGGACGCGTTGTGGAAATGAGATACCGACTTGGACAAGGATTGAAGAATTTCTCTGATCTTCAGCAGACTTTCATAGTTCACGCAAGCGTCTTCCAAGTTTTCCAGCTTTTCCAAACACAACAAATCAGGCAGCATTATTGTATAAGCCTCGTCGATCTGTGAAATTTCGCATTCAAATTCAGTTGCGGACGGAACATCGTCAGCTATTATATCTTCATCGGACAATATGGGCTCGAAGGGCTCGCCGGTTTCTGGCTCTCCAGTCTCTTGCTGCTCCGTTTCTTCCTCTTCGGCAGAGATGGACTCGGGACTCAGGGAGATCAGAGATTCCGTAGGAGGAGGAGACGACGGTCGTTTCGTCGATTTTTCGTCCGTATTGGGTGTCTCTTCTTCCCACTGTCCCGGTTCTACTTTTCCTGTCTCTGATATCGGTGGCCTGGTAGGTTCCACCACGTGGATCGGTTGAGCCGGTGGTGGCGGAGTTGTGGTCACACATGTTTCCTGTTGATCATTTGTGATTAAGCAATCTTAAGTGTGTTTGAATAATGTTTTTTTACATATTTCTATTCATTCAAAAAGTTTTTCTCAAGAGAATATTACTATTGCCATTGTATAACAACATCAAGCATTTTCTTACCGTTGAATTTGTCTGATGCTGATTTTCATAGTACCAGTCAGACTGTTGCTCGGAAGAAACCTGAGCTGTGCTTGAAGAATTTTCTTCAACCGAGGCAACACAAGTGGTAGATCCTGCCGCAGAACTATCTTCTTGGGGAGGATTATTCAGTGATTTGGTTAAAGTGCCATACACTGCCAATGTGATGGTAGTATACCATCCTCTCAGTACCAATCCGTCAGTTGGTATCTGTTTTCGTTCGCATTCCAATTGAATGTGAATATTCTGTTTGTATTCTAAACCGCCCAAAAATTCAAAAGTAGAGGCACCAGGTTTGCTGAGGTCGTTCACAAAAAACTGAATCTCAAATTGAGAAGGATTGGTTGCGCTGCAAGAACAACAATTCATCTCGCAATTCTTAAAAAAGAGTTTTTTTATTCCTATGTATTAATGTTTCTCACAAGTGAAGAAATAACTAGACAATCAGTTAAGCGTCAAAGAGATGAATAGGTTGTTTATTATTACCCAAGTCGCACTCCTCCTGGAAAGTCAGCTTGGACCCGTGCACCCAATGGAATTATTCTCACCTCGCTAATATAAACAGGTTTGGGAAACTGAACCAGATCCAAGTTCAATTCCTGCAGGGAGATAAGGCGCATTTTTTTTTTATTTTTATAGGACAACAAGTGTTTGCGTTAAAAAAAAAAAAAAAACAAAACAAGAGAAAACAAATTTCAGAATGTGTATAAAAAAAAAAAAATGTGTTTTAATTAAATCACACAGACCTCCGAGATATCGTGGGAAAAAGTGTCGAAAAACAACAATTCGATATTATCCATGTTGACAAATTATATTGCGTTTATATCAGCGTCAAATCGAATCTGTCCTCAGACATTTTTTGCGCACTTGTAGAGATTTTAATACAAGTTTAACACTAGTTTTTTTTAATATACAAAAGTTACAAACGTAAGAGATTATTCACATTACAAGTGATCGGATAATTTCTGTGTACCCGACACGGGGGTGTAAATTCTTAAACTTAACCTAATAACTCTCTTCACCGTGGATAAACAACGTACGTAAAAGAAAAAAACAATTAAAGGAGAATTTACATTTCAACACAGGCGTTATATCTCTAATGGAAAAACTTCGTTTTCTGGAGATAAAAATAAAATCACCAGAAAACACGTGTTTCGATTAGTCAAGAGAAAGTCGTCAGTTGCGTTGGAAATTCTCCGTTTAGATTTGGAGGGGTGGGGGGTGAAGAGAAACACATGGCGATGTTCCGCAAGTGTCCATGTGCGGGCTGACACGTGAACGAAAAACCGCGGAAACGCGTATTTTAGATAATAAAGTGTAAAATAGAGACAAAATGGACGAGCCGGTTCGTAAATCAAAGAGAGCGCGCAAGCGAAAATTGCAAGATGAAGAGGAAACGTCGACGAAGAATGCGAAAATCGACCGTGTCGAGGAAACGAGCGTAGTATCGCAACAAACTACTGATTCCGAAGAAAATAACGCGGACAACAATGTTACCGGCGTCGAAGATCAGAATGAATTTAACGGACAGTTTCTGAAAACGGAACTTTCGTCCTCCTCTTCCACCGCTGATGGTTTAAACGCTCTTAGAAAATTCGTAACTATATGCAAGGAAAACAAAACGAGAAATCTGACGGCGGAATATCTGCTCGCCGGTGGCAATGTTCTCGAAGTTATCAAGTTGTTGGATTCCGATAGAAAGAACATGGGTAACGCCGTCACAGTTTTCTCGGCAGTCAATATTTTAATCATGAAGTACGTGATGATAAAAATTGTCTCTCTGCAGAGTTTTATCAATAATTTATAATAATACACAATCGAGAAATAAATAATTTTTGTTTGTAGGATCTTGGCCGAGCATCCTCAGTACCTGGACAGCACGGTGGAAGCTTGTCGCCACTTGCTAAACTCGCATATGTCTGTTGTGTATTCCATGCTTTCGCCGCAGAGCAATGTCAAGCAGCGCAAAGTTGTGCTAAAGGCGCTTACGGCGATAGTGTCTCTGGACAACAGTCTGGCCAGAGAGCTGCTCATTCATCTGTCACTGCAACGCCAGACAATGGAGAATCTGGTGCAACACACCAAGCCCGCAGACCCTCAAAATGTTAGAACGTGTTTTATTCATTTTGTTCTTGCTTTCCTTGTGGAAGCGAGCGCGCCAGTAATCAGGATGTTGTTGGACAAGCACTATCTACTTTCTCGTATCTTTCCCGATATGCTGTACGATTCGCAAGATGTAGTTGTTTTGGTTCTAACTGTTGTGAGGAAATACGTGCTGGAGAACAACGACATTAGCAAAACCATGAAGATGCATGTGTTCTCCACAAGTGTTGTGTTGAATTTGTTGTCGCTGTACAATTGGAAGGGTCCAAACAATTGGAGCAAAAAGACCAAGAAGAACAAAACTCAGAGTACTGACGAAAGCGAGGCGTTTTTATCTGACAAAGAGGTGAATTTTTAATAGTATGCGTTATGCGCATGTATTTTTGCATTAAAATATTTATAGATGTTTCTCTTTCATCGTTTTTTTTTTTTTGTATGCGTGATTGCTAGATTGTCACGAATACGGTTCACGAGTTTTTAATCACTCTGCTGACATCGCATCGTCACGGAATTATCTTCCACGACCGAACGTTGGGCAGTTCGCAAAACAAACACAATCAGCTGTTGTATACGGTTCTTCAGAATGTTGAAAAACCTTGGGAACACAAAAAGCCGTCAGAGCTGGTCGTTAAAATAATGGCCGCGTGTCCGGATCTTATTCGTTCGATATACAACGCTGTAGAGCCATTTCTTGAACCGCGAGTATCTCCCAAGTGGATTTGTCTTCTCAAATTTATCGAGAAGGTAAAGCAAAAACATTTGTCTCACAAGATGTTCCGACAATTGCTGTTCTGTGTATTATTTTCTCACGTAGCCATGTTTCATTTTTACAGATAATTACATCAGTTGACTGGGTCAGTCATGTGAAAAATCCTAAAATTTGCGGTTCGGATGTGTATGTTCAAACGGGCTTGAAAAGAACAATTCTGTCATTGACACTTCCAAGCGTAGTAATGAAAACTGCCATTCTACCGGGATTAGATCACGACGATCTTGTTGTTAGACACGAAGTCTTGAATCTTCTCTTGGCGATGGTTCAACAGCTGAAAATCATTTCTTCGACAACAAATCGCTTTATCTTTCGAGGACACTTAACGGATTTTATTCTGGGTATTATTCCTAACGCGGAAATGATTCTACGAACGTGGAATCGAGTCTTCGAAGCTGGCTCCGATGCAAACGCTCCGGAAAACGTAGAAGATATCGAATATCCAGAAATACTAGATCATCTCGACGTCATTTTGAACGTTCTTTGCGCGTACAAAGATGTGTGTCCGGAATTGTTGGATGGTTTAACACATTCGCAGTCGAGTCTGTTGTTATCGACCTTAAATAATCTTCAAAGTGATAAAAGATACGAAGAAAAAAATGAAGCGGAGAAAATAAACCGTATGAAAGTCAAGACGATACACTTTCTACTTGGCTTCGATCTCTCCATCTTTGCGCCCAAAGAGAAGATGTTCAAAGATGCTCTTCTCTTTCTAATAACGTTGATACATCAAAAAGCGACGCCGGAAAATTTTGACACCATCAGAACTTTATTGAACGCTACCGGTCTGTTTGAAGGTTGCGAGGATCAACTGGACATTTGGATCAATGGGTTTCTGGTGGTGCAAAATCCCGAAGAATTGATACCGTGGTTCATGTCCGTTCTTAAAAACGCCATTAAACACACTTATAGATATATAGATCAAATAACACAAGCGGAAAAAACGCTAAGCGATCAGATGGCCAATCTGGATGTTGAAAAAGCAGACGACATAATTAATTATTTGTTTGACAAAGCTAACAAACCTCACGATCCTTCTAACGAGAAGCTTTATAGAAAAAAGAATTATATTGCGACAAAGCGCATGTGTGAAAAAGATTGCGAGAAAAAGAAAACTGAGAGTGAGATCACTCGGCTGCTGAATAAAACGAATCCTAAGGAGTTTCCTCTTTATGTTAATAACCATTTTTGTGATAGAGTTCTTTCCGCATCGACTCAAGTTAATGGACAAAGAGATCGTTCTGGTCTAGATTGTGTAAATAATTTTTGCACAGCTGTGTCGCCGCTTTTATACTGCGCGCTTCAAGAAATAAACAAGAAAAGTTGTTCCAGCGCTAATTCAGACTACTTGTCTTACGTGATGGTCCATACGTTACATCATCAGGTTGTTCCGAATCTGTTGGTTCACTTGGCCACAGATTCGACCGATCTTCCGGTTTACAAATACTTAAAAAGCTGGTCGAATGACAACCAACCAATTTCCCTGAAGGATAAGTTGCCGTTCTTAAAGTTACCGCACAAAATAAGCAACATGTTGCTGGCGGATAGCAAATTGGACATGACCAAGTTTTTAAAAGCGTTCAACGATGGCGATTTAACGTGTTGTTTCAAATACAACGACGAGGAAGTCATTATCAGACATTCCTTGTCTCTGTACGACAGCACACTGCTGTTGAGAATGACCGTTTTTTACTTGGCGCAGTTGGCACGACGTGGGATCTTGCAACAGGCTCAGAAAGAAAATTGCGAATTCGTGCTGGTGTCTGTTTTAAATATAGCGCAATCTACTCGAGAAGACAAAGAAGAGTTCGACAAAAACATATGTATTTTCACTCATCCCATTCTGTTGCGCCACTTCTCACTGTTTTGCGAGGAATCTTCGATAGAAAATATGATCACCCAAACCATGTTGAGGGTCTCCAAGGCTGTTGTGTCTTTGTACGATAAACACGACGATGAAAAACTTTACAATATCTTTTTCGGAATCAGAAATAAATTCGTCTCAGAATTGGAGAGTGTTGTTGAAACAAATCCTCTGGAAGTTCGCGACAATAAATGCGACGTTGTTATCGCGTCGCTTGAAATATTGCAGCTGAGCGTGCAGGACATCGCAAGTTTGTTGCTTGCTCTAGTAAATCTAGAAAAGATTGTATTCACTTCGAGCGATGAACAAAACTTGTCCGTGTTCGGACGTATCGTTCCAATATTGTTGAACATGTATTGCAGCAAGTCGCCGTCCGCCGAGTTGACCGACCAGTTTGTAAAGAGGTTGAGCTTGCATCTGGTACATCTGAAGACCGATCGAGTAGACGTGGCAAGTTGGGAAGAAGCTTTGACGAGATATTTGACCATCTTTCCATGCGATATTGCCGATGTTAGCGGCGATGTTTTCGGATTGTTGTTAACACGAAGCATTAGCAAATCCACGATCCGGCTGATCGCGCTGTTGATCGACAAAAATACCGAACTGATACCGTCGTTGGTAAAGTACTTTCTCAAAACGGAGAACATAAAGCAGCGAGACGTCGTGTTTCCAATATTGGGCAGCAACTTGAGATACAAGTGGAACAAACAGTTTCTTCGACGTCTTTATAAGTGTTACAACAAAGATATCGCTGCTTATTTAACCGATCCGCAGAATTCTGTATCCTGGATCGAAGAGAACGCAACGGCGATCGCTCATCTCATTGAGAACACTTTCGATATTGGTCTGTGCAAGAAAATTTGCGACGTTATTTCCCAAAGTGGCAACAAATTGGACACGGTGTCCGTTTGTTTCGTAGAATTGTTGGAAAGTTTGTACAAGAGATACGAAAGTCTGGCGACGCTCAAGGAGAAGCCGCTGACGGATTTAATACTGATGCTGTTGCACGTGGCAACACTTGCGTTGAAAAAGGAGTCGAAGAACGTGGAAAAAATCAAATTCTTGTACAAAAAGTTGGACGACACGATGATTCGTCTGAAGAAGATCAGGTGTGACTTCACATTTGCGTCACTGAGCAACAGCAACTCGTGGCCGCAATTCACCAGGTTTTCTCTCAAGTTGGGTATGAAAAATCCCGAGGACGATCGCACGCAGATAAATATATTAAAAACTCTGAGCAATTTGTGTGATGTTGCGTACAAAGACAATTTTGACGACGAGTACGCTAAGACGTTATTCGAAATGACAACATCACATTCGGAGTTTGTTAATATCATGCTCGGATCGTCCACTGTTAAAGGTGAATCTTCTCGCGAACAATATATTTTTTTTTATATTTCAAAAGAACAGATAAGAAACAAGTTTTCAGTCAAGGTAGAACGTAGCGCGTTTTATTATTTATAGGTGATCTGGTCGAATTGCTGAGGATACTCACTCGAAAGAATCGTTCGGTAATAAGCGTCTCGCACGTGCCTGTTTATCTTGCCGCTTACAGCGCTACCCTCAGCTATGTTGATCAACGCATTTTACAGGTAGAGAAAACAACGTGGTGTCGCATCAATCGGAGGAATATCGGAGTTACGACGATCGCGCGATTGTTTTTTCAGATTCTTCAACATTACGAATCTCACGACGTCAATCTTCAGCAGTACTGGCCGTATTTGTGGGGAAACGCCGCGGCAACGCGTTATAGCGTAAGAGGAAAGACGGATACCGCTCTCTGGAGACAACCGTCCACTTCCGAGATCTTCAACTTGTTCGACAAGGACATCGTCGGTGAAACTATAACAAATTATCCTGTACATAGAGCGTTAAAAGTGAGTAGTGTATTTTGCAAAATAATTCAATAATATAAATGTAGATAATTTATATTCTGTTTCTTTTTCACACACACACACACACACACACACACAGGATGATAAGTTGCATGAGAATAGTAACGTGTACGATCCAGCATTTTACTTGCCGCTGTTGTGTTCTTTATTGGCGGAGAACAATATTGTCGCTTGTCACAGGATAAATCAGACTGGCGCGTTAGCGTTAGCGCTAGCCTCGTGCTGCAGCAGTTCCAATGATGTTCGAATGATAGCGTACACCATCATTTCTAGATACTACTTCCATTTGGAAGCGTCTAAGTACGATAATCTAATTTACAACAAAAGTGATAGAGATATTCAATCAACAAATCTATTTAGAAGATCAAATGAACGTGTTTTCTGAGAGAAAATAATTTTTAAATTTCGATTTTTTTCTCTCTCATCCAGGTCCAAAGAGAAGAAGTTATGGATGCGTTTGATTGACGTTTTACGAAACGGCATTACGTCCTTAAATGGTTCACTGAAAGATACTCGTTTAAGTTGTCTGGTTACCACTTTCCTGGCCAGAGCTTCGCTGATCGCTACTCAACCTCTCCATCCGCTCTATCTGCCGTTGCAGACATTTCTGATGGCTAAAGCCGCTCTTGATCTGAACACTATACCTGAATTGCTGCCGTTGTTGCACAGCTCTCACGTGGAGCACAAAGCGCATCGTCACTGGATCCTGGAAAATATTCGAGACGGCATGAGGGAGGAGAGCGACGTGAATGTAGCACTGAAATGCTTTGCGTTCAAGATGCTCTTAGACTTTTACACCAGTACACTGTCAGATGCAAAGACCAAGGTGAGAGTTAAAGATTATTGCTTACTAAAATTTATATAATCGCGTATTACTCATTTAAACGCATAATGAAATTTGTGTTGCAAACTTTATGTCTACTTTTGAAGTTTTTATTTATGTATATTAATATATTGATATATTATTATAAAATATATTTATATGCGTGTGTGTATATATAAACAGCTTAATATAAATTATTAATTTGTGTGTCAATATAAAGTGTTCGATTTGTTTTCTCTTTAGAAACTGATATTGGAAGTCATTGTTTCCGCCACCAGAATCCCCAGCGCGTCCCTGCTTCTTATGCGGGGATACGGTTTGCTTTCTTGGTTGTACGAAATTACCACCTACTGCAACAGTAATACGTACATGAACATTATGGTTTTAATTGAAAATCTATTGAACAGTTTGGAAAACTTGACGGAAGACACCACTCACTATAAATTCATGTTGCACAACAGTGTTTTACAGTTGCAACAGCGATCAAACGAGATATCAAAATTATAAAATTTATGTGTTTAACTGCATTTTTATCCAGATTTCCTATGACCAGAACAAAAACACACACACGCGTACACATGATGTACACCAATTTTGATAAATAAAATCAATTTCTCTACAAAGTACAGATGTTGCTGTTGTAACTCAAACCAATAGAAGATATGAATTTTTTCATGTACCTTTCTTCCTTTACATTTTCTGTTTTAAATAAATGTTGGGTAAAAAGTATAGACGAAAACGTCAGCATGTCGATTCGCGGCTTGACAGTATCGATGGCGCAAAACCAATATTACTCCCTGTAAGTTTCGTAGCTGTCTCAATCTTCGCCCCTTACGCCACTTATGAATTTTAGGTAAATCTCTTTCTATACCTAATCGTAGAGCACATTCTTCTAATTCGACTTTAGAAATGTCAGTCGATTGTGAACATGTAGAGGTTTCCTCCTCAACCACTTTGGGTTCGGTCTTGCACAAAGTATTAAGTTTTCTCATGATATCTTGTGCTTTCTGTGACCGCAAGGCTAAATGGGCGCAAAAATCTTGGTCTCTCCACGATAAGAAAGCGGTCGTTAGAGTATCTCGCTTTGAATAAGATTCAACGGTACAAATATCGTCTATTCGTCTTCCTCTTAAAACCTCCTCTCTTTCGTTTTCCGCTAGATAGGCGTGTCCCCGCGGATGGCCCTTCTCAATCCATGCTTGGTCAAGAAACAAAGGATGATGAAAATTGTTTTGCGAGTAATCTAGAATCTGTTTTGCATCCGCGATTGACGTGCCGCAATAACGCGCTCCTCCTATTAACAATAACTTCCTGCCGTTCTTTCCCAATTGAAGTATCTTTTTCATCTTGGCATCCAAATGTCGAAAGTTGCTCATTAACTTCACCAAAGTCCATCCTCGCAGTGTTGATGGATCTTGTCCGATTTGAGATCCGATTACGGAAAATAAACAGCTGTTCAAGTTCAAACTAACGTTGGTCGGATCTTTGCCGTGTTTCAGTGTCCAGTGTCCTAAATGAAAAAAAAAAAAAGCGATTCGAGAAAATTTACGACGCGCGAATGTATTTGTGACTTTTTTTTTTTTTTATCTGTTGTAGAGTTTTTTGAGAAACAATAAAAGACCTGACCTGTTTGTTCCGGATCAGTCGTATGATATTCTACGTCTACAGGGTTGCCTGTTTTTTCTTTGCCAACAACCGTGTATAAAGTCCCATCATTATTCCATACATAAATGGGTCTTTCAATTTTCGCACTCAAGACGATCAAGTGGATAATGCTGGCTGGCCCATGATGTTCTAGATCTTTTATCATTTTTTTCGCGCGACCGAACGATCGAAGCATTTTTTATATTTTTCACAAAATTATTTGGATATTTTTCACAAGTGCACAATAAAAGGTGCTATTACTGAAGTAGTCTTTTTTTTATCGAGTTGTATTTATAATTTATAAGTTTCCTGTCTAAATGCAGTTTTTTATGTTTTACACATACGCACATTTTGTTCAAAAAGACATTATTTTTAAATTCTCAGTTTCTTTTACAAGTTTATATAGCCAGCTTTGTTTTTTTTTTTTTTTTTTTTTTATAATATGTTGTTCCACGTGAGCATTAATTAAAAATATATAAAAGACCGCAAATCAGTAATAGCACTCAAAAAAAAAGCAATTGCTTATTGTCTGTACGATTTTACATCTAGAAAAAAATGTTTTTGTCAAAAACTTTCTCATTTTAAATTGCATTTTAATACATTTGCGCACATTTATATTTCATACTTACTTTACGCGTTTATTTGTTGTTTGTATTTGTGCGGAGAAGAGAGTGCGAATTTATATATATTAATATACATTTCTTGTATTTGTTTAAATGTTTTTTTTTTTTTCTACGAGAACTACATGATGAATTTATCTAAACGCAACTTTCGTTGCCTTGTGACTGATCTTGTGGCGTTTCGGCGTTTGTAATGACGATTTGTCGTCATTTATTTGTTTTTTTTTTTTTTTTTTTTTTTTTTTTTTTTGGCAGTCATTTTTTAAAACGAGTCAATTTTCTCTCGATAAAAAAAAAATTCATATCATACCACTTCGTAAATGCAAATAATATCTATCTACCGGGTTACACTTAGACAATTTCACAAAACAAAGATATATTTATTGTAAATATGGTTTGCATAAAAAAAATTATATACATCAATTATCTAACAATGTATTTTTTTTTTTTAATATTTATATTTCCAGTACTCTGTCAAGATAGACAATTTGTGTCTCACACATGCACGTCAAGTTTTTACATTTATGAGTATGGCTATTTGATGGCACGAGAGTCATCATTAGTTACGCCGTTGGCCGATGCATAACAGATTCGTAGTCGGAAATACATAGTCCGGTTGCCGTAGGAAGGTGACGAGGACGTGGAAGAAGGGATAACAGTGCCGGCTAACGAATCGTATATTAAGTTTTACTCATTTGGCATAGATGAAGTTTAATCTACGTATTTAATTTGTATATATTAATTAATTTATTAATAATAAGAGAGAGAATACAGATTTTACTTTCTGAAGATTACAAAGACATTACTTTTTGTACATGTATATATTAACAATGGTAGTTTGCTGTCATAAAAGAAATAGAAACAAAAGTAGCAACAAAATTTTGCGAAAGATTATAGTCATATTCGTAAACAATGCGATAATGCGAATCGATTTCCAAAACGATGCAATCAAGTGCGTTTACGTAAGTGTAAGAAATTATATCATACATTTCTTTTTTTTTCTCTTTTTTATATTGTTTTTGTTTTTGTTCCTCAAACTTTCTCATCGCGGAATCAAATAATTAGTTTATGTGGCAAATCGAAATTTAGCTCCCCGCCATCTTGGGTGTTACTTGCGCCGACACTGGTCCGAGTCCGCTTCTGGAGAACCGCTTGATCGCGATTCGCGGCTTTCTCCCGCGATCCGACCAGTCTCGGTGCAACCGTCTTTCTGACTCCCAGGTGAACATGTCCTCGAGAGTGCGCATCTACGTCCACCGCCTCAGCGAGATGACACGATATCGCAAATTTGGATTATGCCGTTGAGGAAATCGAATTGTGCTCGCAAGTGCTCGCAACGGAATTGCTTGTTTCGAATGAAGGGAGTTTTTTTTTTTTTCGTGCTTGTGATACTGTGCGAATTCCGAAGAGGAGAGAGAATGACGAAGTTCTGATCGGAAGAGCGATCGAGATACGAATTTCTAGTCGCACTTTCTTCAAAATTTTGTTCAATCTCTCGTGTCTCTAACACTGGAGAGGCAACAAACTACAAGCAAATACAATTGGGTACGAAAACTACAACAAATGTTGCGTTGTTCGACTGTTTTTTTACAATGTAAAAAGAACTCCGTGTGCAAATGTAAAAAGAAAACTTTTGAAGGCGAAACTCAGCGAACTTTTTTGATCTCTTTCGAAATCGTCCAGATTGCCAACGTAGATCTCGCGAGATTCCCATCATATATTGCGGAGAAAACGTTGCAAAGCAAATTGCAAATCGCGAACAAAAATTCGTTCGCATTCGAGCGTAATAATAAAACTCAACTTTTGTACACAAAGAGATATTTTCTTTAATTTTTTAGATCTATATCACACGAGATCGAGTGATGCAACGCGCGCACGCGGGGAGCATTGAGATCTTCTCCAGGCGTTGAAGTCTCCGTACTCGCAGTTAAATTTCGCACCGAAGTTAGAATTGTGCCGCAAAACTTTCACGTTCGAGTTTGTTTTTTTTTACTTTCTTGTTGTTAACAATTCAATAATTATAATCAATTTCGCCGTGGAACTTCGACAGAACTCTCTTTCTTTGAAAAAAAAATTGTGTGTGTGTGTGTGTTCTGAAAATCTTGGTTCGATGCGCGATACTTGTGAAATCGCGTTCTTTGTGCAACATCCGTTCGGAGTGTTGTAAAAAAAAAAAAACAGCAGTGATGTGACTTTGTGCTTTTCGCGGTGAATGTTGTAGAAAGCAAAGTTGTCCGACACAATTTCGATTCACGGATTAAGGATTTACTTTCGCAAACAACAACGCGTTCTGGACAAGCGTATATGGCCGGTAAGTGCGTTTTCCATTTGGTATTTCATCTAATATTTATTTATATTATATATATATATAAATGGTGCGGTATAAAAATGGCGCGAGCGTCGAACATGTGTATAAGAATTAAAATATTATCGGTGTCGATTTTACACGAGTTGAAGAAGTTGAGTCAAAGAAGTAATAAGAAAGAAACACAGAGACAGATTTTTGCTTGAATTTATCTGAAATGTACTTATTAAGCGTCGTCGTCTTTTATATCTTCTCTCGCAACTTACAACGTAAAGTATCTTTTAACATTCAAATTTGCGTTATACACACACGAACATTTCGAATAAACCATAAACCCGGGGATTTTGTATATTTGTCGTTTTTAATGACCTGCGAGACCGGCCGGTCCCGATCTCGCTCGCGCTCATCTCACATTTCGCGCGGCTCAGTAGTTTCTCGCGGCGCGCGATTTCTGAAATTTGTAACGTCTATAACTGTGATAATAGTAGCCGGTCGGTTCCAGATCATTTGCACAGACAGAATTTTGTTAGCGGCGCGCGAATTATATAGCTTGTTGAAGCGCTCTCTGTACATCCCATGTACACATAAAGGTTTTACTGGAAGGCATAAATACCGGTTTCGCGCGAGTTAGCCTGGGCGCAAGTATTCGCTCGCTTGTGCGCGCACGTGGTTGTTACAATACATGTGTACGTTCACACGTGGTGGCGCCGTGTGGTGTGGATATTATATTCCGCGAATATACCAAACGACGCGGCTACGCGCTCGCGCGCGAAACTCTCTCTTATGCAATCGCACGTGTACGTTTGAATTCAAAAAAAAAGTGACGCTAGTACGCGGTCGGACGCGACTAATAACAGCGTCGCAGCGTCTAGTTCTCTTGGACACTTTCTACTTTCTCCCTAAAACAAACACTTTATTAACGAGCGCGCGCGCGCGCGAACCGGAGAAAGTCTGTAACGCGACGGACATCGACTCCGCGAGGAATTTGCGATAAATTTGTTATATTTGTAACAAATTCTATATATATATATTTTTTTTTACACAAAAATGTGGGTAACATCGTCTGAATTGTATCAGATTGTTATTTATCTCGGAAATTAAATAAGAAGAGGCGCAGTTTGATCGAAAACACACAGGTTGTCGATCGCAATCGGTTCGCGTGCAATCTGTGTCCCTCTGAAATTTACAACAAGCCGCAGAACGGTTTCGCAGTTATGGACAATCGCGTTTTTCTATCGGGTTTTTTATAAGATTCTCGCGAGAGAGAGAATGAACGAATAAAGCAATAAAATTATGTCGTCTCGATTCTTCGAACCTGAGTTTTAGTAACGTATTTTAAATTCTAGGTTCTAGAATGCGTATCCTTATATGTATCTCATCCTCATTATACACCTCATCGAACAAGAAATTATTCCACTTTTTATGGATTCTCTCTCTCTCTCTCTCTTCCCAAAGCGCAAGGCTTCTTCATTGAGACGTTAACCTCTTAATTTTCGTCTCATTTGTTATGCCTGAGTGTGTTCTGAATTCTAAATAATCTCCCGTTTAACACACTACCGGCTCTAAGTAAATCCAAATAAAGCTCTCAATTTCTTGTGTGTTAAGTGGCCACGAGCCACTTAGTGCAACGAAAGTGTCCAGGTGCGGCGATTGCGGGATATAATTTGTGCATTTAATCTTCGAATGAAATGGGATCTCTTTCTCTCTCTCTCTCTCTCTTTCTCTCCTCACAGGTTCTCGATAAAAGTCGTCTTCCCGGCGATGCCGGATAATGGTCGGAATGCGCAGGAATGTGTGGGACGGAGAGAACGGGCGCGGGGGGGGTTTGAGAGAAGTCAGAGCGCGCGGAGAGACGAGAGTAGATAATTGTCAGGTACTTTCCCGGGAGTAGCACGCACACGTGCGCCGTCGCGCTCTCAAGTTTCTCACACGAACATGAGATCAAATTGTCTTACAATCAAGCGCGAGAATCAACACTTTCCCATTAACCGAATAAGGATTGAGTAATTAAAAAGAGCAACAACAACAAAGTGGACGTTTTTTTTTTTTTTTTATATTAAAAATCCACGTTGGTCTCGCGAATCTTTTCGTGTCTCGCTTTGTGTGTCGTTTATTATGAAAACAAAACAATAGACAACAATAACGTAATATCACACATGAAACGTGAATATAATTAGAAGTTAAATATTTTTTACGTGGCGCGCAATATGTCAAGTACGCGGAGTCACTAAAAATCGACGACGCGAGCCAACGTAAAATAATCAGCATTGCGATGACAACTCGAGTGTGTGTTGTTGAGAATCTTCTCGCATATTTGCCAAGTTCGTGACACTCAAAAACAAAGGTTGGCAGCCTGTTTCTGGGCGTGGTTGGCCGTTATAGAACGTATATAGCGTAATATATCCTCGAACGAGAGATGTGTACGTGTATGTACAAGAGATATTCGTCGTTCCTTGATTCGAAACCCGAACTGCGCTGGATTTCGACTTTATTGCGATAAGTCATATACAATATATATGTATCGAAACGCGCATCGGGACGAGAGATAAAACATTTCCGGAGAACGTAGCGGAGAGAAGAAACGTGCGTTTGCGGCTGGCCACCGTCAGGCATGCGACTTGTTATGCTAAGCTTCAAGGATTTAAGACTCGCGTGGAAGGATGCATCGGTGGAATGCTCACGGCGATTCTAGTTGCACAACCATTAGGGCATTGCCCGAAGTGGACCGGAACGCACCGCAACGCGCCATTTCGATTTATATATGCATATAAAAAAAAAAACAAAAAAAAAAATAAAGAAAATAATACGTTCCGCTTAATAAAACTCAGAGTTCGAGATTATAGTTACGACACGCATTTTGGTTTGCTCTTTTATTCGTTTATTCTCTCTCGCGCGCGAGAATCTTAAAAACCCGATGGGGAAAAAAACGTAACTATCCGTAACTGCAGAAAACGTTTCTGCGGATCGCGTGACTTGTTGTAGAAAAACGGTTGTAAATTTCGCGCGGATAAATTGCGCGCGGATCGCGAACTGATTGCGATCGATAACCCGTTTCCGATTTGAATTGCGCTAAAACAGCGGGGAGCGCGCTGAAAAAAAGAATCCTCGCGAGCGGGGACGAACGGTCGGAGAGCGTCGCGATACGCTTTTGAGAAATGAATCGCGGTGATTAATACGACCTCGCGAAAAGATTACGTTTGTATAATGCAAACGTTTATGATGATAGACGTAAAGATATCTTCAGACAAATGCGCGCATGTATTATTAATAAATATGCTTATAAATTTTATCTAATATTGATTATATATACGTGCGCACCACTTTTTTTCTCGTTATACATTCGTGTTGTTTTTTTTCCCTCCGTTTCCTTTCACCAAGATGGTGACAGCTGTTGGATTAATGACCGATGAAAGAAATGGCAATTTTCGAAGTTTCCTCTTCGTTTTTCCGATCGTACAACGCGCCATTTTCAGTTTATAACGCGGGATAATAATTAACGCCGACCTTGAATATTATTGGCGTGGTATTAAGTCGTTACGTCGAATTGGCGGTAAAAACACGATTGAAAACGCTTATGATAGCAATTTCGTTGAGCTGCCCCGATCGTCGCGACACGATCACACACTTTTGTTTCTCTCGAGAATCCATCCAATTTTTTTCGGCAAAAAAGAAAAATACAACTTCCGTTGTGCGTTTCGCAATTAATTCAATTTTCAATTGTTGTGCGAGTTCGCGCGCGCGCACACACAAAGACGCGAACGTCCGTCTCTCGGACGATTGTTTTACTTCGTGATTATTAAAATCAGAGTATATAGCTTTTCTCGCGTTATATCTTCTTCTCTTCGGCTGAATAAAAAAAAAAAAAAGATATTACGCGCGGCGTATAATCGACCCTGCTTATTATGATGTGATCGTGACGTGATCACATCGCGGCAGGAAACACCGTGATCCATCTCGAGATGCGCCATTATCGACGTCGTAGACAAAATAAGTACGACATAAAATTGCTCTTCCTCCCTTAAATATAGACCTGTGTAAATATAAAAAAGACCTTGTCTCTATAAAAACAAAAAAAAAAAAAAAGTCTGTAAACTGTAAATATAAAAAAGACCTTGTCATCTACCTTGTGATCTTTTAATACTTCGTACAGAGAAAGTAACGGGGGTTTAAAATATAAACTCCCCGTTCGGGGTCTCTGTTCTCAAATTATCTAAGTTGACGGACACCGATCTGATTCCCGCGAACAATGGAATTTGTTTCTTTTTTGAAAATATTGTAGCGCGGAAATTTCGTAAAATTCGTTTTCGACGAACTCGAGGCGCGGGAATATAGTTTTTTTTTTTTTTTACACTCGTTACCTCAACGGTTGTCACGCCCAATGGCATTTGAGCGGTTAACGGAGCGCAATTCCGTCGTCTCACACATGCCCGATGTTCGAATTCGGTGCCCCGGCGCGTGACGATACTGCGCCATACGTTGGATATAAATAAATAATGTAATTACTAATAATAGGACGTGCGCGTTCGCAGTTCGTCGAAATCGACCGATCACTTCCGTTCGTTTAATCGACCGATTAAATTAACCGAGGGAGTCGACGAAAAACCGGCCTTTATCAACTCTTCCCGATGCGAATATAAACGTTCACGAGAACACAAAACAAACACACATCACGTAGGTAACGCGACTAAAACGAAATTCCAGGTCAGAGAGAAATTATATCGATAGACTTTGTTCGAGTCACAATCGCGTTAATTAATCGCGCGCGTCTATCTGGTCGGAAACTTTCACGAAGTCGTAAAAAATCACTCGTTGCTTTCCTCGCGGCCGACGTTACTTATTTCTGGCGTCGTTATACGACTGGGCAAAAAGAAATAATCGCCCCACGAGCGAGATTAATGTTTCAAAACGGACGACGATGCCTCCTCGGAGCCTTCTCACTCCGCGGCGGAGAGTTGTAATAGTCTACCTCATTAGCAGACGCACTTCGGATCCTAGATCATATACCGCCACAACGGGCACCGGGGATAATTTACCGTTCGCACGTTACACGAATTAATATAAGAATCTCGGGGGGGCAGAATAAATATCAAGTTGTGCGAGAAAAAAAAAAAATCACACACACACGCGAGCTTCAATTATCCGACGTAAATGTTTTAACTCGCTTCGTATTGTTGTTTTAGCGAATAAAACAAAAGTGGTCAAAAAAAAAAAAGAAATAGTTTATTTAAATCGTAAGATAATATGAATATGTGAATTTGTGCGAAAAGCGACAGGGTACATGACGATTTCGAGAAGCTCGTATCGCATGCAGCTAAGTATCAACCTGTCGTGTCTAAAGGTGATATTGTTTTTGTTGCAGATGCGCGACTGGAATGGCAGAAAAGTTGCGCGAGGCGGCTGCTTGTGGCGACGTTGCTCGACTCACACGTCTGCTTGATGCGAACGTTAAACCGTTACCCGACGAGGTACAATATATATATATATATATATATCCAACCCTTTGAATCTCTAAAGAACAAACACGCGAAGAAGGGAAACAATCGGCGCACCCGTAAACAAAAATGAATTTTAAAAATGTACAATTAGTTTACGCCGCAAAACATATTACGTTTCGAAACGAAAAAATTTTTCTTTCGTTAACATTCCGAAAACTAGTGAAATCTCGAGATAGAATAAGTCTTTCGGTAAAATAATTAATATGTAATTAAGAAAACGCGTGCACGCACGCGCACACGACTAACGCAAAGCGTTAAATTGAATTCCTTCCGTAATTACTTGTGCAATGTTAGCTCGGAGGGAAAACTCTATTAATAGCATTCGAGCACGACTCTGTGGCAGCAATATATTAATTTCATCTATTAATTAATTTATCCTCACGCGCGCGATTTCTTACATATATATATATATATATATGCATATATATGTGCGTGTTGTACACGTTGTTATCTCTCTTGCATACGTTAGATTAGCTTCAGAACGCGGATAGACGTTCGCGCGGCGCACAACATTTGTCCAACGTGTCGCGGAATGTACGAGCGGAATATGCAGACTCCGTCCGATTGATTGCTTGCGTGCACTTATTATGATCGCGCTTCTACTTTAATTATGTCGATTAGATTAATCGCTGATCGACGACTTTTATTACCCCGTCGGGGGGGGAAATTGATCAATTAATTGGTATATACTCCACGTCGCGCGGAAGATGCAATACATATAATTTCGAAATAAATTCTTATCCGGAATGGAATTGATTAGTCAATTAATTTTCACACTTTGTCGGACGTCTGTGCCTGGGAGAAGAAGATATCACTCTCTCGAATGTTTTCGGTTGCGCGCGACTTCTTAATTAGTTGAGTTTTATCTCGTGCGCGCGCGTTTATTGGCCGTGTGCGAGGATGTTCAAGATTCCTGTCATGTTTTAGAATGGCCGTGGGCCCCTGTTGCTGGCCGCGGCAGGTGGCCACGTGGAAGCGTGCGAGGCCTTGTTACTGCGGGGCGTCGATGTCAGTGCCACGGACGACGTGAGTATATAATATGCTGTCTAAATATTATACGTTATATTAAAGTATTTACACATTCCACGAGCGCAAAGACTTAGACTCGGTCCCGAACAGACAACGCGGATTGTCAATGGTGAAAATTTTTGTTATCACATAAAAATATATCCGCGAGTTCTATAATCAATTTTCTTTCTTCCCCAAGAAAAATACCCAAACCAGCGAGTTATTACGCTCTTTATTTATTGTTGATGTTGCGAGGCAAACAGATATCTTCAATCTCTTCGTGTATGCGATTTCCGGTCATAGGTCAACTAGAAATGCGTCTCTTCTCACTTCGTTCCGCCTGTTCTATCATTCCTCTTTCTTCTTCCTTCTCTTTTTATATATATATATATATATATATATATATACCGTATACTCTCTGTCTCTCTCTCTCTCTTTCTTTCTTTCTCTCGCACGTGTGCATAGTCCGGCTAAGACGGATAATTTCACTTCTCGATGATAGAAAATGCCCGGCGAGCGGCGATCTTTTCGAGAAGAAGATTGTGGGAGGAGAAAGAGAGGATAATATAGAGAGAGAATTAATCGATGTCGAAGTCACGCGCGCGCGCACAAGTCGACGCCGTAGATACATGCGGTCGTGCGCTTAATGTGTCTCGCAAATAAAAATTAGATAATGAACATGTACGTGCGTTCACCTCCGGAACTATAGACCACGATATTTTTTCCGAGCTATGTTGCAAGTACCGCATTTTTTTTTTGTTTTTGTTTTTGTTTTTTTCTATTAGGAAAACTCTCAAATTTGTCGCATCAAAATTCTTTCAATTTTGAAAACTTACTTTATAGTTTTTTAATATATATGACTTGTGTATAATCCTTTTTTTTCAAGTACATTTTATTTGATGAGAGAGTAATTTTGTTTGTATCAATTGGTCACTTCTTGAAATTTTCAATTTGCTGTAACAATCTTTTTTTTTCAAATGCATATTTCTCACGTACGCATTACGCAGTTTATTTTTTTTCACATAAAGGTTTCAATAATTCGCGACAACTCGTATACTTGCGCGAGAAGAAAAAAAAAAAAATATGTCGACCGTGACAGGATTCGAACCTGCAATCTTCGGATCCGAAGTCCGACGCCTTATCCGTTAGGCCACACGGTCTATTAGGGGTAGCTACCCTACATATACGTGTGAAGACCCATTATTGATTTTCGTACTTGTGAAAAATCTTTTTACACATCTATGTTTAATTATTTTTTCACTCACCCTCTTTCTCTTTATTTCTTTTCTAATATCATGAGGATATGTATAAAAATATTATTTCACATTTGTTATATCCATCGTGTCGTGTATATTTAAGCATCGATGATTGCGCATAGTAATATATTTTCTCCGTTTAGAGAGAGAGAAAGATTTGTCATTAATCCAAATCTCTGCACATTTCAATAAATCGCTTTTACGGAGTTGCCCGCTGACACCGTTCGATCGTTACAGTCGAATCGAAAGCGCAGGAAAACGGGCAGAACTCCTGTTGCGCACATACTTTATATATTACACGTGTGTGTAAGCGTCGGTTGAAATAAAACGAACGTTATTCCCGATGTACGATACGACGTGGCCAGGGAATCGCATGCCGACGTAGAATCCCACTATTGTCCCGCGGGCAATTAGCATGCCTGGTCCGACTCTCTTCTTCATGGAAGGGGTGAATACATTAAAACGCTCCTCGCAGCAACATCCCGCGGGCCGGATACTCGGCAAACGCACGCGTGGGAGAGAGCGCGTATTCCTGCAAATGTGTTGTTGCGTACGAGACCGCATAGTGCGCTCGCACAAGCAATATGATTGAGCATCTTGATGCTTGATCTATCATTATATCATGACCTTGAACGGGGTTTAGCGGTGTGCTCATGCTGCCACATTTGATATTGGTGTTAAATATATCGACACAACATTTGCATCTTGCGGTTTACGTTTTTTCTTCATACAATATAAAAAATATTTGCTTGTAGTTAGATGTTCGAGTATTTGATTCAAAATTTTAGTATTTTTTATATTTTATATTAAAAAGTAACTAATTACTTTAATTAATTAATTATTTTATAAGTATGCATAATATCTAAAAAATATTGTTTGTTTGGTAGTTAAATGTTCGAGTATATATTTGATTCAAGATTTCAGTATTTTTTATATTTTATATTAAAAATTAATTAATAACTTTAATTAATTATTTTATAAATATACATAATACTAAAAAAAACTTTAAAATCTTCAGAATATAAAAAATTAAAGATCTCGAATCAGCAAGATTTGCACAAATCTGCAAGTGTTACTTCACGATTGATGCAGTGTTGTTTTAATAAGTTTATTTTTTTATAAAAAAAAATAAAAAAGAATAAAAAAATAACAAAAATATAAATTAAAAAACTAACAAATAATAAATAAAAGAGAAAAAAAAAGAAAAAAAAATGTGTCAGAAGTGGGATTCGAACCCACGCCCTCAGAGAGGACCAGAAAGCCCAGCCAATACCCGCCTGTGACGGGTAAGGTTATGTTCCTTGAGTCTGGCGCCTTAGACCGCTCGGCCATCCTGACAACTGATGATCAGTGTCGAATTTAACAGTGATGAGCGACTGTGGATTTTCAAAGGTCGCTCGTTAGTTGTGTTTATTTATTTCAAGAACGCACATACATGTTTTTAACCAATACATGTGTCATATCAGGCGTTATTATTACTTTTAATTTTTTTTTTTTTTTATAGTTCTTGTTATATTTTATTTACTTTATCTTCTCGCAAACTAATAAAAAAAAAAGATCGATCTACATAAAAGCTCATTTTCGATGAGTATCTTTCCAATTGATTTTTTTTCTTTCCTGCATATTTGAAAATTTCTATGCTAGATCATTTGTTATTTTTACACTCGCTCGAAAAGTCAAAGGTGGTGATATAAGAAATCGATGACTTCTCGTTAGAATTAGATTCCGTCTCGACGCTCAAATAGAAATGTCACCAATATATATACATGTATTGAAACACAGATTTCAATGTGATTAAATAATGTGATTATATATATATAAATTTTTGTCAATCAGTGACAATAAATAAGACAATTTCAATAGTCCATTGTCATTTTGCGAATCCAAATCTCATGATACATTTTTTATTTTAATATTACAAGTTTTCTTTTCGGAATGACTTTTACTTAAAATCAACAAATTTTCATTAAAAAATTGTTGGAAAATTTGTATACTTTTCAAACTACGCGATATTGTTAAAACGAAACGGCAGAACGTATTCACGTTTATCCACGGAAGAAAGAAACAGGGAGAGAGAGAGATAAAATAAACTTGGAATATATATATATTACAATCGGGATTCGGGGCGTGATTTATTTTTAGCTTATCGGGAATCATTAGATACGAGAAGTGTTTTTGAAGTTTCTAACGAGACACCCTGTATGCCGGACAACGTCGTGCGTGAGCACGCATAGGGTTAGATGTGTGCGGCAATTCTGTCGCGCGAGTGGCACGGCACGGTTCATCGACCAGCGACTGTTCGCCGCGCGAGTATGGGCGAGCAGTTGTAAGTCTCTCGGTCATCCTCTTTCGACCGTCCGCCTTTTCCTTTGTTGCGCTACACCGTATACCGTATATACTAGTTTCTGTGAACACCATCTGTGCGCGTTGTGCGCGCTTTGCGCACTGTGCGCGTCATGACCGTCGTGTGACGATTTGTTTTTTTTTAAACGTATCTTCTGCAAACGCGCGCGCAAAATTTAACTTTATATTGTGCAAAATAAACTTCTCTCTCAGAAGCTCCCCGGTGTTCCTTACTTGATAGTTTTTGGACTTGTCCGATCTATCGTTGATCTCTTGTTACAATAACATCGAAAACAAGTTGGTCTATAAAAAAATGTAGCGATATATTTTTAAAAATATTATCTCATAAATTCTTCCTAAAAACTTAATTTTGTTTTTTAATGCTCATAGAAATTTCATTTTCTTCGAGTCACAACATCCCGGATTCAAAATTACTTTCAACGCAAATTAAATCCTGAATATTTCCTGGATTCATTTTCGCACTCTGTGATATGACAGAATAGAAATGTTAACGTTCGAAATACGTTTATAAAATAAAAAAAAAAAAAGCGGGGAAATGTGTGTTTTAGCGACGCGGCAAAAATTTCCCGATCCCGGAAGCTCGAAGATCGCTCGGCGGAGACGGTTCCCTTATCGAACACATGGGATTTATCTCGCGATCTATTTGCAACAACAACCGATCTATAGGTTTTCTGAGACACCTTGTAGTTCGGAACTGGACATCGGGCAACCTTCGATGAATACGTCTGCGTGTTTTCAGCATGGTAACTCGGCGCTACACGAGGCATCATGGCGCGGCTATAGCCGGACCGTGGCGGTTCTGGCGAAGGCCCTCGGGACCCAGCGGGCCCCACTGCATGCCAGGAATCTCGCCGGATTTGCACCGCTTCACCTTGCCTGTCAAAACGGCCATAATCAAAGCTGTCGAGAACTCCTCCTAGCCGGCAGCAATCCCGATCTTCAGAACAACGTGAGCGGAGAGATTTGTTTGATTTTTTTTTTTTTGTTTTTTTTTTTTCAACCATATTTTATCGCACTTATTATACGATGCGAAATAAACGATGGAAATAAATAGAAAGAGAGAGAGACAGAGATTTTTGCTACAATATCGCGCGAAAAAAATCAAATTGAAAAACTTTAAAAATAATATTATATACGTCGTAAAAAAAAAAAAAGAAAAGATAATGCGAAGGAAATTAATATGTTGCTAATTTTCCAATTTGAACACATCAATTATTCGATAAATTGGATATTTTCCTGAAAAATTTTCACACATGACAACTTTTTATATAACAATTGTGTTTGATCGCGTTCGTTTTTTTTTTTTAGTACGGGGACACGCCGCTTCACACTTCCGCGCGTTACGGCCACGCCGGCGTAACGCGCATTCTGATCTCGGCTCTGTGCAGAGTTTCCGAACAGAACAAAGTAAGTTGATAATATAAACACAACTATATGCGCGTAAAATTATTATTCATTCGATTAAGTCGAGAGTAAAACGTCAGACTTACGGACTCGTTTATCGATCTCAGAACGGCGATACCGCATTGCACATAGCCGCGGCGATGGGCCGACGGAAGTTAACGCGAATCCTTCTGGAGGCTGGTTGCGATCGAAGTTTGCGGAACAAACAGGGCGAAACGGCGAAGGACATCGCTCGACGTAAGAATCACACCGAAATCCTGGAGATCATCTCCAAGACTCGCGGTAAAAGCCGAACGCGCAGCAAAAGCCGCGAAAAAGATTCGGTGGACGGTAAAATTGAAGACGACAAGGATCGTTAGTGTCACCCATCACATTGTTTTTGACAAGAATTGAAATCAAAATCCGATCGCACAAATAACTTTTTCTTTTTTTTTTGTTTTCTTTTAGATAAGGCGGTAAAGTCAAACAAGAAGCGAGAAAAGACCGGAAGCGGCACGAGCGGCGGCGGCGGAAGCTCGAAAAAGGATCGAAAGAAACACAAGTCCTACAGCAAGCAGCATAAGGTCCGTTTTGAAAAAGCTATCATGGGCCGACAGTGGTCGCCTTACGGCTGCCACTATTATCCGGATCCGGAAGCGTTTCCGCAACCACGTCTCGACTCTCTGCCGGCTGACCCTTTGGGGCGGGGCGAGCAGTACTACTTGGATCTGGCGGGCAACATCAGAAAGGGCCCGGTCGGTGTCGGTTACACGTGCTATTGCGCGCCGTTCTTCCGACATATGGAAGCGAAACTGGAACGCGACAAAGCCGAGCTTAAGGCGCACATCGATCAGGCTCACGAGAAGCTGGATCTTAAGGTTGCCAATCTGGAGAGGAGAACCAGAGGACAGATCTCGGAACTGACCAGATGCGTTCAGGAGGAGCGATTCAGATGCGACGAGAGATACTCGCACGTGCAGCATCGTCTGCAGCGAGGCGGTAGAGGAAGGTACAGCGAGAGACCGATGAAGACCAATTACAATCAGTCGGAAATCGTGCTGCCCACCAGAACGAGATCGCTGGAGGATCTGCTGGACGATCGACCGCAGGATCGGAGTTTCGAGATTCCGGGTGAGACGTCAATTCACCGCGGGAGTCTGGACGATCTCGACATACCGGCCATACCTAGACTCAGCATATCCATGAAGGATTTACCTTCCGGATCCGCAGTGACCAGATCAGCGCTCAGGGTACTGGACATCCCGCCGAGACTTAACGAAACGTTCGACGGGGTAATTCGCCAGAGCGAAACCTCGCCCCTGAACATGGCGTCGACGGAATCACCTTCCGTTGAGGGAAGACGTCAGCAGAGGGTAAGCTTCAACTGCACAATTGTTTACAAAAATTCTGTTTAGTTTGGAATAAAATTTAATTAATTGTAAAATACCGCAAAATTAAAAAAATTTGTTTACCGCTTGTAGAGTTGCGCGCACGATAAAAACATTCCTACGGAAGATAAGACCCGAAGGAACAACAACGCGTTAAACAACGGGAACACGTTGGACTGGAGCGGCGGTCGTCGCAGCGTTCACGAGATAATCAAACGATTTCAACAAGTACCTGATATAAACAGCGGCTGGCGAAGACTCTGCGGGAAGAGCAAACCTGCCGCCAAGGACGAACACGTCAAGTGTTCGCAAAATCAAAGAGTTCCTTCTCAAGGTGAGGTATATCTTAAAAGCAACAAAATAATTTTGTTACTCAAAAACGTAACGAAATGGCAAAACGAAAAGAAGTAATTTTTTTTTTCTATCGACGCGTCATACGAGAGCTCAGATAAAGATACACTTCGAGATTTGATTACTGATTGAGAGTTCGAATAAACCATCCTAAATTGACGTAGGTAACGAAAGCGAGAGCAGCGAGGGGGAAGACGATGACGCCGAGCAACCGGAAGCGTACAAAGGAATGAACTACAGAAACGGCATTTCCGACGACGTGCATTACGACAGCATCGCGAGAATGCCATACAGATCGCGCAATCCCGTGTACAGTCCGACGCCGCCTCTGCACGACACTCACAACGATTCCGGATACAGCACTCGCATGTACGGGTCCAGCAAAGGCGCGTCGCCCTCATTGTCGGGTAATACAACAAAAGCACATAAGCGAAAAATATGAGAAGATAAAGAGTTACACAGTCTTTAAATTAAATAAACTATTGAATTTTATTTTTTAAGAAACAAGAAACTTTTAGTCGGAAAAGATGACTTTGAAATAATTGCAGTATCTCGTTACAAAATAAATGTTTTCGATTGAAACAAACCTAACGCAAATTAACAGCTCGATTTTTATATTGCAGGCCAGTTGGAGTGTGACGTAATTTTGCCATCCTCGACCGGGCCGTTTACGAACGGAGAGCAACTTGCCGCGTTGCTGGAACAACCGAGAGGACACGATCTGACGGTTTACGAACGAAACGGCGATAACGTTGTTATAAACATCGGTACGGCCAGTTTGGTTTAAACGTGTAATTTTTTTTTTTTTTTTGACGCCGCGTTGTGGTTTTTTTTTCTTTAACCACACACAAGAGTCACACCTTCAAATTATATTCAAGCGTACCGCATTATATATTGTATATAAAAATAAAATACGCGCCTCTCTCCGGGGAGGCTTCAGAAATGTTTTTGTGAAGCAAACAATTCGCTGTTGATATATTATATATTACGAAAGGTGTCATATCTCCGCGTTGCCATGTTTTTTTTTATATCGTATAAGAGCAAAACATATTGCGTGTGTGTGTGTAGCCACACACAAACAGTATTTATTATTCGTGTATGATATCGTGTGTATAAAAATTGTATGATATAAAAATATTATATAAAAATTATATAAAGAGATGGATGTTTGTGTAACTGACGATTGTCGAAACTCAATTAATTTTGACTGTCACAATCATTTCTGTCTTTTCTCAATTCATGTAAAAAAGTCGGATTTGTGAACTCTCATAAGTCATCAGTTACACTCACGTTTAATCACGAGTACATGTGATTACTTCAGTACGTGTATACGACAATATACAAAAAATAAAGAAATTCATTAAAACGTACCGGTGAGATGTTTTTTCTGTCCTTCAATTTTTTTACGCGTTACCTTCGTTTCTAAACAAGCGAGGTGCGTTACGTTCCACAAGTTTCCGGAAAGCGATTTCCTCTGCTTTTCGTTTAATCACCAGCGAGTGCGCGCGCGATGCCGATTAATTTGCCGATTCGTATCGCAAAAACTCGCGTTAATTTTGCGACGCGCGCGCGGCCGATATTCGCGCGCGAAAAACGCGACGGACATAAACATCGCGAGAAACGCGAAAGAACACTTGGAACGCGATTCCGCTTCGCGTCCGCCATGACCGCCCGCCAAAATGAACGCAATATCGAGGCGCGATATTGCGATTATCGAGGTGCGATATTGCGATTATCGAAGTGCGATATTGCGATTATCGAAGTGCGATATTGCGAATATCGAGGCGCGATATTGCGATTATCGAGAGAAAAATATATCGAATCGACGCGCAGCGACACCTGGCGCCGAACGGAATCAAATCGCCAAGTTGTAGTTCGCGTTCGCAACACCTGGACATCGCGGCGCTCGGAAACGCGCAAAAAAAAAAGACGCGCCCCGTAGTCGAGTCTCTTCGGGGCTCGGCGTCTGACGACGGGCAATTTTTCAAAAAAAAAAGGTGGCACTCTTGCGTGCCGTGGAGTCGGGTTTGAAAAAAAATGGCACGCTATTTCGTCGAGAGACAAAACGGTAGTGCGTTCCCCCGTCATCAAATTCATATTCGCGCTATGTGACGTTTGACTGATCATTTTTTTTTACGGCGCTAATTCGATTTGGTCACAAACGTCAAATTTTCTCCTCAAGAAGGTTAGTTCGTTTCTCAACGGATTACGCAACCGCTCCGATTTTTGAACGCGTACTCCCGTATCGGACAATTTTTTGGAAAAAAATGCGTGTGCGCTTAAATTGAAAACAAACACTTGTTTGTTTGCGACACGTGCGTGCGTATTTCGCGCTTAATCAACGTCAGTTTTTCGCGAATCAGTATCACGGTGCCGAGAGTAAGGTTAGCATCCTCGGCACCGAGCAGTGGCCTTCACACACACACACACACACACACACATGAACGCGCGCCTACGCGTGCACACACACGCGCGCGCACGCACACACACATGAATTTGATGCAGGTTCAGAGAACGTTGAACGAGACTACTTTCGTGTATGTACAAGTGCCGCGGAATTCGATAAAGTTTTTCGAAACAACGTTATTTAAGCGCATAAAAAAGTTTTCAGCGACAAGACAGACGGGATCGAAGAAACGGAGATGCTGAAGAAACCGCACGAGAAACGATGTCGCGCAACACGTTGAATCGAAAAATCGCCAGAAGGCGAAACATCTGTGACGCGGCGCAATGTTTATAACAATCGGTTTTGCAATGATTTACGCTGACATCGCGCGCAAAATGTCCCGGAACGTGCGATACTCGTGTTCAATCCCGCTGGTGTTTTAAACACAGACTCTCTCGGATCTTAAATGCCAGTGATCATGGCACAGAGAGAGAGCGAACAGTTTCCGTTACACAAATGTGTGTTTCAAGGAGATGTGAAATTGCTGAACTCCTTGATCAGGACGCGTGACATTGCCGAGAAAGACAAACAAGGTGCGCTGAGTTATTGTATATATATATATATATATTTGTGTTGCATGTGTCTTTCACTTACGTTTCGAATTAAAATGTAAACCAAAACACATTGCGTTATAGTTTGCCTACTTTGTCATAAGTTTTTCTCAAGATGACTCACTTGCCACACTCCCTATCTCTGTCTGATGTTTTAATCAAAATTGTTAAGATTCTTTAAAGATGAGCGCACAAATAATACATGAATATATTTGTTTGTTATTTTGTAGGCAATACGCCATTGCATTTAGCTGCAATGTTAGGAAGAAAAGGTACGAACATGTTTGTTTAAACAATGTCGCAAGTGGCAAAACTATAAAATACTATACAATTGTTAACTATGTATTTAACAAACTTTGTTATGTTGTAGAATGTGTCAAACTTTTGCTCGCACATAGTGCGCCTGTGAAAGTGAAGAATCTAGCTGGATGGAGTCCATTGGCTGAAGCAATCAGTTATGGAGATAGACAAACCAGTTTGTATAAAATAACAACGTAGATAGATTTGTCACAGACACGCAGTTTTTAACGATAGATGCAATTTTTGTAAATTTTTTGTTACAGTATCATCTTTAGTACGCAAATTAAAGCAACAAGCGAGAGAGCAGATGGAAGAGAGAAGACCAAATTTAGTTGCTGCTCTGCATCAAATGGGCGATTTTTATATGGAGTTGAAATGGGATTTTCAAAGCTGGGGTAAAGTTTCTCTCCAAATCTATCAACGCGCAAATTCTTTGCGTATCTTCTTATTTGTCAAATTCGAAACGAATGAAACAAATTTTATCTGATTCTTTCCAGTACCATTAGTTTCGAGAGTTTTGCCATCAGATATATGCAAGATCCACAAAAGTGGAGCGTCAATTAGAATGGACACAACTCTCGTAGACTTTAACGACATGCGATGGGAGAGGGGTGACATATCATTTATTTTTAATGGCGATCAAAAACCCAGTCATTCTTTAACTGTCCTCGACAATAAAGCCAAACTTTTCCAAAGAGTGAGATACGAGGTAAACAATTACTTAGTGTTTTAGCAAAAAATCCTGTGAATAAAAAAAAATGATAGAAAATAAAATGCCATTTTTTTTATATTAAAGCAAACTTTTTGTTACGTAATGTTTAAGGAAACGGAACTTGAGATCGAGGATGAAGTTGATATTCTTATGTCTAGTGATATTATGGCGGCGCAAATGTCTACCAAAGGTATTACATTTTCTAGAGCACAGACGGGATGGATTTTTAGAGAAGACAAACGGGTATGGGTATATAAAAACAATTGTATAAAAATGTTACTTTTGAACACAGAGCAATAATGTATTAAAGTTAATATTTTTTTATCAAGGAAATGGTAGGTGCTTTCCATGCTGATTGTTATCAAATCAACGGCATAACTCTGGAAAGCAGAAAACGTCGTGAACACTTGAGCGAAGAGGACCTTCAAAAGAACAAAGCCATTATGGAATCCCTTACCAAAGGTAGTTCCCAAGGATTCAAAAATGGCGAGGTGAGAGAAATTACAAAATTTTATAGATATGTTTTTTGAGTGAATAAAGAGATAAAAAATAAATTTTACGATCGTTCATCCACAGCCTCCTATGAGAAGAGCGTCGTTGAGTCCACCACCTGAATCGAATATAACATGGGAAGAGTACATTCTCGCACCGCCCGGTCAGTGCCCTCTTCTGGGGAGAAATCTTGTTTACAAAGAAAGTAGCAAATCCTTCAAAGCCACCGTGGCGATGAGCCCGGACTTTCCCCTGACCGTCGACATGTTACTCAATGTTTTGGAAGTGATCACGCCGTTCAAACATCTGAGCAAGTTACGTCAGTTCATACTCATGAAGTTACCCCCAGGATTTCCCGTTAAAATCGACATACCGATTTTGCCTACGGTCACTGCTAAAATAACTTTTCAAGAATTTGCCTTTCGGAGTGACATAGATCCGGAATTGTTTCAAGTGCCATCGGATTACTTCGAGGATCCAATGAGGTAAATCTCTGCTCTTGATCGACTAGATTGCGTATAAAAAATCCGTGCAACAAGTTCGGCGACAACAGACCAGTTTTAAGTTTCGATAATTCGAGTGCAATTGTTTATATTGTATGTGTGTATAAACAAGTTTTACATTTTGCGATGGAAATTGAATATCATCAAAAATTGTTGTGATTTCTTGACATCAATGTGGTTGCGACGAGAGTACACAAAATTTGTAAAAATCTTAAAAAATACAATAATATATTTCAGAGGTTACGGTGCGTACTTGACTATGATGATGGTTCTTCATACCGCATCGTGTGCTCGAGGATAAACTTCAGGATCAAAACGAAAAGAATATTTTGTTATTGAATTTACAAATTTCTATTGTTTTATCAAATGTTTTTTTTTTCAATTATAATAAATTATGATCTTTGTTTGATAATATGGTTTTTTTAATTTAATCAGTTATATATATATGTGTAAAAAACATATCTATTGGCATAAATTATATATCGCGGATTTTAACAATCGCGCTTAATACTGATGCATTTTTTTTCGTAACACGGACTTGTGATTTTCTAACAGACGCAAGTGTCTCATAGCATTTTACATCATCCGTACTTATCGCGCACGATGTTTCTTTACTAATAATCAGTAATCGCTTTGCAGATTTCCAGACTTATGACGCTTCGACATCCTAACTTTAATCGAGATCCAGCCTAGTTGGAGTATTTTTTCCTCTGCGCTATGGGACAATCCGGCTTTCGAGATTTGGGCCAGTTGGGAAAGCATCTACCTATATGTTGTTCATTGAATAATCTGTCATTGTAATTCAATCACACACACACATCTAATGGCGAATAGTGTCGAATATTTACGAGATGTTCACAGAGAGTAAAAGCACGGAAATGCAAATCGTGTGTACTAAACAAAAAAAAAAAAATTGATATATCGGTATGTAATTACTATTTAATATTCAAACTCGATTATATACACTTGTTCGTTTGATTTACAAAAGAAACTAAATGTTTCTATGAACAGTGATGTGACAGTTAAAAATTGCGACGGCTTTTCTTAGATTTTGATATTGTACTCTTCAAAAAGTACATATTGCGACAAACGATGTACAATTTACGTAATTTAATTTAATTTTTTTTTTTTTTTTCAAAATATCGCTATTGCACAATTTTTTTTAAAGTAGTGGTCTTCAAAATTCTCTCTCTAATGATTTTTTTCACATCATTTTCTTTAAACTTTTCTTGTCTCCTGTCTCCACAGTCTCATATCATATTATATCAGAAATACAAAAACTTTTATACGTATATACATACAAGTTTACTTCTGCAATATTATATATACATATATATATATACGTAAATGTGTTTCGTTATTTGTATGAGGTTTTTTTCAAAGTGATATAATTCCATGTGCCTAAGGGCGATAATGGGCCCTTGAGCGGAATGTAATTAACTAATGAGTAGTATGTATATATATATATATACACACATATATATATATATATATATTTATTGCTATACCAAGTGATGTGCACTTTTCGCAAATTAACTATATCTACTTCTCAATTAGCGAAGATGAACTGTTCAAATTTATTTCTCTTCGCTATTCTCACAAGCAATATGTATTTTTTACTATTGAAAAATTTTATATAAGTACTATATAGCGTTCCCTCTTTCTCAATTGGTCAAACACTTACACACTTACACACTCACGCATACACATACACAATGAACACAAAGACGGAAGCCTAGAAAAAATGTATCCTTCAGTATTACCAGTTCGTACTTGTGTAGTTTACAATGTAGCGATTGTAATACTTCTCTTTTTAGTACAAAAACACAGTTTTTTGAACAAAAAACAAACTTGCACGATCCTTTTATTCTTGCGCAAGTCAGTTGCATTTGGAGATGATCATCTTTAAAACAAAAAAAAAAACAAAAAAAAAAAAAACCTATTTGAATTCGCTCATATATTGATTTTATTGTTGTTAACCGTTGTTTTATTTCCAGAGTTATAGTGTGTGTTTCAACAATATATATAAACGATTAAAAAATCTTGTACTTATAAAAACTTCGCGCACACATTGTTCATATCCTTCATGGTGACATTTCGACCGCGCGATATTTAAAAAACTTTTGTTTTCTCATCACGTCTTCCGAATTTGCGATGTTAAATATCCTCTCTGAATAATCACATTAACATATAATTTGATTATTTTTTCTGAGAAATATCAATCCTCTTTTTCCCGGCAATGATACGCGATTAAAGAGTGAGTAACACGTGCGCGGCTCAACGTGGGAACGAAAGGGCGTGCTGGTCGTTACGCACGTTATACTTCACGACACGCGATTCCATTAATCGCCGCGTGTACATATATGTGTATATATATATATATATGTAATTTGAGTACGCGGATACTGTTGTCATCCCTTGAAGTAAAATCGCGTACGTCACGCTCGGTCTTGGACTACTTTTGCCGGTCAATTTTGCGACCTTGCCAGTTGACGCAGCCGAAACTAAAGAATTCTCGCGCAGGTGTGTGCGTGCGTTTAATTTATTCACTTAAAAACGTCTCCTCAACACCACAATGTTGCGCAATCAATTCACAGTTTCGGTATTTGTTATCCCCTTTAACTCTCGCGACGCACGTGCGTCGTCGAAAACGCGCGGTCCTCGCGACAATCGAAGAAAGCGACGACGTTTTTTTGTTTTTTTTTTCACACGCACGCGCATATATTTTCCTGCAATTTTCATTTTCACGTAAATCATTGTGTAAATAAAAAAAAAGGGAAAAAAGAGATTTGATGAGGCGAAGGGAGAGAAAAATGATTTATAAAAAAAGAATCGTGACGTGTGTTTGCCTCGGAGAGAGCGTACACACTCTATCAATACGGAATTGGGGCAAATACACAAAGGTATTGATAAAGATTAACAGGAAGAGAGAGAGAGAGTCTTCTTTTCAGATTGTTATGAAAGAGTTCCGGCTGTCTTTTGTGTTTGCAACGCACATTTATCGGCTTTTTGCGCAAGAGACCGACAAATCTTTAGATAAACGCACATTAAAATTCCATACGCGTGCAAATATAAGACTCACCGAACGAGACCGCACTTTGAGAAAGCTGGAATTTTGTTTAAGAAATAAACTTAAAGAAAAAAACAATCACGATACGTGAGAGAGAGAGAGAGAGAGAATTCGCTTCTCACAGAACTTCGCATAAGTTTTCAGGAAGAAGGCGATTATGACACGTAATGTGTGCGTGAAGAAAAACTAGTCCGCGTTGGTATATTAATGTAAAAAAAGAAAACGATATAACAGTGAACCTAATGTATCACTACTATGTTTAGAAACGGTTACATAAGATTGCGTTCAAATGAAATTGTGAGAAAAGAAGAAAAAAAAAAGGAGATGTCTCTTCTCTTCTATCACATGTTACGCGCGCGACATGTGCGTGCATGTGTGTGTGTGTGTGTGTTGCACATTCTTCACAATGTAAAAAATATTTTTTTCACTATTCTCTCTGTCTCTCTCGTCGCGAATCCAAAGATATGTTAAAACGTAAAACATCCGTAACATTCGACGTTTCTTGAACGAGATAATAAAGCGAGAAGAGATGAAAGAGTTCGGGCGATAAAAGCACACAACTGTTGTTTCTCTCTCAACAGTTCGTATCGTAAGATTGTTTAAAAAGTCTCTGTCTCGAAGTTGTCCGCGGAGAAATGAGAAATTCAAGATAAGAGTCGAGTCAATTTACGGTCTGTGAGATAATAATAAAAAAAAAAAAGACTCTCTCGTACGTGTGTGTTAAAAAACCGGTACCGTATACACACGGTAATCCGTGAATCTTCGAAAGTGCGGTGTGCGTGTGTGCATAGGAAGGAAATGTAAATTCTTCTCGGGGGAAGAGATAATTTCCACATCTTCGGGCGTGTCGCACCGATTCTTGTCAACGTCCTTGTCATCGCTTCTAAGTGCGACCTAAGCTCAAACAACCGAGACCACCTTGAAATACGAGGAGGGGCATCTCACGACGTGTTAAAAAGGAGAGGATATATAGAGGCCTACGCTAGTACGATAGTAGATCTCCGTGTTTCCGACACACACCGTGGTTTTTCTCCAAAAAATGCAAGTAGCAACACCGGCAACATGAAGTTGATTCTTTTTGTAAGTAAAAATTGAATTTTTTTTCTTTATTTAAGTAAACACCACGACTGACACGTTATCTTATATATATATTTATTTACATGTGTATTTTTTATTTCAACTTTCGCGTATTTAAAAGCAAAGAACTCAAGTTGTTAAAAAACTATTTTTGTGTAAAATTAATTTTTAAAAATCACTTGTGTAAAGTTACGCACTTCCCTTAAAAAAAAAACTTTTGCACGCAAACGCAAAATCTGTGCGAGATAAAATCGAGACGTTACTCTCTACTTCGTGCAAACTTTACGCAATGACGAAAATTAAATATTAATGAGGAAGACGTTTTTTTTTTGTCAATGGAAGCTTTGTTCTCGTCGGTGTTTGCAAACACTTTACGTTTACTTGTTATTTATGACACACCATATATGCGTGCGAGTACTTGTTAATGTAACATCATTGTTTTTGTAGGTATCGATTTTGTGCGGTCTACTTGCGTTCGACTGCAACGCGGCCGAATCTCCGGAATCGGTGTTGATAACAAAATTAACGCCAATAAACGCAGACCGGACCGCGCGCGCAAATGATGAAGACAACACGAACGTTGCTCGGGGAGACTTGACTCCGTCTGCGAGCGATCGAAGTAAGGAGCGTGGTAACAATTCTCTCTTGTTTTTTTTTAAATATCTCGTCTTTATTTAAAAAATATCTATCGGCACGTGGTCTGCGTTATTACTAAAACGTAAATAAATAATAAAATCCACACACAACAGTTGCAACGCGATAAACAATTTAAAAACAAATTCAAGGATGTCGCTGGCGCATGACCTTAGGCAAGCTTTTTTGATATGACACTTTGATAGCTCGCGTTTGTTGCATAACGTGTAATAGGGCTACTCACATACGCGGATAATGTTTTATTTGTGACATTAATTATTTCTTGAAATACAAATTATGGGGGGGGGGGAGCTCGCGCGAGAACGAAGAATCGCGCGCGGAGCGCGCATTAAAAAGGAAGAAAACTAACACGAGAGATCAATCATCTTGATTAATTTCTTTGAGGTTTCTCGTGAGAGGAATCCGTTTTTCCGGTTTTAAGAGAGTCAGAGGTAGACCTTCGGTGTGCGGCTCGCGGCACTATTAGCATCTGATTATAACTAATGTGTGTACTGTGTTTTTCTCTACGTTTTCACTGTCCGTTTCTCAAAGTCGGAGCGTGAGAACGGCAGTGACACACTTAGTTAATATGCCAATTACTCATCGCACCATTACGCTACACATCACACTGGAAGTGAATCGATTACGTACTTACTTATATATATGTATATCTAAGATCACCACCCGCGGTTTTGTTTTTGCATTCTGCGCGCGTGTTGACGTTACGTAATTGCCGTTTTGCACGCAAAATGCGGAAATTTTCAGAAGCGTGTGTGTTTCTGTAATTTCTCTCGCAACTCGAGAGTAAGATCTCACAGAAAACGAGTTTTTTATTTTTATTTTATTTTCTATGACGATGTTTTATCACAGTACAATTGTTTTTTTTTTTTTTTTTAATATTGACAAAGTTTATTCGGTGATTTTTGGTTTTTTTTTATGCGCTAATACGAGAATCGCATTTGCAATCAGCATTTCATATAACCAAAGACTATCCGGGATACCCCGGCGGGTCGTGGGGAGGAGGATATCCAGGCGGATCGTGGGGAGGATATCCAGGTGGATATCCAGGCGGATATTCGGGATCTGTTTATCCTGGCACATCGTATCGCGGCAGCGGCCTGGTCCCAGGATACAGGGGTTACCCCGGAGGAGGACTTCTTGGGTAAGATTGAAAAAACAATTATAATATTTTAAAAAAATGACATACCGAAAAAAAGAATAAGAATAAATTATAAGAGATGTAAAAAAATTCTTGTTGCAGATACGGATATTACGGTAACTATCCAGGGTATTCAGGATACGGCGGTTACAGCGGATACGGGGGTGATTATTACGGAATAAGAGGCGGTGGTTACGGCGGTTACGGGGGTTCCGGGGGTTCCGGAGGTTACGGGGGTTCCGGGGGTTACGGAGGCTACGGAGGCTACGGAAGTTACGGCGGATACGACGACGGAGGTTACGGACGTGGCGGTTACGGCCGTTACGACGGATACGATGGCTACGGATACGGCACGAATTACGGCTCGACGTACTCTGCAAGAAGTCCGTATTATCCGTACAGTTATCGCGGCAGTACTTACGGCACCGTTGCTAATCCGTCTGGATACCGCGGTTACTCATAAGCATGCGTGTGCGTAATAACGCAAATATCGAGAATACTTTTTTTTTACAAATTAACATATTTTTGCATAAACACAAACACACGCATACACGCGAGCGAATCACTAGTTATTATTTACAGTCTTTTTTTTTAGATTTTAATACGTAAAACAAGCTTGTGTGTATTAACTCCCCCTCCCCTCTCTCCTCGGTTCTCCTTTACGTCTCTTATCTGATACAAATATATCACATGTAAGATCAACTTTTTGTAATTTGTATATGTAACAAAGATATGCTATGTTGATAAAAAAAAAATATACGGGTGTAACACATATGAAACCTGCGTTTTTTTTTCATATTGCTAGCACATCACAGACGCGCGCTACGCGCACGCCTTCATTTTCTTCGGATTCGTCATTTATTTTTAATGAAAACAATTATTTTTTCGGTTATCAATTTTTTTTTCTTTCTTGTATAAATCTAAACTAAATAATTATGTATTGTCACTTCTTGATGATATTCTTTTCGAACTAAAGTAAGGTTTAGCGGAAATATTTCCCATACAACAATTAAAATAATTTCAAATCATCAAGATAATAAATAAAAAGTATTCCACATGTAATTTGTAAAAATAAAACGACATTAATTATTTGTTTATAGTTATTAAACATAACATTATTACTTATAAAACAAAATTTTTAAAAAAACTTGATTTTTTTCATAAATATCTTATTAATTAAATATTTCTTTATAAACTTTAATTTTTTACTTTATTAAAACAGAGAATATTATGTATATTATATATAATATTCTATATCTATATATAATACACACACACACATATCTATATATATACCATAATCACGGGACTAAAGTCAGTGACTCTACCGCAGTCGCGTGACCGAGGTCATTGACCCCGTCAAGGTCGCGCGGCCGAGGTCATTGACCCCGCCGCGGTCACGCGACCGAGGTCATTGACCCCGCCGCGGTCACGCGACCGAGGTCATTGACCCCGCCGCAGTCACGCGACCGAGGTCAGTGACCTTACGGTAGTATGTACAAAATATATATAATATATAATATAAAGTATAACATAAATATATAATAAATTATATATGTATAATATATATTATTTAATATATTATTTATATCATATAAATATATTATTTAATGTTATGTATAATATACATTACAGTCACATTACCTTAGTCACGTGTTGTTTTTCTACTCTTTCCTGTCACATGTGACTTTAATCACGTTTTTAATTTTCTCCACGTATACGACGAACTGTCAAAATCGCTTTTCTGTCATTATTCATACTCTCTCGATCTTAACGATTCGATTCGATTCGATTCGACTCGATCAACCAACTAATCGACAACGCGGAAAAGAGACAACGATAGATTCGATACATTCGATATCAAAACGCGCACATGTCGCGATCGATAACATCGACGCGCTACAGCTGTCACCGTACGTGGCAAGTTTTTGACAGTCTTTTGCGGCACGTACTCGGTTAGTTGAGACAATGTAAATTAAAATCCTGTTTTCCCGGACCGCGTTCTGGATTGACATAGTAAAGTAAGTGTCATTACACATATATATATATATGATTGCGTGAGTGTGTAATAAGAGATATATCGCGAACAGAACGATGTCGAAGACGAAAGCGATTCCGCATAACCTCATTCAGTGGGATCAGGGTGACGATTCTCTGGCCCCGCTTACGGATCGTCAGAAGGATTGTCTGACGAATCTGGAGATTGCCGTAACCTCGTCCTTTCCGTCGTCAAATTTGCAAATCGACGCGATCGACGAGGAGAAGTCGCGAACAGAAGACTCCGAGGAAGACTCGGTCGCGATAGAGAAGTATCAGGACCTGCTTCAGCACTATCTGTCCCTGGAAAGGAGACACGCGTCTCTTTACGACATGAAGTACAACGTGTATCTCGACGAGCTCAAGTCGAGACAGTCCGAGTGCCAGGAGATCTGTTCGCAGATAGAGGAGGCGTTGGACGACTTCTTCGCGCTCTACAAACAATACACCGAGGTCTCGAACAAGACCACTTCTCTGTACGAGGCCAGCGAGCAACTCATCTCCGATCAGAAGCAACTGAACGCGAGAATCGACAGCATCACGGAATACGTGAGATATTTCAAGGAGATCGACGTGATCATAGAGAAATTGGACGCGCCCACCTTGTCCGTAAACAGCGAAATGTTCTTCAACATATTAGACAGGATCGACACGAATATAGACTTCGTACAGAACAACTCGTCGTTCAACGAGAGCGGTGTGTACCTGGTGCGTTACAGACACTGCCAGTCGAAGGCGATCGCGTTGATACAAAACTACATCTTCAATCTGTTCTCCAAAACCACGGAGAGCATCTTGAACACGAAGGACAGTGCGGGCTCGTCCGAGAACAATAACACGGCCTTCGCACTGTTCTACGGCAGATTTCGGACGATATTGGCCAAAACCAAACCGGTTATCGAACAGGTCGAGAACAAATCGTACAAGAGACAAGAGTACGACAGTTTGTTGCTCGAGTGTCATCAGTATTATTGGAGCCAGCGCGGGCTACTGCTGAGCACAAGCATACAGAAATCTCTCAACTCCGTCAAGGAGAAATACAACGGTGATCATTGCAGTTTGGTGCGACACTCCTGCGCGTTGTTTTTACACACGTCGATAGACGAGCACAAGTTGTTCTACGAATTCTTCTCGAAGCAATCGAGCGGACTGACCGCCTATCTCGAGAGCCTTTGCACCTCCCTGTACGACGCACTCAGGCCCTTCATAATACACATCAATCATCTCGAGACACTCGCGGAAATCTGCTGCATCTTGCGAATCGAGATGTTGGACGAATACGTGCAGAATAATTTCGAACCGCTCGAGGGCTTCGGCAACATATGTCTGCAATTGTTGCACGATGTTCAGGAGAGACTTGTGTTCCGTGCGCACTTGTATCTGCAATCGGACGTTCTCAATTACAATCCCTCGTCGGGAGATCTGGCTTATCCGGAAAAACTGAAGATGATGGAAGACATCGCTGAGTCAATTCGGGAAGAGACTCGACAGACTCGCATGAAGAGAATCTCGGTGTCGTCCACCGACAGTTCCGTTCTTGAACCGGTCTCGCGCAATCACATAGTCATCGATTCGATCTACCAGAAGACCCACATGGGCAGTTCCCCGGCCGATCTGCACGCCATGTGGTATCCCACGGTTCGCCGAACTCTCGTTTGTCTGTCCAGGCTCTACCGTTGTCTGGACAGATCTGTGTTCCAGTCGCTCAGCCAGGAAGCGATTTCCCACTGCGTGCAGAGCATCGAGAACGCCCGGCAGGAGATCGAGAAGCGAGCGAGCGTTCTGGACGCCGAATTGTTTCAGATCAAACATCTGTTGATTCTCAGGGAACAGATCGCGCCGTTTCAGGTCGACTTTACCATCAAAGAGTACAGCTTCGACTTCTCCAAGGTGAAGACCGCCGCTTTCGGACTGCTCGAGAAGAGTTCCCGGCTCTTCAGTTTGTCACTGTCGAACAACGCTCTGCTGGAGTTCCTGCTGGAAGGCGCGCCTCAGATGAAGGAACAGCTGATCGACTCGAGGAAGCACGTGGACGCGAAGCTCAAGTTCGCGTGTCAGCGATTGATACAGCACGCGACTTACTTACTGATTTATCCCATTATCAAGTTGCTGGAGAAGGAGAGAATTCACGAGGCGAGCAAGAGCCAGCAAGAGAATCCGCTGGGCACCGCGCAGGAAGTTGCGACAACGGTGGCCGATGTGTTGAGGATAATAAAGTTCAAATGTCCGGAGATACAGCAGTCGATGCAGCTTTATCTGGCCAATAAAGAAACCGAATTCATTTTGTTCAAACCGGTAAAGAACAACATTTGCGCCGCGTTCACGCAGCTCCATCAAATATTGAGCAAGTATTACAACTCGGAGAATCTCTTGCTGATCGCGTGCCCGTTGCCGGAACAAATTTCCGTTATGTTGAGCTCGACGACGTTGGTTCAGGGAAAATCGAATCGGGAATCCCAATCGGGAACCCTGAAGCGATCGCAATCGGTCACCAAGCAAGAAGTATAAAGTAAAAAACATATGTTCCCCTGTGGTGTTTGTTTATTTTTATTTTTTTTTTTTTAATTCGTTGAAATCAAAACTCGTTTTCGTACACAGGTAGGTGTGTGCGTTTTTGTAAAAAAAAAAAAAAAAAAAAACGCAGATCCCTCGCGAGTCTTTGTATAATAAAGAATATATAATAAGAGAATTATGTAAAATTTTATATATTTGTGTAATATAAATTGCGAGATAGAACTTGTTGTGTAAATATAAGTTAAAGCTTATTAATTTCCCAGTATGTATAATTGAGATGTAACAACGAGAATTGATATAACAATTTTATCATTAAAATTCTTATTGCACTCGTCTACTTTGTTAAATGAGTTTTTATTTTTTTTTTTTTTTTTAATTATCGAAGTAAGTTACGTGTAATCTGGAAATTTGCGAATGTTTTATGACAGTCGAAATTTCAGATTAATATTCGTGACACCCCCAAGTAGAGAGACTACTTAAATATCGACGCCATTCGACGCCAATTATATACGGCACCCTTAATTGTTATATCACACCATTCCATTCGAAGAGTCGAATTTGCACCAAGGAATTCAACGATCTCGATAACATCGCGCGTCACGACAACAATCTGTCGATAAGATACGTATCACCGGTAATGACCCTGCGGATGAAAATGTAAAGTGAAAATATTTTTCTAAATATTTGTTAACGTTTTGTACGTGTGTGTGTGTGTGTGTTTGCGCGTGTAGTTACTCACTTATTCTTGCATATGACTGCGAATGTAGCGATGAACATGTGAATTGTAACAGAATTGTGGCGTGAAACAAAAACACGTAAGAACAAGGGTTATCATTGCCGTTACGAGCGCAATCCACAGTATCCAAAATAACAACAATCGAAATTTCATCCAGAACGGACTGGAAACGTAATACTTCAGATCGTCTCCGTGAACTGAAAGAAATAAAAAATATACAATAAATGTAAAATGCGATAGTTAATTGTAGTTTAGTGTTAGTGAACACTTTTTTTTTTTTTTTTAAACCTTCGAAATGCGTGCTTTTCCCCTTATCGATAACAATCAGTGGAATGGCGTCGTACGTTGGGGCGTTCTGAGCGCGAGCGAATGTGAGTTTTTCGTGAAGCAGTTTCATTTTCTCTCTCTCGCTATCTTGTTTTCGTATATACACACACACAGCACAACAAGAGTCTAAAGTAACGCGCGTTTAAAAATATTCCAAAACTTCTATTATCTTCTACACATAATTTTTGTTGCGTCAACGATTGCAAAATAATATTATTAACACTTTACACTCGCAACCCCGGCATTTCTTTCTTGCGTTCTCGCGAACTCTTTTTCTCTATCACTTTTAGAGATACTATGTGTTTTATTATATGTCTTCAGATTCTCGTCTTCTAGATTTAATTTATTGTTAGACGAGCGCGCGCGCGAGAAAATTATGTTGATCTCTCTCGAAGTCTTCGCGGGGAATAAATCTCCGGGCCATATTTACCTACATATATTGCTACCACAAGCTGATATCTGGTGATCCCAAATGACCTCTATACACACATCTGTAAACTGTTTTTAACTTCACACGCAAGAGAGATAATAATAGCTTCGCTATTATTAACAATTTATAATCTCGTTCAATCCCGCGTATCGCTTCTTATTATCTTTAAATATACTTATTAAATCTCGTGAACCGGAAAAAGTCTTTATTTAGTCACGTTAGTCCGATGTTCTTAAACACATTTGCAAAAAATTAAATGAAATTATGAACGACGGAAAAAACTCCAAGTGTGAGGAAGTTCGGAGAGAAAAATATGATTCGCTCTTGTATCTCGCATCTCTCAATCGTACATTTTGATCAAAGATCGCACAAAATTGACATTTCACATTTTTGTCGCGCACTCTCTATTATATCACATACAAATTCGTTATCTTTATTTTATTGCTAAATTCTGTATTGCCATTACAGTTATAACAGCGCTTATCACTAAATGGAGCGCGGATGTGAAACTCGACGCCTCGTTATCAGATTCCGTGGTGCTCGACGATGGTGCAACAGTGCTGGTTGTCGACGTAATCGCTGAAACACATTATTCGTAATAAATAAGTTTTAGCACGATTGCTCAAAAATAAATATCTCACTTTTTTATCAAAAAGACAAATATTAATTAACAAATATTTAACAAAGTTCTTATGTAACATTCTAATTGAGATTAAAGTCACGTACTTGAAGCGGTTGAAGTTTCTTCCACATATCGTTCGGCTTTTAATACGAGCGCAGCGTTTGCCGTCAACATGATATTATTCCGCCAAACAAAACTCCTGAAAACAATTTATATGGAGGACGTGTGATCGATTTACGTGGTGTTACTTACAAAACGAAAACTAGATCGCAAAGTTATTTATTAGTGTTGTTTTTGATTTTTCCGAAGCGAAACTTCTCGCTGTTTGTTTTCACGAGAGAAGAAAGCTCGCGCAAACTTAGAAAACTTTTGTTATAAAATATTTTAAATAATACGTACTGGGAGAGAATCGCGTTGCTAGAGGAAACTACAACATCCAGCGTTTCTATCAAATCAGGATATATCTTAGTTAAATCAATCAGCTCCGTCCGTAAACCAAAATTAATTACGGTGATGTACACGTAATAATCCTTCAGAAACCTGTTTTGGTTTGATCGAAAGCATTTGTTACAAAAAAAAAAACAAACGGTGCGATTGTTTGTTTAATTTTTTTTTTCTAACGTGCTAACCTTCTTAACACCAGTACACGATGGTCGTTCAAACTTGCGAGTTCGTAATCCCCGTTCCTAAAGACCTCTTTCTTTCTTAAACTGGCCAATTCCTTGTACGTGTGCAAATTGCTTTTGAGTTTGTTCTTTTGTATTTTCACATTTCTAGAAACGTAATCAGAATTAACAGGCAGATAAGTTGTTTTATTTTTCGAAAATCCCGCCGCAACTTCCGAGTTCCATTGCATCGGGGTCCTGGCCGGATCTCTCGAAAAGTTTTCGAACTTGTCCTGGCCTTTGGCGCATCCCATGGGATCGATGGTAGCTTCCCAGGTTATCTTCGTGTCCAGCATGGCTATTTCGTCGCCGTAATAAGTGTACGCTTGCCCGGGTAAGAGAAGAGCGAGCATGTGAAGACCGTCGATCAGATTGAGACTGATTCTCGCGGCTGCTCTCGAATTTTCGTGATTTGAGATCTGTTGTTAAGAGATTAATATGCAAGAACAATTTATGTCACTCAGCAAAATTATTTAATTGTTTTGTTTTTAACAGACAAAAAATTTAATCTCGACGCAAATATTTCTGCAACAAAAAAAATCGTTTTCAAAAAACACACAGAGTTTAAGTTTCTCGCAAAACTCTTACCACCCAATTGGTCGGAGAGTTTTGCGGGAGAAGTTTCATCCACTCGTCAACGATCTGTTTGACATCACTGGCGTCGCTGTCGTTACGTATGCGCGTGATGAAATTGAAATTGAAAGGTTGAACGCCTTTGTGCGTGCTGTTGCCGTAATACTTCATCAGATTCTCGTGAGAGGCATCGTACGATTCGGCGATCAGCAATCTGATGATATTTAAAAAAACAAATTGTTTTCTCGTAAATATTGTAATACAAGTTTTTTTTGAAACAAAAGATAACGGTCAAGAGAAAGATCGCGTACTTCGGATCGACCTTCGATTTTGTCGCGTAATCGTCGACAAATTGACGAAGTCTGTAAAGAAGAGCCGTGCTCTCGGGAAGACCGAAAGTGTAAGCGCCACTTCCGGCGACCGATTCGTTTCGCAAAGCTCCGTCCTCGAAGAAATACGGCACCGAATGAATGCAAAACCCGTCGACACCTTTTAGCAGCCAGAACTCTAGCGATTGCTGACAAAGCGAAAAGTCAATTAATTTGTCAGATGTTCGCGGCAAAAAGATAATCAACAAGTATTAATTGTTAAACGCGAGATATTTGCGCGTTTTTTTAATTTACTTGTGTGATTTTGCAACTCAATGTGCCCCGTTACCTCTAACTCTCCGAGCAAGTCCTCGTTTCTCAAGTTAAAATCCGGTTGGGTGTGGTGAAATTTGTGATAATACCATTGTTTCCTCTCGTTATTCCACGTCCACGCGGACCCCTCGGTGTCGCTGTAAGTGCTCACCTGTGCGCGAAGATGAACAGAAAGAGAAATATATAGGTGCCGCTCGTGTAATCAATTGAATGTTAATAAGAAAATGTCAAAAGAACATTTCGTCGACGCGAGAAATTCTGGTTAAAATTCCTATCGAAAAATATTTATTACGTAAAAATTGTAATTGAAGTATACCCAATTATTCGGTGGAGTTCTCGTGCCGTTATCGTCAACACCACCGTCAGCCCAAATGTAGTAATCTGTATACGATTTCCGTTTGTTCACCGATCGTTTGAAAAATATATGTTGATCACTGGAGTGGTTCGGAATAAAGTCCAGAATAATTTTCATTCCTGCGGGAAATTAGACAAAATTAAATTACTTCGTGTGCAATAATCGTCGAAAATCGCGTTAATTATTTTTTTTATTGCAAAAAAAAAAAAAAAACATTGAGAATTACAGCACAAAGCTTTCGATGTAAGTTGTTGTACCTCGCACGTGCACTTGTTTCACCAAATCCTCGAAGTCTTTCATAGTTCCGAAGAGAGAATTTACATTCGTGAAATTGGAAACGTCGAATCCCGAGTCGATGAACGGCGATTCGTAAATAGAATTTAACCAAATTGTCTCTATCCCGAGATCTTCGAGATAATCGAGTTTACTAATAATACCTGAACAAATTAATTTAACACGTATTTTTTCTTACGAGTTTTTTTTACGTGATTAATGCGAAACTTGTGAGTCACGCGTATGTTGCACAACTCACCCTTCAGGTCACCCTCGCCATCGTTGTCGGAATCCTGAAAACCTCTGGGCCAGATTTGATAAACCAATGTGGTTTCCCACCATTCCTTATTTTTTTGTTCGTTGCCAGTCGCAACACTCGTCAAAAATCCTAAACTGCTTATCAGCGCGACGTAACGTGCAAGTGTTAACATTGCGCATTTAAATATGGCAAAATGAATCAATTTCGGGTTTCGCCGCTTTTTCACAAGTCGAGGTTTTTTTTTCTTATCGATTGTTGTCGTGGTTATCTTTGCAATTTTTTTATCTAGCTACAACAAAATCGACTGAATCTAATTACGCGCACGAAAAACTGGTGCGTGTAATAAATTTGCACTTGTATAAGAAAAATTGCACATGTTCACTCTTGATATTTAGACCGATCGAAAAACATTTCGTGTAAAATGTTACACTTTCCTTGTAATTTTTATTTGAAACTTTGCTTATAAATAAAATACGTTTCTTTTGTATACGAGAATGTGTAACCGCATTGTAATTCACATTTATTTTGTACATACATTCTGTCGCTTTATGAAGAAACTCACCTGGGGACGGATTCGCTTGAGCCTCTCCCAAGCGGTGGTTTCCGCTTCTATCTGTTGATCGCAGTCAAATGTGAATGTTGTTTTCTGCACTCCTAGCGTTTTTAATATTATCTCCGTGACGAAAAAATAAAACTGCAGATCTGTCACCGCTCGATAAAAATGTTATCGAAATATTTTTGTTATCAATAACACGTTATCAATATCGGTGAGATAAAATAACAATAATAATTTACAAAGAAAGTTTCTCTTTCGTTTTCGTCTGTAATTAAAACAATCGATATTGCAAACGGCATAAATTTATAAAGATAACATAATTGAGATATTTTGTTTTTACATACAACGTTGCGATTTCTATAAAATGCAACAATCAGATCGTTATAAACGTTGTTATCAAACCGTGTACGCACGAAATAAAGTGTGACATGGAAAGGTTTTTTAATGACACGTGTGATAGTGATCGATCAATATATCACATTCTGATGTTGATATCAGATGACACATTTTGTTATTTTCCGAGAGTTTTAGATTCTTGCACAATCAAAACCGGGCCGACTGATGTAATTCACACGTGCGTATCGGAATAAAATGTACTTTGTAATAAAATACATTTCAAATCTCATTATCTTGATTTGCTATAATTTATTTGCGTTTAATATTACCGAATTTTATTTAATTAAGATAAAATACTAAAATATATGTCTTAAAGTGTGTGTGTTCTAACATTCGGAATTGTTTTATTATAAACCACGATGGAGATTTTTGTACAAACGCTTACTGGCAAGACCTTAGATGTAAATCCTACAACAAAGATTTTAAAAGTATCAAGAAAAAAATTCAAAAAAAAAAAAAAAGGAAGAAATTCAGTATGAGAAATCAATTTTTAATAAGTGCCAACAGCACAAAAATTGATTACTCATATTTAATTCCTTTCCTTTTTTGAATTTTTTTCTTGATATTTTTAGTATCTTTGTTATAAGATCGTCAACTAAGGAATGAGTGCGCTATTGCTGACTATAATATTCACAAAAATAGCACGCAATATTTTCGGTTCTACGTCTACACGGTAGTGCAAATGGTAGTGCACATGGTGGAGGTTTAACTTTTGGTCTCTTAACAATACAAAGTTTTATACGGGACAAGGTTGTTTAGCCTAGCGGCCAACTTTCAAACTGGAAGGCTTAGCTGATTGGAGGACCCGATTCAGAGTTCGCATTTCAATCAATAAATTTTGCCGAAAGATACCGGCCCAGAAAAATTCGAAGATGGATTCGAACTCGGAACCTTCCTGCTCGCAGCCTTCGCACTCAAGCCACTCAAGACTAACCCATGCCGGTACTTCTATATATACATGTAAATTGTTCTCTAAAAGTAAGTGTAATCTTGTGAATATTGCTGTAACAATTTGTTATGGAATTTATATCTCAATTTATATTTCTCATTTTTTTGCACCAAAAATCCTATAACAAATCTCCCAGCTCAACAAACAATAACGTAAGCGTCCCCGTACGAAGTTCTCGAATTCTTTCAACTGTAGTTATTATTTAACATGTAAATTATATTACATTTGTGTGTATGTGTGTGCGTAATCTGAAAATACGCGCAATACAGAATTATTAATTAACAATATTACCTGAAGACAAGAGTGAATAAGAAAACACAAGATTGGGTACTTAGGTGACAATCTTTTAGAAAACAAATGACTCGCTACAAATAGTTAAATAAATAATCGATTTAATTATCAATTGTATAAACAATGTTACATCCTCTTCCGAGTAGCATTGAAGACTTTTTTTTGTAACGTCAACGTCAAACAATTTAATTGACTCGATTACGTTTTCAATTTCAGAAAAGCTGAAACACATTTTGTATATATATATATATATATATATATATACATATACACATATATATATATATACATATACACATATATATATTCTAATACGATCTACATGTGAGTGTGTGTGTACGAAATGAAGAAAAACCCTATGACAAGCTATAACATTATGTAAAATTGTTCATCGCGATTTGAATCTATAACTTTTTTTACTTAATAATTTATACAATATTAATTCTATTATTCTCTGCATTAGACAGCGAGATAATTCTATACACACAAAGGCCTTGCACGGATATGTTAGAGTTTTTAAACTAGATTTGTGTGTGGTATATATCCTACATACATATATATACATACATACATATATATATATATATATATATATATATATCTAATAGCTCAATACAATTTTTCACAATTCAATTATTTTATAAACAATTCGAAAGAATTTGTCTACAAATTCGCTAAAACTTATTTATTAGATTTCTTACGCCTGAAAAGAGAGAGATGAAGAAAGAAAGAGAGAGAAAAAGAGAGAATAAAGGACAAGAGAAAGATAAGAAGAGGAAAAGTAGATAAAAATATCAAATAGAGCAATCTACTTTTTACATATATATGTGTACATATATGTGTATATAGAAAGAAACAATTCTCTGTACACTGTACACTTAACACACACTTATTGAAACCTGTAACAACAGCTATACAATTTGTCTTTCAACAATTGCCTTGTCATTATTTTATATATTTGTTATAATTATTATTAATAATTATATCTCTCTACTAGAATGGAGGGATTGCAGTCACAATAATATTAGTATGGCTTTTTAGTTTAACGCTTAAGTTCACGTTTTCGAAACATGTAATTTTCGCAATTTTTCTCATCTCTCTAGTATAAAACGCGCACATATACATACCACGAATGTGTGTATACAATAAAACATATAATAAAAAAATAACGTATTTTTTCTCAGTTCAGGTTGAATAAACTGACTGCTTCTACATAATATATTTATTATATCAGTTTCATACTTTCTGAGTATGAAAATTATTTAGATTTCCTTTTTTCTCTCTCTTTCTTTTCCTCTCTCTTTCCTTCTTTTTTTCTCTTTTGCTCGTTATGGTCGCTTAAATTATTAGAAATGTTACAACAGAAACAACACTTCTCAGACTTACGCTCCGAAGAAATTATTATAAAAAAAAACGCTAAACCTTTTACATAGATATGTACGTGTTTTGTTTTTATATTAGTCGATTGCTTCAAAAAATTATCTATTATTAATTAAAGACATATGATACTTCAATGCAAACGTATATGTACAGTGTGTTACATGTACATCTCACGTGCGTATGTGTGTGTGTTAATTCTTTCCAAAAAAAAGAAAAAAAAACTAAAACAGTAAATCCTATATAGCGATCTAAATATATAAATCATTATCTATATATAATTACATATCCAATTAAAAATAAGTATAATTAATAATCGTTTATTAAATGCGCGCCGAATATCCTAAGAAGTCTAAATGTTACAAATTAAATGTAAATTAATATATTTCATAGAAAATTTGTTGCTTATTTACGAAGTTTACTTACTATCACAGGAAATTGATTAAATATTTATTCAATATATATTACCAATATTGTGTTCCGTCAGAAAGATTGAATGATAATGAAAATTAACACATTGGCAAAGTTAAAATTTGAAATCGCAAGATCTTTTTTGTTGCATATATATACGTATGATATATACAAATTTCTTTTTTCTATTAAAAATTAGCAGATCTAATATTTCTGTATGTTCAACATGTGTGTGAGTGTACGTAAGAGATACAGCTAGTGAAAACATGGAAACTGATGATATGGAAAATATATATTGAAAAAACTTAATTTTAAATTACTTTATAAACAAAAGAACATTTTAAAAATTTAACATTTTCACAACACTTCCGTTTATATATAATTCTGAAAAGAAGAAATCTCCCGATCTTTTCAGAGTATGTCAATTGTTTCAAGTTTTATCTACTTGAATTATAATTTTGTACATATACATATAATATACGATAAAAATCTGTTTTTAAAAATTTTAAAATTTTCGCTAAATATAAAGTAACAAAGTCTATTCAACGTTAATAATATTTCTGATTGTTATTTGTCTTTTATATATATATATATGTATATATATATATATATATATATATACACATTTTATATATAAGTTTGTTACATACATAATAATGTGTCATAAAAATATCGAAACTCTACTGAAATTGCATATATAGTTGATATATAGAAATAATTCTGTGTTAAAAATTTATGGAATTATATGTATTAATTAAAAACGGTAACGCGAAAGATAATTTTATACATATATATATATATATATATATATATATAAATTTAGAACTACGCTAATTTTTTTCTCTACAAATATAATACAGTAATAATCGTTTTCGTTTAACATAAACTTAACGTCTAACGTTGAGTTTTACACGGGCGAGAACTTCTTCACCAAATAATGAGATTACGAATTGTGCAAACAACAACACAGCCGGTGTCATGTTTTTTGCACACACATCTCCAACATATCGAATGAAGGTGAACAAAAAAAAAAAATAAATAAATAATAAATAGTAGAGATTTCTGCGGCGACAAGATGTTTAACTTTCTGCATAGCATGGTAACAAACCAAAAAAGGTACATTAAATTATTATATTACATTGCGCGATTCTCTTTGTTCTGCAATGTTTCCAAAAATCAACAATATTATCTCAATGCAATTTATATATTATATAAAATGCAGACATTATTAAATAGGAAAATTTGTCTTCGTTAGCGCAGAGGCGTTAATTTGTATAATAAAATTTTTGTAATAAAAATGCACGGATGTCCCAAACTTTGTAAATCATATTTTTTTTTTTTTTTTTTTTTTTTTTTTAATTTACAAACATTTTGAAATTTATATATGTTCTGTACGCAGTCGAGATAAAGAAACTTTATCTACAAAAAGAAAAAATAAATATTCTTCTGTTTTGACGACACGATCGAATCAATATTTTTGTAAATCCGTTGTATAAATGAAAGTTTTGTTTTTTTCAAGTTTATAGGAACGCGTGCAGGTTTTGTATAAATTTGTCTATCACCGTCGTAGGGTAAATCAATGATTGCCAGGCTTGGTCATCGAGTTACAAGACACGTCAGGAACGTCGTCCTTTAATCGTCTCGTCAGCGTGCAATCATCCAACACCTTAGCAAGAGTGTTGTCGTAATTACCCAACGTTCGTATGTCCGACAATGTACCTGATAAATTAATACTATCTGCCGTAAGCAAATTGTTATCTAACCTTTTGTTTTCCATATTCTCGTTACCATTTCTCTCGGTTTTGTCAGATCTTAATGTATTGTTTAAACTATGATCAAATTTTCTGAGATCATTCTGGATACTCTTGATGGTATCGCTGTTGTTTTCGTATCCCCGTAATAAGTTGTTCTCGTTCTCGTATCTACGATTAATGGAATCGGAATCGAGATACCTGAACGCGTCGTCCTTTCTCTGACTTTCGAGGATCTTCCTCGAGAATCCCATGTCGTAGTGATCCGCATCTATGCGCTGATTTAGACCGTCCATCTCGTACGTCCGTTTCGCTAACTGATTATCAAATCCTGCTCTACTAGCTAAGTGGAGGTAGTTGTCATCACCAATGGGAGCTTGTCTGCAAGAACCAGAACAAGACGCATATCGCGAATATTAATTTTGTGCAAATAATAATCAAAATAACGTAAATACTAACTTAATTATCGCAATACGTACTTGCTGCCGTATTTGGTGTCGCGTGCCAGTTTTCTAAAATAGGCTCTGTGTTCGCGCTGCAACGTGCACGCCGCTTCCTTCAGTGCGGTCAACGTCTTGAAACAGGAAGGTACGTCTTCTATGGGCGATCCTCCGTCCGGTATAACCGACATGTCACTAGCACCGTAAACCGCTTGGCATTCACACGCGTTTTTCAGTGTTTCGAGTCGCGGCATATTTGTAAATATCAACGAATGTATCCGTTGCAAATCGCGATCGGGATCCAGAACCATTCGCAGACCGGCCTCGACACCCGGCGACACCTCGCTGCATCCTGGTGCATTCTCAGAAACTGTCCGGCAACTATACATTACGATTACGTTATTGTGTGATATTAATTTCATATATATATATAACAAACAAACTATTTATGTATAAAAAAAAAAGTTACCAAAGCCAATGGCCGTTGATGTACGCGCTCGGATGATATCTTTCCAAACGATTGCTGTTCGTCTGACATATTTTTGTGAGAATGTCGATCCATTCCTTCTCCTCGACACAATTAGCAGCTTGAACATACAATGCTCTCTGCGGCTGAATAATTTGAAACATGTTTTTCATCTTGAAAGAATCCTCGTGAAGTCTCTCCACTGCTAAAATCTCCTCTAGTGGTATTCTACACAATGGTTCTTTGCCTGTGAAATATTTCGTGTATTTTTTGAGCTCTTATTTCTCGGAGAGAAAGGGGAGGAAAACACGCAATGCACACACACACACAAGAGAAAATATTTACCTTTTGTTTTGGAATACGTCAAATCTTGCGTAGTAAGTCTAAAATATCTCCGCTTAAAATTCTTACGACCGAATCGTTTTCTTCCTTGTGCCCGTTTAACCATTAATCTGTAGAAAAAAAAAAAAAAAAACCAAAAATTATACAATCAAAGAGACGTTATTTTTAAAAAGATGTTTTCACATCGATAGATAAACGAATAGAAATTTAGTTCTACGACAGTACCAACCTCTTGCAATCGCAATCAGTAGTATGCATAAAGACAAAGTACAGTCTATTAGAAATACACAAAAACATTTAGTGATTTAGTTTAATTTTCACGTCTTTAAAGTAATAAAAAAATCTTTCATTTTAAAGAATTTTATTGGTTGTTAACGAGAGAAAAATGAAAAAAAAAAAACAAAATAATGTTTGAATTAACGAATCTTGTTCGAACCTACCCTTCTTTGAGTACCACTGGTTGTTCTTGCGGCACTGTTGGACGCATCTTAGTGACACCGCTAGAATTACTACTGGTCGATATTAACTCCAAAAATTGCTTGACAGCTTGAATATGTCTTTCTGTATAAAACTCTCTGTAAAAAGACAAAATATTGCACACGCGAAGATAATTTACCTTCTCTCTCATTCTCTTTCTCTTCTTTCAAAAACCGTTTTAAAACTGTGTGTTAAAAAATCTTACCTATATACACATTCCATATATTCTTCTTTACAAACGCTACCCGCTCCTCCTCTACAAGACACCAAATTGCCAAGACTTTGAATTGTCTTAGATATTAACGTTAATGTTCTATTTGTTTGCGAATCCTGCAACAACGTACGCGTATTGTGCAAATTTAAATGATTGCTGTATAAAATACATAAATTTCGTCGCAATTATTATAATACTTAATTACTTACAATTTGTTCCGTAGTAATATCAAATAATCTTGGACCCAATATTGCAGGAGCGAAAAATCGTAAAAAAATAAATCCACTGATGACCGAGTATCTCACTTCTTTATTTTTGGGGAAGTGAGTTGCGGCGAGTTCTCTCAAACACCAAAACATCTCGCACATCAAAGGTGGACACCTTACTCCCGACGTTGTTATAGCGGTAAACACTCTTTCCACATATTCCTGTAGAAAGAAAGTAATTTATCAATAACACAACTTGCAATCGCGTGTGTCACCTCGCGATGTCAAGTACGCGTACATATAAAATTCATGATTTAAATACCTTCAAGTTTGCTAAATTTGTCGCTATTGTATTGCCATCTTTAACCCGAGTTGGATCTATTTCACATGGTTTTTTTTCAAGGAAGACTTGTTCCATCGCGGGTCTGAGAGTGCTGTGCAAGTAATGAAGACCCGCTAATCTCATGCCCTCGTCCATCATTTTGCTCACTAATGTATTACCACGAAAAATTGTCGTTGGGTCACTTAACATAAAATCAGACACATTCGTTTCAATTGCTATTTGATACGGTAGATTTAGTTTTTGTTACATTTAATTTTTCAAAATTAAATTTACTCACGTTAATTTAGAAATCTCATGACTAGCAAGTGCTCGCATCACGGACACTAATTGCCCGTGATGCACCAATACTCTAACTAACGGTTGTGCGGCTTCCATTTTACTAGATACAATTTCGCCCAGTATGTAAACAGCTGACGATGTTATAGGTTGGACGTCAACGCTTTGTAGTAATAAATTTCTAAGTCTATCGTAAACCTCGGATGGGAAAACATGATCAGCTGTGTAATGAATTTTCAAGCGCAACGATCCCAAACTCGGTAGCGTACCAGGTGGTGTCGAATTGCTCGAAATTTTGCTCGGACGATGTTTCGCCGCTCGGGGTTGTAAAAAATACCTGAGCGAACAATTTAATAAATCAAAATTGTAAACATTATCTCGAACCGAATCGACGATACAATTGTAAAAGATAAAATAAAACAATACCACGCGGTCGTCGAACTAGTTGGTAGTTTTTGTAATCCTTTCAGCGTAACTCGCACTTCGCCGAGAAACACCGGTTGTTCTCCCATACCAGCGGATGCGTGCCACAGACCGACAACTACTTCTCCAACCTCGGCTCCTTCGATAGAATAATGAGAGACATCCTTGTCCTTGGTCTCTGTTAACTCCGGCTGCAGCACGAAAAGAATCAAACCTTATCTATTCTATGTAAGAAATAACGCGGCGAAGATGGAAAAGAGATCAGCGCATTTTTTTGTTTTTTTTTTTATTACCTCGAATACAAATGTCTCGTTGAAATATGGTGACGATGTCTTCTTTTTAACTTTTGTGCGTTTTGATATTTGTTTACCATTACTATAGATGACTGTAACAGTTGCGAAAGGATCACAGCTACCATTTTTAATGGTTAGTTCACTACATTCTATTATTCTGCAACACAATAGCGCGGGATAACGTTATCAAATGTTAACATCAAAAAAGATCTGACAACATCTCTAAATGTTTCTCAAATTCGCTTACTTTACTGTAAGTTTAGGCTGAGCGTGTTGAGAGACCTGAGTTTGCAAAGCAAGCTCCAAATGAGCCTTGCCCTGAACCTCGGAGTCGGCATCAACTGGTATCAGAGGAAACCAATGCTCCTTATTATGATATGTTGCTAAATTCTCTCTTTTTATTGCTACCTTTCCCAAGATTTTATCCTGCTTTAAATGTCTGTCCCGATCGTAAACATAAATGCCAAGGTAACGAAATTTTCTCGGTACTTCGAACTGAAACTCCTCTCCAAAAAATGGACTGCAAAGAGAGAGTAAAAACATTTTTTCACTTGCAAATGTAACTCAGATCGATGTTTCTTTTTTTTTAACATTTCATGTGCGTTGCAATTTAATAAAAAAAAAAAAAAAAAAAAAACTCACTTGAGAGTTCTCTCCATGGTTGTTGTTCTAAATATTTCTTCTTGATCCAGTGACAGCGCGCAATAAACGTCTCGTGCACCAGGAGATCCATGACTTCTACTCTGAAGATTTTTTGCCTCTCCTATAAAAAAAAAAAAACTTTATTAGTAAGATGGAAGTAAATCATTCGTAAGTTGCGCAAACAATTTTTTTAAATTTATTATTTAACTATTTTGTATTTTACTGTTAATCTCTCTTGTATTATAAATTCGTATAAATTTAAAATAATGTAAAATCTTTGTTCTCTTGTTCGAAAACATACAAGTCTGTCGTAATTTTCGTCATTTGATGAATCAGTTGTGGTCGTCGGTCAGTCGTGTCAATGAGCGTCAATTGGAAAACAAATGTGAATCCTTTTTTCTTTCTAAATAAGACAGGAAATTTCACACGTTTTTGTCGTGATCACAGAGAGAAATCTCGCACAATCTTCGTTTTTACATTTGCGAAACAAAAAAAACCATTAACGCGCTCGGACGACGTCGCAGTAATTAAAAAAAAAAAAAAAAAAAAGACGCGGATTTTACGAACGAACAAAATCATCGAGACGAGAGAGGAACGATTTCAAACAGTCGCCGGACTTTTTTTTTTATATATTCGTTCGTGATCACGTTCGCGATTTTCTCGCCGTACTTTACAATCGTGCGGGACACGCTCAAGCACGCAGCAGGCGCGCGTATACACGCGCACACATTTATATTCACACATATCACACATCGCACTTCCACATATACGCGCGTGCACATGTATGCGTAACATATATTGCACATACACGTATGCAACCAACATGCGCGCGAGCGCGCACCACGCACACACGCGCACACCCACCCACCCACACGCACACACACACACCGTCGCGTGCACACTCGCGCACACATATGCGATGTACGTGCCCGCGCGTGTAGGAGGACAACGACGCGTGGGAGTTGAGAATGTACGCGTCGATCGCACACACTGGCGAATTTCGCTGTGAAATTCACAGAGACGTCGCCGTCGATCATCATCGGCCGATGATTCGGTTTGGATCAAGATTCGTCGCATCGGGCCACGGGGAGTCGCGGTGACGCGCGTTTTCGCCGCGACCCCGTCCGCGCCCGACGGCTCCCGGGGCGGCGAGGACGGGGACAAAAAAAAGGTGGAACACACAATCGTAGGAGTCGAATTAGGTGACATCCTGAGCGGCGCATAGCACACACGCGAGAGTAGTACCCGCTCGCGGCTCCCGCGGGGAAATTCGCGGATATTCCCGCGGGATGCGTTTCCAGGTCGGCGAGAACGTCGCGTTACCGTGGCGCCGCGATAATCGCTCGCGTTAACGTGAACGAACGACGATGTTCTGCATACCGATTTTGATCCTTAGCCTCTCTTCAACGCGAACTAGGCGCGTCTCCTCGGCCATGTTACCTCCATGACACTACTGAGTGACTACACGGACGGAACGCAAGCGGTTCGTTCATTCTGTGAATGGGTCTGAGCCAGTAACGTAGACCGCAGCGTCGGCACCCGCGCCCGCCTCCCGGTCGCGCCTCTTTCCCACTCTTCTGTCTCATATTTTTCTCTCTCTCTCTCTCTCTCTCTCTCTCGTATCAAACCCCCCCTCTCTTTATCACGCGATTCCATTACTTCCTTCTTACGTCTCTCTCGCTAAGTACGCGCGCCTTACAGGATTATACGGAAAAACGAGACCGTGAGGAAAAAGCGTTGGGAAATTAATTACATTTGTCTTCTCGCCGTTTTTTTTTTCTTGTAAATAAACTTCAATTACAAACGCAGCGACGATTGTCGGAAAAATTGCTTCCTGATTGTAAAGACCGTTGTTGTGATACTGATAATAGCAATGCGGCAGATTATAAAAGCGCGTCGACAACGATAAGCGGAGTTTGTCAATGAATTTGCTCGTCATTAAGCTCCCGACGGTGTTTCGATAAAGCGCGCGTTTTGGCGATGTTATATTGACGTGCGCAATATATACATATACATATATAATATACCTGCGCGTTTTTTCTAGTGTAGCAACGTACGTACAACACACACACACACGGTCGCGTCGTGTGTTTCCTCACAAACACACACACACACACACACACAGAACGAATGTCAAGCAACGCTAGTTAAGGAAGCAATTAACAGATTTCAACTGATCGCATCGTTTAATTTACGGAATACAAAAACAAAAAAAAAAAAAAACAAACGGGGAGGCAGGAAGGGGGGAATATGAATTAGGTATTATACCTCTGATCCGTAAAATCTAGCCGTTTGACTTTCTTTCCAAGTCGAAAGACAAACGGGCGCAAGAGCGTTGGCACGCGAAATTTCATTCTGGCGATGTAATTAAAACAAATACGCGTAAATTACACAAATTTGGACAAATCTTTGAAAAGAACTCGCTCGCATTTCTTCGTTGTGACCGACGAGCGATTTCTCTTTTCCGTACGCGACTTTATGTCTCTCTTTCTCTCTCTCTCTCTCTCTCTCCTTTCTCCTTTTCCACAAAAACGGGTCGCTCAATGAAGTCACAACTTGAAGGAAATGCGCGCGACGCTCCTCGAACGATTCAGAGTGTGTCTATTCATTTCCTCGCTCCTATATAGTTTGTCCGATTGATCATCCGCGTGCCTGCGGGCGCGGACTGTCGCTCGCTACGTGGTTGACATGTACCCGGTGTCCGGTGCGTAAGGATGCCAACTCTTCTTCTCCTCGTCTCTCTCTCTCTCTCTCTCTCTCTCTCTTTTTATCGCGGTGTGTGCAATTACACACACGCGCATAGGCATAGGGTTAAACCGTCGCTTCTCTCTCTCTCTCTCTCTCTCGCCGCGTATATATATACGCACGTGTGTATACGCACTCTCTCTCGTCTTTCTTTCTCTCTTTCTCAGCGCGTCCGAGACGCCTGATTCTCTCTCTCTCTCTCTGTTTATCTCCAAGAAGAAGAGTCCGTGTGTGTTTTGCCTACATAGACGGAGAGAAAAAGAGAGAGAGAGAGCGTCTAGGCTGTACTGGCGAGAGCGCTACGCACACGGACGCGGGTCAGTTTGGTTCACATTGGTTAACTGCGTGCGTGTGTAAGTGGTGAGCCACTTCCTGATGGCGTAATGGCCCGCTTCCTCTCCCTCTCTCCGCTTCTGTGCGCCACCGCGGGCCACATATCGTCTCCTCTCTCTCTCTCTCTTTCTTTCTTTCTTTCTCTCTCGATGTGTTCCTTTCCTGTTTTCCCTTTTCCCCGCTTTTCTCCGTTTTCTTTTCGTCGCCTCATTGATACAATGCATCTCGAGGTCTGGTTCCTCTCTTTTCTTCTCTGAAGAGATTGCGTGATCCGCGCGAAATCTTCATTGTGAGATCGGGCGCCCCCGGTTCGAAGATTATAGAATTTCCCCGGGATGTGCGAGACCTGGGGAATGTAAAATCTCGGCGCGAGAAAAGAGACCGACCGAACTCTCTCGCCGCGGAACTCCCTTGCAGTCCAAACTGCTAAATCTTCACGACGGGTGGGAAAAAACGAGAGTATATTTCGAGCGAGCGAGAGGAGAGCAGCTCCTCGGTGGATCGATAGATCGTCGCGAGAATCGCGAGAAAGAGAGAGGCGCGCTCTCGTCGACATACACGCGTCGCTCTCGCGCGTGTGTGTGTGTGTGTGTGTGTGAACTTACGAGGATTTTATATTACCACCTTTCCCCTTTGTTGCGCCAACACTCCTCCGACTTGCGCGCGGCAAGCGCAAGGTTACGCACGTCGCGATAAACATTGAACGCGTTTCGAGATCGCAAACGCGGCGGTGGATCATCTTTCTCGACGAAATCCTTCGATGCGAATCGACGATGACGCATCGTGACGCAACGCAAAAAAAAAGAAAAAAAAGAAAAAAAAGAAAAAAAAACAGAACTGGCGTTAGATCAATTTCTCTTGGAGCGCGAGTTGCGCGTTTCCTCCGCCTCGCCGTGTCCTCTTCTCCCTCTCTCTCTTTCTCGATGCGCCGATCCCTGTAATTGGTTTACCGTTAATTATAAAGATTTACGAGCACTCTCGAATACGCAACCTCGTGTGTACTCCTCGCGAGAGACTTTCACGTAATTTCCCACACACGTGAGTACGCGCGCGAAAACGCGTACTCTTCCCGCCTCAACACACAACGCGGCGGCGCGTAATTAACGTACGATATCTTCTCCGCATCTTTTTCTTTTTTTTTTTTTTTTTATAATGAAAAGGCAAAGGGAAATTACGGGAGTTTCCGTTTCTCGCGCGTACACACGAGCACACGTCTTTGCACACAAGTTTTTCTTTTCACAACACACGGTGTGCAAATAAAAAACCGCGAGAGATTATGTAATTTAATTACAATATATATATATATATATAGTTCTCTTCTCTCTAATTCGATTATATAATTCGGATTCTAATTATACACGAGAGAATTTGTTGCGCAACCAACGGATATTTATTTCGTCCGCGATCGAAATAAAACGGACATGAGCAAGTTGTCGTGAAAAAAAAAGTTTTTCGCAGGTTTTCCCGAAGGGAAAGGAGTTCGACATACACCAGGCGCAAAGGTCGGTTTTGTGAGAATCCCCCCGACGTTATTTCCTTATCACCGGAAGAGCGCAGTTCTTGAGCAAATCCTTTGATGGGGGGCACCTATCTTCCGATACGTCACTTACGTCCGAGTGACGATAACGCGAAACGTCCTTCGCGCAATACACGTATGTACAGCGCGAAGACAGAGAGAGAGAGAGAGAAAAATAAATAGAAAAAGAGATAGATATAGATTTTACGCCGGTCTCTCTTCTCGCGCGCGAAGAGAAGAGTTGCGCTCACGTGTGTGAGAAAGTGCTCCGGAAATACAATCGGGAGAGAGAGGAAAACAACACCGAGAGTCGGTTTTCTCTCTCTCGTCATTAAATTTACCGCAGAGGGATATACTTTCTGGATTAATTAGTCGAGAGAGGAGCTTGTCGCGGTGTTAATTGTTACATCGTACAAGAAACCGAAGTCGGAGAAAACGGAGAGATGAAAGAGAAGAAGGCGAGAATGAACGTTCGAACGTCGTTTCTTTCTCGCCGATTGACTGTCGTTGTTCGATCAAGTGGCGAAAAATGAGAGAGAGAGAGAGAAAAAGAGAGAGAGAGAGGAATTAGCGTGTAAAATCTATTAGTAGTAGATCGCTTATAGATGCGGCAACCGATGTGGAACATAATCATCAACGGTGGCCGATCGAAGACTGGCTGCGCGCCGCTACTATACACACAGGCCACTCGCTCGATCGAGCGAGCGAGCGAGCGCGTGAATGGAAACGGGTGGAGCGGTTACAAGGAAAAAATATGAATGAAGTCGTGGTAGTGACAGTCGCGTACGGTTTACGTTTGGCGCGCGCATGCGTCCCCGGGACCCGTAATGCACGTAGCACGTGCATCGTTTCGTACCATTCAGCGTGAACGGCGTAAAACTATGCAAGGGGACGACGACGGGACGACGGCGGGACGACGAACCTATCGGATCTCACGAAAGGTGAGAGAGATCGGCAACGTCACTGACGGAATGCGCCCGAGATCTACTCTCGCGGCCATATGGCTCGCGAGATCCCCGCTTAACAATCTTCGTTGCGACGTGAGGAAGAAAATTTGCGAACGAGAGATCCCCGATGATTTCAGATCGTACAAATATTTTTCTTCGTCCGATCACGACCGGGTTCTGTTGGGGTTTTTTGTCTTTGAGGAAAACGAGTCCGAATTCCCTCGCACGGAATCGCGCGCAATCGAAACGATCCGATTTACCGGCGGAATTATCGTCTGTTCGCGGAAAAAGAGATGGTAATCTTTATTTTAATAACTATTCCGAGAAAGAGAGAGAGAGAGAGAGAGAGCTCCGAGACGCGCGCGTCATATAATGGCTCTGAGATCGATTCACCCGCGCGCGAAGTGTATCGCGTTATACTTTCGAACAATCGACCGATTCACCTCGTTCGACGATACCGTTCACCTCTGACATTGTACGCGGCCGCCTGAGTCTGCGAAAACCCCTCACGATTGTGCGCGAGGCGTTTCTCTCTATTGTGGCGCCTGTTCTCTTCTTATCGCCGCGATGTCAACGGAGATATAAAAAATTTCTCTTCCGACGACGGTTGACGCGCCGTGCGCGGCTTGTTGTACACACAACGGGAGTTTCTGCTTGCGTCACGAGAATACACGTGGAAAAAAAAAGAAAAAAAAAAGCAATAAGCGCTCGGGCGAAGAAAAACCCCTCCCCCCCTGTCCGTGCTCTCTGCCGGATGTCGGGAACTGGGATTCGGGAGCAGATCCAAGAGAAGAACAAAACGACGATGCTTTGAAACACACGCGCTCATCGATTCCAGGGATCTAATGTATATGCACATGTGTTGTTGTTGTTGTTGTTGAATCAAGGGTATATTCGCACACACGTGGCTATTGTGCCGCGACAAAGAGACGCTACCTGGAAAAAAAAAATAAATAACACTCGAAGTAGCACGTTCTCGCGTATTTTGCGCGTATTTAAAACAGAAGCTTCGAAATCAGGACTCTCCCGCTTTCCGGACGGTATAATATAATATTCTCCCGCGCGCACGTGCATCTCGCGCGCGTAATGACGAGGAAGAAAAACTATCGCACGCACGCGGTTCGCGATGATATCGCGCGCGCGCGTATTGTACTCGCGCGAGTATATATCGAGCGCTCGTTATACATCGCGCCGGATCCTCCTACTCGCAGACGTGTGAACGTCACGGAAATTGAGCGCGTCCTGATGTATTTTTCATCATTAAAACGACTTATTATTATATATCTCGCGCGCATGATGCGATGATTACGCTCGCGTCTCGCGTGTGCGTCGGGAAAAAAAAAAAAAGAAATATAATAATTACGTCGCCATTATAGTAGCGCACCGCTCGTAAACACACTCGAGTAAACAACGGCTTCATATTCTCGCAAAATCCCACGCGCCTCATCGCATTGTATCTCAAGTGTTTTGAAATTATCGCGCGCGCGCAATAATGTAATTCGAGAAACCGCGTGTTTCTACACACGCTCGAGAAAAAATTTGTTTTCTCGTTGTTTTTTTCATTAGAGTACCTGTTAGGTGCTTTTGTAACGCGATGCGCGCCGCCCTATATATATATATATCAATCTCGCATCTCCGCTTGAAATTCTCTCTCGTAAAATTTCGTCCTCCCGTCTGGTTCCGACCATCCTGACTTCGTTTTTCCCCACGCTCCACGAGAAACGAAACGGGGGGGAAGTTCCGGATGTGGTCTGATCTCTATTCCCGGTTTTGTTCGATGGTTAAATTCTAAATATAAAAGCCCGCTGCGCCCGCTCTCATCGACGTGCGCGCACACGCACACGGTCCGCGCCTCATCGTTTTGGACCACCCGGCGTATAATGCCTGCTCGCCTTTCCTGGCACCGGAAGTTATTCCGTCGATTCGAGCCAATTTTTCCGCTTACCTGTTTCTATGCGCTCGCACACACAAACTCGAAACGGAAGCGACTGTGTTGTTGTGCGCGACGCCACGTGCGTGTGTGTGCGTTCGTGCACGTGAGCGACACATATCCGTGCAGATCGGTATATCTTCTGTTCCGATGATCTTACTTCTTTTTCTTTCTTCTCTCTCTCTCTCTTTTTCGTCGCATCCTCGCCGCTTATCCGTTCCCTCGTCGCTTCGGCGAGGCACAATTGTGCGACCGAGTTTGCGCGGTCACTTCAATTGTCCGCTGAAAAACACCAGAATTTACACGTCATAATACGGACAACACGAAATAATACGCTCGTTACACAATGGCAACGTGTAAGTAGCAGAAAATGATTAAACGAGGGAAAGGATGAAAAAAAAAAGTAGCGCTGCAATATGTGTGTGTGTGCGTGTACACAGGTAGCAGACTTCCCAGGCAGGGATCTCGCTAAAGGGAAGCCCATCCGTTGGAGAGGGAGGAGAAGGGTTTTCACAAAACCCCATTCAACAAATGAATGAGACAAAAAAAAAAAAAAGAAAAAAAAACAAGCCGCTACCCACAATTCGATTATAATTAACTTCCGCCGATATTATACGTATAATTCAATCGCCCTTTTGCGCTTCTCTTCCGCTATCCCTCTCTTGTGCGCGAGATAATAATAAAAAAAAAAAAGTGACGAGGTTTCAGGTTGCTACACAAACACAACGCTTGAAAAGAGGCGTATTGTAATGATACACCGAATTGAGTAATTCGAATCTGAGCGAAAACAATTATTTACCGTCGCGTGTGATTCTTTCCTCGTTCTCGCGGTGGTGGTTCGAATTCGAAAAAGGAATAAAAAAAAAAAAAAAAAAAATCGGTCGTTGCGAGAGATACTTTACCTCGCAATTGCGCCGGGGGAGAGAACAATCGACTTATACGACGAAGCGGGTTCGGAGGTTTCCAAGATCGCGGAGGGAGCACTGTGTGTGTACGGTTATTTTCTCACGCGAGTGTGCGTGCACGCACTCTCGGGGAGGCACTCTCCTCGGGTAATTGATCGCTTTTCGCGGAAAAGCGTGCCGACGGTCGTTTCCCAACCGTCGTCGTAGCGCGATAACAAGCGAAAAATTGCAAAATAGAGAAACTCCGTGAGAGATCGCGAGCGACGACCGTGGAACACCCGGGCGGGGGGGGGAAAGAGACACACAAAGCGATAATTGTGCGTGCCGTACGCAGACGTGCGTGAATATCTTAGAATTGCGTAAGTAGGACGAATCCTTTCGGGGCCATTGTTTCCTCGCGGCGGCGGCGGCGACGACTCGTCGTCGTAATCATTACATATCCGAACGTCGTCGCAAATCGAGACGGATTTTGTGGCGATTGCATATCGCAAATTTACTGTTTTTTTGTTTTTATATCAACTCTCTCTGAGAGATGAGATAACGATAACGTAATAATAAACAACGCGGTCTTGAGAGTCCCACGCTCGTTACACGTCTCTGTTATTTCCGTGTGTCGTTTGTGTTTTACTTATTATTCTTTAGGGCCGGTTGTTTCACCTTCAGATCGGGTAAAAAATCTGATTTGCGTTGTTCCACACGTGTCGGTAAACTTTATCCATCTAATAATAATAAAATAAAATTTATCTATCTAATAAAATGAAGCAGAAGCCAAAAGAGATAAATTACACGGCACTCTCGTGCAAGTTGCATCTAACAGATAAATATATGTAGAAAACAGTGGGAGAGATGCGCTAGTTAGGTACTCGATAACATTTATCCTATTGATAATAACAAGTGTCGAGTAAGCTTCGAGATTGATCGAAGAGTGGAACAACCGACCCTTAATGTAATATCTTTTTTTTTACCGTTTTTTTTGACACGTGAAGCAAAGATAATTTCATTAATTACGAACGATTTAGTCTGTCGTCTCTCCCTTGCATTTCCGATAATTCAAATGGTAATGCATGTATAGCGAGTGCGTGCGTGAGAAGAGAAGAGCCGAAGGATAAAGTTAACCACTCTTCTCTCTCGCCGGAGTTTAAACATTAGAAGTCACGCAAGCGTGTCCGATAAAAGTTTATTCAATCGGAAAGCGACGCGTGGTGTGTGTAAAAAGAGTGCGTAAAATCGTCGCCGCGCGCACCTGTTGAACCTGTTTCTCTTGGGGCACAACAGGATTTTCGAACAAAGTGCAAAAACAAAAAAAAAGAAAAAAACACAGAGAGAGGAAAGACGGAAATTCAATCAATCTCTGTCATCAATCTCTATCTTCAAATGTGACTCTTGATTGTGTGCGAATTGAAATATAGTTACATACCCGCTGATACCGCTGCTGTGTGCTGCCGATCAAAGCACAACTAGCGACATCTACGGGGGATGTGTTCAGATGTTCCGACATCATCAGCAGGTGATGATGTTCGCCAACTTGAGTGCGCACGCTGTGCGCGTATCCGCGTGAAGATATCGCTAGTTGCAAAAGAGAAACACACACACGCTGTGTTGTTTGTAGTTTCTGTAAACAGGAAGCGGCGGCAACCTGCCGCTCTTCTGTAAAATTAAAGTCGTCTGTTGTGCTGCGCGCGTCAATCCTGTCCGTCAAGGTTCCAACTTGTAAACACGTGGAAACGTCAAGGGGAAGAATGTTAACGTTAGCTTGCATTGTTCTCGTGTCGCTTCTCACCGGTCTGTGCGAGGATCAATTCTGTTCGATCGATGACGCCGATTCCTGCGAAGAAAACGCACAAGCTGACGAACATAAATCATTGTACACGAAAGGTATAGTGACAGAAAAAAAAACTTAAGAACGATAATTAAAATTATTAACGTAATGATGATGTGACGTGATATGTGTGATGTGATTGTTTTCTTATTTTGTAGCAACAAATGAAAGATACCGAAAGTATCTGGTGGCAATTCAAGAAGCGGAAGAAAACTATGAGGAATGCAACAATACAAGAAACGAATGTTTCAAAGACGTCATTAAACGGGACTTACGTCCTTTCAGAAAGGACGGTATTGATAAAAAACTGATAGAGCTAACTAAAACTAGGTATCTCTGTAGTAACAAATAATTTTGCACAGTTTGTGTGTCACGGTAAACATTACGGTTGACCGTATCTTATTTCAACTAAATCGCAGTTTGAATAACAGAGGGACGTATTACCAGATAATCGGAAACAGATTGTACAGAGAGAAGAACTGCATGTTTCCCGCCAGATGTGCTGGAATTGAGCACTTTCTGTTGAAGATACTTGACGCGTTACCGGACATGGACTTGATAATAAATACCGGAGACGTTCCTCAGTCAAGAAATTACGATCACTCAAGTCTTCTTCGCATGCCTGTATTTTCGTTCAGCAAGGTACACACAAGTAAAGTGATTCCTAATTGGATTCTGAATTAAATTCTCAATTGAAAGTTTTTGTATTCGTGACACGATGAAAGTTTGAGTAGCTCGTACAAATTTATAGACAGCGCATGAATATTATGATATCATGTATCCAGCATGGACGTTTTGGGAAGGTGGTCCGGCCATCTCGTTGTATCCCCGCGGCCTCGGCAGATGGGATCAGCACCGCAAGTCCCTGAACAAAGCAAGCTCGGACACTCCGTGGGAGAAGAAGGAGACCAAGGCGTTTTTTCGTGGATCCAGGACGAGCAGAGAACGCGACAATTTGATCTTGTTGAGTCGCGACAAACCTCACTTGGCGGACGCTCAGTACACGAAAAATCAGGCGTGGAAATCCATGGCGGTAACGATAATTTCCCAGTAAAATTACACGTCAAACGTTTGTATAAATTGTTATATTGTTATTTTTACAAAAATGACTCCAAACTTATTTCAGGACACTTTGAACGCAACGCCAGCGACTGAAGTATCCTTAGAGTCGCATTGCAAGTACAAGTATTTGTTCAACTTCCGAGGTGTGGCTGCGTCGTTTCGGCACAAACATCTGTTTTTGTGCCGGTCCCTGGTCTTCCACGTCGGCGACGATTGGGCTGAATTTTATTACTACGCCATGAAACCGTGGATTCATTACGTGCCTGTACCGACAAACGCGGATCGGGAAGAATTAGAGTGAGGAGATGGATTGTTACAAAATTTTTATTGCAATAAAAAAAATCTTTAGGGTTACCGAAATTCAACAACTATCTTGTTCTGACAGAGATCTGATCGAATTCGCGAAGAATAACGACGATTTGGCGAGGAAGATCGCGAATCGTGGAAGGGATTTCATATGGAAGAATCTGAGAATGTCGGACGTCACGTATTATTGGAAACAGCTTTTGAAAAGTTACGCCAAAATTCTGACGTACAAACCGGTATTGAAGGAGGATTTCATGGAGATCTCAAAGAAAGATGGAAGAAAATAATAAAAAGGTTTAAATTATATTTCTGCGATTTTTTTTTCTTTTAGAAAAACTAATACGTGTGTGTGTAAATTGTTGTTTCCAAGTACAACACGTACTTAATTGAAATCTGTATATCGAGATAGCTAAAATAAACATATGCTTTTATTATAATATTATTTGTATGACAATGAAAAATATAATACAATAGAGATTTTGTTTAGGGCACGACACAACGGCGTGGCAAGTTTCAATGTGAATCGTCAACACTCTGATGTCAGCGAGGTAACGCGAGGAAAGATCTTGCACAGTTAAATTCTTGTGCAGATGACTTCTGCTTCTTTTGCAAGAAAAAAAACGATAAAATTTTTCAACCGATGAACATTTCCGCTTTCCAACAATATTGCGCAAAAGAACAAGATCTTTCCCGTTACACTCTGACAATTTCCTTTAAGACTAAGTAAGCTTTAACAATTAAGTACTGGTCAAATACTTGGTACTAATCGTATGCAAGACACGTTTCTCTGAAATGTAAGAAAATATGAAATAGAACAGCATCAACAATGTTTTTTTTAAACATCCGTTAATACTGAGTATATAGAGAAGACACGTATAATAATTAAATTTCCAACGTATACGTAAATAATTTTTCCTCTCCTTCCTCTTTTTGTTTAGATACTTTTTTTTTTTTGCAAGAAATGCATTTTTCAAAGTGCACCTTTATCCTCCTGGAGGATACCCAAACGCTTCATACATAAGAATCTTATATGTAAATAAATTCTCGCACACATACACACAGCATGATGTCAGGAATCTCCCACATTTGGTCACTTGCAACATTTAATAAGACAAACAGAAATCTTCGTCAGAGAGAAGGCTGCTCTGATAAAAAAATATTGATTATTCCGAACCATCCGGGAAGAATCCTCGTATTTTCGAACACACACGCACAATGTCGCACAGTGCAGGACAAAGACTGCCTGTTCGGTTATTACTTTGACAGTACTGATAAATCTATAGTATATGTGACGTGAATCTATAGATTTTCAGTACTGTGCCAGTAAAAAAAAACGAACGCAGCCAAAGTCAAACGCTGCTCGAACATTCGGAGAAAAAGCTGCACTTGTGGACAGACCATGATGGCATTCACCTTAGAGCATATATATATATATATATATAATATATAAATTACAAAAATATTTTCTAAGGCACTTGCGCACATAAGAGATAATTAACAATTACTCTAGCGTACATATATATATATATATATGAATCAGCAGTGATGAGACATGAGTACTATAGATAAATTTTTTTTATATAAAGTATACAAACGAACAAATTGTTTTGCATGCAAAGTAAATAATATAACGTAAAACTAGGTACGTATGTGTAATTACGTCACAAAAAGGATGTCTTCGCAAAAACAGTTGAAGGATCTATAATACTCACATATGCGTAATACTTTCACTAATCAACAAACGCTTTCTCGACGAGAGGCGAAGAAGAACGCACATCGCCGGTCGAGGAGTTTCGCGCGATCGCTACACTATTTTTTTTTCTCTTGTTTATTTTCAATCGTCGCGTCGCAATGTTCTATAACAAATCACATCACGCATCCTTCCGATTCTATAGTCAAACGCTCGGGTTCCTTAATTTAAGGAATCGGTAATGTGCCTCTGATGTTCCAAGTCTTTGCGAACAGGAAATGGAGACGCGAACAAATTAAGGCAGTGTAAGAAAAGGTCGTGTCTGTGTGTGTGTGTTTATTTACGTGTTGCTTTTCGCGCGAAACGTTTTACTTCGGGGAGATATAAACATTCGCGTATATCTACGTACGTATTTCGTCGCACTTGGCGTTTGTGTGTAACACATACGCACAGAATTTTCTACGAAGAGAACGCACGTTCGTTGGAATCAATCGAACGACGCGCTTTTTTCTGTGCGTGGGGTTTTGTGTTAAACGAAACGGGAGAGAAACGCTCTAGTGTTTATTATTTTCCTAATTAATCGCTACTACTCACTTGTCGGGAGTGCAGGTAGAAAAAACAGCTGCGTCAACAAACAATCCCGATCGTTGTGTGTTATCGGAGCGCCCTTGTGTTGTTTTTTGTTTTCAGCATACAACACTTGTGTTTCGATAGTTTCGCACAAAAAACACCAGTTCCGTCGAGATCATCATACCTTACGCGCGCACGTTGACTTCGGTTGCGTCGTTGTCCTCGAAGGAGGGGAAGGACTGCTGCTCAATTCGCGTCATAAACCTCGAACCAAAGGTCGAGCGAACTCTCGACACTTTTTCTCTCTCTCTCTCTCTCTACGTAACGACGTACCTCACGATGATCAACGTCGCGACGCTCATCAGAAGCTGCCACGTTCTCTCCGACGTGGCCAACAGTTTCAACGAACTCATCGAGGCTCCGGAATCCGCGTGATCAGCGTGGTTCGACGACGTGACGAGCTCGTCGGTGCCTCCTGCCGAGTTTCAAATTCGTGTCGTATCGGACGCCATGTTGCGAAACGCGCGAACGAGAACCGTGCACGGTGATTGGACGGGCGCGCGGGCGCGCGCATGCGCACGAGAGTCAGCGAGAGCGCGAAACGCATCGAAGCGGACCGCAAACAAACGCGCGTCGCCGCGGTCGTTCGTGTGTGCACCTCTCGCGTACGTTCTCTCGCTGTCGTCGCCGGTGTTTTGTTTTTGTTTTTTTTCTGTTGTTTGGAACTTTTCGCATTTTCCGCGCGGTACGTAAGTGGAATCGGGAATATTTGGCACGTGATATTTTGTCGGTCGTGGGTGTGTGTGGCGTCGGCCGAGGCTCACTTTTTCCCGAATTCGGGGTGAACATTGTTGTCGTCTGGAAAAGGCGATTGCTCCCGGTTAATGCGGGTGGTCTCGGCGCATCGTCTCATCGCAAAGCTCAAAGAGGTAAGGTCTTTTTTTTTTCACCTCTCTCGAGCTTTTTGAAAACAAATATCTTTGTCATCTTTTTGTGTTTATCACGCGTATTTAGTGCCACTCGCGAATGTACAATTAACATCTCGCTAAATGTTCGTTGCGCGCGAGTTTGATGCGAGGCCAAGATGTGTCGACTGCGTCGTCGCAAAGATGGCGGCGAAACAGTTCGATTCACACTTTTACTTTTGAATCGATGATAAATTTGTACTCGCGAAATAAAAAATTGTTTCAAATGCATTTCCGGCGCACTAAATACGGTGATTATTAATATACATGTGTAATACAATCATGTATTAACATTTTACGTTAGATGTAAGTAACGAATATGTGTTGATTTGTTAAATTGAAATTGAAAAATTTACGTGAAATTGAAATTGACTCCATATTCTTGTGAGATTATTATTTTTTAAAAGTATACTTATATAAGAATTCGAAAATTTTAATTATGCAAAAACCTTTTAACAATTATATTATTTTGCTTTTTTTAAAAAAATTATATCTGCATATACTACAATTTAAAAATTTATAGTATTAAATGTCACACACAAATCATTTGAAAAAATTATATCAAAATTTCTTTCTTAGAAAAAACATTCAGTTTTCAAGATTTTTGAATTATCGATTGTTAATGTAATAAATTAAAATTCATTAAAATAACTAACAGAATAAATTACTAGCTAATAGGATAAAGTACTATAGGAGAAAAGGCATAGAGAGAAAAATTATATTAATCGTGCATTTTCCCTTGAAAAAAATTGTTAATAATTACAACTCAAAGAAAAAAAAAAGAAAAGATTGTGCTACACTCAAAGGAATCATTAGAGTGCATGCCAGAAAATTATTTCGACAGACACTTAAGAAAATTTGTATTTGTGCAACAAGAATTTGTGTGTCTATGTGTGTAACAAAAAATAAATTATAAACGTGTGCGTATGTAACAAAGAATTTCGGGGACAAACAAATAGAAAAGAACAAAATAAATAAGGAAAATTATATTAGGAAAATAATTCGGGAAGAATGTTTTTTTTTTTTGGTTTTGTTTTACAAAGATCGATATATATTGTTAGGATGTGTGGGGCAAATCGAAACCACGTTTTTAATGCTCAGATTAAGTTCCAAACAACTGTCAGCGGCGGTGATTGTTCATGCACTTCTCTTTGTTTCGTGTGCAAGTGCGCACGCGCGCGCGCGCGCGCGTATTCTCGTGTGTGTTCGTGAATTTTTAAATAAAAGTGTCTCGGGTGCGTCTGGTGAGATATGGAATGCACCACCACTGTGTTTTTGCAAGGCGTGAGCAATAACAGACACAAGAGGGGGGAGGGAGGTTCATGCATTGTCACACGAAAGTGATACTGATAGTGTTCCAAAAAGATTCTAGACAGTAATTACTTCTACTATTGAAAATCATGAAAAAAAAAAAAACTACGTGATAGGACGAAAACAGAGATAGGGTACAAAAAACAAAAAAAAAACAAAAAAAAAATCAACGTGAAACCACAACCGCGATGTGCTGATTAATGGCATCCGTGTATAAGCGAAACAAAGAAAAGAGAAAGTGTGAAAAACAAAACAAAAATCTTATTTCTAAGATATTTACTTGTCAAACTGGATGCGGCAACGATGACACACGGCGACCTTTTGCGCGATCGTCATTTTATTTGTCTTTCAACGTCGGTTTAGTCTCGGAAATATGTAAAACTCTTTTCTCATCCGTCGCCTGGCTAACAAATATACTCTGGGCTTTAGCATTGACCGCGTCAACAATTTTTTTTTATAGTTTACGAACAAAGAAACATATGCGAGGAGTCTTGAAGCACCGAAATGATGAGTCGAGGACGAACAAAAAAAAAAAAAAACGATTAGATGGTTAACAATGAGATGAACGACAACGTTTAGTGATTTATAATTCACGCTAAACTATTATATTCAAAAAAAATTAGTCGATCTACGTAAAAAAAAAATATCTATTTTCAGCTTCAAACTATGCAGCGCTATGTTGTTAGCGATGTGAATAGCTGTTATATGTGTTAAAATCCCCAAAATTGCGTACATCGTCGAAGATCTTTATGTCTGAGTCGATTGTGCAAGCATTGCTTTTATTTTCTTTCTTTGTTTTTTTTCTTCTCAATTTTGTAACTTTTGCGTCGAGACGCGAATTATGACACATTTAGAAAATAAACACGTTCCTCGAAACACGTTTCGACGCGCGTTTTAGTACAAAACAAAACAAAAAAAAAAAAAAAATACGCGCGTTGCATCACACATCCGATTTTTAAAGCGATCTGTGTCTCGATAAAACGCGTATCACAGATACCAGAGAATATATGAATTATCGCGGCGCGATTGTAATATCCGTTTAGAGACACGTTACATCCCAATTCCGATTTGTCGGAATTTGTTCTGACATCGCGCGTTGTGTGTCCGAACATTCGAAACATTTTACATCACAACTATTTTTTTAAGATTCAGGTTTTCTTTTTTTTTTTTTAAATAAAAGTACTGCGTGCACGCACACACATACAAAAATCTCTTCGCGATCTAGCCCTAGGTATCGTAGGTAGCCAGGTGCACGAGACACCAAAGTTTTTTTAATTTCGCGTTTCCTGCCTGCCTCTAAATATTAGATAGATTAATTGCTTCCACGTCGATTATTTTTCAGCGAAGTAGAAACGAGCGAAGCGGATTTTAACACAGGTATCCATTGTGCGATGTCGTTGACGATCGGAGTTATTAATTTAGAAAAAGCGCAATTCACGCGAATTCGCGGAAATTTTATTCATCCCGAATGTTCTCGGAACATCACGTGTATTTGACTTAATCACACGGTCGATAATTGCGGTAATAATAACAATAATCGCTGTCATCGCGCGCGCGCGTCGAATAAAAATCGAAAGAATTTCGAGAAACGCAAAACAAATTTGCGAAAAAGTTGTCAATTGGAGAAAAAAAAATGTTTGAAATAAACGCGAACAACGGATACCGGCTGCTCTTTCTGAGAGGCTAGGCAGGACTGGAATAAAGATTTCTGTGTACCTGCGTCTAAAATGATGTCGCCGACACTGTCGAGACTACCGTAGTCGTATGTGTCACGGTCGGCCGCGGAGTCCAGATTGCCAAATCCGAATGGCCAGTTATCGTTACCTAGTGTCCCTCTGTTCGCTGACTTGCATCCGAACCACCAGTACGCCGTCGATCTCGGGAAGGCGGGGTCAGCGGCATCCACCTGGAGAGCGGTGAGTCAAAAGAATCAATTTTGTTTTTATATTTGTCGCGCACCTACTTGTGTGTTTTAATTGTCCTATTTTGCGAATACGAACTGATCGAGAAAAGAGCGAGTAAAGAGTGAAATTGCACAACGCGCGCGTACAATCTCGTGCGTTTAATTTGTTTTTGCAATTCGCGAGACACACTTACGGAGAACGTTCGATCGTTGAATCGGTAGTACGCGTTGTCCTGGAAGAAATACGTGTATCCCTTGTACGTGATCGCCGCGTTTACGTGGTCCGGAATGCCCTGCCAGTTCTTGATGAGTTTGGGATAGTTGCTTCTCACCGGCGGTTTCGACGCCGGATCGAAGCGCCAGAACTTCGTGCCCTTGTAAAAGTAGATCTTGCCGTTGCCGGTCCAGACGGTGGCCGCGTCGATGTTGTCCGGAATACCCGTGAAACCGTCGCTAATCTCCTTCGGATAATCACCGTCCATCGTCGTGTTGACGTATCTCCAATATTGCGTTCCCTGAGACAAAGTTAATTCGCGATGATCATCGTAAAGATCAATAATAACAAGCGTCGTTGCAAAACCACCAGAGACCCTCGGGCGATCAATTTTATTTCGCAAGCATTTACCTTGAAGAAGTAAGTTTTGCCATTTCTGTACGTAAACGCGGCGTCTATGTTCGACGGAAGTTCCTTCCACGTGCTGCTGATGCGTCTGGGATAGCCTCCGGCCACACCGTTATCGGTCAATTTCCAATAATGTTTTCCTGAGTAATTTCCGAAGTCTTTAGCATTTCATTTACTTCGCAATTTCAATCGCGATCGAAGTACCGACAGATTCTGTCAAATCTGTCTTGTATCGTTGTCGTACCTTTGAACACGATCGTCTCGCCGTCGTTCGTGTTGAACATCGCGTCGATCTTCGGATCTTTGCAGAGTTCGGGATCCTCCTCGGCGGGTGGCGGCGGCGACGTAGTGCTGCCGTGACCTCGCGTCCCGTGATAGCGATTGGTTTTCTTCCCGTACAACGCCTGAAAGCGCGTTTCGTAAATCGCGTGTTGGTTTTAAATTTTCTCTCTTTATAAATTGCACAAAAAAAAAAACTCATATCCTAACTACCTGAATAGCGTCGACGTCGTCCCTGTCCAGATTGAAATACGGATCGTAGCCGCGGTAGAAGGGAGCCATCAGGGCGCTCTTGACGTCGCTGTGGCTGAGACCGAGCGAGTGGCCGAATTCGTGCGCCGCCACCTGGAAGAGATTGGTGCCGCGGTAGCTTCGAATGGTCCATCGTTCCGAGTCGTCGAAATGAGCGTCGCCGCCGTAAACCGGAAAGTACGCGTGCGCCAAGGTGCCACCGGGTCCGTCGAAGGGATCGCCGTCGCCGTGCTCGCCCACCTCGAATCTGATCTCGATGTGAACCTGTTCGCGAAAGAGCGAGAGTGTGTAGAAAAAAATTTGTTTCTCTCGCATAAAATACGAAAAATCGATGGACGACAATAATTTAACTGAATCTTACGTTGTCGTGTCCGGTTTTGCGGGTGAACGTCAGATCGGTCTCCCCCGACCAGACGTTGAACGCCTTCGCGATCTCCTTCTCCACTTCCTGCTTGTTCAGACCGCTCGGATACTTGGCGATCTTGTACGTTAGATTCTTCGTGCGCCATCTGGACCCTGAGGAGGAGCGCGCGAGAAATTTGTCATTTTTATTGTTACATTTTCCACACGTGCGCGTACTTGAAAACGCCCGCGGAAGCGCGGGGGGAAAAAAAACCGCATTTTCTGCTTTGTTCGGCGCAATGTCATCGTCGTCGTCGTTATCGTCGTTCGCATGTACAGTCGGATCGTTTATATGCGCATCCGTCACGCGCGGCGCGTCTATTTACACCATCGCGCGATTCTGCCATTGTATATTACGTGTGTAATACGTTATTCATCGTGATGCGCGTGATTTTTCAAAAGAGATAGATTATAACCGCTGCGTGCCACGCGCGAAATCCGCGAAACGCCGCCGGTTGTTTTTATTGTGTGTGTTGTCGGGTTTGTTTGTTGTATGAAGAATGACAAAAAAAAAAAAAAAAAAAATCCAAGCCCCCCAAATATCCCGTAGCCGTTTTTTAAAAAAAAAAAAAAAAAAAAAAAATAGCGGAGTTTGCGTGCTCATCGTGATTACGCAAGGCTGCGGCGATTTATGCAACAGTTGCGCGTGCAACAATTACGGATCACTCTCTGTGCGTCTCTCTATCGTCGACGCGTCCGTTACGCAACGGATTTTATTCGTTCGCGTGTTGGAGAGAGAATACGCGTGAAGAAATAATTCGAATTCGAAGAATCCGGGCAAATAAGAGATTCGAACCTGGCGAATTACCGCGGGTGTTATTAGGTCTCGCGGCGCGAACTTTCCACGGTAGGATCCACGCACGGCCGAACTTAACACCGAGGGGTTCACTGAAACGTGAAGCCCTCGTGTGCGTGTGCGCACACAGGTTCAAAGTCACGGTTAGGTTTTCGCGATCGCGTTTTTATTGTTGTATCGCAAAGAAACGAAATTGTTCGATAGAAAGTTTTTCGATCTCGATCGGGAGAGGTTGAGAACAGAGAGAAAGAAGTTTTAATCGGAAATATACCGAGAGAATTATATTACGAACGTTCGCAAACGAGACGCGCAAACGAGAAAGAGATTTGAAAAGGACAAAGGGCGCCGCCGTCCATCTCGCCGGTCGATCGTCGGATAACGGGGCGAAATGCAACAGTTAACCCGAGCGTATTTATGAGGATTGATTTGGTATGCATTTGGAGCATATCCGCAAACTCTCTGTGCCAATCTGATCCGCGTGACCCGTTTAGGGTGACTGACTCTATATCAATGACTCGCAATGATAGCGGTAATGAAACGGGCAGGAAGTCGGAAGACGCGTGATTCAGTTGGAAACATCGCGAAATTTATATACAACACGAATCGCGCTCGAATCTCTTCATAGAAATTTTTACATAAATAACACAATATAGATTTTCTTCGCGCGCGCAATTTCGCGAGATAGATAGTTTTTTTTTTTTTTTTTTACCAATTGTATTTTACGCAGATTTTTTTTCTGTGAATTTCAGAACTTAGCGAAGTTTTTCGCCGGTTAGATAATCGATCGCAATCGATTTCAGAAGTAGAAAGTTGTGTCATGTCTCACAATCACGTCTGGAATTGCGTCGAACTTTCTTTTAGATTTGTCAACCGTTCGCGTAACGTCAAACAAAATAAATCTCGTTATTTGAATGTTTTTTTTTTTTTTTCAATCGAACTTCATACGAGCGTTAAATACGATCTTGCTTACCCTGAAGAGCGTATCTCTTCGATCTCCCGTCGGCAGCTGGTCCGACTTTGTCTTTGACGCCGCATCTCGGTGTGGCCATAAGCTTGGCAGTCTCGTCATTCAATTCACCTGAAAATTTAATAGATTATTTATGTTTTTTATTACTTATCATTAGCGTGCAATTGCGAGAACAATGGTTTGCGATTTCGCGATGAAGATTAAACAATCGGATTCTGCGCGTTCACTATTTGCAGCTTATTTATTTACAGCTCTGTCAGCTCTCTCTCTCTCACTCTCTCTCTTCGTATTTTCGAAGTGAACATCTCTTACTTTTTTTCCTCTCTTTTCCTCCTCCGTCTCTCTTTGCGAGCGCGACGCTTAATGTGCGTGTACATCTTCGAACCCCCCGTGCACATTAATTTCTCATGCATATGTATGCGTAATATGCATAGCACGCGGGTTTGCTCGTGCATAAGATCTTCGATCGCGTGTGTTTCGCAGTGCGGTCACGCGACTCGACAGATTCGTCGTTTGCTCGGCGCGGAGGTTTCGGAGCGCGCCAAGACGGAGATGACATTTTCTCTTTTTTTTTTTTTTTTTTGTTTTGCACGTGCAAGAAACACATCGAGCCTTTCTCACACGTCGTCGCTTTTTATATTTAGAGCGCAAAAAATTGCGCTCGTTTACATTTTATCGAACACCTCGCCGTTCTTTTCTCTCACCGCGATGAATAGAATTGCGAGAATCGCAACGAGATATCAATTTTGATAAACGCGATATCAAAAAAAAAAACGCAAGAGTCGAAGTTACGCGATTACGTTGTAAATACAATTTACTGTCTCTTTTGTTTCCTGTTTTTTTTTTTTTTTATACAAGTTACGTCCGTAATTTCGTAGCTGCGAATCGGTTAACAACGCGACGCAGTTTATGGTCGATAAAAACACGCTCTTCATCTCTCGGGATAATGTCGCCACCCATGGCCTACAATTTTACAGTTAGATCATTCTTCCGTTCACCTTCGGTTTTTATTGGGCTCCATTGCTTGTTCCGCCCTGCCACGGACTCTAGCGCGGCCACCGTTTAACGATAAAACTGCCGTTGCCGATTCGTTTGTTTCATTTTCGTTTATATTTTATTTCATTGTCTTTCGCGTATGGGTGTTTTTTTTTTTTTATTCCCTCGTCGCTCACGTTCTTGAACTTTTAATTAGCGCGCACCGGTTTCTCAGCAAATTCGCGAAAAACCGTCGCGAATGTTTACTCGGCGATGCGATCTTTCGAACACCACAGTCCGCGATTGGAAAAACGCGCGGATTTAATCCCGTTCCGCGAAATATCCATTTCGCACTTCGATCTTTCATATAATAATAACATGCGTAATAAACGTTTTTCCTAATGATTTCTCGCGCGAGATCACTAGACGCGCGAGATGAGTCACCGGAGCGCCAGGTCTCGTTTCGTTGAATTTCGGTCCGTTGTGAATCATTGGCGTTTATCATCGTCGACCATCGTCATTAAGTAAGGGAACCACCGTGTATTATCGTCGTTGCACGCGTGTGGGTTCGACACACGTGGATGCGATATCTCTAGAATTTCGCGTGTTTCACTATTTTTTTTTCTCTTTTTTTTTTTGACTCACGTGCATGCGACACTGAGTAAACGAGCGCATCCTCCGTAATTCTTCGCGTGAGTCATCACCGGTGTGACAACACTCGTAGACAACAAATTCCAATTGTGTTCCGCGACTTTGTGTGCGCACGCGTGTATAACGTAATTTAGAAATTAAATTTTAGACGCGAAATTTATAACGAGCGCGCGCCTACCTGTTATGTTGAGACCGGCGAACGCTTGAAACTCCTCGATCGCCGCCGTCAGCTTCTCCGCGCTCAGGAACGCGCCGGTCTCCGGATTCGTTCGCGGCAGATATCCGTACTGCGCCAGATAATTCTGCAACAAAAACACATAAAGAAACACATGCGATTAAACGATAAGTTCGTTCGAATGATTTTCTCGAAGCTTTTCGAGGCGCTCAAGGTTGCACCTCGTATCTCGCGCGAAAGAAAATCTCCGTAAATAAAGACAGACACAAGACGGCCTTTAGTCTCTGTGTCATAATCGCGGCCTTGAGTATACATTTCGCAGGCGAGTGAAAAAAGGATGGAGAGAAACACGGGACACTCTTTGTAAATTTACCGAGGCCCTCCGCGACGAGGCTTCGTCTTGTCGTTTATCGCTTCCTCTTTTCGTCAATTGCGTGCCGTCTAATTGTGTTAACATTGTCGGGGGAAATTCCCTCGCGTCGGCGCTTCCCGTTCGCAGTTTTCGACCAATAACGGCGACTAATATAACGCGTCGTCGTCGTTTTATCTCGCTTCGTGAAAGAATGCCGATCATATACGTGACACACTTCTAAGCCGCCGTCTAAAAGATATGTACACCGGCGTGATGTTACACAAGAGACGTGCCGGTTAACGCGTGTCGCAAGAATGATAATACCGACGACGCGGATAGAAGATCGTCATTAGAGCCAATTCGAATGGCATTACGTTCGGATTAGCTCCTTAAGAAGATGTGACTCATCCCTTATATCGAGCACGAAAAAGCGCCGCTTCTCTCTCTCTCTCTCTCTATCTATCTTTTATGCAGCGTTCTAGATTCGCGTAAAACGGAAGTCTCGACAATCAGCGATGGCCAGCCGCGGTGGGTAACATCGCTGCGTGTGGAGAGTCTCGTCAGTAGTCGCCGATCGATCTCTATCCAAACCATCGCGTGTAAACTCCTTCTCGTGGAGTTGCGTATTGATTTTGCAGGTAGTTGCGACGGAAATGGCCGCGCACGAAGGATATTCCTCATGTATACGTGAACCCGATGAACTTCTTTTTCAACCCCCCTGGTTGTGTGTGGTTTAAAAATTTTAACAATAGAGAGAACGTACGTGTGTACATATATATATATTGGATCGGAGCACGAGATCCAATTTAAACGTCGCGAATGTCGGAAGCGCGACGAAATTGCGCTACGCGGTCTCTCAAATCGCTGAGTTTCGCGAACGAGCGAGTCACGCGAGAATTTATCGAGAGTTTGTGTCCCGCGCGGCGGTTATTTGACAAGAAGTCGATTACGAGGAAGGGGATTGACCCGACTGCGAACTGACCGGCGCACCGTTTACTGTTATATTTTAACCGCACACTCTTTTGTATATATATATATATATATCTACACATATCTGATTAATATTCCGCCGGTATAGGAACAGCCCGACGACGAGTATTAGAATGTATTCATCGCGCTGAATCGCGCGATGAAGAAACAGTCATTAGTACGTTGATCCTTCGTGCTCGCGTCATGCGTCGGGGAGTTGAAGAATTGCGGAGGAAGGGAAGAAGGAAAATGTTTTTTTCGCGACGAATTTTTGCTTTGTTCTTTGACGAAACGCGCGTTCTAATACGCGTTTGTTGTTTTATTATTCGCGCGAAATGTGGATTATCAGCGATGAAATGCGATAGCGCGCGTTTAAAACTGCGAAGTTACAAAGTGTGAGTCACGCTCTCTCTCTCTCTCTCTCTCTCTCGGAGAAGGAAAATAATAAAGGATATAATCGTTCGGATATTTTCGCGGTAGTAATCCGACGCATCCCCCTCGCGTCGCCTTTGACTACGTATGCAAATAGCATACGTACGCGGTTTCCCGATTACCTCGGCTGATTCATACCTTATAGGGGCAGATATTAAATCTTTTACGAACGCGTCCGGTTCGGACGCGCGAAATCTGGTCTCTCTCTTTTGGATTCGACAGACGCGCGCGATTTCATTCCGCGATTTGATTTCTTCCTCCCTCCTCCTCGAGCTCTCCGAGTTTTGTTAGATTTAGATTTAGATTTAGAAAAAAGCGTTTGGCATCTGACGACAAAAAGAAGCATGTTTGAAAAAAAAAAACAATCACTTTTTTATCATGGGATGAATAACAAACGTATAATTTTTCTGCGTACTTCCTTCCGACCGCGGAATGATTCAACACTCCTACGTTTCACAAATTTCGTAATCTACTTCAGACAAGAAGGAAAGAGAGAGATAAAGAAAGAGAGAGAGTCAATCAGCTTCCGGGAAGCCCAAGATTTTTATGAATGAACGTAAGTGGAGTGACAGCCCGTATATACCCACGTGCGTGTGTCACGCGTGAATGGACTCTCCCACTCTTCCGCCACTCTGTCTATCTCTTTTCTATGCCTGCGTGTGCGTGAAAGATCGAAGCGCGCGATTACTATACGACGGCGCGATTGAATCAGCCGCGGTTTTCCGCGAATTCAATCGGTGGTGACTTGTGGTCCCTCCTCTCGCCCTCTTCCCCGGGAAAAACTCTACAATCGACGTCTGCGCGACGAAATTCAAGGATTTACCGATCTAGACGCGCCGATCGAAGGCGATCGCCAATTAACGGTGGAATATGAAATATAATTAGAACATTTCTCGTCGCGTATGCAAATTCTTGCGGTCGCACGCGACTTTTTTTTTTTTTTATGCGCAAACGTCGTTGGAACGTATATATACGTATATATCGAAACACGGCGAGATTTTTTGTTCGGTGCGTTACGAGAGGACGGGATTACACGCAGGTTCGGCAACACGGAAGACACGCACGCGCGATAATTATACGGATGTTCTCCTTGTGTAATCGGAAGTACAACATGCGCGAGAGCGGAAAGATGCGCGCGCGGGCTGGCAAGAGCCTTGGCTACAATTATACTTTATGATCGCATGAATCGTGTCAGAATACTTTGCCGAGCATAGTTTCTCTCCGCGTGTGTCATTTACGAAGGCGCGTTTTACCCACCTACGTGCATCAAGCGCTCTATCAAGCTTCAATTTGTGAGAGTGCGTTTCAAATTTCTTTTTTCTCTCTCTCTCTCTCTTACATTGTCCGAAGTTATTACGTCATTTCTATGCGAGATAAAAAAGAAAAAAAGATGCTTAGTATCTGGCGAATAATTTAATCGGCGGCAATCGATTAGCCCATTCCTGCGAAGTTGTGTCATACCTTTTTTCCGCATCAGAAACACAGTTAAATGTCATTGAATAATCTAGAGATAATTTGTTTTCTCTTTTGTTCGAAAAAAAAATGTTATTCGCGTCGTATATATCTTCGTGTTTTTTATCTACAAATTATAGAACATCCGACGAATCTTTTTTTCTTTTTTTTTTTTTTTCGCAACAAAACTGCTCGCAAATTTGTTGTAGCGCATGTCGTTGCGGCGATTGTGCGAGATCGACTCGCGTTAAGCACGCGAAAGGTTTTACACACGTCCGGGTTACCTTGAATTCGTTCGTTCAAGGTGTTCACGTGACGTAGGCGCGGTGATATTTTCAAAAAATATCAATCTCCAACAGAGTTGTGCGGCATTTGCGGTAAAAACTTTTTATGCCGACATTCGACAATTTTTTTTTTCCCCTCGAGGAAGTTAATTACATGGCGTTTGTGTGTATTTGAAAATTGTACTTGATTCTACACGCGATCAGAGATCGTAACGCGATCGTTTTTTCGTCCGAGTCGTTTCTAAGCTCATCTCGAACGTCGCGCAAAGCTTCGTTACGACAAGCACGACGTTTCCCTGACCTGAATTGTGGGTTGTCGTCGGGATTTCGTGATATACTCCCAGACATATCGTGACCCGTTGTTCTTCTGCCGCAGTTCTTCGGCGAGATAGAGAAGTGTTTAATCTCCGAGCGATATCTTTTCGAGCACGCGCGCGCGCGCGCGCGCACGGGTAACACACAGAACGTCGCGTGTTTCGAGCATCGCGCGCGCTCCATTTAAACTCTCTTGTATATAACAATTATTATTTATGGATGTTTTAATTGTATTCGAGCGAGGTTTTCGGCGGTTCGTTCTATTGTTAACGTCCTTGTTACGTTGAAAATAGATTTCGAAAACTTTTCGAGTTGCCGAATTTGCATTGCCGTTAAGGTACACACGCGGTATGTAGGTCAAACGTCTACTTCCACGATAATTGAGCGAACTGGGAAGATACCGCAAAGGCGAAGCGTTCAATGCTAATGAAAACTCGTGCGACTCTTGATAGAAAAAAAAAAAAAAAATAAATAAAAATAGCTCTCGCGCGTATCTTCGAAATATCGAAATCATATATTGTATCAGTCGTGTTGACGGATTCGATTCGATCTCTGCTTCGATTGGTTTTTCGATCGGATAATGACGGTCGGGTGTGTGCAACGACATATGTAACTAGAGATCAAGCATTCTTTCGAAAAAGTGAAGCCAGAATTGGCAGTTTAATAAAATAAAAGGAGATAGATTGTCGTCTATCTATCTCTTATCTAGATCACGTCTCACTCTCTCTTAGAACGATTGTCAAGAATCGCCTTAATATTTCTACTACAATTGTCAAGTGCTATACGTTACGTGTATTATATTACGTATGTAATCTGACACATTTTATATATTTATTTTATATATTTTTTTCATATATTTTACATTCTGTTGTAATATTTTTCATCGATACGTACTGTATATATGTCGGTGTCATACATAACTTATACAGCACTTGACAATTGTAAATTGTAATGTAATCAAATATGACGATGATGGTGACTGTCAAGAGTCTGCTGGCGGCTGTCAAGAGTGAGACAGACGGTAGAACATAAACAGCTGCTATTCTTGGCTTCACTCTTTGCTACAAGAAACATATAAGAAATGCTCGATCTATAGTTGTCATGTGTCGATGAGTGTGCGACAGTTTATTTCCCAGATTCCTGTGAAAAATCTGAAATCCGTGCGCGCGTCTAATTGTCGCGCTGTTTTTGTGTGTAGTCAAGTCTTTTATCTGATTGTGTTATCGAAGATAACGGCGACGCTTACTTCATCGTCTCCGAACTATCGTCTCGTTTCTCATCGAATTATTATTGTGACGTAAAAAAAACAAAAACTTACACGGCGCATGCGTTTATTATATAATGTAGTTTTGATATTATTTTGATTTATATTGTTCTTCGTCTTCACAAAGTGTCAAAGCAGCGAGATAATTCCACCTTGTCTCGCGCGAGTTACAAAGATAACATTTCTGGAAATACCCGCGAATTGTGTGCCATCAACATTGCGCTATCTCCGTTATGTGTGTGAAAACAAGTCGCGCGCACACACACACAGATAAAGACAGGCAACTTATGAACGAATGAATTTGAGAGATTACGCTCGACGTGCGTACATAGGCGTGGTTTTGTTTCGCGCGAAAACCGTGTCTCTTCTTCTTCGCGGTGTCGAAACCTGAAAAGAGATATATAGTACGTGTTGCAATTTAAATCGAACTCGCGCGCGGATTATCTCCCGGGGGAGAGACAAACATTTGCGCGCGTCTCATTTTTCCCCGCGTAAACTCTCTCGTCTCTCTTTCCGAAAGCCCGACTTTCTTCCTATCTCCGTCGGAATAAGACTCTAGACAAAGAGCAATTTTGTTCTTTTGACGTGTTATATGCACCGCGCGCGCGCACACACACACACAAGCAGCGTAGGATTTTCAAGCTGTCACTCGTAAAATAAAAGGAAGAAGTGCATAAAGTGTCGGAGTGGCGCACCCGGCCTTGAAGAGGTCTTTGTCGACGCGAACGCCATCAGTATTCCACGCCCTCGCATCTTCTTCCACACAGACGTTGTTTGAATATAAAAGATAATTCCGATCATCCACCGCGCGCGCTGTTTATTCGCGCGCACACGTATACATATTTTCCCGTATATAATTTTACGGTAGTCTTTATTATGTCTCATGAAAGTCGACTCTTTCGAGACGAACGAAAATCGAGCAAAACCAAAACGGCTCGGCAAAGTCGATCCAACTTTACGATCGCGTTGTATATTTTTCGTAAAAATTGTTGACAAGATTGTTGATACGCGATCCGATCTCTTCTCTCTTTCGAAATAAAAGGGCGATATATTTAATCGGATCGATTTGTATCGCCTCGCGATTTTATCTGTCGCGGTCACGCAATGTTGCATCGATAGAAAAATAAACAGACCCCGAAGAGTTCGGCCGGAATAATAATTGAACCGCTCGTTATATTCTGTCGTCCATATTTTCTCGATCGATTCCAAGTGATCGATGCCCATCGCGAACGAGCTCTCTTGCTTGCGTTTATAATCGTTGAATTATTAAATCGCGCTCGCGCAACGAATCGGCGCATCTGTTTATTCTCGTTACATATGCAATTCGGATTAACATTTTCGCTTTTGTCGGCGACCGCGAAACGGACCGATAGAAGCGATATGATTCATTGAAAAAAAAAGTGTTAAAAGTCGCTGATTCAACGAACGGGGAAGTAGAAGACAGTTCGACTCCTATGAGCGGCTCGACGACGATTCGAACTCGCGCTTGATGAATCATCAACGCTCGCGGGGTGCAAACGACACGACGCGCGAATGCGAAATTTTTCCTGTTTTTCACACATCGATAAGACGCGCGCATCGGATTGCAACGGTTTTTGCGTCAATGTCAGTTGATGCTAATGCGAGCGAATATCTACGCGATTGTTAATTTTAGAAGCGCATATTTCTGCTTAGGAAAAAAAAAAAACAACGCGCGCACCCGAAGACCCCGATAAGCAAAACGCGATACCGCAAACTTGCGCGCTTGTCGACGGAATGTATTTTTATACGAATACTCGAGGCGCGTCGAGAACCAACGATTAGACGCATCGATTTGCTGCAATAAGTTGGAATAATGTTTTTTTGTTTTTTTTACAATAAAAATCGACGCGAGACTACACAGCATCGCGTGTTGCATAACCGGCCGGCGCGCACGTGAGAATTAATCCGCGTGGTGCGTTGCGTAAATTGCGGGCGGAGAGGGCGAGGGTTCGCGGAAATAGAAATAGCGGTTTCATTAAAGAACATCAAGACGGTCATTTCGGTTACACACGCGCGATTCACGATCGACATTGGTCTCTGCAATTTGCGTTAAACGAGCATCACGGAGCAAAACGTGCGATTATAATAAATCCCGCCCAAGTGTTCGACACGTGAATTGTTACCTCGACGTTTTTTTTTTTTTTTTTTTTTATTTTCAAAGCGCTGACAGCGTTTTAAGTTTAGTTTTAAGTTTCATTTTCCATTTTCGATATCGACAAGAACGTTCATATTGGATGAAGGTTTTTTTCTTTGCGCCTCGCGAGATCCATCGCGAAACGATTTAAAGTAATTATTTAATTATACACAAGAAAGGAACACGAAGCGCGCGAGTGATTATTATCTGTTTGCATTAGCAAACGCTATTGGTGACGCGTGCCTTATCGACTTAGACGCATCCGCGCGGATTTGTCGTCTGTACGCACGACGTTGCCGATCATAACGTTCGTTTTTTTTTTTTTTTTGTCTTCTCCACGTCCACGTGCGCTCGATATGTAACAAATCGTTCGTGCTCGGAAACAAATAAGCTCGGAGCGCAGCGTGTCTTTGTTCTGGTTCGTCGATTCGCGCCAATAGAAACGACCCGGCCCAACAAGCGCGTTTCCATTTCCGCGAAACACATATATTTCACATATATTTCGCGCTCGATCATTCGGGCGGGATCCCGTTACTAGCTAGATTTTGTATACACGGCGGCGTTTTTGATTAACGGCAGTCTCACGTCTCGCCCGAATGACGGAACGTCCCTGAGAGAATTCTCGCGCGCGTCCAAAAACCGCGTCGATTCTTCCGCGAAGGGAGAAGATTCTCTTTCTTTTTTTTAGGATTGGAGTAGGTGAGAGAATGTCAAGCAGAGAGAGAGAGAGAGAGAGACGCGATCTCTCACCTCGATCGAAACGGCTGAAGGAGCGAACGATCGCTCGCAAGATCGAAGCGACGATGAGAATATTCTATGATGATCGGGATTGTTTAATATTCCGATAACGACCGGTCCGTGTCCGGACTGTGGATCCGCGATGACGAAGGCCAGCATACGCGGTGTCTGTCCGAGCGACGCGTATTTCCGTGTTGAGGCACATACATTATTTACAATTTCCTAGTATGATCTTCGAAAGAGAGAGAGAAAATACATATCTCGGGGAGGGCGCGCTCCGATGATGACTTGGCATCTTGCCCGGGTGCCAGTGGAGCATCGGGTTATCGGGAATGGATCGACGACGACGCGAACGCACATCTTCGCTCTCCGTACCGTATTTGTCTCCTCCGCGATTTTTGCACGTGGATCGTGAAAAAAAAAAAAACGGACAAAGGAAAGTATTTGATAAAAATTGTTTTTTTATTTATTTTTTTTTTTAAGTAATTTACATCCCGAGGACATCAAGTTCTCTATTTGCGATTTTTATTTACTTCTCAAACGCACAATTGTCGATTTTTCTCGAACACACGCACGTGTCGCCTCGTCAGGAGACTAATTAGCACTCGACGTTTCGAACAGCTTTTTTTTCCAGTAGTCGCATAAATTAAACGGAATAACGCTGTTCGTGACGCGGCGTTTAGAATAAATTAACAAATATTATTACGTTTTGTTTTCCTTGTAAAAGGTTAGATCTCCTCCTCCGTTCGTTTTCTTTTCGCAATTTTCTTCTTCTCGATCAGATCCGCGAAAGAAGATCCGAACACATTTTTTTTTATTATATTTTTAAATACTTCGCCGCGTACAAATCATTCGAGACTTGGTTATCGCGTTGTGTGTCAAAGAAAAACGCTAGATAACGCAAGCGATTTTCGATCGCGGAAGAGATCCGCGCGTTCGTGGAACCCGAACCCAAAATGTAATTACTTTGTTATCAGATTCAAACTCCTTCGGAGACGTGAAACTCGTCGGGACGCGCGAAATCCGAGTGTGCGAAAACACACATCCAAAAATGCAGAAACTCAGCAATCCGTAAGTCTCGCGATTCGCGATTCTATTCGAGAGCATTGCTGCATTCATCGAGCGAAGATTAGACGACTCGATGCGCGTCCGATATGATCCGATATCAGAGTTCGCGGAGATAAACGATTTCCTCGGAATGTTACTTACGTCGTAACTTAGAGAAACACGCACGCACGCACGCACACACGCGCGCGCGCGCGCGTAACACAGCTATTCGCGCATTACTCATGTGTGTGACACACCGCGGTAATTGTACAATTTTCTGTTATCTTTCTTAATTTTCTTTATTCTCGCGAAATAACGCGATTGCGCGCGTCCAACTCGACGCGGACTTGTTGCAAATTTTCGACCGAGCGCGTTCGGAATTAAAATACAAAAATTTGCCGCGACGCGTTGTCATCGTTTAATTGCGAATCAATCGGGAAAAATAAAAATTATTTACTTACCGCGGCAGTGGTGTCGCTGATGGCGACGTCGGTCGGCGCCGTTTCCGCGTTGCTCGCGCACAGAGCGACGAGCGCTATTATCGCCATTAGGTAGCCGTCGGTGCTTCGCCATCGCGAAACGATCCTGCTCCACCTCGTCATGTTTCTCGACAATGCAGCGATCCAATGTGTTGCGCGCTCTCGACTGGATCACCGTGACTCGTCCGTCGCGTACACCTGAGTCGACGCTCTTTTTCTCTCTTTTTCTCTCTTTCTCTTTTTCTCTGTTTCTCGGTTTCTCGCTGCCTCGAGGAACACTGAATAGGCACACGTGCTTCCTGAAGATTTACCTCCGAGGATCGCGAAAACCCGAAAACGTCAGACGACTAGATCCATACTCCGTAATTCGTTCGGTTGGTTTGTAATTTATTTTAACGCGTCGACTTTCCGCGCGTTTCTCCTCGCGATTGTTATTCTACTCCGACGATTTCTTTCCCGCTAAATCAACCGTTTCTGACCCCAGACTAGTACCCGGTGTACAGACTGGAACGTGGTTGCCACGACACTATCGATCTCGTGTGTGGTGTGTTTTCCTCGCTGAGTTCCTCGCCACTACACCCGGGGCTCTTTCGCTCTGTTGCTTCGAGCGTGACTCCTCGGTGCATATATTTTTATATATATATATATAGGTGTGTGACACGCACCTAGTTCGATTTTCGCCGACGAAAAACCTCCCTCTTGGTTCTTTCTCGGAAGACGAAACGATCGTGGAGAGCTGAGCGCGCGAAGGAAGACGAATTGGGGAAATTGACGATCGACAATTCGAAGTTACGGGACGGAAGATCGCACCGTGCGGAGTTTCCCCGCGTCGAGAAGAGGATCGACGACGAAAAAGCGCGCGAGCACGCGAAGCTGATATCCACCGCCACTCTGAATCATAATCAGTCTGCCACTGACTTTTATTGAGACCTCCCACCATAGTCGCGATTGCCACGGTCGCCACAATCGCGCGCGCACCACACGGCGCTTCTACATACACGTGCAACACACGTACATGTGCATGTCGTGTCGCCGCTGTACGTTCGTGTGTGTGTGTGCGACGCGAGTTAGTCAGATCGGGTGCAGAGGATGATCGCGTGAAATATCTCTCTTTGCCTAAATCTCCGCGGGAGATTCGCAGTTCGTTCGCTCCGGGGTCGTTCGCCCCCGCTCGAGAAAAACGAACGAATTTCTTCGCGCTCGTCACACGCGCGTTAGTAGGCGTCTTCCTTCACCTATCTCTCATCTCTCTGCTCGCTCGATTTTTTAACCTTTGACAAATGATCGTGTGACAGATGTCGCTGTGTGATTTCTCTCAGACACGATGTCGCGCGTTATCTCGTACAAAGAGCTTCGCTCGAAACGAATCCACGGCCGGATAGTTTCGTGTGTGTGTGTGTGTGTGTGTATTTCTATTTCGTTTTTACAATGCGTCTAAGCGCGCGGACTCTTTCTTTTTTTATTGTCTCTCTAGACGACGGAAACTTGCGGAGAGTTTGCGCGTGAACAAACTCCGCTCTGACTCATCATCCCGACTTTTTGGCCTGGCTTTCCGTTCCCGAGAATTCTTTTGGCCGACCGAATGCCGACGACCGCAGACCCGATCCCATACCGGTCGGGCGCGTAAATTTCGAATGCAGATGCGCGCAAACCAAAGCTCGAATAATCGTTCGATCGCTCGCTCGCGTTTGATTCTCGATCTCGCGCTCTTCTTCGCGCAGAGCGCGATCTCGCACAAGCAAACATTTCGTCGCTAAAAAGAAACAAATGCGTTTTTTTTGCACATTTTAAAACTGGCTGTTATCAATTGCTGTTGGAGATGATGCTCCGCTTGTGTCTAAACCGTCGCGACCGTATTGACATGCAACACGAGCAAACAAACGCGGTAAATCGCGTTCACGGTGTGTCGTCAGCGTGTAACACATGTATATTAATCGGAGAACCGCGAATAGAGAGCGCCAACGAATTTCGAATGCAAACCAGGAGTGCAGGAACGAATGAGTAAGCGTCGGGGTCGGTTTGGCGCATCCAATTGCCGCGTCAATGAGTAAATAATGAAGACTCTTATTCATCGTTTTTTTTTTCTCTTTCGGTGTAGTTTAACTAATAGTTCCGATTTACGATTTTTTCCACACAATTGTTTCAATCACCACATTCTCAGAGAGACGGCTATAATTATATCTCCGTATCATTGTCCTGCGAATTTTTTGCCGGTCACATTTTTTTACGAAACTTGTCGTTCTCCTCTTATTGCGGGGCACAAACGTGATTGTCATGAAAACCTCTCGACGTTCGCGAGTACCGACGAGTTCGTTTTGATTTAAAAAAAAAAAAAAAAGAACCAGAAACTACTCGTATCTCGAAAACAGGATCTTCCTCTTTCTCGTTTTTTTTTTTTTTTATATTCCGTGCGATTTTATTTCCGTTGAAGACGAGAGTAAAATATCTTTTCATAGTTTTTATTTAAATAGTCTAAAAATAAAGAGACGAAAAGAGACGAGTATCATGAGTTTGGAACGCGCTTAAATTTCAAATTCATTCGCTTGAACTCTTTCCGCGCAAGGTCGCTCGCGAAAAAGCAATCGCGAGACCAGCTCGCATCTCATAATTTCGGAATGTTTTAATTTTTGTTAAAAAAAAAAAAACAAAAAAAAAAACAGTGTCTCATTCTCTCTTCGTAAAGAAAAACATCAGCGTTGTAACATTTGTTTTCTCAGAGAAACATTATCGCGCAAGTGCACATTCCAGGAGCTAAATCACAATTCGCGGTTATTGCACGTGATGATAAAAGCGCGCACTCACTTATTTCGCCGACTTCCGTGCTTGGCAGTGCAAGGGGGATGTTGTTATTACATAAATCTAAGAAGCTTGTCTCACCGATTGAGACGTCGCTTGTTTTTTTTTTTTCTTCTCATTTTTTTACTGAGTTTCATTGATTTTCCCGTTACGTTCCCGATACTTGTTTTTTTTTTTTTATTATTATTACATTACCGCAGTGATAAAAAAAATGGTTTTATCTTCATTTCTGCGAAACCAACACCACCCCCGCGCAAAAGAATTCGCAAGGCACTTTTGTTCCCCGGAGGAGGTTAGTACCCCCGGGTTAGGTGTGTCTTTTGAATGGGGAAGAAACGGAGGTAAGGTCGGCGAAGAGATATCAGCTCGAGACGATCGCACACGTCCCGTGCCGCGCCTAAAAAATTATACATTTCACCGATCTCCGATCTTCTTTTCTTCCTTTCTTCTTTCTTTTGTCGAGTGGCGGCGTGCGCTGCTCTATAATCCTAATCGTTTGTCGATCCGGTCGATTAATTCGATCCCTTGGGGAGGCTGTGCCTCTTCTTATTCTGACTTGGGTTCATCCGGTCAAGGTCTTTGTCACATTGCAGACAACTCATCGCGTTTAATGACGATCAGCGCGGCGAGCGGAAATTAAAATACGTGTAATCATAATAATCGCATGATATTTCGTCAATTTTTTTTTCTGTTCTCTGGTTTTTTTGCACTTTGACATTTTGCAACAGGCTCGCTGATTATTCATAATATTTCTTTTAACTCCTTTTGGATTTTACAACATTATAATTGTTTTTTTTTTTTAACGAGAAAGCAGAAAAAAAACGTCCTTGTGAAAACTTCCACGTGGGAGTTGATCGAAAAGTAGGAAGAGACGAATTATTCACCAACAACCGTTGGAAAATTATTCCGCTCTAAATTGTTAATAATGAAACCCAGTCTTTCCCTGCGCGCTCGCGAGTGATTCATCGCGGTTTCTTCGTAAAGGAATGAACACTCGGTAGAGCATCGCACAATTGCTGCAAAAACGTCTCAAGAGATGCTCTCTTGTCAGAGAGATTTGTGTCATCAATTAAACGTTCGATTCGCACCAGATGCTCTCGAGAGCGATCGCGAATAGTGGAGACTGAATCATCCTCGCATCCTCCTAAGTTTAGTTATTAGAACCCGGAACAAATTTTGCACGTTCTTTCTAACAAATTTGTGTGTTCTTGCGGAAGCGAAGATTGTTTGAAAGGAAAAGAAATCGGAAGTTCAAACTCGTGAAAACAACTTAGAGTATCGCGAAGAATCTTGCGAGGAAGTGGCGACACTTGTTGCGGGATAAAAAGGGCGTTCTTTAAAACCCATGAGTCACAGCGATCGTTCAGCTGTTGAACGTTCGCGGTAGTAAAATCGCGCGAATAAAAAGATCCAATTTTCCGTTTCTTTTTCGTTTTCCGGAATCGCGTGTGACATCACGACGCAACGACGAAAATATCGACGCGTAACAAAATGCGTGATGTCGCACCGATAAAAAGTTTAAAATCAAAAATCGATCGGGCTTTTAACATATATATCAGGTGACCTAACAGAATTTCCGAGATCGCGCGCTTGCGTCCGTGTGTCCGAGTCTTTCTCTCTCTCTCTCTCTCTTTCTCTCTCTTGTAACCAGTTATGCAAATGGGAGGGGACACAAAAAATCTCTCGCCGCCTCTGGAAATTTTTGTGAGAAACCGCGAACTTCTCGCTATAACAATGTTATTATCGACGTTTTTCATATTGTCGCGTGTGTCGCACCGCCCCGGTTTTATTGCGTCGTCAGCGCAATCTCGCAGCCGAATCCTCACCGCGATAATAAATCATTTCTATTCGAAAATCGTCTCGCGTGTTGCAATTACATATGCGCAAGGTTCGCGCCGCGCGTATATGCACATATACGCGGCGTTTGTATTTCCCGTTCCCGTTTGATTCACATGCGGCGCGATGGACCGCGATGGTAAAGGTCGGCCCCGTGTTCTATCCGCGCGGCGCGCGCACAAATCCGCGAAAAACCTCCGGAAGGTCGCGAGGTGAATCATTTTATTCAAAGGACTTGGCGTCTCTCTCGCTTTTTCCGATGTGGAAATTTACGTCGATTATAGGCGGCGTCTTATGTATATCGTTCGAGAGAACATAATATTTATACAGAATCGCGTGTGAAGAGTAATACACACGCAGCGTTTCGAAGAAGCGTGGAGAATCCCATCATTTCATTCCACCGCGCGCGTGATGTGTGATTATTTTTCTATCGTTCGTTGTTGGCGCGTAAACAAATATCTGACGGAAGAGAGTCGAGAGGACATTGGTTTGCGCCGCACAGGTTTTCCGATTCGTTCGCCGCAACGTTCAATGCGACTACTTGTTATGAATTTCTCATAAACGAGAGAGAGAGAGAGATTTCCTCGGAAAAGCGGAAGAAATGCGCGCGATCACTTCGGGAATTGGACTTGACAATCGGCATTGTTCAATGCGTCGATTCCTGATTTATCTTCGCGGATTTTCGCGTCAAAGGATTGTCGAGAAACGACGTTAGTGGATTTTTTTTTTTTGTTTTTTTTTTTCTACTCACTTGTCGCGCCCGATGTTGACAGAAAATCATTGGAGCGATTGTGCGAAGAAAAATCTGGCACAATCGCGATTTCGCGACTTTGTCGCAATCGCGTCGTATTTGTCACGTCGTTGCGCGCGCTGGTTTTTTTTTTTAATCTTTAACGCTTCGTTTCACGGAAAATTGTTGCACAACCGACCCATGTTCTTCGTTACATTTCTACTCTACTCGTTCGACGGATATTTTCGTGGGAACGTCGTAATTCGGCACGCTCGGTCGCTAAAAACGCGTATCCCGTTGTCGAAAATCGTCGACGTTGCTGTTGTTTCTGTACGCGGAATTCCGCGTTTATTCCGGGGCGCGGGATGTTTTCGCAGTGTGACCGTATCCGGCTATTTTCCGGATGGAATAGTAGAAATACACATTTCTCGCGACGCATTTATTATATTTCATAAATCGAGAAAGTGCGGAGCGCGCGGTGCAAAGTCTCAGGTTCGCGCGCGAAACGACGACCGCGACGACGACGACGACGACGTTTTCTCGCGCGTGTTACGTGTCGATGATTGCGGTAATTCGAGCTTCGGTAATTTCGACGAATTATTATTTTTTCTTTTTCGAGTTTCAGAAAAAAAAAAACATGCGATATCGCTGAGATCGACAGTTGCTCTTCGACGAACCGATTGCTGACGAGCGAATGTAGGAATTTCGAAGTTCGTACGTGCGAGCGCACGTGTTGACGACGAAATAATATTCTCGCGAGCGCGATTTTGCGCGCCGTTGCATTCGCCGAAAGAGAATTGCATTCGAATGCGCGCGAGGGCGGCGGGAGGTGTCTCATTTTTTTTTTTTTTCTTTTTATTCGGCCCGCTACCCCGTTCTTTGTTGCCACGCGAGCTCGTCTTCGGCGATTGCTCGATGCGTCACACACATCTCGGGATTATTAATTTCGTCGGGGATCGAGAAAGAGAGAAAGAGACAATGACGAGAAAATCTACGGTGATTTAAAAGCGACGATTTACAAGCGTAAATATTCATTTTACATGTCAACGCGCGAAATAAATTATAAACGCGTTTTCTTTTTTGTCCGTCTCTTTGCTATTCGCGAGAAGAAGAAAGGTAGCGCTACATATTTTTATATGTATATATATGTACGCACGTTATAACGCATATATTATGTACACTTCATCCGCGAAGACAAGAGCGGACCGAGACGGCGATCGGTGCTGACCATGGATAAGTTCACTGATCCCCCCGTGTATACGCTCTTTCATCGCGTCGCAGCTTTGAAATGCGAAATATACGCTCGCGACACGCTTGTGTGTGGAGAAAGAATGAGAAATAAAGAGCGTGAGAGAAAGAGAAAGAGAGATGGCAAAGATGAAAAGAAAAGGACAGCCTCTGCGAAGTCTCTCTCGCTCGTGAGAGAGAGAGAAAGAACACGGCCATGATGTGAAAGCAAAAGAGGGGCATGCGTTACATCCGAGTCCGTTTTGTCGGCTGCTGAATGTCAATGTCTGAAAACGGTTCATCTCTCTCTCTCAGAAGTAAAATAAGCCGGGCTCTTCTTACGCCCGCGAGTTCGGGGATCTTCGTGCGCGAAGAAAACTGCATCGCGTTTTCAACCGCGTGCGTGTCGAACCCGCGGATACAGAAAACATTACGTTACCGTTATATCGTTCGGTTGATTTCGCAAAATGTCGATTTTTCATTAATCTTCAACGCGCGCGATTAGGAGATGGAGAGGGATTAGAGATTCGCGCGAGAGGGATGTCGAATATCCTCGGAGCGTTGCTCGCGGGACGTCGCAAAATACGCGCGCGAATCTATCTCTCGCGAAGAACGACACGCAGTCAGGGTCACACGCCGAAGAGGCGTACCGCTAATTGCAGACATCTCTTGTCGATACACGCGCGAAAAACGCACGAGTGCACTTGTTCTCCGAGTGTCTGTTTGGCCGCGAGGAGAGGAGGATTTCGTCGTCGTCGTCGTCGTCGTCTCCAGCGCGTTTCCGAGGACAAAAAGGACCTTGAAAGAATCCTCCGAGACCGGAGGAGTCACCGACATTCCCGCAGGAGTCATCCCATTATATTTAAATTAGACGAGGGCGAGTATTTCATACCTGCGTGACCAAACACACACACGCGCAGGTACGAAAAGTTCTTGCACGCACGCGCGCGCGCGCGCAAAAGAATAAAATACATATATTCATTCTACATACTATCGAAATGTACGAGATGTTTAATTTTTTTTTTTTTTTTCATGCAATTCAAATGCTACGAGGAAGGATCGGAAATGTTTGAAGGGGGTACAACGTTGTCTTCTGCTGTAAATTCTTTATTATCATACGTATCGAAACGTACAATGAAGCGTAAAATGCAGAAAAAAATACAGAATAACAATAATAATAATAATAATAATAATAATAATAATAATAATAATAATAACAGTGCGGGGTGTCGTCAGAGGGGTATCTGATGGGCACTCACCAACAAAATTATAATGATAATAATGATAATAGTAAAATCATAATCGATTATTACAGATTTGTACGCATTGAGCGTTCGTACATTGTTAAAGTTAATCGTATATGCGTTTTATATATATATATATATATATATAATATGTATATATATATAATTGTACCTTAAACACCTTATATTCTCGAGTCGCGGGAGTCGAGTTATAATAGAGTTGTTGTGTGATTACTTATTACAAATTAAATTATACATATACTTGAATCGATCACATCCTCAACACACGCTAAAATATATATATATATATTCCTTAATCCAAATATCACTGGTTCTAAAAACTAAAGAAAAATTAAAAAAAAAACAAATTCCTGCTCTGAAATTATATCCGTTAATAACGGCGCGATATGTGTACAATTAAATTATCTATACGTACGTTGATGTGAGTAAAAATTAATAAAATTCTTATAAATAATAAAACGAGTAAAATCAATACAAGATCGTTCGCGCTTAGAAATGATCGGGAACGATTTTACACTCGTGGTGATTTTTATTTTATTAATAATAAACGTCGCGCGTATATATAACGAAGTCATCGAGAAATCACTCGACGGAAACGGGATGAAAAAAAACTCATTGGATTCACACACGTATTAGCGAGGAGGAGGGTTGGGGAGGAGGGTCCGGGTCGAGACCGGGTTTTTGTGTTTTGTGTATATATTATTACTCGCACACGCACACACAACTCAGAACATTAAATTATACTTTTATTTTATATCCATAAAAATTAAAATGTACACACCTTATAGTTTAAGTCATATCTGTTATCAGCTTCTATATGCATGTATATATCGCGTTATGTATAATTATTTAACAATAGAGGTATAGGTACTCTCTCGAGACAGAACGGGCTTAATTATTACGAAAATGAATATACGATTTTTTTCTTACTTTTTTCTTTCCGGTGGGGGGGTGGCGGGAAGGGAGAAGGGACGAAAGTTGGGTGAGAGAAAGGGGGATGATGAACGGGAGGGTAGGAGGATCGGAGCGGGCGAGTGTGTGTGTGTGTTTTTTTCGACTTACTTCGATAGATATATTAATTGTTATTGACTGCTTATAAAATAATACTATTACACAGTGATCATCCCTTGATTTTTTTTTCCTTTTACGACACAGTGTGTTCTATAGTGTATTTGTTCTTTTTTTTTTTTCCTCGTTAATAATAATAATTATTAATTAGCTCTTATACAGAGATGGCCTACGAGATCGAAAAAGTACATTTCTTTTGCTTTTCGCGGCGAAAAGTATGAGTAAAATCGCGTATAATTAGAATTGCCTACCGCAGCTACAAAAAGGATGAATTTATTAGCGTTCCTTCGCGTTCGAAGAGAAAAATTACACGGAGTATACATGTACTCGCTAGAGTTTTATAGTTTTCTTTTATCTCGTTATTGTTTTTTTTTTTTTTTTGTCTTTTTTTGGTTTTTTGCTTTTTAATTTTCCTCGCGTGGGGCACTAAAAAAGTACGTGTGCACGCATGCCACTAAGTGTGTACGCGAGTGTGACTGACTGAGGATTGTGCAATATATGTACGTATATGTGTGTGTGTGTGTATGTATGTGTATGAGACACGTGAAAATTACGCGAGTGACGCACACACTTGACGCTGCCTTGATACGCGCGTTTCCTACTTTAAACCGCAAAAAGAAATCTCGCGAATATCTCTCTAACTGTTAATTGATGATAAGATATGAAACGTAATCGAGAAAAACGTCACTAACTTACTTAAGCTCTTCGATCTACAAGCGTGAAAAGGGGCAAAGAAGATGTGCGGCAAAAAAAAAAAACTCTCTACGGGATCCATCTTGCGGCGAAATGTTTTCTCTGTCAACGCTCTTTTGTCGCGCAAGACACGCGAGGGTTTTTTTACTCGGTTGGTTTTAATTTATAACACACACGCGAATCGCAAAGTTCGCTGGAAAAACAATTACACTTTCGGAATGTATCGTCCTTTCACAATGACGTCGTCCATCAGATGGATCTCGCGCGATTAGAACAATCTCCACAAACGTACGCGCAAACGTTCCGAAACAAAAAAAAAAAAAAAAAAAAACAACTAAACGCGAAGCGTCGTGCTAGAATACACACCGGCACTAAAGTAGTCTAATTCTAATTTAGCTTTACTCGCTAACTACCCTTCCTAAAGTATTGAAATTTAAACGTCGCGTTTGTGATCACCAACGTGCGCGCGACTCTACAAACGTACACGCGTACAATGTAATCAGTTTTTGATAGGGCGTGTGCGGTAATATATAATCGAGTGTAATGTGTGTATATGTGTGACGGCAATGCCAATAATCGATATATCTCGTGTGTAAAAACCGAGTAATGAAATCATTTTTTAGAATCTCTTTAAATGTTCATTGTGTCAAACGATTTGCGCGCGTAAAAATTGTGCGGGACTCATTCTGATGAATATTCACATTTTCGGCGACTCCGCGCGCGCTGATGAACTTGACGTTACTTAAGGTCGTACCTAAGTGACGTGACCTAGAGTTTTTTTTTTTTTTTTTTTGGGGAGGTTTTTGATTTAAAACCTCACGTCTAAAAAGCTACGAGCTAGTAGAGTCGGTCATTATTTTTATATTAATCGGTTAGAGACACAAAACGACGTTCAGCGCTGAGAGATGACGCGCAAACCTCGCGGAAAATTCTACACAAAAACACGTATTTACTTTTTTTTTTTTTTTTTTTTGATATTGTTCGTGACCTTTTCGTCATCTTCGACGTCAAGATATCATCGGCGTTCCGGTTCTCTCCGAAAGAGAATATTCATCCCGCGGAAATCTGCGAGAGAAAAACCGATTGAAAAAAAAAAGAAAACAAGCACGTTGTAATTCTCACGAGAGCACACTGACTGTAAATATTACACGACTCATTATTACGACATCGAAAGTCAACATCTCCTACAAGATTGATTTGTATACTCCGGACGCCTTCTCTCGCACACGGCATCCCCGTCCGTACAAAGTAACGCAACACTCGGTCATGAGTACGGGCTAGATACTTAGTTTTTTTTTTTTTTTTCGTTTGTCTTTATAATCACACAATGCAAAAATAGGCTTTCCTATTTCCGGTTTATCTACAACCAGATCAAACGACACAGCATCCTATCGACCTACAAAGAATTCCTGAAATCCTTATTATCTAAATATCAACTGTATCATTCGTTAAAGTTTTTTGTTTTTTTTTGTTTTGGTTTTTTTTCCAGCAAGAAGCTCTACACTTACTAGCGGAGAATCGCCGATCGACTCGAAGTCCAATCCGCGTATTTTATTTGATTTCTTTTTTTCTTACGATTTTGTTCTCACTCTCTCAAAATCTCGTCGCGCGACGAGATTACCTCGCGATCGTGGAAACAGCGACGATTCGGCGATTCTCGAGATTTTCTAAGCTAGGTGTGTCCATTTGATCCACGCGTACACAAGCTTTAATCCGCTCTCTCTCTCGCTTCGATCAGAAAAAACTACATATATTGCGTTTAACGTCAAATTCTCTCTGAGATATTGCTATCTATTTCTGGATGCACTTTGACGACTCTCGAAGTGAACTTCTCTCTCTCTCTCTCTCTCTCTCTCTGTCTACTTTGGGTGCGCGGAGGATATCTACGTCGCGTAGGTGATTTTTTACTTACATAGATTTTCCTTCTCGAGAAAAAATGACTTCGTCTATGTATAGTATGTATATATATATATATATNATGTATATATAGAGCGTAATTTAGTGAGTAAAGTTAGCGTGGACCAAGCGGATTTCGGCACGAACGTGGCGTGGGTTTTTTTTTTTTTTTTTTTTTTCTAGCGAGTGAAGTCCTGTAGTAAAAGAGTTTTGAAGAACGCGCGCGGCGAAGAACAGTGCGTGACGTAAATGTGTCAATCGACGATTCGACAGCGCTGTTTACACATAGTTTTTTAATTACACACTCAAGTTGTCAAAAAAACGCGCGCGAATACGTATCATCGTGTGAGAGCCTAAACTCTAGTTAGTATTAGTAGTAGGTAGGTACAGCGTCACTGTGTGACAAATGTCCAAGTTTGACACGCGCGAATGTTGTGTCGTGTGAGCCTAAACGTGTTGCGCACAGTCATTGATAAACGTCCAAGTTTTAAACGTGGTTTTATATGTAATATAAATGAGAAGGAGACACAAAGCAAGTGTGTGTGTGTGTGTGTGTATGTACGTGCATATTACATGTTTGCTAAAATTTTGTCTTACATATTACTGTGTCGATAAATCGTGCACGAATTGGGGAATTGTCTCACTTTGTTTTTTTTTTTTTTTTGTTTCCTCGCACACATACTCTGTCTCGTCTCTCTCTGGTAGTTTCTTTTGTTTTTTTTTTTCTTATACATTTACATTAAAATATATAACACCAATCTCGAGACTTACGTGTTGTATACATATACATGTGTATATAAGGTTTTTTTTTTTTCACATTAGCGTGATCATTCGAACAGTCTCTCTCACTGCGAAATGGGTTTAGAAGAGTTCCGAATTCAATATTACGCTTCTCTCTTTTTCTCTCTGTCTCTTTCTCTCTCGCACTGCGTTTGCTTAATTGACGATATTTAAGCTGCGGTCGCTGACAAATGCGATCGATAAGACGTTTCGAGGAATACAAAGGGTATTCGTAGACAAAATATAAATTGTCGTCTGGTGTGCGCGTGTGTGTGTGTGTACTGAAAAATATTTTGCACGTAAGTGAGACATTGTCGTCACACAGAAAATTTCAGAGGCAAGTTTTTTCGACGCTTCAATCAAATTCTTCGAATTGCGCACATCAACGATTTATTAATGCGCGAACAATTTATTCTCTCGGTCGTCTTATCGATGCAAGGTTTTGTTTGAAATTTCTTTTTTTTACTTTGGAATATGATGAGGAGAGCTCGCGAGCTGGCTTTAAAAAAATTTGCATTCGGTGATTGTCAACGAACGGTTTTTACGCAATTAGTCAATTAGCCGTTGTAGTTTTGTTTTGTTTTTCGCGATTTTCTCGTAATGTGTATTTGAACGAAATCGCGCAGGGAGAAGCACGAGCGTGTACGCGATTTGAAATATGCGCGCGGGCGGATACGAAAACGAGGAGGAAAAAAACAAACAGCGTGCGAACGACGAAGCGTCATTTTTGTTTGTTTTGTTTTGTTTTTTTTCACAGCCATGGTTTATAGGAATTCATCAATTGCGGATATTATTACTCTGTGCGATTTTCATCATCCCGCGGGAACTTTAGACCGTTTTTTTTGCACACCATTCGCAGCGATCACAGATTTATAATGTCAAACTCGGAAGTCTTCTAGAGACATTCGTGTTTTTTTTTTTTTTTTTTGTTTTAAAACCGATTTGGTCGAAAATATTATTATTCTAGAATCATTTTTTTTTTTTAGGGTACAAAGTATAGTGTTTTGAACGATCTCTCGTATCTTTAGACAGTTGTAACTGGTAAAAATGGACATTGTCTTATTGCGGGATGGAATAGGCTGTGTAAGCTCTGTTAATGCTAAATGCACCGCTGCAGCTTTTCGAACATTTGTGCTCTTGTTTTGTTCTTTCCCCGACAAAATTAACGAATTAACATACTTTCTCAACCCCTTATAAGACCGTGAGAGTATAACTGCGATAAAATTATGATTATCTTCGGTGCTGTTTTTTTTTTTTATTTAATATTATATTTTTTCATGTATTTTCTTCCATCAACGTGCTTCGTTGCGAAGCACACAAAACAGCATCAATCTCTCGGCACGTGTAATTTATATCTTATAAAGGGTTGTATAAAACGAACGCAATTGAAAATTTTAAAATTACATACAATACGTACAATCGTTTCGCAAGATATTCGTAAAATGTACGCACAGTGGAAATCGTATATGACTTGTGTCACGGAATTGTTTGAATTGAAATTACTTTCTTTGTGTGCGTCCACACGCGTTTCCACAAAAAATAGAAAGAGCGCGAACAGACATGTATATATAAATTTTTTTGTTTTTCATATATTTTCGCGATATACGAATTCCAATTGCGTCGAAAGGAATGCGATTTGCAATTCGAATCGAGAACCGAAAAAAAAAAAACAAAAAAACAAAAAATGCGTGTGTGATGATCGAAGTAAAGAAAATTTTATTCGCAAAAACGTGTCTAACGCCGGGCAGGCATGTAGCATCATCACTCGGTGAAATCTCTTAAATTTGCGTGGTTTTCCTCTTTCTCAAACGGTATCAGTTTACCAAAAAATGGACAGATGCCGCCGGTCAACAGGGATTTCCCGTTCGCGGAGATATAGAAATTCAAACTTTTTTTTATAAGGTACAGAAAAACTTTTGAGAAAAAGAGATATATCTCATCCGCCGCGAGCGGGAAACGCCGTGTGCACACCGCGGCGCGATTATTATTATAGTCAATAAATATTACATACAATAATATAATCATTATTGATAATATAAGTATTGTTCTAATTGGACAGGAGTTGTTTTCACAATTTGGGCAAATTTTTTTTTTTATCAGTAACCTTAGTCTTTAATTGCTTACCTCTCTTTGTCTTTTTTTTTTTTTTTGTTTTGTTTTGTTTTGCATATTACTTCACCGGCACAATCCGTGTACGTTCTCGGTGAATCAGGAGAAAAATATAGTAACGTTTTTATATCGTTCTTTGATTTTTCGCGCGCATGTGGTGTACGTGTGTGTGTGTGTGTGGGTGTGAGATATATATAGTATATATAATAAATTCTTCGAGTGAAGATAAATTTCATTCACGAAGCGGAAAGAACTGTTATATTTGATTTACGAACGAAGTGCATTTGAATAAGTGCACGTATAGAATTGTACGTAAATTATTTGACAAATGATATCTAATCGCGCATCCCCAACGTGCGATTGTAACACGAGAGATAACATCGACGACAACCTAAAAACGTTTATCTCGAAAAATTGTGAGTGAATAATTAGCTACGCAATTGATATTACAAGCAAGCCTTACATCTTACACCATCTCTCGGTTCTAAACATCTAACAGACCTAACAAACCTAATATTGCGACTCTATTTTAGACATTGTACTTTTGGACTTGCAACTTGTATCTCAAAAATCAATCGACTGATATTTTTTTAACCCTTCGACTGCGGCGTTCGTTTCAACTTGCACTTGGGGGTATCTGTTATCAAATTCTTTTCTTTCGGAAATAAATTTCGCGGGAGAGACTCGTCTTGTAAAATCGACAACGCATAAGTTCGCAATAAGATCCGCATACGCGATACCACGGGACGTGTAAAAAAAAAAAAAAAAAATCTACGCGAATTTTACAAAGGAAAAAAAAAAGATTGCCACCACGTACATACATGTGCGACGACGTCCGCAGTTAAATGGTTAAGGAACAGTTTGCAACTTCCAAGAACGCACCATAATATGCGATTAGATGCGAATATATAAATTAATACGTGTCATGTAAATAAACGTTGGACAAAAGAGATGTATGTTACAATAAAAGAAGGAACTTAACAAGATTGCACTAAAAAAATACAATATATATATATATATATATGAAACAATTGTATACACATATAAAATTCTTTAAATAATCTACAGAAAACGCGTGGTAAAATATATATATATTATATATATATATATATATATTTGTATGCGTGGTGTGTTGTGTGTAAAAACGTTTGGCATTATTTGTTGTCCTCCCATCGGGCACTTTTCCGATTGATGCAAATTACCGGGTGGTAATCTTGGAAAGTGTATCTCGTCCGATGATTCGCAAAAATGCCAATATAATCGTCTCAGCATCGCAATTCTATTAAACGCAGGACTGTCTTCGTAAATGCACTGTGTTACAGTTTGGAATATGTACATTCAAAATTAATAGCAGTCATATTTCAATATACCAATGACGAAAGAAGAAAAGTGTGCTAACGTTTTTATTTATTTTTGTTTGTTTGTTTGTTTTACGATCGCTCTAAAAAAACTCGCACTCGACTGAGAAGTCACGAGGGAAATAATTTCGTCTTCGTTCGCGTCTCGCGTAAAATAAATTATTAGACAGTCGTTATAGAAAGTAAAACTGTGGAATGCTCGTAATAAAAAGTGTAAAACGCAAAACTGACTTTCGACAATACGCGGTGTGACGCACAATTAAATGCGTCGTTCTATCATCGAAATATATAGCGAAATATATAAGTAAGAGCGCACGTCGCTCGAACAGCGGTCGTCCGAATCCGAAAATTCATTTCCATGCTTCGTGTGTGTGTGTGTGTGTGTCGGTTACACGTTTAATGTGGCCTAATAATATATATATATATTTTTTTTTTCAAGTATTACTTTTTTTTTTTAGTATTAATTATAATAATTAATAGCTGCCCCTAAACGTCTAAAGGACTGAAACATTGCCTGCTACACATATCATAGGCATGTAGCAATTAGGATTATTTATGTTAGTGACTTCCTATTAACACGAAGTAATGGTGAAGCAGGTGTGTGTGTGTGTTGTGTGTGTGTATGTGTGTATGATCCGGTTTTACTTGCCGCGTGGAAAAGAACGTGTACCTGTTGCAGAGAGGCCTTCCCCTCGGCTGCGACTTCGGTGCAAGGAATGTAACCCTTCGCCTAGAATAGAACAAAAATCGAACCGTCGCTTCGTCAAAGACAAATGTTTTAAGCTGTTAGAGTTAACGAGCTAATCGGTTTGTTAAAATTACCTTTACTAACGCTCCTGCGCATTGACGCGGATGATATTGGTGCGGTTTCTTGTTTGGTGTAACTTCTTAGCGCTCTTCCTCGTCTGTCTTGGATCAGCTTGTCAACTTTAACGAATATACCGCATTTCGGTCGACACGTGAAATATCTGTGACCGTTAACAGCACCGTCGTTCTTGCCTGTGACAACGCGCAGGTGCAAAGCGTTATTGCATTTTAAGATACAGTTAAATCGAAATCAAGATATCGCGAGAAAAGAATTTTATTCGCGTACCAGTTGGAGCGTCAAGTTCCACTCCTATCCAAGCCCCGGAGGCGAATTCCGTGGGGCCAACGTACGCTATAACTCCCGAATAACTGTAAGGACGAACCAAAACCGATTCACCAACAACGACCCAGTCTGGCAGGGAAGCTTCCATCTTGGTTAGATCGTGTCTCGAACCGAATGCCGAACTCTTATCGCTATTATCATCTGCTGCAAGAGACAAGTCTCTTTTAAAGGACAATATACAAAAAAAAACAATCACGCAATCCGATTGCCCGAATTACCAGTACCGTCAATTCTCTCCGAAGAACTATTGTCGCCGTTTTCGTATGACATATTAGGTTGAAGCGTTTCTTCCAAATGCGCTGCAGCCTTGCTCTCAGAAAGTTGTGGACGGACCATAGGAAACGAAGCTCTGTGCTGCGAACTGGTAGGCCTGCCTGTACTGCTAGTAGTTTTTCGTCTTCGCACCACCTAATAGACGAAAGTAGATGTTATTCGCAAAATCAGTATTATACGACAAACAAATTTCTTCTTTCTCTTATACGCAGTCATTTTCTTTTCTTCTCTTCTCAATCACGTTGTTGTTCCACATTCAATACTTGCCTTGCCGGGCGGCAGTTTGGTATGCACGACCGAGGTCCCTTCCATAGGACTGTCGTCTCCCGAATTGGACGTTTGACTGATTTCCATCTCGCTCTTCTTCCTGTCGTTAAGTATATGATCGCACGCGCTCTTTCTCTGAGTCTCGACGTTGCTACTGCTCTCGCTCTCGCTTTTCGTCGAACCCGGGCTGTCGATGCCTGCGTCCAAGTACGTCTCCATTTCTTTCGATTCTTTCTTCGTGTGTTCTGTAAAAGCAGCAATTGCGTATTCGTAACGACAATCTGAAGATCTCAAAAGATTACGTTTCGCGTCGATTCGCAACTGACCCTCTGTTATTGCGCTCTGCGAGATGTTCAAATTGTCCGACGCGGAGTTCACCTCGCCCAGGTATTCCTCGGGCGTTTCCTCGACGAGGGAACTGTCCATTTTTTCCGATTTCTTGGCGTCGATGAGGTTGCGATACTCGAAGTCCGGAGTCTCGTCCACGCTGATGGATCTGATGGAAATTGAGTCCTCCGACGTTAGATTCGTTGTGGAAACGGCTTGGGAACCGTAACCGCTGCTGCTCATGCTCGGGGTGTTGATCTTCGATTGCAGCTCGACCAGCGAATCCAGTGTGCGTGAAGAAGTTAACGGTTTCACCGGTTTCGGCGGAGCCTGGTCCCAAACGCGTAATTTTTTTTTTTTTTTTTTTTTTATTATTTTTACAAAACTTGAACTCGACAAACGCAAGTCATCATCGCGTAAGAGATTGTATGATCGCGTAAATACCTGATATGCCTCATATTCGGAATAATCGGCGTCGCTTTTCTCCTCGTCGTCGTCATTGATAGGACTGCACGCTTGGTTCCCCACGTTTGACGTTTCCTCGTGCAATGTGGTCATACGTAGACCGAGTTTGCTACTGACCATGTTCGGAGACGCTACAATCAACACGATCAGATCGATAATGCGCGAATAACAAACAAGAGTTTTCAAATACACAAGTGTGGATTTAAGCATCAGGGCCGATCTGGCCGCCGTGAAACTTCATCCTGCTATACTTTTTTTTTGCAAAGCGAGTGAGTTCTTTTTATCTTTACTACGTTCTTAACAAACATTGTTAAATATTGTTAAATATTTGATGGGTAGTTCATATATAAAATTTATGTGATAACAGAGACAACGTCACATCGTTATCAAAAGGTGCCAGGTCGGTTCTGATACACATTTATAAGGAACTGTCCACATGCTCTTTCCTAAAATCAACAGAAAATAACGTGTTACATATTTCACGCTTCTTTTTTTTTTTCTGTTATAATCATCGAGATCAAATATTATATCTTAGTAGATTGTCTGAAATTCCTAATTTGAACATCAATTTCATATCAATTAGAAAAACGTGAAATATGTAATTTGCAACAACAAATTAGTCGACGATAATATATAAGGGTATATAACTATAAGCAATAAACATTCAACATATGTGTGTGATATTATAACTGCGTACTGCACTTACAGTGCAGAGTTCAACAAAGATTCGGTGGATACAGTTTGGATCAAACCAATCTAAGAAAAAAACCAAAACTCCTAAGAAACATAAAACAAAACTCTGTCATCACTACACACTACTATCTAGTGACTGAAAAAAGAAAACGAGAAAAACTTAGAATACTACACGTTACGATCGAGTTCGTCCTTTCAAACTTTTATTCTACATCACGGTCCAAGATTCTTCTTCGATTCTTCGTTATTTCAATTCTTTTTTTTTTTTATCTCTCGTAATTCTTTTTTTTTTTTTTTTTTATCACTGAGTTGTTTTCAATGTTTCGACTCTGTCTCTGTCAATTGTCTTTTTCAAAATATGTTTGTTGGAAGGACATGTTTGAAAGGACGCTCGACAACGAGTGTCACCTACACTTGGCAGAGGTAGATTGTTGAAGACGTGTCAATGAGTTGAGATTCAGGTTCAGATTCAGGAAAGTTGGTCTCGCTGAAAGGAGAGATAGATGCATTGAATTATATTTCTCTTCCTTTTTACCCCTCTCCCCCCCCCGCCCCGCTTGGACTAGTTTTAACGCTACGTTCCCCATTAATGGCGAGCTTCGTTATGTGAAATTCACAGACCTTTTTATATATATATATATATACAGGCTTATATACTGACAAATCATGCCTGCAAGCTAGACACTGGATAAGTGTGGAGAATAAGTAAAGAGACAGATATAAATGTATAAATTATGCATTCTGGAAATTTTGTGTGTTTGTCTTCTGACACAATCTCATTAAAATTACAACACCAATGTTTATGACGTACGTATTTTATGTATAAGAGTATTTATTTCTATATATAATCGATTCTTCGCGTATAAAACTTTTAACAACTCGCCATTGCATTTGTTTGAATTCAAAATGCACGCGTTCGTCATTTTTTTATGTGAGACCGGTATGACAAGTACATAGAAATGAAATAAAAAAAAAAATATGTACAACAAGAAAACCTGAAAAACGATGACGCGTGCGCAGTGAATTCAACATCGGATTCTTAGATGTGAGATTAGTTTAAAGTCGAAGGTGATGAGTAACTTTTGTTGTAACTAGCGGTTACGATGATTGTTTGAAATTTTTTCGTGGTATTTTCACACACTGTACTATATTATATATGAACCACATAATTTTCACCACGACATTACATGCTGTACTATATTCAAATTAATAAATGCCATGCACACACTCTAAGATTCAAAACTTGTTGTATTTTGCACAAGAGTTTTGTCTACGATTATTATTTTTGCAACTTGTAACAAAAACGTATCCCTGACTTTAAACTACGTCTCTTTTAAGAAAAACGAGAAAAAGAACGGGGCATTATATCATTTAATCATGTTGAGTAAATTCGTTCGAAATGTGTGAAGTATCGATTTTTAATCATTCATTCATCCTTTTTATTTTTTTTTGCTTCGCGAGAGTAAGAAGGTTATTCTGCAAATATATTCTGGTAATATATTTGAAAACATAAATGCGCAAACGTATACAAAATATTATATGCTTTTTAGCAACAGATTTTGTTAACCGAATTATTTTTAACAGAATAATCCTCCCAATCCGACGTATCGTTTAACTATATAAAAAATATATTTATGTACACATATGTATCACAATAAAACTTTCTACTCTGTCTATATAGAGTATTGCTCAACAACACATTCACGTGTAATGAAGATTGAAACATTGCGCGGTGTTTGCGTAATGAACATGTTTAATTGCAATATTTCAATCTTCGAGTACTTACATATGTATATATATATGTTATATATATATATATGTGTATATATATCTTTTATTTGTTAAATGCAACAAAACTCGCGTGCATTTAACAAATCTTATCAGGGATATCATTATAGAAATCATCTTGTTGGAACACTCACATGAGAAGCAAGATTTTGATCACATCAATACGAATCATGAACATAGGTTTGTGTGGAAATGAAAATGATTTCTATGCGATGACTTTTTCTGGTATATTGCAATATAAACGGTGCAACGACAGGATAACATGTATATAAAATATACGATTGCTCTCGTATGGATGTTTGAGTTCACACGTTTTTTTTTACGAAACTGTGAATAGTAACAACATGTCTCACATAAAGTGTAAGAAAAAACGACTCATAATAAACAAACTTGCTGATGTGCTAGGCACACAAGAGATGCATTCGCATGCAAAACTAAAACAACCGAAGATTGAAACATAACGTTCCACGCAACGAAAACAAAAATTTGCATTCAACTGAAAGATCAGCAATCTCTAAATTAGTTTCTGCTCGGAATAATGACGCTTGAGTCTCTCTTTTTGAGCCAACTAAACCGAGCCGGAGGGTTGTAATATATAAATGACGCTTTACGAAAAATACATACTGACCGTATCAAAAAACGCATTCCCGTTCTGAACATTACTATCACAAATAACGTATCTCTGATTGTGCTAAGGCGAACTTCGCAACGAAAAGAAAAAAGAAAAAAAAAATTCAAAAAAATTGACAAACAGACTCAACCACTCACGAGACATATGTATACTAATTGTCACTGCCACTGTGTGGCGTCAATTAAAATATCAAATCAAGACTCCATTTTACCTGAGTTCAGAATGGAGCCTTGCGTGGGCCGAAATAGTTGTAGAAGTAGTAGAGACGTAGTGTTAAACAGAGGAACAGATTAATTGCATACATTAATTACAGTCTTATACTCAATACAATTTTGCTGTAGAATTCATTATTGAAATTGTTCGTTAGTGTTTTATTCATCGTATAATAATAAGTGGTGGAGCACGCTTAAATGTAGCCGCTAAGATACTGAGGCAGATCTGAGAAAATAGATTTTTTTTTCTTTACCATGCTCAACTTTCTTTCTATCTATCTATCTATCTCTCTTTTTCTCTCTGTCTCTCTTTCTCTTTGTTGTCCAATGATTTGTTTAAAAAAAAATTATATATTTTTACATGTATATCAGTGGGGAACACGTTTGCAGTTAAGTCATGTGAATCGTCAAGTTGAACATAGCTTGGTGACATAACAATATGACAAAAGCTAGAATCGAATAATAAAGTTCCAGTGTAGTAACAATAGAAATTGAAGTTACCGAATATTTTTTTTTTTTTTCTCAAGTTATGAGCTTGTGAATTATTTTGGGATGACAAGCAGTACCCTTTTTATAATGTCAGTAATCTTTTACATAATTATTTTTTTATACATATTTCACAAGATAGTTTTTAATCTTTATACAGTTTGCATGTGTGAGAGAGTATCAAAGAAAACAAAAATTACAGACATGTATAAAGGGTATATGCTAATGTGTGTGGTTGATGATATGAATTTTTGTAATTACGACACGAGAGACGCGCTTTTTCTTTATCAAATAAAATCAAAACGCGTTCTCTATGTCGAACATCGGCGAGATATTAATGGTGGAGAGACTATAGAAATTGAAACACTAGAGTGTGAAAAGTGACCGTCATAGCCAGAGTGAAATATCGAGATACACACTGCATAAGCCACATTTCAAGAACCAAACTTTTAATTAATTTGTTTTTTCTTTTTTTTTTAATTCAATAAATCTCAAGAAAGCGAATCAAGGCAGTGAGTGGAAAAAAAAGTGGGATTTCAACAGAAATAGAAAAAAAATTTGATCTAAGACTAAAAGTCCCTAAACACGATGCTGTTGAGAATTTGATGTAAGCATTAATAAATTGAAAAACTTGAATGTAGTGACTTAAGCGAAAAGAAAAATAAAAATGTTGCATTCAATAAAATTTGCATGTAACACAGAGTTGAAGGTTAAGGAAAAAACTTTTCGTGTAAAAAATAACAAATCCGCTGTCAAACACAATTTTTTTTTTTTTTCTGTTGGAAATATTCCGTTTCTAATTCTACGCAGCATTTCCACAGAAATATACAAACCGATCTCTTTTCGAATTTTATCTCTTGAATATTATTCTATTCGCAATGTGTTGCACACACTACATCTCAATAGAAAGAACCGTATCCTCTGTGCTCAACATGAAACGGATCTCACGACGAATAATTTATGGATGATGCGCATGAATGAATGAATGCATGTTTCACACGGATGAGCGGGAAAGTTGTGTTATTGTATGCGTACGACATTTCGCTTTCTATGATTTCATAAACAACTCGTGTGTACTTGCGAGCGTAATGTATCGCGCTATATATATGAAGAAGGATCATCTCACAAGTTTAGCTCAATGATGATTGATTAGCGAAAGAGATCTAATAATTAATTAAAAATGTGTGCATAGATATGCATACGCAAAATTAAGAAATCATAGAATCATGTATCTATAGATCTATGTATAATATTAGAATAATTCGATCAGTTGATAAAAATCTCGACTGGATAAAAAAAAAGAAAACAAAAAAAAACTATTCACATGCTTACCGATTCCAAACGGCTTTGGCGGTGCGGATATAAAGTTCTCGTCGTTTCTCGCGTGGCCGATGGACGCGCGTCGCGGAAGTGGCAGACCGTTTATTTCCGTGTTGAGATCTGTCACGCTTTCCGAACGAGTGACATTCAACGAGTCCATTGATGTATCGAATCTCATTATCTGAAACGATTTTGTGTGAAATTTGCGTTTTTGCCACGTGACGCAAAACACATTTTGTTCAAGTCGAAGGATTGCATTGAAAAACAATTATACAAGAAAAGTGCGAAACAAAACGATCCAACACGTGTCGAAGAATGTAGCAAAAGTCTATAGTAGGAGCGCGTACAGGATGTCGCAATAATATAAAATACCTGCGAGAAGTTTGGAACACTTGCAGTCTTGCGCATCAGTGGTTGACCTTGTGCTTGTAACAATTCTTTCACAGCTACGCTTTGGCGTAATCGATCTAACGTCAATATACTTTCGACAGCGGACACGCCGCGAGTGTATTTCTCTACGCGGGAATAAATAAAATAAAATTAATTACACGAGAGATCCCCGTTAAGTTTCTCAAAGATCACAAAAGTCTGGATCTCGTGTGATGTTTTACCTATGTAAGTTTCTCCGTCGCATAAACTGTTATCCTCTCCGCTGGCAGCGATTTGTGCTAAGCTCTCGCGATCCTCCAACTCCTCGCTCGCCTTTGGTATGTTGGAAACCACCTCGTAAGTGACACCGGTTTGCGTCAGGCAGTCGGTTCGCAGAACGATTCTCTTGAAAATTCTGTCCGTTATGCTTTGTCTCTTGTAGATGTTCAGAGCCAATCTCTTGCGCAGCACGAGATCCATCGGCGCCGGATGCGACAGTCGAACGGTTGTCTTCAGGATTAGAAATATTCTCTCGTTCGCTGAAAACAAAAAGTATAGTACGTTATGGAATGGAAATTATTCGCTTGATTGTATAACAAAAACAAAAAAAAAAAGGAACAATTGACTACCATCTGTCACTTTATTGAGATGTATGTTGTCGTGTATACTCGAATCCCAAGCAGCGATGGCGCACACGTCTTTCTCCAGGTGCTTAATGATCGGTAAATTATAAAACTTGTTGCCGTGTTCCTTAGGCAAGATCGAATTCAGTCCCGACACTGAGACTTCCTCTCCCGATTGATGCGTTGAGAGATCATCAGCTACGCAATGTTCAATCAGGAGGATTGACGTTAACACACGATATAAACTTTAGTGGGTTATTGAGAAAATATTGTTTTTTTGCAATACCATTGAGATCGAGAAACAACACAGGGATGTGAGGTTCCATTCCTGGAGGAGGAGTCCAATCGGCGGGAGCACCGGGAATACCCGAGCCCGCTGCGGGAACTAAAACGGCGTTCCGCTCCTCGGTTAGACTGACCCACTGATCCACGAGACTTTGTTCTCGCTCTATATCCTGTTCCGTTTTATCTGTGAAAAAAAACACGCGAAGCGAATGTGAACGTTAGAGTATATACATATACAAAAGAAGCTGGTATTGTCGGTGTTAGACCACGTTACCTTGTTTATTAATGAGTTTTTGAATCTGCTGATCGAGATACTGTCTTCTCCTCATCAGAGCGTCGCTCCACTTGTCTCTCAATATAGTCAAGTCTTCGTCCTGATAGCTGTCTAATGGCGGTTGATATTGTGCCCGTACGATCACGCTTCCGACGGTTATATTTAATATAGATTGGCAGATGATCGGTAAGGTTCCGGAATTTTGTACTGGTTTCACTCGGACTTGTATCCGACGTTGCTGACCTTGTCGAAGTTGGTAAGTGCCTCCTGAAACAACAACAACAACAACGGATGTGCGAACGATCTCCGAGAATTGCTTCGCAAACACATCACAATTGCTCTTACCTGTGTACGTGTCTTGTTTATCTTTCTGTCGCTTGTCTTGCTTCACTGTAACTTCAACGGGCGCGTATTCGCCCTGCTCGTTAAGCTCTTGTATCTCCACCCATAATTCGATCTTTCTCGTTAACTCTGACCATCGATCAGCGAGCGACCTAGCTTTTGCCAGTTGTTGTTGTTCCACTTCCCATCCGGGTTTGCTGCGTGAGAAACCCGCGCTACGATGGCCCCAGACCTCTATACTCAACGCTCCTTCTGCAAAAAACAAAAAAAAAACGTGAACATACGTAAGAACAATCTCATTAAAATACAACACACAGAAAACAGCAAATAAATTCTTACCGGCAGCGTGTTCCATGAACTCTTCCGTAATGGGTACAGTGAAGTCCTTCGTGTGATCGAACTTAAACGCCAACGAGTCTCTCTGTCCAGCGATACAATTCGAATTGGGCAACTCCGGATTCACCATAGGCGGAACCACTATGGGTTCTGGGTGGCCCCAAAACATATACTGACAGAATACGAAATGGCTCAACGAGAGCGGTAAACCGGTTGCCTGTTTTATCGTAACGCGGCAGGTGATGTGACTGGATCCGCCCGAGTAGTCGTCCAGTTCGGAGGACGAGTTCGAGTCCGTCGAGGATTCCGAGGCGGCCTCGCAGATTCGATCCTGTGGAAACTGTCCGGATATGCGACTTATCTCGACCTGCAGTCGACCAGCGACCTCACCCTGCTGACTAATAATTGGCGTGTGATAATCTAATCGTACGTCGTGAAATAGCACTTCTAAGAAAATATTTGCAACGCCGATAAGATTGTGATTCTCCTGGGATTCGTAGAACGGGTCTTGCGTTTTTCCTGGCAATTCGTCCTGCAAAGCAATTGTTGCAAGCGTTACTTGTTTTGAACGCGCGAATTTTTTAAAATAACGCAATTGACGTATACAGATATATAGATGCCCCGTTATATTACCTTAATCGTAGGTAACCGCTGACAATTGTGAGGATCCTTCCGTTCCTCGTACATATCTCGCATATCAACTAACTTATTTTCTAGTTTTTCCATGGACCACACTTGACTCCCCATGTTCGTTCTCTTCACTAAAATCGCGGGTTCGCTGACAAACGCGCCCCGCTGAAAAAATACACTCTACATATCGAAGAGTGCGTAAAAAAAAAAAAAAAACAAACAAAACAAAATTAACCAAACCAAAAACAAATGTGTACAAGAAAATTAAAAAATCGGAATAAATGTGCGCGATCAATTATAAAATCAATATAAAAATGCGATAACGAAAAAACACAGGCAAGTATAATTAAATAAAATTCAAATCGAGAATAAAATCAATTGAGTTTGTTACATAAATTTTTGCAAGAAGTTCTACGTGATGTAAACAAAATTTATTTTATCTACGACGTGAAAAAGTAAAATTATTTAAATTTCTCGTTAATTTTTTTTACCTTCCTATTCGGACTTAGATTATTCGGAGGAATTTGGAGCGTGACGCTAAACTTCGTCTGTTTGCCCATCTCCTCCGCGAGGACATTGGCCTCTTGTACTAACGCATTGGCTTTTAAAATATCCGTCTTTAATTGACCTAAACTCCGCTTGAACATCTCGTCCCGTTCCTGCGCCCACTTCTCGACGCGCATTTGCGTCGTGGGCGTGCAAGCCGGCAGCTTTCCGCTTTGACTACCTCTCAGAGGATCGTACGGGACGTAAGGTGAATACGGCGTAGAGGGAGATAGTATGTTGCGCAGTTGTTGAAACTGCCGTTCGTACTCCTGCCTCTGCTTCTCAAGCGCGACCTTCAAAAGAGACAAAAACGATACCGTACAACAAACCTTTGTTCCGACGAACATTGTCAAAGTAGCTAAACCACAAGACAAGCTTCTTATTACCTGCTTGTCTTCCTCGTGCTGCTTTTCCAGTCTCGCAATGGCTCTCTGAATCGGATCGTTCGAAAGTTCATTCAGCATGAGCTCCTCTCTGGCGAAGTTGTAGTCGATATTTTGAGCGGGAGTTTGCGGCTCGCTGTTGATCGCTGCGGACACAAAAGAAAAATCAACGGTCAACAATAATCCCGCGTTACATTCGATTCCGATTATTTCTTGAAAATAATCTCTGATCCTCTACCTGTCGCGCTTCTCGGACAATTCACTCGGAAGAAGTGATGATTTCCCCAAACGATTCGGTCCCCGTGCTGAAGAAGAGTCTTGTCAACAACTTGGGTGCCGTTTACGAAACAACGGGCACCGTTCAGCGGTGTCATGTATAGGCCTGACTCCTCTATCGTGATAACGCAATGTTCCGGCAGTATGCCCAAGCCGTGAAGCTGAATATCTTGTTCCGTTTTGGCCGAACGGCCGCCCACAAGTGTCCTCTCCTAAAACCAAAACGTTACGAATCGAAGTTCGAGTCCAAGTGTATAAGTCTCTTCTTCGCGCAATCAACTCAATGATTGCTCCAGTTCCAGTTTTTTCTCCGAGAGAGAAAAAAAAAACTATTCTCGGGAATCTCGAGAAGAGGAAACAATTTATCTTTCGAGAGAAGAGATTTGCCGTGCGCAAATATTAAGTTAGAGAGAGACACGGCAAACACAACGAGCGATATGATGTGTACCTTGAGATAGTACACCAACAACTCGTTCAAACTTGGATCGTCGTTCAGATTCACCAAGTAGTATTTGTTTTTCTCCACCTGGATACCGGACGCCTGCACGCTTATCCCCATCTTCTCCAGAGCCTGCTGCCGCTCGTGCTGCAGTCGCTCGGTCTTAACCAGCTTCTCCTCCCACGTCTGCGACATCTCCTTCATCAGCCGCTCCGATTCCGACAGCTTCTCCGTGATGTCCGTGCGCTGTTGTCCGAGTATCGAACCCTGAGAGCCCACGCGAGATAGACACAAATCAAGATATCTATTTTTTTCTTCCCCCGTAGCTATAATTATACTCGAATGTGAGCGGGGGAGAGACAAAAAAAAAAAAATAGAGCTCGCACTTACCGTGGCGTGCAACAACATCTCCTTCAGCGTCTCGACCTCCTGTCGGAGCTCGCGAATAATCCTGGCGTTTGGATCCTCGTTGACGATAGCGTGATTGACTATCCTCTTCGCTCTGTCGGCGTATCGGAGCGTCGATAGCGTTTCCTCGTAATTATCGGCGGCCGGCGATATGGTCGCCACCATGACGGTTTTGCTGTTGCCGCCAAGATTGTCCTGGAAATTTCAAAGATATCGTATGCGTGCGCAGTGCGTCTTCTTCTTGAGACAAACAGAAGTACGTTTATTTCAAGAATTCGCACCTTCAGGAGCCACGTGAGGACAGAATCTCGATACGGCACGAAGTTGTCCTTCTTCTTGTTGTTGGCGGAGTTCTGATCCGCCAACTTCGAAATGACTAGACCCAACGTCGTTAGGGACCTGCGGGAATCGACCGCTTGAATTAAATTGCCTCCGCGCGTTATCGGAAAAACAGAGAGCAAGAGAGAGAGATAGAGAGACTTTAGAGAGAAACTCGAAAGTGTGTCGTTTACTTGTTAATATTGCTTCCTTCTTTAAGTCTATCGCCCACCGCTCCAGTTTTCACAGCCCTTTCGCTCCCGGCCAGATCCACCAGGCTCATTCGCGAGACTTTCTCCCCGCTGACCCCGCTCTTCGAATCCGTCAGCGTTTGCGTGAGGATCACCGAGAATACGGCGTGCGAACGGGAGCTCTCGGAATTCATGTTCGTCGCCGCGACCGTTCGCGACTTGTTGCCTTCCGTCATGAGATTGTCAATGTCCTGCGGGGTCGGAAATGTTTGTTAGATCAGAAAAAAAAAAATCGTCGGTGAAAATCGTCGACAAAACAAACAAACAAAAAAAAAAAAAATCATTAGAAATCGTTCGAGAGAAAGCGGGAGAGTTTAACCACCTGGAACGAAGTGACCGCCAATTGGCTGAGCCCGTCCACGTAAGGCCCCAGAACATTGTGCTCCCTGACTTTGAGCGATTGCTTGTTCGGCTTCGGGTCCAGGAGATCGTGCACCTTCTCGTTGTAGATCTCCATATACGACACCTCGACCTTGTACGTGAGCTCGGAACTCTGTTGTTTCGCTATCATGTCGAAGAGATTGTCGCACAATCGCGGTATTATCCCTTTGTTGTCGCCGCTCCCCATCATCGTGTAAGACTTCCCGGAGCCTGCAAGGGCGCGCACACGAGAAAGTGACACATTAAAATCCTCTCCTTTTGCCACCTTTCGCGATAAAGCGCTCTTTGAGCGCTTAAAAGATCAATGGTGTTTGTTTTCTCTTGCAAATAGAATATATCCCTCGAGATTTTTATCCTCTCAATAAAATCTCCCGTTTCCGAGATAATTCGAAAACCAAACAAAAGATAACATCCGCATTTTCTTTGGCAATTGGTTTTAAATTACATTCATTTACTTTTTTTTTTCTTTTTTTTTTGTACAAAAAAGAAACGAAATTCGATAGCGCAATTAATCTCGCAATTTCATCTCCTCTTTTATCGCGACTTCTTTTCTGTTTGCAGGAAGCACGTGTTATTGTTGCGTCGTCCGACGGGTGGAGGAGGAGGAGGAGGAGGAGGAGGCGCCTTCATGAGCCTTGCGGATCAATGTGCGCCGTCCCGCGGAAAATCAACCGTAGCGACGTATCGGTGACGATCCGACCGACTAATTGCGTTATTTGCCGCATTACGCTTTTGCTCGTGCGACTAACTACCCTTAGCCGCCACGTTGCGTTACTAAGCTTGAAATCCAAGGAAATCTCTCGAATCTCGCCGGCGAGCGACGACAACTCCAACAACTAATTGTAAGACTTGTTATTGTTATTGTTGTTGTTTGTTGTTGTTGTAATAGTAGGACTCCAAAGCGGTAGTACGTTTATATAATACCTGGGGGAGTTTTGTACGTACCGGTTTGTCCGTAGGCGAATATACAAGCGTTGTAACCCTGAAACGCATTGTCCAGAATATCACGACCCAAGGCGTCGAAAACGACATCCTGACTCGCGAAATTGTCCACGCTGGGATCCAGAGAGTAGAAGCAGTGATCGAAGGCAAATGTCTTCGGTTTGTTTCTGCAACACAACATGATGTATATATATATATATATAAAGAAGGTAATATAAATATATATATAAATATATATAAATATATATATAAAGAAGGTAATTATACAATCGCCATTAGGAAGAAGGACGAAGAAGTGGGTTGCGCGCGCGCGTATCAAAAACGCTGGCGCGTATCAAAAAATGTCAGAAATAAAAAAAAAAATTATATAGTTCCTTTTCCGTCTCGAACGTCAATAGTGACTATTTTCTGCGTTATCGAGGCGACCTCTGATCACACGGATAGCCGTCACGCGTTCTTCTCTCCATCGATTTTCCGTCAAGCTCTCATTTCAAATCATCCGGTTATCCCCGAGAGGAGGAGCGAGAAGACGAACTTGAACGTTCGCTCTCTCGCGAGTCGATGGATATCTGAGAGAAACGTGTCTTTACGTTTCTTATCTTCGTTTCCTATTTTTTTTTTTTTTTTTTGGTTTTTTAAAAATAAATAATATGTGACGCATATTGCGTATTTATAGGGGTTTCGCAAAAGTTTGTTCGGATGATAAGAAAAATAGAAAAAATCGCGCGAGAGCGAAAAATTCGTCGACGAGTAGAAGAGTTTCACGTCGTATCTTCGTATCTTCTTCTTTGTCTCGCAAAACTCACCTACGCAAACACATTCGACAAACCGGGCTCGATAAACCGTAGGTAAGGCCCGATAAAACCGTGATTTGATAAGGATTTGCGCGCGTGCTCCGCGACGGCTGCTCTTGTGTTAATAAACGCTGGTAATTTCTCGCGCCAGCGACGCGAGGACAAATAAATGATCCCGCGCTCATCGATCGAACGCTCGCTTTATGACTCACGCGCGATAAATGTGCAAATGCGCACAGATTTCGAGACGGATTTCATAAATAACGAGAAACGCGTACACACAGAAACGCGACGTTCGTTATTTCGATAATATATTAATTAGCAATCAACAAACAAGCAATCAGAGCGGTATAATTAATAAAACGGCAATCAGAGCAGACTTCTCTTGAAACAAATTTTGTTACGTTGCTTCGAGTGTGTTACTTCGTGTTTTTAAGGGAGAGAATTATTATCGCGCCGAGATCGCGAAAAAATCGAAAAAAATAAGAAAAAAAAAAACCCAAGATGACAAATCGAGCGCGCGATAAATTACGTGAATCACACTGTCAGTCACAAATGCGCCGCGTTGAATGTGCGGCGGATAACACTCGCGCGTCGATGATGCGACGCAACGAAGAACGCCGGCGACTTGTGTGCAAAAAGGTGGATGCGGTTGCGGCGACGGCGGCCGCTCGATAGGCGCCTCTTAATTGAAGGTAGAGCAGAAGAAGAAGCCGGTCGTCGCGTGACGACCAATATATATGTTACCGTTTCGAGATTACGTTTTCACACACACAGCTCTGTATATAACGCGCCGTTCTCTTCGTTTTCAGGTGGCCTTCGTCACGCGAGGCTATGCGGCTCGTCGGCGGCGGCGGTCAGCACGTTGAAAGCAACGCGACCCCCCCCGTGATGGTTAACGCTCGCTCGTCTCATCTGATCGAACTCTGCAAGCAGGTCAGGCCGCGCGCTCGGTGCCGTGACCTCCGCGGGAGGTTTCCAGGTTGTCTGGAAACGTTCAACGGAATTTCGTCATCCCCGCTGGCTTTCGACAGCGACAAACTGCGGAACGCAATCCCGTCCGAATATCGTTTTTTTTTTTTTTTTTCGACGTGAGCCGCACGACATATCGATCTTCGCGTGGGTACGTCACACGCAGGTCGTAAAATTTTCACCATATGGTTCGCCGCCACGCGAACCGGTTAATCCTTTTGCGACACACGATGCGGTGACTGATAAAAAAAATGCCGAGCTCTTTTTTTTTTTTTTGCCCGCGTGTCTTTTTCCGACGACACATTCTCGTTTCGGGCGCAAGTTTCAGCGAAAATTTGTGCAAATCGCGCGTTCGTCGCGCGCGAATTTCGACGCCAAAGAAGAGACGCTAGAGAAGAAGACGCGATTCGCGAATCTTGCGTAAGAGTTACACACATAGCGGACGGTTGCGGCATTCGACAAGCACGTAGACGGAGGGGGGCATGTGCATGCATAAGGTAAACGGGAAAAATCCGAGGCGAGGAAAAGCGAGCGCCGATGTAAATTCTGCGCCGAGAAAAGCGCCGCCGTTTGTATAATTCGCCCCGGCGAAACTTCTCTCTCTCTCTCTCTCTTTCTCTCGAAAAAGCCCCGACCCACATAGCCGCGATTCACGTTGAAATTCTTCGGCCTGGAATAAATTCTCTTGTCCTGCGGGACGTGTGTATAGCGAGAGAACCTCGGTCTTATCGTTGCACACACAGTTTTACCTCTCGCGCGCGCGCAACCGGGACGTTCTACTTTCCATTAATGGCCCCCGACTCCTCGCGCGTCCTTTACGGTAACTCTCGCCTCGGAACCACTCGAGAGATATATGATCGCAAATTGTATAATGATAAGCGCGTGCGAGCGCGTTCGATCGCGCGTCTATTATTTCGAGAGAGAGAAACTGAAGCCAGAAAACGTTTCTCTCTTCCGACGCGAATCTCCGAAGACTCTTTGACTTCGTTCGATCGGCATTGAGTGTTTTTTTTTTTTTTTTTTTTATCGGTCGATAGACGACAAACTCTCTCTCTCTCTCTCTTTCTCTTTCGCTCTACCGTCTGAATATCGCGGAACAATTGTGTATAGCGAGAGAAAGACCCGTGTACACACAGTCGGATAATACCTGGGTTATTGCACGTTACTAAACAATGCAAAGAGCAATCGGCGCGGGGAAGCAAACCCGCGCTATATATTGCGCATCATATATTTAATCGCGTATGTACGCCCGCGGCTTCGCGTCCTTCGATCAATTTTTTATCTGAAATTTTCGTGTAGAGATCAACGCGAAGTGAGACGCGCGTCGTCGTCGTCGTCGTCGTTATCCAGCGGCGATCTGAAGGTACGATAATCGCGAGTTTAAAAAAAAAAAAAAGAAACAAGCCGTGTTACGTTACGCGCGTTACGTAAAGTAGTCGATGAAAAATTCAGAGCTAATTGCGGTACGGTTTTAGAATAGGAAAGAGCCGCGCTTCGTGCGGCCAAGTTGAAAAGTGCGAGCTCGAAAATGCGGCGAGAAGCTAAGCGCGCACGTCTGCATTATGCATATTTTAAAGAATTCAAATCTGACTTAATAAAGACTCTTTTCATTACGCGGTTGACGTACGGGCGCAAAAAAAGAAGAATAGGAGAAAATTAAATTCTTTTCCCCGCACGCGCGCGCGCGCGCGCATACATCACGCGTTAATGTGGGTTGTAAATCCCGAAAGACCCTCTTTTTTTTTCTTCGAACTGTGAAATCGAGTTGCACCGTCACGCGCGGAATTTCCGTAAATACGGCAAAGAGACCGCCGCAAAGCGACGGGGGTGAGAGAGAGAAAAAAAAAAATATATGTTCCTTCTTCTTTTCGGAAGGGAAGAATTATTATCTCGCGTTAAAATAAGCTCGTCAATTTCGCCATTTTTTCCAGTTTTTATTAAAGTCCTTCCTTTCGGAGCTCGTGAACTGGGATTACACTTCTCGCGCGGATGAAATCCGAGCTGCACCCTTGATCTCGTGATATTAAAGGATTTGCCGGCGGACGGTCGCCGATCGCGACGAGGAGGAGGAAACATCATCAGGACGACGTCGTCCGCGTTATCGGGTCTTCTCGCGCGAGCAGGGATAGGATCTCTAATTCCGAACGAAGAGAGACAGAGAGAGAGAGAGAGAGAGAGAGAGAAAAGACAACATTTTCAGCCTGTGGCTTTTGATTCGTCTTTCATTTATTCACAACGATCTCGCGAAGTTTCGCGAAGAATCGTGTCGTTTTTTTTTTCGTTTCAAAGCGACACTTGGTCGTTAATTTGCTGTGTACGCCACGTATCGAGAATTTTTATTTACACTCTCTACAGTAGTCGAGACGTCTCTTGTGACGCGATCGACTGTCACGTACATGTGTGTGTGTGTGTGTGCGGGTTGAGGTTTAAAAGACCGCGGAAGAGAATCGCGCGCCCGAGAGAGGGAATAAAAGTGGCGGTAATGGTATGATCTATAAAGAACGGCGGGAGAGAGTTCTTTCTCTTCGCGTATGAAAAGCTCGCGCCGTTCTTTGTTCGCGAATTCACCAGCCCGCGCGCGATCTTTAGCCGAGCCGGAGGCTTTTCCCCGCACGCCACACGTAGTCGGGTTGTACAACGTCGGGAGGAAAGATGGGAGGGCGTATTCACAGCGTCAAGTTATTCGGCCGTTTTCCGCGGCTGAAAAGACTTTCTCGCTTTAACGGGACCCGAGGAAACGAAAATAACTCCCGCGTGCTTAACCGAACAGAATTCGCCTAAACGGTCGGCGAAGCTGCTGCGCTTGCAATTTTGTGCGCGCTTTCTTCTTTGCTCGCGCGAAACCTAAGTAACTACTCGCGCGCGCGCGTGATCGAGAAACAATTAATTAAGTCGCATCGCGAGGTCCGTAGATATCACGCGCGCGCGCGGGCGCGAAGCTTATCTATAGATATCTCCGACATAGGATTTCTAATCGCTTTGTTTTGCACGACTATATAATATATATATATATATATATGTACGTGTACATCTGCGTTGTAGAGTAAATCGATTTCAATTTATGTCAATCCACAATAGAAGAGCCGTAATCGAAGCTGGCGAAGCTTTGTGAAAACTGAACGAGGACACGTCCTTTTTTTTTTTTTTTTCGTCGGTTAATGTGTTTGAAAGTAGATCGAGCGTGACCGATCCGGTAAAAAAAAAAAAAAAATCTCGCACGACGATTACCATTTTTTTCATTCGCGACGATTACCCGCGCGCGCGTCTGTTCCCCCCTTCGGGCGGCGGTGCGGCTCGCGTTGCGCGATGATGATCCTGGGCGCGTCATCGATTTCCTTGACTTTTGTGTCATCATCTTCGGCGCGAATTCTTTCCGGACTTCCCCGACAAAATTTTGCGTTTTGCAAGCGCAATAGAAATCTCGTTTGTTTCTTTCTCCTCGCCCGGAGAGAGGAGGTTGCCTCAAGCAACGACGCGTCAAGAGGAGAAAGAAATCCTGAACCGTTTAACTTCCGACGGGGATTATTTGCGATCGTTTTCTCTGTCATTTGTCGTAACGACCGGCGCATTGCGTGCATTCTCAAATGCAACCGGTCGCGTACAGCTGCGCTGCGTGCAAGACGTGTGTGTGTGTTTATTTCTCCGGCAAACAAGAATCGAGTAAAATCGAGCGTGAAGCACGCCGCGCTTGCGAGACGCGCGCGATTATTATACGCGATTAGTATTATATTGTACACACACGCGGTCGCATTTCCGATTGTTGTTGCCACTTAACGCGCGACAACTTCCGCATGTGTGTCACGCATGAGATGCCCGGGGCGTGAGAGATAACGGGCGAGGTTTTTTTTTTATTTCCTCGAAAGAAACGCGCGAAAAACGAACGGGGGTGGAAGAAATCCGCGCGTAGTAATCCGCAATAATGCGTAACACGCGGGCGGACGATGGTACGAGATCGCGATCACACATCGCTGGCTGCACCCTCCTCGAACAGGTGCGGTGAAAGCAACCTGTGCGCGCAAATTGCGCCACTCGAGAGGCGAGGTTTTTAATCGGCCACGCGATATCGACTCGCCGGCCAATTTAACTTGGCCTGCAAGTGCCAATTATTTGCAGAAAAAAAAATATCACTGCCCACAAGAAAGCACCGAGATTCTATGTGTGTGTGTGTGTGTGTGTGGGTGCGCACAGACTATCGAATGTTATTGACTTCCCCTGTGATTTAAAGTTCTCGGTTGCGATCAACGTGCGTGAATTGTGTTACACCCGCTTTTTAATATCACGCGACACACACACACACGCAAAACAACGCAAATTACGGTAAAATTTGTATTATCTTAACGAGAGCTTTTTTGTTTTTGCTAAACCCAGGAGCAAATGAAGCGGAGAAAATGTCGTCGTCGGAAATAATCTCCAGGAAAATGAAGACGGGTGAGAGATCCTGAGGTCTAAACCAAGCACTTTGGCTTTCTTTTTTCCTATAGAAGAAACTTGGTGGATAATAGCGGGATAAAGACACAACGCGGAGGCGAGATCACGAAGACAATAGACGACGACGGAAGGAAGAAAGAGAAGGAAAGCGCGCGACACGAGACGAGGAGAGTCGCGCATTGGTGTACGTGTACACCACACACGTGTGTGTGTGTGTGTATTAGTTTTCTTCAGGGCGCAGAGCCTGTTCCATTTTTCAAGTTCCTGTCCTCTTCTCTATCCTTTCTCTCGCGGAGTACTTGACACGCGTGTTAAGTGCGCGGCAATCCTCTCCGCTATATAGAGTCTCTCCTCTCTCGGACGAGCAGCGGCACGAGCCTGGTGTCCTCGGCTCCGGGGATGGGGACTGATCGATCGTGTCGTCTCTTTCTCTCTCTCTCTCTCTCTCTCTCTTCTCTTCTCTTCTCTTTCTCTCTCTCTCTCTCTCTCGTGCTCTTTCGACACGTTAATGACTCATCCCACGTCTGATTACCCGGCCGTACGATCGCGCACGGCTGGATGTACTTGTAAAGTAACGATCGGTTGTATTGACACTCTCTTTTTCCTCCGGACGCCACGTCGTCGTAATTTCGTATTGGATTAAAGCCGCGCGCTCTCGCTCGGAAAAAAAACTTTCTTGACCCTCCCCCGTCAAATTTCGTCATTCCGTTTCATTTCCGCGCTCCAAAGTCCGAATCGAATTCGCGTCGACCAATCCGCCTAACGATCGGGTTACGGGCGGATGATTTTGTAACGGGATACGGGAGAGGGGGAGAAAAAACAGAAAATTGACGAATTCAAACGGGGTTAACGATCATCGCGACGAGCGACCAAGTCGAAACGCCCGGGCCTGACCTTTTTTTACGCGTTTTTTTCAGAGAAGAACGAGGAGATCGAGAATGCTGGCACGAGTCCCGCGCGGAAGGTCCTTTATTGCTCGGGTTTTACAACAACGTGGCGTGACGGACGACGGCGCGTGGAGACGATTCCGGAGGAGACACTTTGCGGCTCCCGAGAGTCTCTCCCCGCCTTTGCGGCAATAAAGACGACATTATTGACATCGGCGGTGCCCGCGACACCGCCCAAGATTCGTCTCGTCCGTCATTCGGAACGAGACGCGCGGAAAAACAAAATTTAAGGATCTAATATAATAAGAGAAAAAACGTAACGTTTTTTTTTTGGTGACACAGATACAAGATATACGTAGAGATATACTTTTATTCGTCTTCTCCCGCGAATTTTCCTGAGAACACAACGTTGTGTTGTTTCCTGAATGAAGAATTGTCGTCGGACGTGCGAATCGAGTGTCGTTCCGACTTTTTTCACCGAAGAAGCTGATACGCGCTTGTTATATCTCTAAGATAATTAATTTACGACTCGGATCCCCGAACGGAGCATCGAACATCGCTGAATGAGGAACAAGCTGAAAGAAGGCGCGGTTGAGAAACGTGATGTACGAGATTCCTCGGGGATGATACGCCGCCTCGTTGACGTGAGAGAAACGAGGCGGTGGTGGTGGTGGTGGCGCAACATCTCGCCGCCGCGCAAAAACCGCCGACGATTTCTTCTCTTCCTTCGTGGCAACGGACGTCGATGACTCACAAAGAGACTACACATCCGAATAGACGACAAGAGAGGGAGAGAGAAGTTATCCGGGGGGGAAAAAAAAAAAAAAAACCAAACTTCTTATCTTCCATATCGCGTGGCGCGAATGCCGGCGGGTGTACAACGCGCTTGAAAATTTGTGTGTTCGCGTGCGGTTTAACAAAATACCCAGGCTCTGTTTGCGGTAACTTTTTCAAGAGAGAGAGAGAGAGAGAGAGAGAGAGAGAGAGAGAAGTGTATAAATAGCAACACACACGTTGTTTGAATTGTACACACAGAAAAATGCATACTGTATCAAGTATATAATAAGTTTATATATCCGCAAATATATTATAAGATTTTCGTAAGTATTTAATTTACTCAAAATACAAATTTACTAAGATTTAGAGTGTATTTTGAGTAAATTAAATACTTACAAAGATCTTATAATATATTTGCGGATATATAAACTTATTATATACTTGATACAGTATGCATTTTTCTGTGTGTACGCGATCGGTGTCGGCGATATACCGCCGACACCAACCAAAATCGAATAATATCCTGAAAACGCGTACGAACGTATGTGTTGTTGCGCTCGCGGAAACGCCGATGGGAGTCGTTTTCGCTGATTTTCCCGCGCGCGTTTTCCCGAAGCGGCGGCGGTCACGCTCGCGCGCGTCCCGCCTCTTGCAACATGAAAGTTGCACACACACACACAGGTTCCTCACGCGTGCGTGTCAATAAAACGACGACGACGACGACGACGTGTGTGGAAAACCGGACGGTTTCGCATTGTCGCGGATAGCAAAAACGTCCGGCGACGAAGAAGTGTCTGCGCGATTTTAAAATCTTCCGCGAATTTGTTTTGTTAAAAAAAACGCGCGCGTGTTTGTTTTACAACACGGCGATCGCAGATTTTCGCTTTTACAGAAAAGAAACGTCGACGTAACGTCGTGTCACGCCGATGCGTTATGCGTGTCCGCGATTATTCGCGCTTTCTCGTCCGGGGGTAACGAGATGTGACAGGACACGTTCTCATCCGCGTGTCCTGATAATTGCGCACCTGCGCAATCGCACACACCCGTTAATAAATCGTTTTCCTGGGAAATAATCTCTCGAGTGTAAACCGGGCGAGAGAGAGCGCTTCTCCCGTCGTTGCGTGCGTTTCTGACGCGCGTGGGTGAACGCGCGCATAATAATTTGCGTACACACATTAGAGAGACCGCCCGTTGCGATCCAGTCGTGCGATTGGTTCGTGAACCGACCTAATAGCAATTGGATTAGCTCGCGCGTGTGTGAAAACGCGATCGGCATTGGAAGTAAATAAAATTTCATTTGCGACTCGCGCCGTTTTTCACACACACACACACACACACGCGCATGACATTTATTGCGGTTGACAGTTGTGTAATAAACGGGACGGCGTATATATAAACTTGAGAATTTTTTTTTCCATTTCCAGGTGTTTGCAGAAGTTAAACAATGAAACGCGCGCTCGGCTTATACACACCGAGAGAGCCAGCCCCCCGTTGAAACGAAACTTCCGGGATTACGCGTTCCGAGGGATTACATTTACCAACACGTCACGACGTCGAAGAAGGAAACCAATATTGTTTCGCAAGCGCGGGGCTCCGATTCTCTCAAAGAGACGGAGGAGGAAAGCGCGCGCTTGTGAATGAGAAAAGCACGTCGCCGAGACTTTATTGCATAATTGGACGATTCTCTTCGTGAAACCATTCGCGCGTAAACTAAGGCGCTTTGTTGGTAAAACTCAACCGAAGTCTCTTCGCTTACACATGTATGTATATACATATATATATATATATGTGTGTGTGTGTTTGTTCATTCATTGGCACCCTCTTCTCCCCAGAGAGGCTTTCCGTCTCGTCGCGTAATCCGCGCGCGGAATCAATACACGCGCGGATTGATAATCGCGCGCGCGGATAGACACACAAGAACCTTGGAGGGAACTTATCGATAAAACGCGTAAGCGATTTTTTCACGTTTGTATGCGCGTGAATATGTAACACACACACACACACGCGCGTACCTTTCGCGACCTTTTATCGATCCGCGATACACAACGCGCCGTTCACATCATTCTGAAACAAATAAAAATCCGCGACCGTGTGTGTGTGTGGAATAAAAACCGCGAGTTTTCTCTTGTACACGTAAGACGATACAGCTATATATCGCGAGTCGTCGTGTTGTAAAAATAGCGTGACATTTCATCGATCGTGTAACACACTTGTAAAAACGTCGCGACCGTCACATTTGTTGCGCGCCCGTTTACGCAGCGCGCGAAAAAAAAAAAAAAAGTAGGCTCGAACTTCCAAGTTCGATACTCCTACGCGATATATCTGTGCATAAAAAATGCCATCTTCTCGAACTTTGTTCGTTCGCGCATTTCGAACAGCTGGTTTTTTTTTTTTTCGTCGTCGCGCCGCTTCTCTTCCCGAGTCGTCGTCGCGAGAATGAATGAAAAGAAAAAATCGAACGCAAGCGATAGAAATTTTGTTATTTTACGTTATTTTTCGAGACTGTATCGAGTTGTCGAGACAACAACGACGACGACGACATTATCAGAAAAAAAAAACGCGATAAGACTGTGTGCTTTAATTATCTGGTTAATGGCGCGAACGCACGCTTCCGACGTTATCAATCGACGTGAACGCCTTTGACGGTTAACGGTCTCTGGTGGAAAACTTCCCGGACTCCCCGTTACTCTTCTTCAAAAAGTATCACTCGAGGCGATTCCGCTACTCGAGTTTAGCTACTCTTGCATTTATCTCGCTTTTGTTTTTTCTTTTTGCACACGTATCGCCTCGGGAGAGAGACAAGCGTCTCTGTCCGTCCGAGATATGCCAATGTGTTGTTTTCAGGCAACGAACCGCGCCGTTGTTGTGTGGTGACCATTTCGCCTGGGAAGGGGGAGGAGAACGCAATGAAATATTGCGCGAGCCGGAAGAAGGATCGACCATTTGCTCACCGATCAATCTTGTCCATCGTCGTGGGATGCTGCAGGATGGTTTGTTGCCCCGTCATCTCGACGACGCATTGCGTACCGAGTTCCAGCTCTGTAACGAGAAAAGGAAGAGACCGCAATTAGGATTCGACGGTTCAGAAGTTGCTGTTTTAATTAACATATTTATACGTTCCCTCAATTAAATGTTTTTTTTTTTCACGCTCTTACGCGTCTTGAATTAAATTAAAACGAGAGAGAGAGAGAGAGAGAGAGAGAGAGAGAGAGAGAACGTGTTTTTGTCGTCAAGTTTTTTGATCGATGTTTAATTAAACGCGGAGGTTCGACGGACTTATTGTTTTTAATTAACTGCGGGAACGTGTCATCGCGCGCGTACAATAATATAACGCTCGGTGTTAATAAGAAACAGTCTCGCTAAGTCTCACGACGAAAAAGAAACTTACGCGTAATTGTTAATTAAAATCAAGTTCGCGCGCAAACGCATCGCGTTTTTTTCTTTTGAGAAAAATACACGGGGGTACGTTGTTTTGAAAACGCGATTGCAACCCCAAGCAATCATAAAATTTACAAGCGCGCATCGTCGATAATGTATGCGAGCGCAATAACACACACTGGTCTTTACAGTTCTTTTCTTTCTTTTTTTTTAGGCGAACAGGTGTTGAGCGCTTCGTCGTCGAGGACACGCGGAGATGTGGACAGGTGGTCTCGAAGAGATCGATTCGCCGAAAACACGGGGAGAGCGAAAATAATCGAACGTGTATTTCGTTCGTTCGAACGAGCAAACTTTTGTACATGTGTGTCTGCGCAAAAGTTCTACACGCGCGCGACACGGATAACTAATTCATCATCCGACTCGGCTAACGATCTCCTTAATTGTCGTCATTCGCGCGCATGAAATAATTTATCGAAGAGTTTGTAATGTACGGGATACATATCGCAAAAATGAAAGCGTGTGTTGTGTATGTGCGCGCGCGCGCGTTCTTTTGTCGTATCGCCTCATTGAAATAGTTTAACGAGGTCAGTTTGTAATCTAGAGACAGTTTTCTCTTTCTCCCTGTAACACTTTCTCCGACAAATTTCTTATAACGATTTTATGCGGCGTGGTCGTATATTTCAACGTTAACTCTCCCTAGGAACTAGTGTCTGTGTGTGTATGTGTGTATGTTTGTGTGTGTTTTAACGACTCGTATCGATAGAACGGTGCTCTCGTCGCAGCGAGCATCATCTCGAATAATCGTTAAAGTCAATGAACGACAGAGAAACGGGCGTTGTGATAGCGAGATTCGCGTCGCCACAAGGCGACGAGAGAGCGAGCCTAAGAAAGGGCTGATGACTCATAAAAGCTTGGGTGGAAAGCAAGTTGTAGAGTGTTTTATTATGCCGAGGTGCGACATCGCGCGCGAACACACTGTGTGATGTTGTACAACGAAATGAGACATCGATTGTTTCAGGAAAGTCCAAGAATGTGTGTGTGTGTGTGTGTGTGTGTGCGCAACACCGTATTAAAACGAAGAAAGTCGCGCGCGCGACCGGTCAATTTATGTGCGCGACCGATGATCGAATTGATATCGATACATATCGTTTAATCTCGCGCGCGCGATTCCGTTTGCAAAGTTTTTCTTCGGGATTCCAACGTCCAAACGAAAATCGACGACGACACACACACACACACACACACGCGCGCGTATCAAACGATTTATTTGTGTTTGTATCGCGGCCGGTTGTGTCAACGGTGAGAGAAAAATTGATAACCGCTCTCTCGTCGGAAAATTTATATATCGCAGCTTCCAGATAGTTTTTTCTTAACGGCGCGAAAAAGACAGAGAGTTCTTGCGAAAAGCTCTCCGCGGCGCGTTGTTCGCGCGATTCGCCCGAAGATCGTCGGACAAAAAGCGAGAGAAACTTTTAGAACGTCGATTTTTACGGTTCGTTAAGCGATAAAAAAAAAGACGTCTGAGCTCCGCTGAAGTGACGAGAAACCCTTGGTCGGGTTGCGTCGCGTCGTGCGAATTGAATCTCACAGCGCGAAAGTTCGACAATTAGCAAGCTACGGAGGAGAGGAGGAAAAAAATTATGTAATTCTTCACGCGCCTCTCGCCTTTGTAGTCTACACCGACGACGTCAAATTCGACGCTCGCGGATGTACGTGTGTTGTTACGCACGCGTCGCGCGAGGGAGGAAAGCGTTTGTGTGTGTGTGTTTGTGCGCTCACGCGCGATCGGGCGAGAACGCGAGCAATTGTGTAACGCACGCTTCATTGTTGTTGCTCGAATTGCAATATCGCAGGTGAGACACACCGGGCGTGTGATCTCGAACGGCGCGATTCGCACGGATGTAATTTAAACCGTTAGATCGAACATTGAAGCTAACACTTAACCGCGCGCGCGCGCGCGCCCGATAGCGTGGCTGGTTCGCGAACCGAGCGAATGCGATCGTCGAATCGTCTTGCGTCAAAAAAAAAAACAAAACGAAGCAATGTGCACACGTGTGTGCGATTGAGAGAAAGAGAGAGAGAGGGGGAAAACCTGTCGATCAAGGTCCGCTTGTGCGGACGATCGCGAATTCGGAAAACGCACACGCGAAGTGCGTCCGTCGATCGGATCGATATCTCAAGGTCACCGGACCTTGATCAACGTCGACGAACCGCGAATAATTTGTTTTTTGTTTATTCTTTTACTCGTTGCACCTGACTTTTGATTTTTCTATCCGATCAAAAATTGCAAGCCCAACGGCGACGCTTGTCAACAAGCGCACGAGAGGGAATCGCGCTCTCACGTGCGCTTCTCTCGCGATACAAATCACCGCGTTTGCTACATATACACACACTTACGTGAGATCGTGTGTGTTGAAACGACAATTGATTTTGGGGAAACTTTTTGAGAGATCAATCGGTCAATTCTCTCTGTACGAGAGAGAGAGGGAAAGCCTTCTTCGCCACGCGTTCGATTTCGCCCCGAGTTGCGCGTCGCACCTCTGCGAGCTCTCCCCTTCCCCTTCCTCGTCCCGTCTCTCTCTTTCTCGCGTGTGGACCAGTCGTTCTTATCCAATTACGAGGATGACGTTTATCGCAAACAGAGGCGTCATGTGATCGCAGATTTGAGCAGTCCGTTAAAGGGCTGCGCGCGGTCGAGAGACAGCGCGCTACATAAGTATGTTTCACCATTTTCGTTTCGGATCTAATGAAAAATGAAGATGGTATTAAACACGCGCATCGACCTGTTTGTAGCGTTGACCGCAGCCAAGGGGGATGTAAATCACGAATGAGATTGATTCTCTCTCTCTCTCTCTCTCTCTCTCTCTCTCTCTCTCTCTTTGCGCGCAAAAGGCAGCAGGTTGACGCCGAGGTTTTTAATTTGTTTGTCTTTTCTCGAGTCGATACTTTTTCGATCCTAAAACGCGAAATTTAGAGAATCGGAGAGAGCGTCGTCGGTGATTCGCGCTTCCAGCTGGAAGCGCTTATCGTTTTCTCTCTCTCTCTCGCCTTCTGAAACAATCTCGCGTCTCGTCAACGCGAGAAGAGATGAGGAAAACGTTCGTCGCGCAACTATTGTATACACTTTCGCGCGACGAAGGATTACGCGACGAAGTCTTCGATCTCGCCTCGCGCGCACAACACGAGCCGATACATCGGCTCGGAGTGTGCGTCATCCTATTAATCGCGGACTCTCTGTCTCTGTCTCGCTCGAGGCTGTCGACGGCGACTCGCGATGCGAAGCAGAGAATTTTATACATATATATATATATATAAAAGGCCATCGCGCGCGTCCCCGGGGAGAGACGGAGAGACCCTAACCAGGTGGAAAACACCGTCGCAACACCGATTATCGGCGGCGAGGCCGAAGGTCGAGCATCTCGGAGCGTCCGCGGTTTTTCTCCGCCGAAGCAACACGCGAAGCATCCGAAGCGACGGAGCGGGGGGGACCCCCTTTCCCGATTTCCTGGCGACGACGACGTCGCGCGTGGTCGAGGCTAGACGGAGGGTCTCCCTCCCCCCTCCCCCCGCCCCCGTAAGGCCCCGGCGACGTCATGGAGAAACGGATTTTTTTTTTTTTTAACGTACCTCTGCGATTGAACGGCCGTACTCGTACGGCGACCTTTATTTTATCCGAAGCCATGACTTTTGCACACCCGGTAAAACCGCGCTTACTTCGTGGTATATCACAGACAACACGCACGCACGCACGCACGCACACACCACACCGCACCACACACCACACGCGATCACGGGTGGACCGTTTTTTTTTTTTTTTTTTTTTTTTTCTCGGCGCAGTTACGTGCCACGTGAGATTTAAACGTCGAGGCGTTTTCGTCGCACAATTCGCGCACGTAACGCTACATTATTCTCAACCCATACCGCGAACTTGTCATCTTCCAAACTGTGACACCACTACTCTCGTCTCCTCTCCTCTACGCCGAACCCCCCGTGACACACTTCGCCATATTGCTTTCCGAAGCCCGTCGTCGTGCGCGCCGAGACGACTAGTTACACGACGGCCCCGTGTTCCTATCCCGAAGGGGGGCTATCGAGTGAACGTTTGTGTTTCCGGGAATCGCCGTCAGGAACCGCTCGCGGTTCGATATAAGCGTGACTCTGACGTCACGCACTAGTCTAGTGTTGACGCGCGGCCAGAGGTCGCGAGCGTATAGCGCGCGGTTTACGGGTCAGGTTAGGTTGCTGCGTCCACCCTCCCGGGAACGTGACAGCGGATTTTTGGCGGTATCCAGTTCCTTTTGAAACGCAGGTTTGCGCCGAGGAGTTTTGTACACATTTTTCACACTTTCCCGCGCCGATGTCATGTGAGTACAGAGCGAAGCTGAAGAGTATAAGTAATTGGGAGATAATTTTGTAATACAACAAAACACCGAGAAAACGAATGTTTGCAGGATATCGTGAAAAACATGATTCTGAACGTCGAGAAGATAATCAGTTGCTCGTCCGAGCACCCGTCCTATCCCGCGTCCAATCTCCTGGAACGTAATTCGGAAAAATGGAAGAAGACGTGGCGATGCGCCAAACCGGGAGAGATGCTGGCGCACGTAATCTTTCAACTCGCCGAACCCTCTTACATCACGGGAATCGACGTTGGAAATTATCAGAGCTGCGTGGTGATCGTCTCCGGATCTACGTCAGCCGATCCGGACAATTGGTTGGTTTTAATCAACCATCAGTTTATGTCCAATGACGAGGCCTCGAGTAACAAGTTCAGGGACCAAGTACAATTGTTTACCAAGAGAGAATTGAACCCGGACACGTTGAAGACGAAATTCGACCGCGTCAAGGTCACCTGTATGCAATCCGCGAATTTGAAGGTTTTGTTCGGATTGTCTTACATCATTCTGAGATCAGATCCAACGATTGATCTGGGGTTGGATGTGTTTGGAAGATTCAAATTGAAGCAGCCGCACGCGGTGAAGACGCCTATAGAAATGATGAGAGAAAAGCTTCTCAATAAGGAAGAAACCGACGTCAAAACCAATTACAAAGAAGAGTTGAACGAACAGATAAAGAAGATTTCCAAGAACAACTTCGCCAAGTGTCAGGAAGAAGAAGAAGGAAAATCTAAGAAACGACCGTTGTTGGAAAAATTGGAAGCCGGAGAAGCTGACGAGGTTTTTAAGAAGATGAAGAAAGATCAGCCGGAGAGCGCAAAATTCAAGAACAAGTCGCCTGCCAAAGGTTCCAAGAACAAAACAGTCGCTAAGAGTCCGCAAAGTAAAAATAAAACTGTGTCCAGAGAAGAGACGGTTGCGAATACGTCTGATATCGGTGACAATGACGACGAGAAAACCGTTGCGCCTTCAACTTCCAAGAAACAATCGTCTCCGAGCAATTCGGAGAATTCGTCGGACAAAAAGCTCGACGAGAAGAAACGTCGAGACTGTTCCAGGTGTTGCGAGAATTCTCAGGATGAAATTTGCGAGGTTTGTCAACGACTGTTGCCGCCCGAAAACGATAATCCGAAGAAAATTCCGAAGAAAAAGAACGTACCGCAAAAACCAAAGAAACCGTTTAGGAAACTGTTCGACGACGTTACGTTCTCTCTAAGCGGATACGTCAATCCGCAGAGAGATGAAATCAGAAGAAAGGCTATCGCAATGGGTGCCAGATACATATTCGATCCAAATACGAGCAATAAAAAATGCAGTCACTTGATATGCGCTTTCAAAAACACGCCCAAGTATCAACAATTGAAAAATCACACCAAAATAGTCTCCCATAATTTCATCGAAGAGTGTTTTGATAAAAAGACAAGGTAAACGGATTGATCGTTTCCTTCCTTAGACAAATTATTACTGACCGGTTCGGCAAAACCGTTGTGTATATTTGATTATTTCGCAGATTTCCTTGGAGACGATACGCTCTGGATCAAAGGGACAGATCGCAACCGGAAAGCGAGGAGGAAATAGACGGCAATCAACCAGAATCTGTATATGATATGAAAACTGATCCCGAGTCCGATTAATACAAAGTTCAATTTAGATTTCGGTCGGAGAGTCTGTTAATATCACGTCTGTTTAACTTTTTTTCCTGAAGATTATATATTTTGATAGCTATAAATCTCGAATATTGTGTGTGTGTGTTGTGCATGTAAATAAACCTTGCTACAAATTGTTTTTCTTTAACATTGCGATATCTAGTACGTACGTCTATTTTAAAAATTTGTAACGCACAAGAAAGTTAATTTTAGCAACTTGTTAGATTTTTTTCGGAATTATTAACTATCGAAAGACTTAGGGCCGTTCTACAATGAGTTAAAAAATGTCCCGTCGCCAACTACTAGGGAAAAAGTATTGGTTTAGGTTCTGCGATTGTCAGTTGCTGTTGGCAAAAGTTGACCAACTCTCTTTTAGCAATTGCAACGACACAAAGCGCAACCAGAAATAATAATTTTTATTTCGTAATTGCTACCTTTCGCAACATTTTCAACTCATTGTAGAATGACCTTTACAACGAGAACACGTGGAGTCGCACTCCGCGATACCGACGGGCGGATGATATCTTGTTCTGTTAGTTCGTACTTTCCGTCGCCAGATAGAACGACTGTGAAGTCTGATGCAACGAGACGGTCGGTCGTGTGTCAAATTGTTGTTTAAACGCGAGTATATAATTTAAAGACGACGTGAAAAATCAGACAAAAAAATGAACCGTCATCCCAATACCGATTACAAAAATCGTCACGAGCCGCAAGTGGAATTAGAAAGTCAATTTATTTTGCGATTACCACCGGTAATACTTTATCTTAATTTATTATAACCTCAAAGTAAAATTGTTAACTTGGACTTTTGGTGTTTACGTTAGAAAAAAATTGCACGGAGAGAATTTGTGCTGAAATAAATTTCCGTCTTCTTTTCAAGGAACCGTCCAAAGGTTTGAGAGAAGCGTTACGTACCGGTGCGCCTTTAAAAGACAGACTTACTATAAAATTAGAAAATGACATGCGTTACGGCGAAGTCAGATTCGACCACTGGTTACTTCACGCCAAGGTTTTAATTTTGTTCTAATTACATTGCAAGCACATTGTTTTGTTTTTGTCTTTATTTGAAAATTATGTCGAAATTATCAATTTATGCGCAATATATTCTTGCATAGGTTGTGGATTTGCCGACAATAGTGGAGTCCTTGAAGACTATTGACACCAAGAGTTTTTACAAAACAGCTGATATATGTCAGGTATTAACAAAACAAAATTGCAATTTGCAAGAAAATAACACAAAGTCAGAGATTGTGATAAAAATTTGTTTTGCAACATTTGTTTTTCAAGATGTTGATATGCAAGGAAGAAGACGATCATGCTGGAACGGACGAGGAGTCTCCTGTTAAGCAGAAAAAGAAGGATCCAAACAAAGTTGATAAAAAATTTCTCTGGCCTCACGGTGTAACGCCACCTGCCAAAAACGTAAGACGCAGGAGATTTAGAAAAACTTTGAAGAAGAAATACGTGGAAGCGCCTGAGATAGAAAAAGAAGTCAAACGTTTGTTGCAAGTGGATAACGATGCTGTTAACGTTAAGTGGGAAGTGATATGCGAGGATGAAGACCAAACGAAACCAAGTAAAGTATCGTCATCTGGCACAGTCAAAACTAAACGGGAAAATATCAATGTTGGTAAGTGGTGGATTTAAGAAAAAAAAATGTATTATATAAATTAATCAAGTTCAGAAAAAAGAAACTTGGTTTAAATTGTTATTTATTTTATATTCTAGCTGAACATGATATATTTGGCGAGGCTGTGAGCGACAGTGAAGACGAAGATGAAGAGGGGAACATAAATGTGATGGAACTGGACGAGAATAGTCGTCTTTCTGCGGACAGCAGAGTCTCAGATTCAAATTCCATGCAAGCCGCGTATTCCGAACGATCCAACAACACCACAACGGCCAACAACGGATTGGTTACCGAGTTCAGTAAAGACATGTTTCAAAACAGCAACAACGGCGACATGGAAACGGATAAACAACAGAACGAGGCTGGTTCGGCGAAAGACGCGAAACTGGAACAGTTTCACTCCGAGTACATTATTACAGATAATTATTCGGAATCACCGCCAGTGTCCACATCCAAAGGTAATTTTGGATTAAGTCCTACACTTTTCGTTTGTTCGTATAATGACAAAAAATTTAACTTGTGTATCGCCTGAAAAATTCCACAGAAGCGCGTCTCACCGCTCTTCACGCCGAATTGGCGGAACTGCGACAAAGAAGGCAGCAACAAGAGATCGAAATAGTTAATATTGAAAACGTCAAGCTGAAACAGAGATTCCAGGAGATTCTAGATAATTTACTGACTAAAGAAATGCAGAAAGTACAAGAGGTAGTAAAACCGAACAGTCTTTTATATTTTTTATCAATTTATATATCTTGATTCGCAAAACACAAAATAGATACTAATTGTCGCTTTTGTATTTCAGATACAAGATTTAGAACTGGAATAGAAAAGAAAAATTGTAATTAAAAGATTTCTTATATATTTTATACGAACGCGATGACGCACATCCACCACAATATTCCATCCTTTACAATTAAATCCTACAGTCAGTTCGTTACTTGTATCGGTGTAAAAATTTTTCCGAAGATTTTTATTGGACTTTTCTTTCTCTTTTTCAAGCAAAAGGTACGTTTTATTAAACAGCTTTTGTGTTTTCCATAGTATTGAAATTGCGAATACAAATGTTTTACAATTCGGTTTCAGAAACTTGTTTTTTTTTTAATATTTGGCAATGTACAGTATGTCTATTTTTTTTTTCTCGGCAATATGTTTATTTTATGCAAATATACATAATTTGTGTACTACTACATATAAATATATACAATGTTACACACGCGCCAATATTTTCTGACATTTTATATATATATATGTATATATATATTTTTTTTTTATTATTATTTAAATGCATTTTAAGATCAAAAATACAAATAAACACATGTCTCTTTTGAAATATCCAACGAAAATACACGCACGCATTCACACAATGTTATATATAATATAGCGTATCTCAGATTCTATATACACCGTAACTCTTTTGAAATTAACTACTTTTTTTTTCATAAAAACTACATTATGCTCTACTGTTTTTTTTTTTTTTTTCACTAATTATAAGCCGATCGGACAGCGGTTGAAAGAGACCGGCGCGCAGAGGTGAGACTTTCTTCTCCTCTCGCGCGGAATGATTCGGTGCCGGTCTTCAGCTTGCCGAGTCTCAACGAATCGGTTTCGCGAGAGAAAGAGAGAGAAGAGAGATTTCCCTTCTGGACGCTGTTCTCTTTCGGTCACAACATTCACCGCTGTTTCCAATTTGATTGTTTTGCCACCTAATTTTATTTCACCTCGCGTCTTTCGAAGAAGAAAAAAAAAACGAAAGTCAACGCGTTCGTTCGTCGAAGATCGCTTCGATTATCCTCTGAAACGTAACGGCGTCGAGTCCGGCGAAGGGCTTGTCGCGATTCGCGAGCGGAAACGAACGGCGTCTTCTTCGTCTCCGTCGGCGACGAAATATATCGCCGTCGAAGTAGTCGTCCGTGGTCGGCGGGTTCACTTTGGCGTAATAGAGAGCCGCGAAACCGCTGTAGATCAGTAAAGCCGCGGTCGCTAGCTGTGTTTCGCAAACGTTAAATAAATGTGTTAACTTTGGACGCAAAGACGTCACAGGAGCGATTAATATCGATTTACCTGAAAAACGGCCCAGAATTTGTAGCTTCCCTCGTTAATCAGAAAATCGTAGTAACCGGCCCAGTAATCGACCTTGGGTTGACCCATCGCCTTCGTCTCCTCGTCCTCCTTCATGTCGTCGTGATAATGATGATCGTCCTGATAGTCGGTGTCGTCCCCCTTAACGCTGTAGCTCTGCTTGTACGCCCTGTTTTGTCTGTGCGAAGAATATCGAACAACTTCATCATCCGATCCTCGCGTTATTTTTTTAACACAAAAAATTTTACGTCGCGCTTACCTGACAGGCTGCGCCGTCGTGGCGGGTACGAACTTTTCCGTTCGAAACGCGTCCGAAGACGATTCCGCGACACTCCCGACACTCGACTCGCCGGAAGCGTGACAGACGCAGATCGACAGTATAACGAACTTGATGACCAGTTGGTTGCCCGTTGAGTCTGCGAGATATAAATTAGCGTTATATTTTTACTTAAAACGTATGTTAAAAAAAACTCGATATCGTCAGTATCTGACGATACTGACCCATGTTAATCATCGAGAGAGATGATCGTGAATTCCACTTGGTTTCGAGGCGCGCAATGACCATCTTCCCTTTTCATGCGCTCGTCACGGACGGCACATTTCTAAACACACGCACATACACGGCGTATATATTTTTCGGCGCGAGAGAAAAACCTTCCGCAAAGTCCGACGAGACACTGAACGATTCGCGGACCTGGTTTTCGCACAGTAGCGGGGTTTCATCCGGTTTCTCGCGAGTCAGTAACTGTATCGACGGTAACGTTAAGCAAATCCCAAGCGCTAATAAGCCCTAATTGTTACAGATTCTCGCGTAACGTTGTCAAAATGGTCGGGTTTCGATCAATGGTGTCGCGTCGGAACGTGTGGCATGTTACTATCAGACACTACGCAATTATTTCACAAATTGGTTTTTTTGATCTCACATAGATTTATATATCTCGAGATAATATCTCTACAGAGATTGAGACAACGGGAATGTAAAATATCCTCGGAGAGAGTCTCTTCTTGCATCCATCATGTAAAGCAATCAGGTTTATTTAAGCAGGAGCGAGCGCGTTTTTATATAATAACTTGTCGAATGATTTCATTCGAATTTTTGTTGTTCCTCTAGCAAGTGTGCAAGTCGTGACGCTGATTAGATAAATAATTTATATCGACAATGTCGCATATATATTCATAAACACATTGTTTGTTTATTTTGTAGGGTAGATGGTTGATGTACAAAGTTCTTCTTTCTCACATTTCTTTACATATTTGTCTAAAGATGTATATTTACACGCATTTGCGCAAATCAATATAATTTTACAATTTATTATTGATTAAGCAATATATACATGTACGTTGTTTTTGATGAGATATTTGGATTCTGTTCGGGTCTTTGTGTGGTAAGTGATGACAAACTGAATATATATTGTGTGCGCGACTAATTACAACACATTTAAATATAGCATACGTTATTCTTCGATTACACGCATCTTGTGGAATATTTTTTCTATAATTTATTCTGTATATAATTTATTTTTTCACACAACAAATACGCGATCGAAATGTGCAAACAGATTGCGCTGACGCAAATGTCTCTTCCTTCTGGTTCATTCGACATTTGTTTTACGACCACCGTACGTCTTGGCGAATCGTTCGACCCCCTCGAGCACAGTCTCGACCCAGGTCCATCGCGCCTCGCTTCGTTTCTGATGATGGGCGACGTCCGCAAGGTGCGTCGGCAGATTAATTTTGTGCCTGGCGATGCTCTTCAGCACGAGCGCCGCTATGTATATGACGAAATAGATGCTGAAGTACAGCGGTATGTACCAGAGTTTTTTCCCGATGAAGTAATACGAGTAGGGTCTCTTGTCGAGACGCTGATCGTTCATCTCCGGCTCCTCCGTCGTGGTGATCGGATGATGATGGTAGTCGTGAAACTCCGGCACGTGGTCGTAAACAAGGTCGTGATGAAAATCGTGATGATTGTGCCCGTACGAATCGAACGTAGAGGTCGGTTGGTCGTTGTAGTGATTGGCATACTTCACATGCGTTTTGGGCGGTTCTTCGTTCTCGTGCGAGGGTGAGGAAGGAGCGAAACCGCCGGAATAATCCATCGCATCCTCTTCCTCCCCGTTGGTCTGATATTTGTTCGGTGGCGGTTTGTAGGAATCTGGAATCTACGGTAGCATATATAAACTTCATAATGAGAGATTTAGGTAGAGAAAACAATTCGTTGCGCACACAAACGTTTGCGCGACAAACATTTGCGTACCTCCTCGTCTTTCTCAGGCGGATATTTGCTGAATATCGGCTTGGATCCGGGCGGTTCGTCGTCGAGAAATTCCGACGGCGGACCGACGTTGTACGAGTTGTCGAACGCGCCGGAAAAGATCGGTCCGGGAAAAACGGACGAGTTCGCGCTCGAAATATATTCCGTGTTCAATCTTGGCGGTTTTCCGTTTGCTGATTGTTCGCCGTTGCGAACAGGAAAATTCACAGGCGGATGAAATCGGTGTTGAATTTGCTTCCTCGCGTCCAGCTTCGTTATCATCTCGTGATCCAGCGTCGAGTATCTGCGAGAGAGAGAGTCACGTCGTCACTCATTGATTGGAAAATTTATTTGTCTTAAAATATTTTCGACAAATCAATTTTCGATGAAATTTTATTTCGTTAACGTTTGTTTTGTTTTTTTTACCTCGGAGATTGTCCCATTGTCGTGTGATCGATTGCCTCGCCCTTTCTCAGCTTCGGAGTTCTGGGCGACACGTACACGGGTGCAACCGTGACGATAACGTCCTTCACGTTCTCCGTGTTGTTTCTTGTCAGCGGCCTAAAGAGTTGGTTGTTAAAAATGCTCAGTGATTTTTTTCGTTCTCACGTTAACTGTCGATCGCATCGACAATTCAACAAATTTCGACGTTTACGCACCTGCCGATCCACGAGAACGATTCCCCCCCGTGCGAGCTCCTCGCCAACTGTCCGTTTTTCGCTACTCTCGCGTATGACGTTAATCCCGTGGACGCGGCGGCAGCGGATGACAGAAGAAGGGCGACGAAAATTAAAGTACGTAACATACTCGCTGGTGGCCGTAGATAAGCGACTGTGATCTTGAAAGAGAACGCCCTCCTATATAGATTCGTAACTGTAACTACCGTTTTTCAGCGATCGTAAAAATATTGTCTGCGCGTCCTCGACGTCGCGCGCGCGCGCGCGCGCGTTTTCTTCGTCGGATAATAACGTTTCATCCCTTTTGCAGGACAGGTGCGCACTGTTTTTTTTTTTTTTTTTTTGCGGCCGGAACAACACGGGGGAAAGCGTGGCGAATACTCGCGAGCGTTTTGCAACGGGTTTCGGCACTCCCGCGGAGACAAAATATATTCAGCCAATGCGAGCCGCGCTAATGGGAGGAAATGACGCTTAACAAAATCGCTCTAATTCGCTTTACAAACCACGACGATCCGTTACGAGAATGTTCGAATAAATTGCGTGCGTTTGCGAGTAAACCCGATTTTCTCGTCTCTCCCCCCGCCCCCCCCCGTCCCCCGTTGCAACATCGAAGCAGATCAAACTCAGGGAGGGGAATAGAAAAGGGAGAGAGGTCGCACACAGTTTTTTTTTTTTTTTAATTCGCGTCTGTGTGTGTATTTTTATAAATTCTATACATAAATACATATAATATATATATATACATGCGCTTTCACAATTGAGAATTGAACTCCCGATCGGTGAGCTTGTCGTCTGTTCGTTGATTCCTCTCGGTGATTTCGCACCGATCAGAACTGTCGGTGTCGAAGGTCGGATTGGCGAAGCAGTTCTTCTCGTCGCTCGCCGCCTCGCTCTCCCGCGGGCTCGGATTTTGCTGCTCGTTCTTGGCGTTTCTCAAGCTTTCAATTCGCTTCAACGAGCCTCGCTCGTTCGTCGACGTCTTGTTGTTTCGCGTTTTTTCCGAAAACTCGTTGTCCGCGTCGTTATCCTTGTTGTCGTTGATTTGTTCCAAGTCTTGCGGCTTCTCGTTTAAACCGATTTCGTTCGCGCTCTTGTCCAAACTGTCGTTACGCGACTGTTCCTTCGGTTTCTGCTTCTCGAGATCGTTTCTATCGAGACGCGATCGCTTTCTCAGATAAGTGATGTTGAATATGAAATACATGACGCCGGTCACCAACGTCATCACCGCGAATATCCGATAGGTCGGTCTGGTGCCGAAAGCCTTCATCAGGTAACCACCGATCAAGCTTCCGGAACCTTTGCCTGTGTGAAATCATCAGAATTTATCCCATCAAGTTGTTTTTTTTTTTTTTATATTTGATTGTCGTTGCCGAGAATGAAAATGTACGAACCGACTCCGTAATAAACGCCGCCGAGTAATCCTTGTATGGAGCTGTCGGTGGACGTGGTCGATAACTTCGCCGCGTAAGTAACGGCCGCGGTGAAGCTGAGCGACGACGTGACCGATTCGAGCGCCTCGAAGATCAACATGAGCCAAGCGTTGTAGACCAATGAATATCCTGCGTGCGAGAGAACGATTTTCGTTAGAATAATAGAAGAAGCGCGTCTTATTTAGTCGCACGTGAGACGCACACACACACACACACACACTCACCGAGAAGCCTGATCGCGTAGAACACAAATCCGATGAAGATCACATTCGCGTGACCGAGCCTCGATATTATCGGCCCGGAAAGCGCCAGTAACGGTATACCGGCGATACCGCCGACTGTTATGGTGATGCCCATGAGCGACTTGGATCCGCCCAAGTCCTGGATCAGCCAGAAGAGGAAGGACTCGATGTATCCCCATGCGGTGCCTGAAATCCTTTCCTTCCGTTAAACGGTCCGCTCCGAATTTTTTTTTAGCATTTATCTTCGAGTTCGGAAAAAAACAAAAAAAAAACAAAAAGGAATCGGATTGGAAATTCTCACCGAGAATAAAACAGGTGAGAAAGAGCGCGGCGGTCTCGATGTTCCTCAACACGATGAAGACGTCGCGCACGACGTTCGTGGCGGGCGCTTTGAATTCCAAATTGATCAACAGCATCAGAACACCACCTACGACCTTTAGCGCCGCGTACAGATAAAACGCCGGTCTGAAAAAGCGCGCGTCATGTTAGTTTTTTTTTTTTTTTTTTTTTTTTTTTTTTTTTTTTTTTTTTTTTTTTTTTTTTTTTTTTTTTTTTTTTTTTTTTTTTTTTTTTTTTGCTATATTCAAAAAATATCGCGATTGCGATCGCGATGCGATTATCGACCTGAAATCGGTGTATCCTTTGCCGCGACTGGCGTAATCTATGAGAAGACCCGACAGGGGCGAGGATATCATGCCCCCTATGGTGCCGTAAATTCTCTGAAGGCCGTAATCCGCGTCCTGCTCGCGCAATATCGCTATGACCGCGCCTTCGAACATGGCGAAGGTGGTGCCGCCGATGATACCTGGTGATACCGGAGACACGAAAAAAAAAAACATTTTACCATCTCAATTTCGCCGGTGCGCCGACATCGCAGAGAGATACGATTCGAATTTCGATTCGTCAAGAGAGTTTTTTTGTTTTATTAAATTTATATTTGAAAAAAAAACAAACAAACAAAAAAACAATCAGAACGCGCGTGTACTGACCTATGAAGACTCTAATTACGAGGTAAAGCCAGAATGTCAGGCTTACATTGTGTTCAACTTGCACGTTCATATTGGAGCAAATTTCGTTGCGAGGCGCGGTAACCACGCATCTCTTGTCGCAAGCGCTCGCGCTCAAAATTCGCGGGGGGGTCGACATTGTTTTCGCGTCGCTATCGTAAAGTCGCGCGTCTATCGCGATTCGATTGATCGTGTCGTCGTCATCCAGATTGTCGCAGACGGGTTTTTGAAAGTTTTCGCCAATCCATGATACACCCTCGACCGAGTATCTCGCTCGCTCCTCCCGCGAGTCTTCCTCGTTCGGTTCCAGATTTTTGATCTTCGACTTGTACAAGTGATAATTGATCGTTCGGTCGACGTTGTTCTGAAACACGAACACGTTCTTCAGTTAGTCTTTCTCAATATTTCTCAAACTTGTTTTCGCAATGGTTTTTCTTTCTCTCACGCGCGACACACGTGACGATCATCATCCCTCGTACCTCCGGCGTGATCAAACGACCGAAACTACAGGACGTGAGATGTTTGTACATTTCGCGGGTTGATGATGTGAAATTGTCAATATTATCCTGAGCGTGTTCGTCCGACGGTACGCAAGCGAACGAGAACAGCTGATCCGCCGGGAAGAAATAGCGCGTCTTGGAGATCCGTCGAATCGCGGTCTTGAAGAACTCGTTGTTCCTCATTTGCCGATGCTCCTTCATATCCTCCTGCTCGGTGCTCTGCAATTGTATTTGAACAAAAAAATACATTTTTATAACAATTCGCGTCGAAACGTTATTTTACACATCAATGTGAAAAATTAACTTTGTTCTAAAGAAAAAAAAACTTCGAAGATCACGCGGAGAGATTTTGTGTCTGTCTGTAACTACGTTACGACATAAGCTTCGGATATCAAGTTCTTCACCGTCCTTTTATGCGCTCGCCGACGGAGTAGCGATTATATCCACCTTGCTGACCGCTTATCCGTTACTCGATATTAGATATCGTATCGCCGCTCGTCCAGTCAAGAAGCGGCCTCTCTCTCTCTTTCTCTCTCTCTCTGTGTTTAACATAGAATTTTTCTCAATGCGCAACGTACCGTTGACAAGTCGGCGTGCGCAACCGTGTATTTGTACGAGATGTTAACGCCGATCCGTGAATCGGAGTGTCGGACGATATAAAATTTCGATTTCAGAATCGCATCCGTCTCGTTGCCAGCTTCCACGCGGCACACGAATCTGCGCAACCATTTGAAACATTAACGAGACGTAATGATATAAAAAAGAGAAATAAAAAAAAATATATACATGCGCCGTTCTCGCAAGAATGATGCGAATTTGCTTGTTAGAGAAATGACGATTGTTTCAAACTTAATTGGAAACGCGTGCGCGCGCGCGCGCAACAATTTTCACTCACCCGCAACTTTCTACTCTCATCGTGATCTCCGGTCTTAATTTCGTCTCGCATGGATGCGTCTGGCTCATTGTGTGGAAGAGCGAGCCCGCGCTATCACCTTGACAACCGAGATCCATAACTATCCTCTCGGGAAAATGTACCGTCATCCTGCCGATTGGCACCAATAACAGCAATAACGCCGCCAGGCCTCCGAACGCAGAAAACACCGACAGCAAGATCTAGACGGAAGAGAATTGAGAGAGATGAGATTTATTTAAAGAATAATTTTCATTTTTATATTCATTCGCGCGGAGAGATCTCCCCGGATAGATGCGAGACTCCGCGTCGCAAATTGAAAAAAAAATAAAAAACAATCGGTTTCCTTGACATTTCGCGTATGTGTTACGTAAAAAAAAAAAAAGAAGAAGAAGAGAGTTGGATTGTAAACTCACTCTGAAATTTCCGATCCGATCGGCTAACATGCCGGCGAGCGGCGGCATTATCATCGCCACCAGAGGAGTGATGGAACTCATGATCGCAGTCTCTTCCACGTTTATTCCCAGCTCTCTCATGTGTATGGTCAAGTACGGATAGAGCACGTAGAGCGCTGAACACGGCACACAGAACATGTACGCGCGTAAATAGATAATTCCGTTAGTTGTTGTTTTTTTTTTTTTGTTTTTTTTTCTAATGTATTTTTACTTTGACTCGCTCGCGAGTCTGACAAGACTCGGAACAACTTACTGGACGCTTGAACGAAGAATATTATCTTCAACGGTACCAGCTCCTTCTGTCGGAAATCCTTGCCGATTCTCTCGAAGAATCTGTTCAACGCTATCATTTTTGATATAAATAGGCGGCTTCTTTCAATTTCTAATCGAACTCGAGCGATCGAACGTGAGAAAAACGTTCAGTTCCCATCCAACCGGGCGGCGCTCTTCACACACATTTAGCGTTCCGCCCGTCACGCGTCTAGAGACGTTTAAATTAGTTTTAATAATTAACAAAAACTATTGTTTGATAATGTTACAACGCTTTATTCAACAAATTATATAACCGTTTGGTTTTTCGCTTGTATATATATCGATACTCAACTTCGGTCGCTCCGTCGTATTCATGAGAAACAAAATCGCTTTCGTATCAATACGAAACCACTCGTCACGTCTTTTACATAACGGTTTTACAATACATTTTACGTCACGACGTTTATGTGCAACATCGGCTTCCGCTCGTTCCGGAGGTAAATAAATTCGGTGAATCGCGCCGTGATCATCGCTCGTCATTGACGAAAAAACGATTAACGAAAAAAACGCGTTCATTCATCACGCGCCGATTCGACACACGTGAGTGTGTAAATAATAATAATAATATTGTAATAAAAATGTACATACTCGCGTGTCCTTCGTTCTTTTACCAGAGAGAAGCAATTTACAATGCGTTTCCTAGGATTCGCGTAACGCGACGTGTATATACGCGGAGCGTACGATGATGAGAGATTGTTATTTTCTCTCTGCCTTAGTTCAACCACTGTTGTTTAAACGTTCGGCGAATAATTTTTTTTCGCATTGTCTCGTCCGCGCGTTGCGCATTAACCACGGAGACGGAATACTACGATTAAAATACTGCGAAATTGCCGGTTGTTGCCGGTGTGTTGAGAGAGTCGGTTAGACCATTTTAATTGCATAACTCTCGTTTTCCAACCATCGTCCGTCCAACTCGTGGATGAATTTTGTTTTTTTTTTTTTTTTTTTTTATGCGCTAAATAACGAACGCGCGTTATCGTATCGTTTTTCCTCTGACTCCGAAATAAGATGATATACGAGAACGTAAATCAGTTAGTTCGCGGTAACAAACTCGCGCGATCGCGCTCACAAACCGACCGCGACCGAGTCGTGAAAAAGTCGGACAATCGCGCGCGTTTTAATATTTGTCTTATCTATTGGCGTGATTTACGACGCGTTAACAAAAAAAAAAAAAAAAATCGAGAGAAAAGACGAAGCGGAAGAATTTTTGCGCGCGCGCGCGCGCGGCGACTGGTACAAGAGAGAGAGACACGGATTTCTCAACGTATTAGAAAGAATGGTCATTAAAGTTAGGAAGAGCGAGAAGAAGATTCTCTCGGAGGATAAAATTCTTGCGCGCGCGTATCGAGAAAACCCGTTTTTTTTTTCCGCTTGTTATATACCGTAAAATCGTTTTGATTCCCCGACAAACAATGACACCTTCTAATGGATTTCTCCGTTCCAATAATAATCCCCCGCGAACAATGGAGACGGAATTTGCAAAATTGATGACACACACACGCGCATTCCTGTTGCGATGGATTTTTTCAAACAAGCCGGCAAGAAAGATGTTCACACGCGATAATCGCGAGCAAATCCGCGCGCGTTGCAACCGTACGCGCGTTGTTTGCTTGCTTAATCGCGTTTTGTTATTTTTTTCTAATTGTTTGTAAAGGATATAGAATTGCGAACAAAACGTCGAATATTATGTAACGACAAACTTACTTTATTATGAAACAAAATAACTTTTTTTATCTTTTGTCGCGGACACTTTCTTCTCTGTCTGTCTCTCGGAGCAAAAATAATAAACGCGTTTATATTTTCCTGCACGTGCGCGATTCCGAAGCGGGTTTTTCATTTCTGCTTTGTACTCGTATCTCGCCTAATCAATGTGTCAATCACGCGCTTGTATAATTACAACGCGTAAGAAGCTAATGACAAACTTAAACTCGGAATCACGCGTCGGAAGAGGGAACTTTGATACGCGCGCTGTGTAATTGAAATTTTTTCCCGACACATCGAGGTACGATTTTTTTTTTTTTTTTTTTTTTGGCGGTTTACAGGCGCGTTGCGTTCGCGTAATAAATTTTATATTTATTGCGCAAAGAACGCGCGTGTTCTTCCTTTTGGAGGAGAATTTTCGTCGGACGCGCGGAAGGAAAAAAAATGAGATTTTTCGCACACAGAGCGAATTAGGTCAAGTACATCGAGAGGTCGAGTACTATTAGGTCGAGTATCTATTATCTTATTTTGTAGTCCATATCAAGTCTTTGGAGCTTGCTGAAAGGAACTTACGAATTATGTTATTAGAACTCCGCACAACTCTCTAATGTGCGGTTTATGTACAGCGGAAATATATTTATATATATATATAAATGTTATATATAGCACATCCTTTGTAACACCGTCTATATATAGACAAATGAAGATGACGGAGTGAAGATAAATCTAAATGAGAATCGTGTTTTATACGCGCGCACAATTGTTCGTGCAAAAATATTCTCAACACAAACTTCATCGTTTTCCTATTGTGTTTTAATAATAAATGAAATAAAAATTTTTAGCCGTCTCTCTTCCGAGACGGACCGCAAAGTAAAAAAAGATTTCATATCCACAATCCGTTGTTGAGTCGCGGCGCGTGAAGCGACTCGAAAAGATTTTTTTTATTAGCTTTAACGTAAAACGTGACTTACATTCATATGCGTGTGAGTGTTTTTTTGCGTCAGCAATGTCGCACCGTGTTCCACAAATCTCGCAGTCACGAAGTAAAAAAATATCTATTGGATTGGTAGTTTTAGATATTGAGAATACACAATATCGCGTTTCTTATTTCCCCTTGTCTTGTTCGTCCTCTTTCAAATTTTCGAAATAAATGTTGTAAACACGGTTGAAGCGATCGCTCCGGAGACACGACAACATCTGTTGAATCGTCGGCGACGAGCGAGATTGGGAAAACAAAAAATGTCACACACCTTTTCGAAGTAAAATCGGAATAAAACTTATAAGACGTATCTTCGTCGAGAAAAATTTGCGACGGATCCGTACGGTTCGATGTCAACCGCAATACTGCCACCTCGGTACAAGCCGCCGACAAGCCTGAAAGGAAAGAGCACGGCGTATTCCAATCCGCCGATCCGATCTAATTGCAAATGCAACGGTCGCGATGGGAAGCTCCTCGCTAGGATGTGGCCCAAGAACAAAAATTTTTCTTCATACATTCGATCACGGATTAATCATTAAACATTCGCGAAGAAAAAATGAAATAATATTATAATTTTTTTGACTTTGAGAAAAATCTTTATTATCTCGTCTCAGCTTCCGGAAAGAAAAACAACTTTTGGAAGATTATTATTCTCACGATTCTCGGAAGAAATTAAAGCTTCAAATAGTGCGGAAAATATAAAAGTTTTTTTTTTTTTTTACACACGCGCAAGCTTCTACAAGTCAACGCGGACGCGATTCTCTGTTGTTTTTTTTTCTTTTCCTTAGTTAATGACCCTGAAAAAAAAAACGGATTTATTCTTCGAGCATCGTATAATTCTCTCGTCGATGGACTACAAACTAAAATCCTTGACACGCATCACCATGTTGTTATTAAGGCACACGGCGAATTCCTCCGTAGCTCCTCGTTGTAAATCGTATTAGCAACCTGTATTTTCCTCGCGACGCGGAATTAACGTGTTCCGCGACTCGTATACTCGATGTGCAAAATTTTCGACGCGAGCGCTTCGTTTCGTTCGGAATTAATGAAAACAAAAATTGTGTGGAAAATTGGATCAAACTCGGTTTATTTGAAAAAACAAAACTTACAGCAAAAACAAATGTTAAAACATATTAAAACAAAGCTACGAGAAGCGCACGGTTTTATTATCGAGAAATGAATAAGGAATTTGGTTTTTTTTTTTTTTTCCATGTTCTCTCAATCTCAAAACTATTGTGCGAGCGTGAAGAAATTAAGAAATAATTATCCTCTCGCGAGTATGTGCATATACTCGCGTGCCTAAGTGGCACATATTGCGAAACTAGCTTCGAGCCACTTCGGGAGCTCCCCTTTCTCCGGAAACCCTTGTCCGAGCCAAGAGTCCAGCGAGATGCGACCTTTGCGCGAGCGCGCGAATCGAAGTTAGTCCTGAATATGCAGGAAACCGTACGCGTAACGGAATCACGGAGCGCTAGGGAGAGACAAAACAAAAACAACAACAAAAGAAGATAAAAACGTTATTCGTGCGTTTGTTATTTATTAGACGGAATGTAAATAGCTCTTCAATGCGCATGAAAGTCTCGATCTCGCTTGATCGAGCGCGATATCGCATATATTTCGCGGCGTCATCGAGAGATAGAAAGTTTCCTCGCGCAAACCAGACGCGACGCTGTGAATGACAGTTACTTTAGATACGCGCGCTATCAAATAGTCTAACGATTAAAAACGGATTTCAACGAACTTGCCCACGCATCTTGATCGAAAAGCAATCAAATCTCTCGAACACAACCTTGCTTGCTAGTTCCACGAAGATGCGAATACGCTTTGTTATAAATAAATATAATAATTTACACTTTTGCGTTATCTTCTGTTTTATTTTCTTAATCAAGTACAAAGATAAAAATACTCCAAATTCAAATATGCGTCTTAAATTTACATTTCTTCGTTGAGATCTTTGGGTTCCGTCTTAAACGAGACGTAACGTGAAGAAATATTGTACCTAAAAAAAAAAAAAAAACGATACGTTACGATTAAATTACGAGAAAAATACACGTGGAACTATGTGGGTAAAAAAAAAAAAAAACATTTATTATTCACCTCTAGAACACCGTCTTCGGCCAATTCGGAACAGTGGACGGCGTTTTGTATTTTCGTTTTCCCGTACCTAGCTCTAAGCGAATGTGGTTTGGTTTTCCGCGCCATATCCTGTTCGTCAAAACGTAACGTGTCGTCAGTAAAAAATCAGAGATGAGAGCAAATGAGAAAAATGTCTCTCCGCGTCTACTTACCGGATCCGCCGGACCGCACAAATTTCTAAAATCGTTAACGATGTTGGAATTGTAAATCTTTTGCGTTATCTCCATGACGATGCAGGGACCAGAATGCAACTCCTCCACCATATCCTGCAGCAAGCATTTATGTTTAAAATAGTTTCGTAAATGATCTCGCTCATTTGAAAAAAAAAAATTGTAATAACAGAAAAACATACGGGAACTTCTTTGGGAAGAACTTCTTTATAAACTTCTAGAAATTCATTAGCGACATTCGGACCTATGCAATATTGTTGCAACGCTGTAATCGTGTAGCCTGCTTTTTGAATGTCATTAATGATGGCGCCTACATTGACAACACATTGTATTATTGTTTAAACAACATTGCGTGTTGTTAGGTTTATATCCCTCACAATATATAAAATGTGTATACAATCCGTTATTCAGCTTACCGGTAAGTTTCTCGCGTACGGCATGTGGTTTGATGATGCAACAGGTGCAGTTCCTAAGAACAGCGGTAGTTTTTGGTCCCGTATTAAGAATCCTCTCATCAGAAAAAAAGTATTGCAGCTCCTGAATCAGATATTAAAAAAAAAAATAAAAAAAAAAATTAAAATGTGCTTTCGATACGATCAACCGAGATGATTTGTCGATGTGTTTTTGTACTTTTTTTGCCGTCTCTAGGTTCTCGGACCCGTACACGGCGTTGCGTATCTCGTCTATTCCGAAGAAACCTCTTAAAGAAAAAGGTCCCAATATACGAGCTAGTTCACTGTTTTCTGGACCTACTACTTCCATCCATCTCTGTACGCAGTTATGTCCTGCCAGGTTCAGAACAACGACACGATCAGAGGTCAGGTACTCTATAACAGTTCTGAACAAATCGGTAGTTACAAAATTCGAGCGAATAGAACAATGTTGAAGGTTCAACTTCCAAAAAAATCATGCTGATATCTATATTGAGATCTTACGTTTGCAAGACGGGATTTTTTACAGGATAATATAATTGAACTTCGTCCGGAGTCAATCGTATCATTTTTATATTAGCAATAGAAAAATTCATATTTGTAATTGTATTCAGTATTTCACCTAGTTTTTCGTCAACCACGTGCGGTTTCAGGAGCACGAAGATACTGAAACAGATAATTGTTGAGTCAGAGAAACAAATATGCTCTCAAAAAAAAAAAATCTGCGCGTTACAGAAAATAAAACCGAAAAAAAAAACAAAAACAAAAAAACGTATATAAAATTGAACCGTTATTTCCGTTATTACTTTTGCACTTCTGTCTCGAATTTGTTTTTGGTGTACTCGTCTGCATAACCTAAGATCTTCATGTTTCTCGAAAATAAGGTAACCACGGCATTCACGTGGAAATCCCTCAGTTGGATGCCTTCGCATATCGTCCTTCTCAAGAACGTCTGTCGTGTTCTCAAGTCGAACTAAAATACGCAAAATATAAATATAACGCCAGCTCGACGGGGATAAGCGCGTGTCTAATTCAAAATTTATACATACGTAGATATTTGAAAAATCGACAATTGTGTGTTTAAAAAAAAAAAAAATTCTACCAGTGAATAACATACCAGTTCAATAGTATTATCGGACGGATAATAATACAAATAAAATTTCCTCGTTATGCAAGCATTCTTGTCATACCATTCAGCCTCAAATGCATATCTATTGTAATGATCAGCAGACATCTCAAAGTTTTTTTTTTTTTTTTGCGAAAATTTCTCACTTGCTTTTTTCTCTCTTATCTTCGAAAATATATTTGCCAAAAATATTTTCTTATAACGATCGATTTCACGGAGAGAGTTCTTGTAATATTGGTACATTACCTTGGAGACCACGTGTGTGTGTCCCGTACCGCGTGTCACGTCCAGATCAAACTCTGGTTTGGAAATAGTGTTGCGTGAGTCTTCTAGATTTCAAACAGAAACTCTACTGCGATTCGAGTGAGGAAAAAAGCTTTGCATCGCGACGAATCTCTTAGACAAGCGCTAAAAGCGGACACCCGAAGAACTGCTTCGAATGTATTTGGTCGGTAACGCAGCGAAAGAGAAGAAAATCTATGAATTGCGCTATTACGTGATTATTACAAAAGGTATAATATGCAACAATTAGCTTTCTTTTTTTTCTTTTTTTACGTAATAATTATATATTTTTCTTTTACTCCTTTAGAAGAGGTTTCTTTGTAAAAAAGACACAGAGTACATGCATTCAGGTATTCCTTCACTTTTTCTTTTCCCCCCACCCCGTTTTCTATTTTAATATTATGACTTAATAAAATTACAATTCGCGGTTGCACGCGGTTCTCCTCATTTTTATTACTTCCGCGCACGTAAAGAAGATAAACAATTGTTTATCGATGAATTTTCAGAACATTGATCAAGCGGAGTCTTGGCAACCGGTTGTACCATTTTCTGAGCGCGATCGTTTATTCGCGAGACACGCTTTGATCGTACTTTGACGTACACCACGAGACAATACACGATTTTTTGATAGGTCTTCGGTACGGGTTTGGGGTTGGCGCGAGGGATAAAAAGAAAAAACGCGTCTTCTCTCTACGTGAGTACGTCGTAATAATCCACCTGACGCGCGTGATCACATTTTATAATTAAATCCGTGCTCCCCTCCAACATCACGGACAGTAGCGATCCGCGGGACCTGTCTGGAACACCCGGACGCATTGTAATTGGAATGTCCACATGAAGCTGCTGAAATTCTTGCTTCGTTATTTCCCGCCAGGTAAGCAAGGCGAGCACGTGTGCACAGCAAGCGACTATATATGACAAATTAAAATTCAACAATCGAGTCTCAAACGTGTCTCCGTTCGGGACAAATGGGGGATGTTTTAAGGGAGAAAAATTATACGCGCGGACGCGTATACTCTATTCTCTTTACTTCTAGCGAACGAAAGTGCGATTCTTCTTCTTCTTCTTCTTCTTCATTTCTGTGACAGGAAGTTCCGCAGAACGCGCACTCGTGTGAAAAACGAAAAAGAAACAAACACTCACTCAACAACAATATCGACGATTTATTTCGCTCGCTTTTGATATAATAATAAACGTTTTAGGTTTTTATTATTATTATTATTATTATGCGCGCGTTTTAAACGGGTTTCCATAAGAAAAAAACTCGAGACAAAAATAACACAGAAGAATCATTATTCCAAGTAAAAATATTATAAGAACTGCATACATATGCATCGTATGCGCAGAACTGCGTCAACTTATTATGCGCCTGAGAGAGATAACAAATATTTGCAGGTCTCGCGCTGGAGTACACGCAAGGCGGTGACGTCAAAACAAAGATGATCGATCTGCTGGATTTGTCTGCCGAGTAATTAAATTTATTCGCCATAATTGCATTTTTCACCGATTAGGTTTTTTCTTTGTTTCAATCATCAAGAACAAATGTTGCTTTCAATCGTTTTTTTGTTTTTTTTTTTGTTTATTTTTCATTTTGTTAAACGTCGAACTTTTTGCGGAGGTATGTATGTATTTCGAAGGCGTGTAATTCAAGCGAGGATAAAGCACACACGATATTTTACTTTGCAGCACGGACGTAAGAGCATTAGCCAAGAGCATAAAAGCGACCGAACCTGTAATAACCGAAAGTGTAATGGACCAATTAGTCGAGACCCTGCAGAAGCTCCAGGCCAAAGTTTGCGACACACGTGCCAAGCGCTACTACAAATACAAAACCCTGAAGACTCATCTTTTGCCGGTCACCGGCATAACGTGCGATAAACTAGGTAAAAGGTACTCCGGGCTGAGGTTGTCGCTTAATCATTCACGAAGCGCTTGTGCAAACAATATTTTCCAAGTTTTCGCGTAAATATCACCGCAACTTGCGCGACCATCTTCTTTAAGATCATCATCATTAAAATCCCGCGCGGGATGATGTTTTTTTTTTCTTTTTTTTTATCGAATGTAATTCGTCACGTCGTCACGTGCGTGCGTTTTTGATCGACAGATGCCTGACAAGCAGCTACGACCGAACTTGTAAAGTTTGGGACATTGACAGTGGAGAGGAGCTTCTTACTCTCAAAGGCCATAAGAACGTGGTCTACACCGTCTCCTTTAACAACCCGACTTCGTAAGTTTATACGGATAATCAAAGTTTATACAGCGTAGCGACGCAATATCGATCCGAAAAAAAAAGAAAAAAAAACCGGTCTGTACACTCGAACCTACTTATGGCACGCGTAGGATTGTTATTTTTTTTTATATCTGTCCGCGATTGTTTAACGCGCTTTAAACTCTCTTACTCCGCAACGTACGATGTGGAAAAGACACCAAAGTAGTTCCATTATTTTGCTCGTACGATATTTCAGGGACAAAATCGTAACCGGATCCTTCGACAAGACGGCGAAAATCTGGTGCTCGCAGACGGGTCATTGCCTCGCGACAATGTGGGGTCACGACGCCGAAGTGGTGGTGGCGAAATTTTCACCCACGCAACCCAGACTCGCGACCGGTTCCTTCGACGAGACTCTGAGGATATTCCACGTGGAAACCGGTATCGAAAAAAAAATCTCGCCCGAATATATTATTATATTTACGTGAAATAAAAAATACGCGAATATTATTATGTTTATGTATGTACGTACGTAAATACGTAACCGCGGCCTGGGTGCGATCGATCGGGTGCAACAGACCATTGTGTCGAGAGTACACCCTCTCGACATCGCAAATTGCGGCGCGCAGTTACTATACCCCCGGATACTACTATATCCAATTATCACTGGCTTAAGTTAGATCGCGCAGCGGCGATCCGGTATTTTAATTAAACAGAGGAGGCTTAAAGAGGAGTCTGAGCTGTGTTGCTCAAGTTCCAAACCGTGATCGATCGGCGCGCTTAGAAATCGCTTTAATCCGCATTCGGTCTCTTTTCGGAGAGAATTAGGTTTCGACTCGAGCGTTTTTTTTACATAATTTTCTCTTTCCCATCTCGATAAGCGAAGAAGATCACACGACCTCTCGAGATTTTGCGCTGCGTACTTTCGATCTTGTGTTTCATATGCGAGAGAGAGAGAGAAAGAGAGACGACTTGTGAATTCCGCAGGTGAGGAGTTGGGCGCGTTAAGGGGCCACACGGCGGAAGTTATTGCGCTGCATTACAACGACGATGGAAATCAGATTATATCGGGTTCCTTCGACGGGGCCGTGAACATCTGGGACACAAGAACTTTAACGTGAGTTAGTTTCTTCTCGTCTTTGTTTCTTTTTCATATATTTCGCGCGTAGAGTATCTTATCTCGGCGCTGAAAACGTAACGCGTGACTCGCGAATAAAATTCATTGCGTCAAATAAAACGTCACGAAACGAACTCTCCTCAACGAACGAGTGTGCGAGACAATGTTTTTCTCGACGCAAACGAAACCCGGACGAAACTGAAGAAGGAGAAACTGAAGGTGCGTGCCTGCGTTCAAAACAGATTGACTCACGTGTTAAACGGACATCGCGCGGGATTGTCGAACTGTCTTTACAATTTCGACTGTTCGCTGATCGCCTCGTCCTCGATGGATAAGAGCGCGAAGGTGTGGGACGCGAGAACGAATCGCTGCGTGGCGACTTTGTTGGGACACGACGACGAGGTGCTGGATCTCGCGTTCGACAACGGAGGCAGAAAACTGGCAACGGCCAGCGGCGACACCACCGCGCGAGTTTGGGACGTGAGCAACAATTTTGAACAATTGGCTCTGATGGAAGGTCACAAAGAGGAAGTTTCGAAAGGTAAACTTCTTTCTCGTTGCAAATAGAACCTCCTTCTCTCTCTCTCTTCGTTTATAATATTTATTTATAAACTTTCGAGTATTTCAAGTGTGTTTCAGTCCAAACGGCCATCAACTTTTAACCGCTTCCTCGGACCGAACGGCCAGACTCTGGTCCGCGAGCGACGGCGTCTGTCTTCAACAACTTAGGGGACACACCGACGACATCTTCGCTTGCGCGTTCACGTACTCAGGTGACAGCATAATCACCGCGAGCAAGGACAACACGTGCACGATTTGGAGGTGACTCGACTGGTTTCAGGTGTGCGCCTAGCTCCTGCTCGCCGTTCTGTTTATCGTTTACGTCGTGTATTTTTACATCATCTGAATCTCTGCGCGGCGCGCGCAGCATATCGTTTTTCGATAAACAGACGGCACGGATAACCGACAAATAATGTCAAGTGATTCCGCGTTTTGTACGCGACGACCGTCCCCCGTTGCGTGAAAAATATACGACGATAAACAAAGAACAAGGACGATGTGTGTGTGTTTTTTACGCGATTGCTGTTGTGTAACAAAACTGAAACGCAGAAAACAGTTTTGCTCCGAGTAAACTCCTCGTTATAACCCGGGACTTGCGCGTCTCGAGATTTGTGGAAATCTAGGTTTTTTTCGCAGCAACATATGCATAGTTGCGAAACGGTCAGAAATCCGCAGACATTTTAAAGTGTGCAAAAGCGAGAAAGAAAGAGAAAGAGAGAGAGAATCCACATTTTTTATCTCGTCCGAGTATGACGGTCCTTATATGGATAAAGCGTTGTGCAACTTCCATATGTTCGATTTTACGAGAGAAGAGGATAAAAGCCTCCCACCTTTGTGTACCTCATTTTCGTCTCTAGCCGCCAGCAGTCGGTTGATCAACGCCGGCGGTACACACGGCGGACTGCTGGAAAAAAAAAAAAAAAAAAAAACACGATGTGTCTAAAAACCAGCTTCAGTCCGTTTCATCGGCAGTGCGCGCGCGCTCATCTCGCGGAGAAAACCGAGTATATAAAAGTATCCACACATGAGACACATGTATGTTGCACATTAAAACATTTGTAGATATTGCACCGATTTGATTTTTCAACGACGGATAGATTCGCTGAAAATCATTGACGACGTCACCGACTGTCACCAACGCGTTAGTTTTGCAACAATTGTTGTCGAGAGCGTCGACGAAGCCTCGGAACACGCGGAGCGCCGCTAATCAGAAGAGTTTCAAGTTCAAATCGAGATGATTCCTTCGACAACGAAGTTTTTCGCGAATTAATATTGGGAGAAATTTCGCGAAATCAAAGATAGTATCAAAGATAGCAATTAACAAGAATAAATATTTTCTTCGTGTTACAAAAATAAAAATTAGGTTTTATTGATATTTACTGATTCGCACGAAAAAACAACGTGGACTGATCATCGAAAATCCACCGACTTCTCATTTCGAAGACTCGTACGACTGTCCGAATCGGTAAATAGTCGCTGTTTTTCACTTCTCATCAGAGATTTTTGCAGAAAGATGATGAACAAAAAAAAACAGAGTTGGAAAATGCGCTGCGTTTGATCTCGAACGTTATTGCTGCGTTATTTTGCGTAGTCACGGTTTACGTGTAGAAACTATCCAACGCAATAATATAAGTTAAAAAAATAAGACACATCTACGGAAAACACATACAGCTTGTGTCGTTTTATTAATCAATTAACATCTGTCTTTTGAAAATTTAAATAGCAGCGCTAATTTTTTTCCAAATTACGTGCACACGCGTCTGATGTAAGATATCGAGAGATCTTGGCTCTCCGCGAACGAGCTGTGTGTGTGTGTGCGCGCGTTAGTCCTCGCGCGAGGCCCCACTCGGAAGATCAACCGGTCCCGGGACTGCGTCAAACGTTCGGTGAGAGTCCCCGCGTCAGTTCTCTCGCGTGTTGCGCGCTTGTGATCTCGACGAAGGCGAGCTCCTCCTCGAGGCGAAACCGACGATATGTCATAAAGGTGCGCGAGCTCCTCCTCGATCGATTCTCTCGATAAACAAGATAAAAAGACCCGTTTCGATGCGATTTACCGCTGGTAACGGGATCGCGCGATACAACGCAATCATGCGCCGATATGGAATGCAAATGCTTGTGTTTTTTTAGCGCGCCGAGATTCGCGTCCACGGAATACTTTGGTCTCGATGCGGTGAGTAATGTAACATATATAACATATACGATGATTAACATATGCAATTAATTTGTTGTTATAACGCGTATCTTTGCGCGCGTGGGAGTGTGCGCTCGGAAAAGTACGACAGGAAACGCGTTCCCAGACAAATAGCTCGATGCAACGTTTCGTTTGAGAGATAACGCGCACGGTGATGTTGATATCGCGGGGCGACGCGATATCAAGGAAAGTTTCCAAGTAGAGAACGTTCTTACGCGCACTTTTTACGTAATGACGTGCGACACACACAAACGGAAGAGGAGGAGGATACGCCGCCAAGAGCATCACACAACACCCGTAATCACCTCCTGTGTTGGTTTCTTTCTCCGTAAGCCTATATGGTTTACGCGTTACGTTAATTAATTACACGTACAGATGCGAAAGAGACGCAAGACGCGGACGCGCGAATATTAATTAACGGAAGTAGCGCGGCAATACCCATCGAGTGAGTCTCACGTAATTAAAGTCGAAAAATGTCGCGCGCGACAATTTTCCGCGCGTGCGTTTCCGCGCTCTGGTTTCAATATTTCCGAGAGAGAAAAACACAAGCAGACCCCGACGACTCGACGAAAATTCTTATCGTCCCGTCGGAGTCGTTACAGAGCCGCTAAATGTTATTACGTGCGCGCGATAAAGCACGAATTCGCGTGTGCTCTCGTCCCGCTGTATCATAAATTCGAGAGAAAACTAACGACGGTATAATAATATATATTTTCACAGAGAACCCAGAGAGTAAGTGTCACGACGAAAGACTGTGAAACGCCGAGAGAGAAAACGCGCGCTTTTTTAGTGCGAACATTTTATTCGCACGCTGACGGACAAGTTTTTACAAATAAATGTCGAGAGGATGATCGCGACTTGTTGATCTCGATCGAGATCGGAATCTCGTCTCGACGATGTGAGAAAAATCGACATCGCGATTAGTATGACGCGAGTCACGCGGAAGAAATGAAACAAAGTTGCCAATGAAATCGCGCGTTGGACAATTCCGATTTCGTTCGTGCGTGTTTCTTGTCTCGGATTGCGCTTCGTGTGTGACAAGGCGTGTGTTGTAAACGCGTGTATTCGGAGTTAGAAAAGCGTGACCGCCACGCCATTTTAATCACCGGAGGTTCGTAAAAATCTCATCGAACCGTGAAAAAACGCAGAAAGTTTGTACGTATCATCGTTTATGAAAATGCGATTTGTGATTGCTCCCGAGCGAGCGAGCGAGCGAATTTGTACAACGCGATCGAGAAGAAAAAACCCGCACCGCAATCGAAGAAACGTTTTCCGGCGAATGACCTAGTATGTGAACCTTGAATTCGATTTGTATATATAAAGAAGATTATAAGAGAGAGTACGGGAGTACACGCACACACAAACGCCCGCCCGCGCGCAAGAGTGCATAATAATGTATAATAATTTAACTGTGATGTGTCTATTATCCTGTTATTCTTCGACTGTTCTGAAACGTTATTACCCTTTATCCGCGCCTATCAACGACCGTATTATTAAATATACACAACGACATTCAAAAAACGAACGACGACACTCCCGTCCCGAGAAGCGCGTTCGTGTGAATTGTTACGTTTAAAAATATAAGACGATGAATCAATGTGCGATATGTAGCTGCAAAACAGCTAATTCGAATAATTATTGTTATTAAAACAGCGGCAAATAATAATTTTGCAAGTAAACAATTATTTTATCGTAAGAAAGAGAAAACGGTCCAGGTGGATGTTCGATAGTGAAATAAACGTCAGTGTATTCCGGAACGTTTCAATTAAAATTTATTGTATTAATCATCTTCAGCACTGTTTACAAAGTAAATAATAATAATATAATATATAAAATTGTAAAATATACAAAGTGAAATATGAAATAAGAAAATAAAATATGGTTTTCTCTTTCTTATAAATTTGCTCTCGTTGCTGTGATATTAATTAATTATTTTATTGTCAATAATTATCTCATAAGTTTATAATTGTTTTATAATTATTTTATAAGTTTTTAATTTGCTTCAAGTTACGCGTCCACTCATTCTCTTCCCGCGTCACTTTGCAGATTTTAACATGACCGGAATAGACAATTTGGGCTACGATGGAGTCGAACCGACGGTAAGTCGTTTTTTTAATTTTAATAACAAAATGCGAATTGATTGTTACGTGCGTGCGCGTATCGCGATCGCGCAATCTCTTCTTGAATTCAGTTCTCAAAGATCGAAGAAAATAGATCGTGAACTAAGATTCAAATTTGAAGTTCTGTTGAGAGAGTTCAGCACTTGTGCCGATTCGTAGCTCGCAAAAGCTGTGATCGCGCGTTAAAGAGCACATAAACTTTATCAGATAACACGGGCACGATAAAGATTAGTCGCCATAAAACGTAAGTATCTTGAATTCATGACTTTGATTTGTTTGCAATCAAAAATTGTATTCACAAGCAATTTCAAGAAAATATTGTTGAACAAAATCCAAATCAGGCGAATTCAACGGAGAGAGAGAGCAACAATGATAACAATTGTATACAATATAATCCGGTAAAAAAAATCTACACCGAGTTGAAATCGCGCGTTATTGCACCCCCCGTCCGCTGGAGAACTTGCGAGTTTCGCGCAAAATTTCAACTTTCGTTTTAATCGCGCGAACGATAACCCAGGAGTTTACCGTCGTATCCTTTCAGGGCGTCTCGAAAGAATAAACAAACGCGCGCACCCCGCGCGCGCGTTTACCTGCGCGCCTCGTGTTTGCGCGTCTCGTGAAAATTTGCATCCCTCGCCCTTCGGAAAACCCCGGAAAATTTGCATAAGTATATGTAAGGTTTGCCGGAAGGTCTTCGTGATATTGTCACGCGCTTTTCTACCCCGAACAGATATCCGAGTTTATGCGAAACTCACACGCGGAAGAAAAAGAAGAAGAAGAAGAAGAAAAAAAAGGAAAAACCGTCGGCGTCTGTCCGCGATCATCTCTCTTCCGCTCGTCTTTTACGCTCTCGCGAGAGAAGATGCGAGAGAAGATGCGAACCTCTCGTGCGGAGCAGCGAACCGTTGATTCGTTGCGACAACATTTCGATCAACGCGACGGGATCTCTCCCGGTGTGGATTTTTTCGTTGGATAAAAACTTGGGAGATGGGAGGAAAATTGGGCGGAGTAAAATCGTTCATAAAACTATTTTTCCGCTTAAGCGACGCAATCGCGAAGCGCGTCGCATCTCCACGTCTGTGCAACAATCGAAAACGTGCGCGGCAACAAAGTGTTCCTTCTCTCTCTATCCTATCTATCTATCTCTCCCGCGTTGCTTTCTTTCGATATACGAAAATCCGAGGCGAGGTCTTCTGGAATGGAAACAACAGGTTGCGAAATGAAAAGAGCCCACCGTTTCTCTCTCCGGTTTCGCTTTTCATTTCCATTGTACGTGTGTTTATTTTCGGTAACGTCTCTCGCGCGCGAGCGAGCGAGATCTGTTTTGTGTGTGTTGCTCGGTTTACAAAAAAAATAAAAAAATAAAAAAATAAAAAAACAAAACGTTGGAAAAGCAAGCTTCGAGCCTTCTCGCAATTGCGCCGCAATCACGAGAAGTGTAGCGCGCTGCTTGCCGCGCGTTGTCATGACGAGGACGTCGAAGAGGGAAGAAAAAATAGTAATGATGCCAAAACAAACGAAAAGAAAAAAAAAAAAAGGAGACACGGAAATCGCGACGCACTTCAGGCGGGCATCGGGTCTCTCAATTAATGGGCCGTGAGCTCGTGAAGGAAATGTGAAACAAACAAAAAAAAATTAATTAATTAATTAATTGAAATAATAAAACGAGAAAGAAAAACGGCGAACGAAAATATGAGGAACAGAGAGACGCAGGAGCGGGGACTGTCGGTGGATTTCTTGTGCATCGTACACGTGTACGTTCAGGGTTACGACATTTTAGAAAGAAGAGAACGGGGTAACTATTGCGTATGTAACACCTTCCTCGGAATCTCTTCGTTCCGATCGAAAATCACATTTTCGCTTCGCGCGGCGCACAATTGTCGTTTCTTACAATTGTCGGGAAATTTATGTTACAACGAGAGAAAGAGAGAAAACTCGCGCGTTTTTCTCTACCCCTTCCCTCGAGGTTCCACCTCGAGTTTGTCAACGTTGTCGAGCGTCGAATATCGCGAGGGGGGATGTGGAGAAAAGTCACGTCGAGCGAGAAACGAACGACGAAATAATTGGCATCCGCTTCGCGAAATGCCTGTTTGTCGGCCTGAGTGCCATTTAATTTGCATTAACAAGCTGTTTGGCATATTCACTCTTGTGCGCGCCCGTAAATCGAGTTTTGCTCCTGAATATAGTTGTTAGGAATGCATCGGTTTACGGGCGTCGTAAACGCGCGCGCGCGCGCGCGACGAAAGTTATATCCTCCGGTTAGAGGGCGGATGAACTTTCACCCTAACTTTCTATCTCTCGCATCACACCGTCGCTCAACCAAAGAAGAATGAGATCCGTACGTGCGAGAGATGTATCCGTATTAATTGTTCATTACACAAATCGGAATGTTTTTTTTTTACCTTCGATTCAATAATTTCGCGCGGAGCAACTTCTTATCTCACATCCCGGGATATAAAAACTGTGCGAGACAACATTGTTAAAAAAAAAAAATACATGCGCGCGATCATTTCGTCTATATAACGGTATCATCCGGTTAAAAAGTACGAAAAAAAACGCGAGAGAGGGAGAGGAAGAGAGAGAGAGAGAGACAGAGAGATTTAAATGGCAAACAGCGCGCTTTATGTCGCGCCACCGCGAAAGAGCCCACCTCCGGGGGCTCTCTTTTCCGCCGAGAAATTCTCACGAGCGTGGGGGCGGGAAGGGGGTGAAAAACGTGTCGGCATAAAAGAATGTGTGCGGATAGTCGAACGTGACGGAGAGTCGCGCGCACAAAGCTCCTCTTTTGAGGACACTACTAGTTTTCATTCCAAAGACGAGAGAAAAAAAAAGAGCTCGAAAAGGAAAGAGAGAGACACGGAAAGACAGTATATTCCCATTATAATGAGGCATTAAGAATCGCCTGGCGGATAATCTCGGTCTCCGGCAGCTAACGAAGAAAAATATATGCGTTGTATTTTTTACACGCGTAAAAGTTTCATCCAACCGAGTGAGAGAGCGAGTTTGGGAATCGATTGATACGGGATACGTCGATAATAAATCGTGGCCGATGTCAGTGTTGGGCGCACACACGCGCGCGCACGCACGCACGAGAGAGATGAAGGAGATTAATCATTTCTGGATTTACCAGTCGATGTAGATTACACGCGTCGCGTGACGCGCATTCATATAAGGGGATTAAAGATCGACGCGCGCTCGCGCGCGCGAGCGAGCGACGTGGTGCACACATCGACGGGCTGAAGTAACGAAGAAAAAACAGGATATACGGAGCGCTGATAAGCCGCACCCGCGGCATAATAGCGGGTAGAATTTAAAGGTTACAATTGAGACGAACTTCTCCTTTATTCCCCGTACGCGTACACACGTTGCTCGCTCCTAAGAAGGAGATCCACTTTTGTTTGCGAACAATACGTCCAGGAGCAACAGATTAAAAAAAATTATTAAAAGCTTCCTCTTTCGGTCTCCGTCTCTCGTACATAATTCGAACTCGCCCACGCCCTCCGGGCGTCGTCCGTAGAGGTTGTTTGTCATAGGCGCCGCGATGTGCACTTACACTCAAAAGTTCCTCCTGTGCGAATAAAAACCCGCGCGCGCTCGCGAGGAAAGTTTGTTCCGAACGTTGATTCTCGCGTGATAAGAATTGCGCAGATACTTTTTTTTGTTCTCAAGCAATCTGTTAAGTTTCCTCATCGAGAACGCGAGAGAATTGTGTCTTTCGATCGCGGTTTTTGGAAACGATCTTCGCGCACGAGAGACGCAAGTGAGAGAGAGAGAGAGAGAGATTAAAAAAGAAAACCAACAAGCGGATGAATTTCGAGAGAAAATTTCCGACGCCTATGCGGGACGAGAAACGATCGCGTAAGAGACGACGTCCGGCTGTACGCCGTCGCGTCGTCGTCTTGTCGACGAGAGAGCAAACCGTAACAAGAGACCCCCCCGTAATGCTCTCGCCGTACACGACCGCGACGCGGCTTCTATGTACAAGCGGAAGCCATGAATCTTTATTAAATCCACAAAATTTATGTCGAAGCGGTCGCGTGGCTCGTGCGCCCGGACGCGCGCGGAGATGATTCCCTTCCCCCGAAAGAGAGAGTATTTGTTTTTCCCTACCTCGTCACAAACCCGTCGGTGCAACGTGCGCGCGCGAGAGATCCCCCTCGTTGCTCTTCGGACACCGTGTGTTTTACATTGTGTAAGTAACACCCCGTCGTTTCGCCCCGTCGTGCACGCGTGTACGCGCATATTACGCGTAATGTGAGCTCCTTGATCCTTTTCTTTTTTTTTTTTTTATCTTCAGCAACGCGTTGCCGCGGACAATCCGCCACAACGTCCGCGAAGCAAATATAAAAACGTAATTCGCGGCAAACAGCTCCTCTCTCTCGCGAATGACGCGAGATGGATGCTCTTTCCTTTCGTTTCTACTTCTTCTTCTTTTTACTCGCGCGATTTCCGATCGCGATACGAAAAAACTGCGAGGCAACACAATTACGTAATTTCCTCGATTTTCCCGACGTTTTATCGGTTGCATTTGACCAGTCGTTAGGTAAACTTTAAAGCAGACTTTATTTAATTTCATACACACACGCGCGCGCGCTCGCTCGCTCGCTCGCACACGTACGTACACGTGCATATTTCTCGATCAATAATTGTGCTTCACGTGACCGGTCTCTTTAAGAGTAGACGATATTATCATAGTGTTTTATTTTTTTTTTTTTTTTTTTTTTTTTGCGTGCGTTTTATACACGCGCCGACGTTATTGCCGTCATAAATCCAGACGCATTCGCGATTGTTTGATACATCCCTTGAACTGATTTACGGCTTGTCTTTCGGTTTTTCGTCTTTTCCGCGCGCGTTTCAGGAATTTCGATGCGTTTTCTCACCGCGCGAACGGGAATAACGAAACTTTCCTAATTAATGTTCTTCGCATCTCTTTCTGTGTTTCTTTTCTTCTGCCGACTCACAGATGAATTTTATATACACCGAAAAAATTGTATTCTTGTTTTGAGGATATCCCACTTACTTTAAGTATATTTTATACTAAAATAGGCGCCAAGAAGAGTTTCTTATCTTAAGAGGAAAATCCTCTAAATATTGATAATATTGATAAGAATATATACTGATTAGAATATAAAAAACCTCTATAGAAAAACATATATATCTCACTATCGAAAAAGACTATATTCTTAAATTAAGAATATCATCTAAAATCTTTAAGAAGATTTTTTAAGTATAAAATCTTCTACTTACAAGAATATAATTTTTTCGGTGTATATATATATATAAAGTTTTTCCCCGCGCGAGAGAAAATGACAGATTAGAAATCGCGACGCAAGATATTTAAATAAATTAGAAATAAATTTACTTCTAATTTTTCTAATTACGAAATACCTTGTGTATTGTCGCGTCCTAACTAGCTCTTCCGTTACCCGTTTTTATCTCGGCTTACATTCTCACATCACGGTCACGGAAAAAAACTTTCGTCATCTTCTCACGTTCGAGAAATACCGATGAGATAAGTGAACGACTCTCGAAGCGTGGTTTCATTAACCGACAACTTCAACGTCAAAGTGTGTGTGTGTGTGTGTGTGTGTGTATGTACGAAAAACGCGCGCTTATTAGTTAGGTTTTCTCGAGAAAACGTTGCCTCTATACGCGAAAGCCAATAAGTCTGACCACATTTAAATGTGACGTGTAGGTGGCTCGTTCGCCACAACGATGGTGAAGCAACAGCTAGTAAGGATGATTTACAACTGGCTCGGGAAAGAGTACATATAGGAAGTAGTGCAGTCTAGTAAGGGGTGTGAGAGGCGGCGGGCACAAGAGAGAGAGAGGCAGAGAAAGAGAGAGAGAGAGAAGAGCGTGTATGTCCGTAGAGACGGTAAAAGCGGCCGCGATGGTGGCGTGTGTATGTCGCATTTTAACTCGCGGAGGAAAACGCGCGCGCGCGCGCGAGCTCGAAGCGCGGATGCGGAGACTTCAGTCGCGTGCGACGCGCGCTCTCGATCGCCACGATCTTCGCGGTGCTCGTCTTTCGATCGCCGTCACTCGGCGTCGAAAAATGTAAAGAAACGAGAGAGAGATCGAGAATCGATTTTTTTTTTACCGAGCGCGTCTCTCAAAACGCTTTTCTCTCGATCGAATCGAAGAATTTTATTTTTTTTTCGCGCGAGACGAAGCGAAGTGTGCGCCGGTTTGAGACCGCGAGTTGAAAGAGGATACGACAAGTACAATGTGTCGCGACCAAGTGCGATCTGTAAACGCCGCACGAAAATCGGAGAAAGTATCACACGACGAGAACGTCGTCGCGACGATCGCGACTTTCGATCGCGCGCGAATTGGAAATTGCGGGAGGTAAATGGAACAGTGAGCGTAATAATATTTGCGGCGCAAATTGAACGGATTTGGGGTGTTCCAAATTGGGAGATGCGTGTTTCCGCTGACCGAGAAAACTGATCCGATGATTAAATCGTTTCGCGTCAAATATTTAATCGTCAAGCTTTCTCTTTAAATGATAAAACCGGCGCGATAAAAATATCGGCCCGATCTTTCGGGCTTTAAATGCGCGAACAAGTATCATAGCGGAAAATACTCAGTGAGAAAATAATCAGTGAAGTTATTAGAAGTAGTTCGGTAGCGAGTAATACACTAAAACACATACGTCGAATTTTCCACACACAACCGATTGTTGATCGGAATTCGAGAAAACGTCGTTGTTTTGTCGCCGCATCTTCGAGATCTCTCGTCGGTGACCATGAGGGACAAATTCGCATTTAGCGTGAGTATTTAATTTCGCGACTCTAATTGTTAACGAATCTCTATTTGTTGTGTGTACGAGAATTTAATTACCATAAGATAAGAAGATGCGCGCACATTTCTGATAGCGCAACTGTGTCGGAAACGGAATAAAATATATTACCGATTATCGTTGGAGAGACCGTAGGTCACGCGGCGATGTATTGCGACACGTTTTATCTTTTTTCTCACTCTATCTACTCGGGCAGTCAATCACGTCGCGAGATGCGCGCACTGCCGGGAGCAAATTCGCTATTACCACACACTTTGCCACTTTACCGCCGATTTTACACGACGCTGCGCGTAAGGCTTTCAAGAGAAATATACGTGCGGTCGATATATACATATATATATATAAGTGCGTGTGTGTGTGTGTGTGTGTGTGCGCGCGATGTATGATGTATGACGCGATGTGTCGATTCTCGAATGACAACGATAAATTCCCGTTGCGTGATGTAATTTACAGTCGGGGGTGCCGGACATGCACGAGACCCTGTCCAGCTTCCCGGAACAGTTCGGAGACGGGCCGAGGAAGCCGGAAATAAAGCCGGAAATTCGGAAGGACAATCCGGGAAGGACCGCGGACAATCTCAAGTGCGGTTGGTTCTGGTTCAGACCAATTTACTTGCAGAGATTTCGCACCGCGAAATGGGCGCTCTTCTGGTTGTGTTGGGCCGGCGCTATGCAAGGTATGTTAATGACTTTTCAAACGATTTTCGCCGCGCGCGCGAAGATCTCTCCCCCTCTGTGAAAGTTCCGTTTCTTTCGCGCGCAAAAAAAAAAACCGCGCACACAAGTTTCCACGGAATTTAATTGTAATGATATCGAAGTCAATTTCTCTGCAATTTTTCGGGGCGCGGGGGAGGGGGGAAATGTCAACACACATTTTGCGGGAGATGTAATCGAGAGATGTGGAAACGCGCGCATTTGATGAAAACCGAGTGTCTAACGCGTGTCAACGAACGGATCGACAAATCCGTCTCGATCGCCGACGCGAAAAATAAAATAAAAAAAAAAAGAACACCATACACACAGAGAAAATTCCCGTCGACGTTCATGTTCGTCGAGATGAACGTTCGCGGCGCCGAGAGCTCTCGGGGTTCTTCGGGATTACACCGCGGATCTAGAGGCGAATGTGTCCTGAGGGAGACGTTTACTCGCGGAGTTTCCGTGGCGTAACAGAAGCCGGGGGGGGAGGCAAAAAGAACACGGGGGCGTTATGATATCATCCAAGCACTCAATAATATATAGCGTCGTTTCCGGATAGGAGAAACGCGATACCCCGGAATAAATTAGACGAAGTGCAACGAGAGAGAGACGGAATGTAAAATAAAATTTAAATTAAATGCGCGTTTAATCTCGGCGGTGTGTTTGCCGAGATGTAATAATAAATCGCGCTGCGCTTTTATCGACGATCGATTTTCGAAGATTTCGAGCGAGCGAGGGAAAGGAGCTCGCTGCTCCGGGTGAGCTGTTTTGTTTGGGAACGCGAGCTCTCTCGTTCGTTCGTTCATCGTGTTGTTATCACCGTTGTGATTGTTCCCAGGAATGGTGGTGAACGGTTTCGTAAATGTCGTCATAACGACGATCGAGAGGCGATTCGGACTGAAGTCGTCCGAGACCGGTTTAATAGCGGGCGGATACGACATCGCCAGTTTCCTTCTCCTCGTGCCTGTGAGCTATCTCGGTGGCCGCGCGAAAGCATCGAAGCCAAGGTAACGCATCCCAGGTGCGACGACGACGACGACGACGACGACGATGGTGTGTGTGTGTGTGTGTCACCACCGCGCGCCGCAACCATTGTGTCTTACGCATTAATATTAATAACACCCGGTATATCGCTTTTTTTAACACGACGACTCTCATAAATATTAATTCCCAACGTCAGTCCGTTCGACAATGTCGGTGTTAATCTCCATCCCTGTTTCTTTGACGCTCCCGAAGCCTCGTTTCTTCGTCCCGTAATCGACAATCGATAAGCCCCGGTGGAGGGTGGATCTCTCGAGTCTCTCGCACCGGGCAGAAACTACGCGCAGGGAGAAAAAGAGACGCGCGATCGAATTCGCGAAATTAAATATCACCTTGCCTGTGTGTAAAAAAACCCGAAGTAGTACACCACCGTTCGGTGGTGATTGGCCCACCACCACCACCAACAACATTGTCAGAAACTATAGCGCTTGTAAAATCTCGCGGGGTCTCCGTTTTTTTCAAATCAGATGTTGTCTGAAAAATATGTCGCAGGTACATCGGCGTGGGGGTTCTAGTCTTAGGTATAGGAAGCATGTTGTTCGCGTCTCCGCATTATCTAGCCGGACCGTATCGAGGGGGCCAGCAAACGAAAAACACATGCCAAGCTGCCGCCAACGTGTCGAGCCATTCGGTAAGCGATCGACATTAAATAAAAATTATTGAACATGATTGTGACACAAAACATATGTGTATTGTATGTGTAAGTAACGTAGCGGTATAATTTCTGTGAGACTCTCGTTATGATATAAATTTTCCGACGCACAATGAACGTACAGCACGCGTTGGAATGTAAATTGGAGTTGTACGAGATTTTGCGCAACGAAAAAAACTTTTTTCCGCGGTAATCGCCGCCGTCCGATAAACGCGCGGCAATTTGAAGCACGCGCGGGTGACGACCGACTACTATACTCTACGTAGCAAATTATTATTTTTTTTATTTTTTGTGTAATTTTTTTCGTGCTTCTCTCGATTTTTCCACTTCTCTATTCTACGTAGAGTTTGCGCGAAAACCGGCTACGCCGCCGCCACAGATTTATCCGTTATTTCGGCTACTCAGATCTCCTCCTGCGCGGATCAATCTACCGTTCAAGTGGAGCTACAGCCTTACAGTGGCCTGTACTTAACCATATTTCTGGTAGCTCAACTGTTACACGGCGCCGGTGCGGCACCGTTTTACACGCTCGGGGTCACGTTTCTCGACGAAAACGTCACGAAGAAGATGTCCTCGGTTTATCTAGGTAAAAGATATCACGTACCTCTGTATCGGTTGATGACACGAATGTGAAATTTTTTGGCGGCAGGTATTTACTACACCATGGCTATAATAGGACCCGCGTTGGGCTACGTCGTCGGCGGCGAGTTGTTGAAAATTTACACGGACTTCATCACAATCGATCCGTCAACGTAAGTACGATCTAAATAATTTAGATACCACAGACACTGTTAATTGTTACATTGCTCTTTCTCTCTCAAAATTAAATTCGACATTTTTCAACACACCCGTGTCTCGCGAAAAAGAACCTCGCGGGAAAGACGGATATCCTCCGAAAAAACGTGTTGCGACGCGAAAGCGCAACGAAACGCAGAGGACAACGTGTAAAACGACAGAATAGAGTACCTATCGGAATTCGCGTCTCTTCTCCCGTGTTGTCACGCTAAACGCGCGTTTTCTATCTTTTTTTCTCTCTGATAACACGCGAGCGCGTTTAGTCGCGCGTCAGCGGCAACTTTATTAAATTCTCGCGAGGATTTATCGGCCGTTTGCGCCGATCTGTCTGACGGCGCACACGTGTATACACACGTGTGACCGCGTATATACACACACACACATACACACGACAGATAGATAGATAGAGAGAGCGCGCGATAACTCGTGTCGTCGATGTGCGGTTTTCGAAACGGGCTAACTCTCTCGCCCGGTGGTATGCAAATGCGCGTATATTCGTCATTTCGTCCGCGCTAGTGCCGTTTGCGAGAGAGTTTGAAGTTCCATCTGTAATAAAGCGCCGATTAAACAGCGCGCGCGAGAGAGAGAAAGAAAGAGAGAGAGAGAGAGAGAGAGAGAGAGACGCGTTGTGACGCGCGTAATCGAGCTTCGATTTGATTAGCTAATTTCCAAGAGCAATATTATCGATAAAGCGCAGCGATAGGCTTTGACGGCACGTTGTGTCGCATTTTATTGCGACAATATCTCTCTATCTTTCTCTTTTTCTCCGGGAAAAAGAGGGCTCGCACCCCGGGGCAGGTATGAAAAAGACACGTGTGCGCGCCTCCTTGACGAGATGCGCAACGTGTGATGTCGTTAAAAATATTCCGCGGGACCATTAGAGCGCGATAATGGGCCGGGATTAATAGTGCGTGTAACTCTCTCTCTCTCTCTCTCTCTCTCTCTCTCTCTCTCTCTCTCTCTCTCTCTCTCTCTCTCTCTATCTCTCTATCTCTCCGCTGATATATAATGTACTTCCAAGCAACGGGGGGTGGAAAATGTCAAGCGATGAACCAATGTTTGACGATGACGCGGATGTTACCCTTCAAAACTGTCGGCTCATCCCCCGACACTTAGGACACAATCAAGTTCCATTTGTCTCCATACGCGCGTCTCCCCGGACTCACTCTCTCGCTCTCTCTTTCTCTCTCTCTCTCAACCCTCATGTACACACTCGTCAATCCCCTTCATCGACCGCGCGTTGAGTCACTGTGTCGCGCGCGGGAATCAAATTAATTGTTAGGAGATGGAGCGACGCACACGTGGTTTTTTTTTTGTTTTTTTTTTTCACGACGCGGATAGCCGCGACTCGGCAAATCGAGTTTCCACAGGATTTTTCTTCAGGTTGTGCTCGACTCGCGAGTCGGTTGCCTCTTCGAGTCTAAATCACTGCGAGAGAGAGAGAGAAAAAAACAACGAAGAAATAGCGATCGTTTATTCTCGGGAGTGAATTGCGCCGCGTCGCGGAATTTCTTCGCGGAGCGAAGTCTCTCACGTCGGGAGTTAAGTAAAAAAAAAAAAAAAAAAGATGTATAAAATCGTGATGCACGGCTGTTGTGTACAATGGCATTTTTGCGGTTGCAATTACAATCCTTCTTCTTCTTCTCTCTCTCGCGCGCGGCGAGGAGAACGAGATTCTCGAGGAGGTGGAAAAAGAAGGAATACAGAGAAGTAAGGCGAAATTATTCGCGTAATAGGCACTGCTCTCCCTGTTGCTGCGTGCAAGAGTAGTTCGTATGTATATATATATATATACACATACATATATATGTATATAATATATATATATATATATGCGCCGCGTTTAATTTCACGGGTAAATGAAAAGTTTTGCCGGAGAAACAGCGGCGGAGATGCAGCAGCTGCCCTTCCTCCTTCCCTCCCTCCCACCCTCGGTGAACGACTTTTCTACGTGCACTTTTTCCCAGTTTTTCCCGCTTTCTCACTTGCGTTGTTGTATGTGTGTGTGTGTGCGCACATTCCTTCCTTCGTGATAAGTTATATGTACCGTTTGTACAAGTTGCAAGAACGCGCTTGCACGCGCGGCAAGCGAACCCTCTCGCGCGCGCGATGCAACGCGCGTCCGATCGAGCGTTATTCAAATTGCTCCTGCTTTTTCGGACCGGATATCGATTCTTCCCGCGCGTGTGTGTATATATATACACGCGCGGAAATATACATCTGTAAATTCCCCGAGTTTGTGCTCGTTCTTTTGCCCCCTCTCCGACACTATCACCCGCGCTTTCGTTACAACGTGTATCTCAGCGAGAAAGAAAAAAACAAATTGGATAGATTCCTTTTTTGGTGTATTTCCATAAATTTCGCGCGATCGTAAAGAGAAAACCGCCGGCAGGACGGCAAGAATTGATTAATATTCATCCGCGTGTTTGGTCAAACAATTTTTTTTTTAACAAAAATGATGTGTGAAGAGTAGCTCCAAAAATTTTAAAACAAATGAGGGTTTGAGATGGTGGCAGTTTGAAGCAAAACACAGGTGGAGTAGTGTAATAAAATTCTTAAATTAATGTAAAACGTTTTCAACCTCTGGTTTAGGTCTTTTTCAATACAACTAAAATTACATAATGATTAAGTGGAAACACAGGTTGTTAAAAAAAGAAAAAAAAACAATATTTAAAAAACTTACAAAAATGTCATCTGAAAGTCACATAGATGTTCAGAGCCAAAAGAATCGTGATGGCCGTAACTCGCAGGCGACAAACTACGACTAAAGTCGTACAAAGTGAATAACCGAAATTACAAATGTTCTGAATTATCAACTAGAGGTAAGTACACTCTATCGAGATTTTCAGTATCACTCTGCAAATTAAGACCACAGCTCTGGCTTTTAATATGTAAGGATTCCGAGATCAAGCGCTTGTGGTAAGATCTCTCCATGTCTAGAATACTTACACAATCCCATTCAAAATCGTGAGCTTGGTCGTTCCTATGATCAGTAATCACGGATCTCTGTGTAGAATTTCTTTTAATATGATTTTTATGTTCAGTGATTCTAGTTTTTAACATACGGCTAGTTTGACCAACGTATGAAGCATCGCAATCTCGGCAATTAATCTTATACACGACTGAGGAACGAAATTTTTTTTTTTTTTTTGTCATCGCCGCTAAAATCCGATAATACGATTCGCGCGAACTTATTTATTTGTTTAATTTGTTTTTTTTCTCGCAAAATCACGCGGCACGTTTCTCTGACGGCGGAAAGAAGAAAACTTTTTCTTCCAAAGAGGATGTTCTTCCTCCCGCTGTTATTTCCGCTTTGATCGATCGTAATTACACGTTGCGAATTCGTTCGAGCTCCGAGTCGCTGTCGAGCTCCGGAGCGAAATTGCCGGAGTTTTGTCCGCGCTAAATGATCGCGGCAGCCACGCGAAAGGATTTTTGTATCTCGCGCGCGCGCGTGTGTGTGTGTGTGAGTTAGATTAAAAGAAGGAAAAAAAATGGACGTTGATCCCGAACCGCGTGCGCGTAAAATTAAAAGTAACAAATCGCTCTTACGCGAAGCGAGATCGAGTCTGTCTGATCGACACAGATTCTCTTTCGCGCATATCTCTTTCCTTCTCGCGCTTGTACATAATTTTGTTTCTTTTTTTTTCCCCCCGATTTGAAAACTCGGTCAGATATTTTCGCTCGCTTCGATTCGAACTTTTCGCGATACAAAAATCACGAGAGCTACATAATGGCTGCGCCGCTATAAGAAGCTATCTTGAAATAGAGATTATATCGACATCTCCCGCGACCGATATAGAGAGAAGGGAGCGACGCTCGGAAATTTATTTCCAGAAAAAGAGTACCGATATTTTATTATAAATTTGATTTACCGAAGAGTCCGTTTTCCACTTTCAGAATCGGACTGACTCCTGGCAGCAACATCTGGGTTGGCGCGTGGTGGATCGGCTTTCTGGCGGCGGGTGTCATTTGCTTCGTAATCGCGATTCCGATTCTAGCGTTTCCCGCAATTTTACCTGGTAAACGAAAAATAAAACACGACGACTCTTAGAAAGAAAAATATTCAATATTTTTATAAAAATATTTTTATAAAACAATTAATTTTACACTCTTACTCGTGCGTGACACGAAAACGTGAATCATTTGAATTCCTCCAGGATCGGAGGAATTGGCCAAGGAGAGGGTGTCGGAGGCGCACGAGAAGCCGACCAGATCGTCGACCGCGGCGACCGGGGAGGCGTTTTCCAAAATACGCGAACTGCCCCGCGCCCTGACCGAACTGCTCGGAAATCCGGCATTTTTTATGTTGAACCTGGCAGGTGCGAGTGAAGGATTGCTGATGGCCGGATTTGCTGCCTTTCTGCCGAAACTGATTGAAAATCAATTCAGCGTCAGTGCCAGCTCGGCCGCAATGCTGATGGGTGAATAATGAAATAATCACAATTCAATTAATAATCCACCCGTATTATGACCAATCTAAACGTAATTTCAACCGTACCTGTATGCGCGTATATGCGCGCGGGTCTTTTACAAAAGAGCTTTGAAGTTCGATATCAAGGAGAGGCGAACGTATTTTTGACGGATCGCTAATTGGAATGTTAATTAAAATGTTAAATCCACTTCTTCTACTTTTCTGTATATTGAAAAACGGCGATGTTTTTGCAGGACTTGTGACCGTGCCGGCGGGAGGCGGCGGTACTTTTCTCGGCGGCTATCTGGTGAAACGTTTCAACCTGTCTTGCTCGGGCATCCTCAAGTTTTGTCTGCTGACCACGGCAGCCTGCATAGCTTTTACCTTTTGCTTCGCTCTCAGCTGTCCGAACTTAGATTTCGCCGGATTAACCGTCCCGTATTTAAATAACACGAGGTCCGTTGTTTATTTGCTTTAAACATAAACGCACACAAACACGAGCACATAATTTCCAAACTTACTCGCGCGGTTGTGTTCGAAACCCGCTCGCGCGGAATGACAGAAATATCGCTGGAAAATCTCGAAATTGCAGAACGTCGGATCTGTCGCTGGAGAGCAGCTGCAACAGCGGTTGCGGGTGCAGCAGATCGCAGTTCGATCCCATATGCGGCGTCGACGGGATCACGTATTACTCGCCGTGTTACGCCGGTTGTTATCAGGAAACGTCGTTGAACGACGTCAAAGTTAGTGTCATTATCAGTCGATTATCTCGCGTTTTGTTCTTCTTCTTCTTCCTGTTTTATTTTGTGGAAAATACACATTTCCACGTGCTTCTTCTTTTTTTTTTTCAGACGTACGCGAATTGCAGCTGCATACACGCGTCGCCGATGAGCCTGACGCACGACGGCGACATCGTTCAGTACGAGGCGGTCAACACCACCTGCGAGAGCAAGTGCGCTTATCTGTGGATATTCGTCGCTCTGGCGTTCTGCAACATGTTCTTGACTTTTCTCTGCACCATGCCCGCGCTCTCGTCCACGTTGCGAGTTGTGCGCGACGATCAGCGTTCGTTCGCGCTCGGCATACAGTGGCTCAAGGTCCGCATACTCGGAACGATACCCGCCCCGATGGTGTTTGGCGCTCTCATAGACGACACCTGCATCCTGTGGAACGAGACGTGCGACGGCAGAGGAGCGTGTCTCGTGTACGACAATTACTACATGAGCAGGTTGGTTTCGAGAGATTCTCGCCGCGCGAATCGATCCCTCTCACGTAAGATTGTGAACGAGACGTTGGTTTCGTATTATCGCGCGCATTTGTGGTGGTTTTCTTTTGTTATTCAGATACATGCTCGCACTGGCGTTTATCGGCAAAGCAGCCTCGCTCCTCTTCTTCTTCTTGGCCTGGTGGACGTACGTGCCACCGGGCGGCAGAGCCATCGATCAGAATTCCCGCCAGCAGACCACGGCCACCTTAATGCTCAGCGACACGTCCCAGGACGTTCAAGCGGTACCAAACACGATAGCGTAAAACTCGTTTGTTTGTTTGTTTGTTTGTTTTCTTTTTTATTATATAGAGAAGGGTTTTAGCAATTGTAATAGGAATAATTTACGATCCATGTTTGAATATGGATAAACCAGATGTTTCGATATTGTTTCGTTGTGAAATGTGTGTGTGTGGTGTGTGTTTCTGAGAAATGAAAACGAACACCGAGAGTGTCGTTGCGACAGCGTAAAAAAAAACGAGTATCAAAGACGAGATAAACGCGTGACGAACATGTCGCGCGTGAAGAATTTGTTTTTTTTTTTTACCAAAGCTAAAGATGTACGTCGGAAGAAGCGTTAAAAACTAGAATCCGATAAGATTGCGCGCGATCAAACGATCTTGCACAGTTCCTGTACACTCTCTCCTCTGCCCCATCCGATATGACAAGAAAAAAAACAAAAACCAAAAAAATAGCGCCAGTCGCACTAAACCAAGCGAAACCAGTGTATCCAGACTCCACAATTTTCGAGCGTTATTTATTGTGTAAGAAGTTTTTCTACCTTTGAATACGTATTTACTGATTGTCAATTAAATATAGCCACGTTGTTTCTCCCGTATCGATTTACACTTTGTATAAATTAATATATAAAAAGAAAAAAATACGTACACGTGCGTTTCGGAGAAAAAACGATTTTTTGCCGATACGTTCAGCGCCTTTGTCGGGAGTATGGATGATTGTTGCGTCTTGTCGATCGCGCGCGTTCGATTTGATATATACATACGTATCAAAACTCTCGCGCGCGCCTTTTTCCACTGTAATGTTATTTTTGTTAAAAACAAAAAATGCCTCTGTGTGTGTGTGTGCGTGTGTAGACAACACACGATTGTATTGTATGTATCGCCAATAAAAACTAGAGCGAGACACAACGATCGTGTTTCACCTTGAAATGACGAGATTCTTACCTTCGTTCTTTCTGCCGAACGTCCTTGGACCAAACGGCCAGCGGAATTTGGTTTTGACACACGCGCGGTTCGATCAGATCATTAATTAAGCAACTCGAAAATTGGAAGGGCCTATAATACACAAAATGACATAGAATGCATATGCATAGCGTAAGACTATTTGAACCAATGAGCGTCTAACATAGTTTTATGTAAATCAATATGGCGACTTCATGCCCGACGCTCATTGGTCCATATAGTTTTATTCTATGCATATGCACCTATGTCATTTTGTGTATTATAGCCCGAACTGTCCAAGTTTCGCGTGTGCGCACGTAACGCCCAACCGACGACGGGTAAGTCAGAAATCGACTTTACCGTAAGATGCGAACTTACCGATCTCAAACGAAGGTGTTTCGCGTGATCCCTGGCGCCATCTAAAGGCGCTGAGCGAGTTGCTGGTTATTAATGTATCACATTGGCGACGCTACTGCGGCAAGTCTCGGAATGTTTTCAAGATCGATTTTTCACAAATCTTATTGACGGGCGAATAATTCAATCGGATCGGAAATTCGCCGTTCTCGCAGGTTTCTTTTCTATCAATTTTATCACGTCGCAACGAGCAATGCTTTACCCTCGTATGTATTGTCGTCATTATGTATTATACCGCGTACACGTTCTGTTGCACGGACGATTCTCACTTGCTGTAATTCAAATTTTGCTCCCGTGTCAAAGATCAATATTTTGAAACAATAATTTAACCGTAATTTGAATTACACCACGTGCATCTCGGTCAGCAAACCGCGGCAAGTGTACTCGTCTTGATAACCAATCGTCATCAGGCCTCTTGGTCTAGGGGTATGATTCCTGCTTTGGGTGCAGGAGGTCCCGGGTTCAAATCCCGGAGGGGCCCTGAATTTTTTTTTCTCCCGCAATTACCAATTTTTTTTTTGTTTTTCTTTACAAAGAGACAACGCCGTTACGAAACGCTTGTACGAGATTGTAAAATCCGAACCGCGTGTTAAATTTATTTTTTATCCCCACGCTTCTCTGTTCACACAATACCGTGGTTGTCAATGTGAACCGCGGTCCCGCGAGCCCGATTGGAGGCTGGCTAAAATATATTCCAGCCAGCGCGTTTTGAGAACGCACGCGCGAGCGAGAAATGCGGCGAACGTGATTGAAAGAGAGCGCGAGATAGAAAAAAAAAAAAAAAAAAACGAACGAAACACATCGTGATTTTTTCATCGCGTTCGAACGTGGCGCGTTGCGACATGAGCGCGCGGCTCGCAACGCCGCCTCTCCCTTTCACGCGAGTTTCAGCGCTGCGAGCCGCCGAAAGGCGCATGCCCGAGTTGCTCGATGGTCGGGCAAAAACACAGCTGGTCTACGATCCTCGAAGCGAGGTGACACGCTCGTGTGCGCGGCTATCAATGTGAATATTTCGCGAATTCGAACCGGGATTTCGTACGGAGGCCGAGTGGGCGCCGTTGTAGGCTCGCCGTTGTGCCCCGCGAGTTGCGCGGGGAAAGGAGAAAGAGATATTCGGAGCCGCGCGCGCTCCGAAGGAGATCCGCGTCGTCGGGTCCGCGCGCGTCCCCGATCGCCCGCAGTCAACAACGGTGGTGGTGCGCGCGAGTTGCATTTTATACACGTCCCGATGTAGCTTGGAGAACAGCCGCGCGGTGTTGTGTGTCATCATCACGGAGGCGATCTTTTTTTTTTTTCCACTCTCTCTCTCTCAACTCGGTCCTGGACACAAAGAAACGTCTCTCTCACAACACACACACGCCACGCTCGACGCGCCGCTTGTCCCGTAAGTTTACCCTATTTATTGTTACACTCGCTTTAATACGTACTCAAATATAAGAGAGCGCTCTGTGTGTGTGTATGTATGTATGTGCGTGTGTGTGTGCCTCCCCGGGACGGGAGAATTTTCTTTCTAACCTTTGTCTCTCGAACCGGGGAGACCTCCTCGGCAAGAGATTCGGGTCGACACCGAGATACCGTTTTCTCGGGAGGCCGCGTCATACTCCAAAATCTCTTTCTCGCTGGTTGGTCTACGCACGCAGAGATAAAATACGTCTGTGTGTGTGTGTCTGCACAGAAAAAGAGGGTTTTCTTTTGCGTCGCGTCGATCGTAAAAGCGCAGCGAGAGGGTATCGGCTCTCGCCGTTACCCTTTAACCCCATATTTTTCGTGCCGGAGGAAAGAGAGAGAGAAAGAGAGAGAGACGGAACATCGTTGTTCCAGCGAGCGTTTATCTCGTTCTACAAAATACATATTACACACGGTTGAAGCTTCCCTCGGTCTTCTCTGAAAACCAGAACGCACGCACGTTTTATCTCCGCGCGCGTCCGCCTCGGATTTTGTTCGCTGTCTCGAACGCGCTTCGAATGTAAATAAAAAAATACACCAAGTAGCGGACGAACCAAACGTTTTCGTTGCAATTACATTTTTCCAGGAAGCTGGTTTTTAAACGGAAGGAAAAAAACGGAGATACAAGGTCGAGAGGAGAATATTCCGCGCGCGAACGCGGAACGAATATCACAATTTGCTTCCTCTTTGTTGTTTGAAAATTGTTTTGTTGAATTTGTTTTCGTTCGCGTAACGTACACATTTTGCGTCACGCGCGCGTTTATTAAACATTCTCTGAAAACAACTATCGTTCACACAGAAAAGAAATAAGTCTCGCGCGCGCGCGCGCACGCGGCGAATTGATCTCCCGCTTGTGTTACTCACACGCAAAAGCGGATTATAACTGTTCTCGGATGATGGTAGTACTTTAATTGTCGTCTCAATTAACATACACGGTTTGCCCATGTACCTATTCGTTGCGATTGAAATACGCTCGAAAAAAAATGATTCTCTTCGCTGCTGCGTGTGTAAAAAAAAAAACGCGCGCGCTCTCGAAACACAAAAAAAAAAAAATTGATCCTCGGTTTTTTCAGTTGAAATGTGTGTGTGTGTGTTACACTTTTTTTTCGCGACAACACACACGTTAAGTGTCTTTATCTTATCTTCGTGATTCACGTCGCGATGCTGTCCCCCAACGTCGCGATTACCAGGTCGAGAAGAGGACTCGTTTACAGACTCTGAAATAATCGCGTCGTTTTTTTTTCTTCTCTAGAGCGCTCCGATTATCGGAAGTTTAATCGCTCCGTCTCTTGAATTTTTTTTTTTTTTTTCAAGACACATTTTGGTACCGCGCGCGATATACCGTCGGCTGCTTACGTAATACCGCGTTTCTGAACGCGTTACGCCTCTACACGGTCATTAAAAAATTCGACGTTCTGTTACAACAATGCGACACGACGGTGGTGGTGCGGCAGTCATACGTTTCCCACCGGTTGTGTGTAAAGATTGGCACCTTTGTTTGATACACAATCGCGGACCCGTAGTAACAGGAATTGCGCGCGCTCCGCATACGGGAATTAGAGATTCCGTGCGATGTTTGAGAGTAAACAATAGCTGGGAGAAGAGGGAAAAAGAAAACGGAGTGTGGCGCGTCACACACACACACACACAAAGAGGTCTCTCTCTCTCTCTCTCTCTCTCTCTCTCTCTCTCTCTCTCTCTCTCTAAAACGTTAAATCTGATGCTACTGGAATTGATGGCCTATCTCTGTGCATTATTAAACTGGCTTTACCATGCATTTTGCCATTCATTGTACACTTATTTAATTTCTGTCTACTGCAGGGCGCCTTTCCCGCTTTATGGAAGTCTGCCATTATCTACCCGGTACCTAAGGTTAAATGTCCAGCTGAACTAAAACACTACAGACCTATATCTATTTTATGTGTTCTTTCCAAGATCTTTGAGAGCATTATTGCTAACCAGCTGATTGAACATGTTGAGAAGAATGATCATTTAGACCAGTATCAGAATGCTTATAGAAGAGGTTATTCCACACAAACAGCTCTCATTAGAATTCTTGATGATATAAGAGGCGCCATTGACACCAGGGAAGTTACAGTTTCGGTGTTTTTTGACTTCTCCAAGGCATTTGACTGTGTTGACCACTACATTCTTTTGGACAAGTTACGTAATATGAACTTTTCTTGTTCATCTTTGCGCTGGTTCTGTTCGTATCTTTTCGGCAGAACGCAGGCCGTTCGCTGTACTAGGTCTGGTGCTTTCTCCACTAAATTGCCTGTAACCAGTGGTGTTCCTCAGGGATCGGTGCTCGGCCCACTGTTATACATTTTATATGTATCTGACTTTAAAAGCACCTTGCATTACTGTAATTACAATTTTTATGCAGATGATCTGATGATCTATTTAAGTTCTAAACCAGCATGTATTAATGATGCCATAGCGAAAATCAACAGAGACATTAACTGTATTAAATGGGCTACCGCGAGAACAAATTATCTCTCAACGCTGGAAAAACAACAGCTATTATTTTTGGATCCGGCAGATATATGAAGAATATTATGCGCGATGATTTGCTGCCGATTACTGTTAACGGGGAATTAATTCCCTTCGAAGACTCTGTTGTCTATTTAGGAGTAACACTCACCAGTACCCTATCCTGGGATATACAGGTCAATAACATTATTTCACGTGTCAACGCATTACTCTACCGTCTGAAAATATACAAACATCTACTTTCACCTGCTCTTCGAACAAGACTTGTCTCCACCTTGCTCATCCCCTTTTTTGATTACTGCTGTACTATCCTTACTGATATCACCGGGGACAACAATCAGCGCCTACAGAGATCTCTTAATACTTGTATTAGATTTATATTTCAAGTAAAATGGTATGATCATATCACGCCTTACTTCGATAAGTTACGCTGGCTAAGGATTAAATCCAGAAGAGACTATTTTATTGGTTGCCTGATTTACAGGATACTTGAAACTCGACGACCCAAGATTCTTTTTAACACCTTACTTTTTAGACGTGATGACAGTTTACGTATCACAAGGTCGTCGCAGTATGATCTAGTTCTCCCGCTATGTCGTACTGAGACCTATAGATGCTCTTTCAGATGTACATGCGCTGATGTCTGGAACTCTATACCGGCAGATATCCGCAAGGAACCTTACTGTACCTTCAAGAGTAGTTTGTACACATTTCTAATGTTAAATAATTCCTAACTATTACTGCATAGTATTTTTGTTTTCTGTTTTGTTAAATTTTATTCTAATTTTTGTTGTCTATTTTCGCCGTTTTATTTTAAATTGTCAAATTTTTTACATATTGTCTTTTTTTCTTATATTTTTTTTATTTATTTTTATATTTTTTATATCTTTCTTACTTTGTAGCTTACTTATATTTGTATTATCACTTACTTTATTTGTTCATTTGTGCGCTTGAGGGGTCTGTCCCAGAGCGCCTCTATAAATAAAGCACATATCTATCTATCTATCTATCTATCTCTCTTAACTGTAATAACGAGTTAAATAAATTTGGTTCTCGACGAGAAATACGCGCGAGAATTTTAGCGCGGAATTTATCGCCGATAAAATAAAATTCGCCGAAGGTCATCAGCGATCATTTAAATGCTGAATCATGTTTTTTCCAGACTTTTCCGGTACATCGCGAGAGCGCGCGCGCGTCACACATAAGCGGCTCGCATAATCGCGTATGTGCGAAAGTGCAAGTTCGCGATAAATCGAAGATTTCTCCGCGGAACGAGGCTAAGGTTGCCTCGATCGCTGTTATCGAACACACTTTCCCGTTCGCAATTTCCCTCTCGCAACATTACGCGCAATCAACGGTCATAATTTCCCCTCACACTTGTGTGTGTGTGTGTGAATTAATTCTGCTTTTTTTTTTCTTTCTTTTTTTTTCAATGCCGCGCACAGGAAACTACACGAACCCTCTATAAATGGACTTTTCGCGGCCGACGAGGCGGGTTCGTTCGATTTCGCTCTCGGCGTGAGGGCTTTCCAAGTGTGTTACACGAGGAGGAGAACCCACGCGTCGCACGTGGCTTTTTATTCCGCTCCCGGTGTGTGTGTGTGTGTGTGTGTGTGCATTGCGACGAGATGCACGTCTGTGTGCTCAAATAATTGACACACGCGGAGGGAAGATGCTAATTCTCTTCCTTCCTTCGCGAATGACGCGCATTCCGCGATATCACACCGCGGAATGTTTTTTTTTCTTTTCGGGAAGAGAAGTCGCGCCAAGTATTTCGTGTAAATTAATATAGATCGGAGTATAGTTTCACCTGGCACCATCGGACACACATCGCGCGATCGGGAATCAGACAGAGCGTGTTATGAGATAGCGTCGTCGTGTACCTTGGACCTTGTCCAAAAACATTGAAATCGCTTAATAGAGTAAGTACATATATATGTATATCGAATGTGTGTCGAAAAAAATGAGAGAGAGAGAGAGAGAGAAAGAAAGAAAATATCGGGAGTATTTTTACATTAGTCAAAACGTATTGACGATTTTACTTCGAACGTTTTGACTGTCCAAACGTGTGCGTGTAAGATTCAGAAAACAAAAATCTCCGAGTGCAAGTATAATAATCGAAACTTCAGATTTTTCGCGCGGCAACGATTAAACGATCGACGTGCGTCGCCGCGCGTCATTCGTCGGTGTTTTGGAAAACTCGCGGCGATAAGAATCGCCGCGAGAGATTTACAAACGGGGGCATCGATAAAAACCCACATTAGAGGTGGAAATTTTTTTTTTCCTCCGATACGGAAGGAAATATAAAACTCCTCTCGTGTGTGTGTGTGCGACACGAGAGAAAATGCACGCATTAGTCATCGCGATTGACTTATGTAAGCCTGTTCGGAGTCAGCGGCGTCGCATTATATTATTTTTCTGCATTGCGGATATATATATGTATATATATTTGTGTCCGTGTGTGTGCAGTGTATACATATACACGTACACCTGATTTCCAGCGGAAACTCTTGCCCGCGCGGTAACTTCCAGGCAACATCTCATCGATTATGCAAACCGTCTCTCCTCAAACGATATTTTCCGATGTGTGTTTGATCATTACGAGAGCTTCCCGAAATAGCGTATGTACGGATGTGTTGTCGCCGCGACGACGTGTACATCTGCCGCGCTCCTTTCACCTGTTACAATACGTGCGTTTTAGCTAATGAGCGCGCGGACGAGTTTTCTTCGGGGGTCTGTTGCGAGAGACTGACGATGAAAAAAACAAAAAAAAAACAAAAAGAAGTTGAAAACTTCCGAAGTTAATATATAGGCCGTGCGCTTATACATATTATACATATATATATATATATACACCGATGCGATCGGTGACTCGCTCACACCTGGATTTTCGCTTACGACAAATAATCTGCCGTCACGAAAGTGGGCGGCGCGACTCCTTTGCGCGCACACAGCGCGCATTATGCAATCGGAGTTTCACGTGCCACATAATCTGTAATCAACACAATAACGCGTATATATTGGAATATATTGATCTGTATTGGAATATATATGTATATATTTGCATATATTGAAATGCAATTCTCCGTCGATCTCGAGATAGTCGCGAGACGCGGCGTGTCCCAATTCCGCAAATGAAATATCCGCGACGCGTATATCTTGCGCGCGATGACATTTGTCTGTGTGTGTGTGTGTGTGTGTATACGCTTTTAAATACTCGAGTGCGCGCGCGCGTCTCTCAAAAATGATGAGCAATCCGCACGCGTGGATTGCGAAACATAATAAGAGGCGAGAAGTTGAAATACCGCGCTGCAGTATCATGCGGTCTTGGCGGGGGGAGGGGGCGAAGAGGAGGAGAAGAAGTTGGTGCTCGTGTACGAATGCAGGGATGAAAAGGGTGAAAGGGTGACCTAGTGGCCGAGCTATCGCGAGAAACTCAAAGACCTTCTAGCACGCGAGGGATCGTTCGATCTGCCGCTCGACGATAGACGCGGAGATTCCTCGAGACTGTTTCAGGCCCCGCTCTTCCCCCGCTCCCCCCCGTATCGCCGCGCCGCGGTGATGGGGTCGGTCGACTTTGGTCATACCTGTGAGAGAGAGCTTACCCTCGTCGAGGTTCGATCGATTCCTCGACGAGGAAACGTCGCGCGCTCCGCAACCGCATCGCACCGCACCGCAACACGTTCATTTCCGCGCTCCCGGAACGGAAATGAGCCGTGCCGCGCGCGCCGCACGACGCCGCTTAATTCAACGATTTGTTATCGTCGATATTATTAGCCGATCGGTCGAATAATGAAAATCCACCGTCATCGCGACGAATGTTCCGCTTTTATTTGCGAGCGTTATATCCGCGAATCCGAGTTTTGTGTCAATTTTGTGACAAATATGTGAAAATGTTTGCACGTTCTTATCTCGCGACGCAGAGAGAAATCCGGTATATAATGCCGGAAGAAAAATTATTATCGACGAAAGATTCGCAATCGCGATGACACGACACGTAATTCGCGAAACTTTTAAAGAGAATAAACGACTCGACGACGACGACGACGACGGTTGCGAGAGAATGAATTAACGATCGAAAGTCGCCGCCTGTTTAACGGTATACGTGTTCTAGTTCATTGCTCTGCCTCCTCCTCCTCTTCCTCCGGAGAAGAGCAATTCTGATGCCTAAGTAATTCGGTTATATTTCGCGATCGCACGCGCGCAATACGATGACTCATCTCCTTTGCGCACGAATGACGTGTCGCGAGACGCGGTCGGTTAATTATCTCAAACCGGAATGAGATTCGATTGCTCGGAGAGACGAATTTCTCAAGTGTCTTCGAGAGAAACGCGAAGAAAAACGCACGATCGATCGATCGCATTCATAAAACGCGCGAGTAATTCCGCAATTCGCGCGCGCGCTCCGTAATCGATAATTACATTGACGCTTTTCGCAATCGTTTTTTTTTTGTTCCGTTTCTCAGATTGCGTCATCGATGACGAGGATTTGAATCTTGTTCAAACAATATTATCTGCGCAACAAAATCAAAATGAAGTTACCGTCTCTGGCGACGCGTACGTTCGATAATTGTTTTTTTTTTATAAACAATCAAAGAATTTTTTCAAACAATCAAACAAATTCCTTTGCAAACAATTTATTTTGCATCGCCGAAATTACTGACAAAGTGTTTTTTGCTCATCAGGTTTACGACAATGAAATATTTCGCTCAGACGCGCAAACAGCGCGTGCGCTCGCGGGCGCTTAAAAAAAAACAAAAAACAAAAAAAAGCTTCGAGATTTAATAACAATTTTCGAGAGGAAACTTCGATGCCCCTGTTCCGTTTGTTCGCCCGAACAACAAAATCGAATGAAATCGATTACACGCGTAACGAAGACGATGGAAAAAAGCTACGGACTGTCATTTTCAGCGACATCGCATCGATCGCAGGATACAACCGTAAACAACAACTCGTGTGTAGAAATGAATCGCGAACGGCGATCATCGCCGTATCATTGTCAGCGCGCTCTATCCCTGACTTTGAATCTGTCGTCGATCCATAGATACCGTATACCCACCTTCAATTTTTCATTGGAACGAAATCAAGGACGCGCGCGATCGATAATCTAAAAAAAACATAAGGGAATAGTAAGCGCGGAGAGCGTTCGCACGCTCCGAGTTTTGCCTCGGCGCGAGGAGTGAACGGTAGGAATGCGATTACATCGTCGAACGTAATCGACGATGCGGAATCGAGTCCCGAAATCATCGAATATTGCCTGTCTCGTTGCGCAAAAAAACGCGGCTTGGAAACCGCGAAATTCGTCGCGCGAGCGTTAATTACAACGGCGTAAACCCGTTAAAAAAATTAAAAAAATAAAAATAAAAAAACACACAATTGGCATCTGGCGGCGCAGCAAGTTTTTGCGAATTGAGATTTTTGTTTTTTGTTTTTGTTTTTTTTTAGTGACACCGAACATGTCGGTCTCTTTTATGCGGCAAGGAAAAAAAAATCACGTGCGTACAATATGCGGCTCTTCGGCGCGGCTACAAGTTTTTGCTCTTTACGGGGTTGACGGTATAATGGCTTTAGAAATTATACTCTCTCGCAAGTGTAACAATTACACTTTGTACACACACAGTGCGTGTAATTTTTTTATTTCCCGTTACAAAGATTATTTCCATCGAGAGAAGAGAGTCCGTCGCGGGGGGAATGCTTCCGCGACGGAAGCATTCGCGAAAGAAGCATTCGCGAACGGAGCCCTGACCTTTCTGACAGCGGGTGGGTTCGTTGAACCGCCGTCGAATCTCGAGATGTCAATTGGATGTATGACTTTACAAAGCGACGTCAATTTAGGCGAGCACCTTTATATCACAGCACGTCTCGGCTCCGCGCCGAGAGAGAAACGTGCGCGCAATAAATCGCGCGAATAATAAAAGAACAAAAAAGACGGTGCGAAAGAGAACGGAGTTGAAGACGCTACATGGAGATATATATATTTTTTTTATTTATTGTCTTTCTCTGTTGCGATTAATTAATTTTTCTCGTTGCAGGATTTACACGTGTTCCCCCCCACACACACACATATACGTAAAAGCACGCAAAAAACGTACGCCGAGACGATGTCACCGATGGGATCGCAGTAATTAAAAGTCAACATATAGAATCCCAAAGTTACGAAGAAAGGAAGGACATAAATGACAGAAAAATGGCGTCGACCAGCGGGCACAAGAGAAACGGCTCGAGCTCAAGCATGTTCGCGCACAAGCGCACCGAGTCCGGGGGTGGTTTCGTTGGTTACAAGCGCACCGAGAGCGGTCACAAGCGCGCCGAGAGTATATCCAGTGCCTTCGGTCACAAACGAACGGAGAGTGGCCACAAGAGGAATGAAAGCACCGGCGGTTTCGGTCATCGTAGATCCGAGTCCGGCAGCAATTACCACGCCGGACACAGGCGGAACGAGAGCATGTACGCGATGACGGGCCTGTACGCGGAGAGCGCCGGCACCGGCGCGACCGACGACAGCGCGGACCCGCTTCAGGCGACCGCCGGCAGACTGACCCACGACACCGTCATAAGGTGCCACAGCAGAAATCCGAGTTCCGGTCTCGTGGATCATAGGTGAGTCGGGCAGGAAACATGTCCCGAACGTGTTTGGGACGATGAAAAAAAAACTCTCGTCGGACTTTCCCGATGACTCACTCGGCGATTGGTGATTCCAAAGTAAACTTAGTTTTTTTTTCTTTTTTATCGTACAGATAAATGAAAATATCATATCGTTCTTTTGCTCGAGTTTGTTTGTTTGATTTTTATATATACGCACCTTGTTGTTGGTTGAAGCTTTGCGAGAGTACAACACGCATACACACAAGTATTAGCGCGCTTGCACGCGAAAATCGCGATCGCAGGATTCGCGAAAGAGACGAGATAGAAAGCGCGAACGCGCGCACCATTTGGAGATTTGGCCGTGACACGTATAATAGCGTCGCGTAAGAAAGTTTAGTTAGATCACTTTTTTTTTGTAATTGGCTACGTGTTCGAGTGTCGCAGCCCGGGATTGCTCCACCCGTTTTCGGGTTTCGTAATGGATCTTGACGGACGATGGAGAGACGACAGACTTTCCCCGAAGAGAAACAGTGATATAATTTCTGTACGCCGTTACCTCACACTCTCACACACACACATACGTAGCACAACTGTTATTCACGCTTCGTGTTTGTTTTTTCAGAGACTTTATCATCAAATGTCACAGCAGAAATCCCAGTGCTTCTATGGTCGACAGGTAAAGTTAAATTATTGTTGACGCGCGCTTTGTTTTTTTTTTTGTTTTTTTGAAGATAAGAAAGTGATACGTCTCCGTCGTGTCGCGCGAAAAACGCGTATTGCAACACGGTCGCATATTGTGACGCAAATTAAAAATTTTCCTTCTTCTCCCGGTTAGGTGTGCGCGCATGTACACGTATGTATATATATATATATATATATATATGGATATATATATATATCCAGCTTGTCTCTCTGCTTCCGTTGCCTCCTTTTTGTCGATCTCTCGTGTTGTCGTTTTTTCCTCAGAGTAGGTGTTCGTTTGTTCATTGTCTCTGATCTCTCTGTCTCCTTGAACAGGACGGAGAAGGAGAGGCCGCAAACTCCGCCGTTTAATCCGGATTCCAAGGACTGCGGGATTCTGAGTTGCAGACCGGCCTTCATTCAGAGATTTGCCGGAATAAAGGTTCTTCTATAAAATACTTTTTATTCGACTTCTTTTCTTTTTCAAGCGTTCGGGTACAAAAAAACCCCCCAAAAAAATAAGATCAACGCTCGGTCGCTCGTAAGAATAATGCAATTACATACGTAAACACGTATGTAATTAGCAGTTAATGAAAGCGCTCTCTCACACGAGACGAGTGTCGTATCAGCGCACAAAGCGGATCATTGTGTGTGACTCACACCTCGCCTGTGTTCGAAGACACGTACAATAATCCGCGATGTTAAAAAAACCGTGCGAGAGAACGCGCGGCCCCGTTATACCGTGAATAACGTTGACCACGCGAATAAATCGCGCGCGTGGCAACTTAAATCAAAACGCGAAATTAGCGTAATTGTTTGCGGCATCTGCCCCTCGTACCGGGGAGGATCCGTGCGGGGATCCTCAATGCATGAGACGTCACGTCGCAAAACGCGACGCGAATGTGCAAAGCCAATCAAAAATTACACTCGAACGCAATCGCGTAATAATCATCCCGATCTCGAATTGATTTTTTCGATACGATAATTTGTTTCTTTTTTGTTTCAGGTGTTCGTATTCCTTCTATCGTTCCTCGTTACGTTGCAACAAGCGCTTAGCTCAGGTTACATTAATTCTGTGATAACGACCATAGAGAAGAGATTCGAGATCCCGTCCAGCCTTTCGGGCCTCATTGCGAGCTCGTACGAGATCGGCAATGTTATCACTGTCATTTTTGTCAGTTACCTCGGCAGTCGCAGACACATACCCGTGTGGATAGCGATCGGTAATTTTCCTTCCACTCGAATTGTGTTTTTTTTTTTTTGCTTTGTGTAAAACGCTGTGTTTACTTTCTTTACTGATCTATATATTTTTCTTCTTTATTGGACATCGAACGGGTATTCATCGTTCGTTTTTTCTTACGATTCTCAGGCGCAGTGATAATGGGACTGGGATCTATGATCTTTATGGTGCCACATTTCACAGCAGAACCCAACTTGACGACAACCGCGAATCATTCCAGTTCAGATAATATCTGTCGTGGCGTATCGTTACGCGAACAAGACATGGGTTTGGGTAAGCTTCTTTTTCAGCGACATTTGTCAACAACAAAACCTGGCGCTTTTGTGTTTTCCGCAAAAGTTTGAGTTGCCGAAGTTTTTTCTTCGCTCGGAACTCCTCTCGTCGTCAATTTTTTTTCACTTACTCGTCGTGTTTTCTCGCGCGCAGGTCGACTCTCATCAGGGTTATCTTCGCCTCCTCTGGCACCGCACAATAATTTAAGAGGAGACAATTGTATACAGGGATCTCCGTCTACAGCCGGACCTGTCATGCTATTCGTACTTGCTCAGTTACTATTAGGATGTGGGGGTTCTCCTTTATTCACTCTTGGTACTACTTATATAGACGATCACGTGAGACCGGAAAGTGCGTCTTTATATATCGGTGAGTGTCAATTATAAAATAAATATGTAACAAAACTACGTGTACAAGTAACACACTTGTGACTGTTTGTTGTTTTGCTTTTGTTCAGGTTGTATGTATAGTATGGCGGCCTTTGGACCAGTTTTAGGTTTCCTTCTTGGAGCATATCTTCTGTCTTTCCATATGGACTCGTTTTCCGGGACGATCATAAGCATCGGTAAAAAAATCCATTCCCCCGATATTTTTATCGCGCGTTTGTTTGTCTAATTGTTACATTTCTCGCGTGAGTTTTTATTTTGAATTTGATAAATGTGTGAATTTTCGACAAAAAACACATACAGATCCCGGAGATCACAGATGGGTCGGTATGTGGTGGGGTGGATTTCTGCTTTGCGGCTTGCTCCTCATCTTGGTGGCGATACCCTTCTTCAGTTTTCCGAAAACTCTGCAACGGGAGAAGGAGAAGATACGTATAATCGAGAAAAACAAATCGCTGACGCAAAAAGAGAAGGAGCAATCGAAAGAGCCTAAAAAAGAAAAACTAGACGATAGCGGTTATGGCAAAGACGTCAAAGGTACAGAAACCAGATGTATGTTTATTTTATTTGAAAAAATTAAGAAATGATTACTCACATCGAATGTTTTCTCTTTTCATTCGACAGATATTCCACGAAGTATGTGGAGACTGGTGTGCAATCCGGTTTACGTTGTAACCTGTTTGGGAGCGTGTATGGAGCTGGTGATAGTCTCGGGTTTCGTGGTGTTCCTGCCCAAGTATCTCGAGACGCAATTCAGTCTGGGGAAAAGTCAGGCTAGCATATTCACCGGCTCGGTCGCTATACCGGGCGCCTGTATCGGGATCTTTTTCGGCGGGTGCATGCTCAAACGGTTGGAACTACGGCCGAAGGGCGCGGTGCAATTTGTTCTCGTGTCGAATATCATTTGCCTCGTGTGTTACGGCCTGTTATTTTTCCTCGGCTGCGAGAACGTAAAGATGGCTGGGACCACTATACCATACTTCAACAGTAGTACAAAGGGCCCGGAACCCTTTCAAGTAAATCTCACTGCCGCATGCAACTTTGGTTGCGAATGCCGAATGACGGACGTCGAGCCTGTTTGCGGTAACAACGGTCTGACGTATTTTAGCCCGTGTCACGCAGGTTGCACTGCCTTCAGTTCCAAATCGAATTTCACAAATTGCGCATGTGAGTTCTCGTCGATACCAGCGTGTAACCAAGCGGGAAAAATTGTGTGTTCAAGAAAGCAAAATATGTGTTTTTCTCTTAGGTATACACGGCAATTTGACTGTGCTACCACCGGCAGCGACAGAATTTGCGGAGGTGACCGTTGTGCCAGTGGCAACCGCGGGTCCCTGTACTTCACCGTGCAGAACTATATTTCCATTTTTGATTCTTTTATTCTTCATGACATTCATCGTTGCCGTGACGCAAATGCCGTTGCTTATGATAGTATTACGGTGAGTCGCCCCGCACCTCTCTTTTCTTTTCCTCTTCCTATCTCGCGTAAAATTTATTTCACCGAATCAATTATCGGAACCGTGTTGTTGCGCACAGATCCGTTTCCGAAGAGGAGAGATCGTTCGCTCTGGGTATGCAGTTTGTTATCTTCCGATTATTTGGTTACATACCAGCACCGATACTGTTCGGTAATCTGATCGATTCCACGTGTTTGCTGTGGAAGAGCACGTGCGGAGAAAAGGGAGGACGATGTTTGCTTTACGACATCGAACAATTCAGATACAGGTTGTTGTTTAATGCGTTTAAACTAATTTTGTTTAAAAAACCTGTCTCGTTCTTTCGTTGTATTTATTGAGCGATTGATTTCAGATACGTCGGCCTATGTGCTGGGATAAAAATTTTAGCTCTGGCGTTGTTTTTGATCGATTGGTGGCTCGTGAGAAGGAGAAGACAAATGGAGGAACAACCGCCATCCTTCACCGTTAACGAGTTCGTCGGGTCAATTATCAGTCTAGATAAATGTGAGTTTAATCTTGTTTTTTACATGTTTTACAGTTATTATTAAACAAACGTTGTTATATATGTGTGTGTGTGTGTGTGCGTGTGTGTGCGCGCGTGTGTGTGTGTGTAAATACAGTGTTCGAAGAAAAACCACATCAAAACGTAGGAGATGGCGACGCGACCTTGCCGAGTTCCGAGATCGCGACGCCGTCCTCTATCTCGTCGCCTACGGAACCTACGAAATCAACGAATCTTGAGGAGACGGGATCGTCGAATCAGACGCAGATGTCGACGGAGACGACAAACCGCTCGAAAACCACGGAACTCGACGTTCCCGATACGAGGCAAGCGCCGCTCGCGCTTCAGGAACCGGATGTCGAGATCAAACTTTTAAACGGTACGACGGAAAATCGCAACCGCGTCGTTTAATGCTTACTTTACATTAGAATTAATAGAAATAAATATATCAAATTGGTGATACGTAAATTTGTGACAATTTGTTATGTACATTTATGCTCGCTGATAAGTTTCATCCGAGTGACAACCAGACTCACATATCCACATACGTACGTTCATCTCCTCTGTAATGAAACGCTGAGACGAGGCAGTATTACTTATGCATAGAAAAGTAATTTGTGTACGCGTAAGAGAGAAACGAGTTGAGAGTCGTTTACACACGAGCCATTAAACACGCCGCAAAAAAATGTGGATTCAGTTGCATGTGTTCTGTTTTTCTTCTGTACGTACTTTGTGGACATGCGTATTTACATATAGCTGTTATTTATTATCTAAACAAAAAAATAAACTTGTCACAAATTTAGTCATCTACGATTTTTTTTTTTTTTTTTTTTTTTTGGTTTTACTTATAGGAACTAAAATATATCACTAGAGAGTAAATTTTTACAAGAATCACGTACATACGTACATACATATATATCACACACCTGTCATACATATTTGTGTACGTATATATGTAATACACACAAATAAGTAGATATATAATATATATAACTCTATATAAATGTAGTTCATTTCAAAAAAACGTACAACATACAGATTGTATTATTACTCTCATTGCACATTTAGATTTATATTGTTGCTACATATATCGTTACTGAGAGAGCAGATATTATTGTATAATGGAAAAAGGGGGAGAGGTAAGGGTATATACGGGGGATATGCAATATATATGGAAATAAAAAATTTCTATACGTCGTCCGGGAGGTGACTTGGTACATATTTCCGAAGCGAGCCTCGCTGTTTTGCAAAGGAAAAATAAAAAAGGCGCAAATGATGACGGAAGAATACTCTGTAAATATGAAAATTCCTGCCTTACGAAATACAAGACTAGACAAATGTATATTTAAAGATATATTGCGAGCTAAAATAACAGAACTAAAAGAACGATCTATATATGATATCACTAGCGCAGAGAGAGAGAGATAGAGAGAGAGAGGGAGGGAGGAAGAGAGAAAGAAAGAGAAAGAGCAAAAACTATATAATTTATTTTATAACTAGTGTGTTAGAAAGTTGTCGAGAAAACAGAACGTAGTCAATTTAGCGTAGTAAGATAAACGACGAGAATTAAACGTAAACAAATTGTGAATAATCTCTATTGTTGAATGACACGCGTTGATCTGCTGTGTGTGCATATTATTTACTTTTTTCCGTAGATATATGTATGTAGTAGACGTAAATCGAAGTTTGCGCGCGTAAGTCGTATATATGATCTCTTTGTCTTTTGTTTTTTTATTTTTATTTTTTATTTTTTTTTATTTTTTGTCCTCTCGTTCTTCTCCAATTTAGTTGTTCCAACAACTTTTCTTTCTCCGATTGAAACAAAAAACACTTAGAAGTAACGTTTTAAGAAATATACAGATATATTGCATATTTTGTATAACACGAGAAATATGATGCTTCCAAGCAACGAAATTGATACTTTCAAACTGCGTGGCTCGGTAAAAAAAATCAAGATATGTAATTGGAATTTACTGTTTTTTCTTTGGGTTTTATTTTATTTATTTTTTTTTTTTTGTTGATTAAAAAACCCTCGGCTTTACGCAAAACAAAAAAAAAAAAAAGAAAAAAAGCTCACTTTGTAACCGGAACTCTATTTGCTTCGTACCTGAAAGCTTTGTCGAAAAAGAAACTACAATTACTCAGGAATGTAATTCTATAGATGATAAAGAGCCACTTTTAATTTAATCCGAAATAAAAACAAAAAAAACTTTATATTATAAAAATAAATACGAAGTATATAAAATACGATTGCAAAAGGAAGAGATAAGAGACATTTGAAGCTTCTTTCGTGTTTTTTTTTTCTTTCTTCTCAATGAAGCGTGTATGCGTTACGAAATATGATACAATATTTCGGAGTATACTGAGCCGTGTGTGAAAAAAGACCGTCTTGAAAACGCGAATGATACATATACGTATATATATATATATGTATATATTTATACATATATGTATATATATATATATATATATATATATATATACAATTGCTTTTTGCAAATACGTTTGCTGATTACACTTATCGGGATATTTCTTTACACACTATATTCTCGTCGATGATGACACGGTACTAAATAGTTTTTACACACATGCTCTTTCTATCTTATTATAGGGAAATTAGTTTTAGTTTCACGCAATTTTGTTTTATTCTCTCTGTGTTCGGCTCGCCACTGTCAATTTTGCAAATTACATTACACACATTAATAAACTCTATATATATATATATATATTTTAGAAGGAAAAAAATTCCAGTTTACTGTGAACTTCATCAAAGTCGACCGTTCGACCGCAGGTTTTCGGAGACAACGCGTGCGCGCGAGCGCGCTCGCAGTGATCTCTTCGCGCAACTACACACATAAACACACACGTACACACAAACACACAAACACACACACATATATATATATATATATATATATATATATATTAAACTAATTACTTATATACCTACTTTGTGATATAAACTTCTTCCGAACGGTAACCTTTGACGAAGGCCGTAGAGAATAATAACAAGTGCTGTGAAAAAAACTACACGTGTTAAATCAAATTTAATTCAATTTACATGCCGATAGGAAAAAAATATGCGGATTATAACTACTCCCCCGTCGGTTCTTGTCTCAAGCAACTGTACTTGTAAATATAGTTAGCAGTTTATATCGAAAGAGAGAGAGAGAGAGAAAGAGAGAGAGAGAGAAACTCATGTATTACATCATAATATAATCTCGTTTATCGAGGTTGCCATGATAGAATGATATTTCTACGTATATATATATATTGACAAAATAAGAAGAGTAACACAACGCGTCGTAATCCTTCATGAAAAGGATTTTATCAATTCGCATGTAACCTGTTTTATGGGTAGTTCATATTTCCTCTCGTGTGTGTGTGTGTGTGTGTGTGTATTTGCGCGCGCGCCTGTGTGTGTGTCTTTTAATAATGTTACTTAAATTACTACGTAAAATCTTTTATGCTTTTTACACTTGTGTTTTTTTAGATGACGCGACATCAACAATTTCCTACGATCGTTAAACTCCAATCTCATTAGTAATTTCTTTGATTTGTTTTTAGTTTCAGCCTCTATCGTCACTTGTATGTTTCGTAGTTTTCCTATAATTATTATTATTATCATGATTATTATGATTATTAATACCGTCGTTAGGACGATCCACGTACTAACACAACACTCTCTCATCTGTCATTTTATCTTATTTGAAGTTTGTTGAACAAACGTTTCGTTCTGTTCTGTTTGCTTCTTCTTCTTTTCAAAAATCATCAGAGCACCGCATAACGTAACATTCCGAAAACAGACAGACAAACATTTTAAACAACGTTCTTGTTTAAATGCGTGCGTGTGTGAGCGTATATGTACTTGCACGTAACTTCTAACGAACGAACGAAAGTGCTTATGAAGAGAGAGAGAGAAACGAAAAGGCAAAGCGAGGATGGAAAAACAATTAAATATTCAACTCTCTCGATAAAGAGGGATAAAAAAAAATGAAAAACTGTTTTATGTACATACGTACGGTTAATATATATATATATATATATAAATATATATATATATAACAACGTAAGACATGCTTATATAGATGTAATGTATTTTTTGTAGGGACCATACTATTAAGCGGAAATATATAATGTGTTAACGCGATCAATACTAATGAGTGATAACAAAAAAAAAAGCTACTAATTCTTTGTCACACTTATGAAAGCAATATGCAATCAATCATGAAAAAAACGGGGAGTGGAAAGTAGAAAAATTGTAAGGAAAGAAAAATTCGTGCGAAAGAAAGAGCGAGAGAGAGAGAGAGAGAGAGAGAAAGAAAGTGCTGTTATTTGTTTCTCTCATTGATGATGAATCATCTCTGCGTTGATTACAACCAAGTAAAAATGGATACGAAATTTTTATTAAATTGTGATTGAGTGATGTGTATATGTGTGTATTAATACACACATACGTATATGGCGGTGCAAATTATTATATAGATAAATAAATGTAAAAAAAAAAAAAAAAAAAACAAAACAATGCGAAATATTTAGAAATTTAAAATATCGAGTTTTTCTGCTTTGTAAGAAACACACGGATCAACTTATTACAAATCGAGACGCGAATGCCTTAAAAAAAAAAAAAACAAAACAAAAAATAGAAAAATTTAAATTACACCAACCCTTTTTGCGGCGCGAGTTTACAAATTATCGTCGCTTATCGGCTTGACAGACAAACAGTTGACATTTTTTCGGCATACCGGCTTCTTTTCTTTTTTCGATCTATAAACTTATATCGTACGTATGCGTACATGTGTATATATCACACGCAAAACACACACATGTACGCATATCCGCAGCAAAAGGGTTTAGAAAAATGAAGAGACTTGTGCAATGAAAACAAAAAAAAAAAAAAAACCATGCGTAACACTGTGTGAGCGAAAAAATATAATCGATTGTTCTCAATTGTGCAGTTGTTTCATTTCTGTCTATTGTGATTCATATATGGTCTCAGAGCAAAAGTTAAAAATAAACGTTGCGCATCCATCGACATGCCGTTTTTCAAGAGCGTTAATATATTTTATCTGAATTTCGATCATTCTTTGCTTGGTGGTTGAAAATTGGATTTTATAAGTAGATTTTTCCAAGAACGAAAATGGGAGAGATATGATTCACGATGCAAAAAAAGAGCCGAGATATGATTAATCGACTCTGTAGAGAAAGAAAATTGTGTGACTCATGCAGTTTCGACATGTGCGAAAACAAGATTCAACGATCGAAAGTCATAAAATTTTTTTTCTTTTTATTTTAAATTTACAAAAGTCTAAGTTTTTTTCAGAAGTAAGACACAAGTGAAATGTACTGTTTGTCAATAAATAAATGTTTTAAAAATTCTCCGAATCAGTCTTGATTTGTATTTCACATTTTCGTGTCGGTGTGTTTTTTTTTTTATTCTAAATTTACATTATTTTTATCAGCATGTAACAACTTAACGCGTAAAAAATTTAACTTAAATCGCGCGGCGCTGAAATTTCGCGCGCTCCGCCGCGAAATTTTAATCGAGTCTTGTAATTACGTCGAAATGTCTTTTTTTTTCTCCGCGTCGAGTTTGCGCTTTTCGCGTGTTAAATGGAACAGACGTACTTACACTTGAGCGTTGAAGCGCGCGAGAAACGGGAACACCGGGGCGAAGAAAACTTCAACGAAAGGACGCGCAAAGTGTCTCGAACGGCCATTTTCTCTGGTGATGCGTTTGCGTTCCGCAATTCGGTGTCGCGCGCGCGACGCGCGCGCCGTGCACCAGCGAGACGGATTACGGGCGCGAAAGGATCGGCGGATAAAAGAAGAATAGAAAAATGAGCGGACGAATCAATATCGATATCGGCACTCGATATTTTTATATCGACAGAAATTGACGATTATCGATATTGACATACACGTACGTACAACGAAAAAACCGATTTGCCCCCCGGTCTTTCGGCCTAAATGCAGAGACTGCAAATACCGAGGTCCCCCGAATACACTTGCAAGAATTTTTTCGGCGCCGGTTTCTTTCAATCGAGTTGATCGATCGATCAGCGAACTGAGAAAATTCGGGCCTTTCAAAAATTAATTCAAGTGTGTAATCTTGAATTAAACTATAAAATAAATTAGCGTTGCCGTACTATCCAACAAAAAAAGTTAGTTGGAAAAAGTTAGTTGTGTGTGTATGTCTATTCATATTCTCTACCTTTCAAACAAAAATAAATCGGATAGCGAAAAATCACAGATGGATCAGAGAACTGCACTAATTGAAATCCCGCTGACGAATTGCATCCAAATTCTCAGAATTCAATTTTTAACAAACGAAATCTCTGACTCATCCGAATGAATTTTCACTATCGGATCTATTTTATCTATTTTTTTTTTTTTTTTTTTAAAGAAAGTTCCGATTATCCCGAAGCGAGAGTGAACGCGCGCGGGTTTTGGAAAAGGTGGGGCACCGCCGTCCCACTCTCGCGCCCGTCGCGGGTTACGTCACTGGAAACGACGCGCGCGCGCAAGCGCGAGAATCTCTGCCTCGGTTCGGAAACGCGTCTCTCCGTCGTCGTCCGTCCGTCCGTTCGCCTGTCTGTGTCTCTGCGTCCGTCTCTCCGTTGTCAGTTGTTAACGGGCTTCTCCAGCGTGTGGACGTGCGGGAGTGACGAGTGTTCGGTGTTATTTCCCATCCCCTACGGAGTCGCGTTTTCGCTAACGAACGCCCTACCGTAGCTTCCATATTCAATGTGTATGGCGATTCAGGTGAGTTCTTGCGTCTCGCGAATCGAGAAATTATATCGAAAGAGCGTTTTTATTCGGTCAAGGGAATGGCGTACGCACGGCCGTGCGTACCATATCATAGCATAGGGGGAAAAACCCACCAGCGCGAGAGAAAACAAACGTGCGATGCTTGCTTGCGCGCGTGTGTGTGTGTGAAGCGAAATGAGAAAAGTCGATTGTCGCGTTTCGCCTCGGTCAAACGTTGTCGAATATGTACGCGCTCGCTCGTACGTTTGTTCGCAGCCTGCTGCTGCTCGTGTGCATGAGCGTATATACGTGTGTGTGTGTGTGTGTTTGTATGCGTGTACGTTTCATGGACGTGAGCGGCATGGTGTGGTATGGCGTAGCGTGGCGTGGCGCGGTACAGCCACAGAGCAGCACGGCACGGCCGCGGCCGACGAACTCTGGCGTCTCGTCTCCGCACCGCCGGCCAGCAACATCGAGACGATCTCTCGCGATATTACACCTCCCCTCGCTTTCGGAGTTTTTTCGCGACCGACCAACCGACGATGGATTTCCTCTATCGACAAATTTCTCTCTCTCTCTCTCTCTCTCGTTTGTGTCGCTGCTGCTCACATTGCAGCTCTCCTCGACGAATATAAAACGCCTCTTTTTTTCCCACCTCTGCGAATAAAAGATCTCTCGAAGGAGGTTAAACACGCGTGCGGGGGAAAGCGACGCGATGACATTTTTAGCGTCGATTCGAAAAACAAAAAAAAAGAAAGAGAAGAGCAGACTCGGTAATTTATCAATCGGTAATCGACACTATTTCTCTCAATTACTACCTGATGATTTTAACAATCGTCTCGATTTTGCAGAGACAATCGAGAGTTCGAACCTGATGCTTCGGGTTGTGATCAATGAACACGCAATATTATCCCCCGCTTCATCCAGCGAGAGAGCGTCTCTCCGCGTCGCAAGGGCGTGTTTGTTCGGCCCTTCACTTTGGAGCGTATTGTGCCGAGTGGAAAAACTATATACCTCGAAATCGTGTGTGTTTTCGCGGAAAGCTTTTGTGTGTGGCGTATCGCGGCGTTTGAAATATGCATGGCGCAACAGCGAAACTTCACACATCGAGGGGGAGCGCTTACCGACCACGTTGTTGCTTCGTCGTCGAGCTCGCTCTCTCTCTCGACGCGCGACGTCAACTGACGTCAGAGTTTTGTACGTTCGTCGGGAGAAACGCAAAGGGGAAAAAAAAGAAGAAGAGAAAACTCTCTCCGTGCGTTTCGTAGTTTAACGAGA